GTCTGAGATGTGTGAAGTTGTAGGTAACCGTGAAAAAACTTGTGAAGTCAATGTCAGATCTAGCTCCCTTAGTTGACTTAGTGATAGTAATTTGGATCTTGTTTTCGTAGTTGACTTTAAACTAATTAATCAATCTTCACAATCGTCTGAGATCTGAATACTACTAAATGTCAAGATTTTTGGTTTGTTTGTTTCTGAACATTGTTAACGTAGGCGTTATCTTTTATTCATTTCCTGCAGATTATTCTTGGAGAATCTGGCAGAGTAGCTCGATCTTATGACGTGAAAGAGTGCAAGCAAAGGTATCCTCCGTGATTCTTTGTAATATACTAATGGTAAAATTCTAGTAACATGGTAACTTGTTGAACTGAACATGGTTCACTTGAAAATCTACCACCAGAGAACAGGATTGTTTGGAAACAAAATCTAGTTGACGTACCAAACATACACTGTTTAAAAAGTCAAAGGGGGCATTCCGAGAATCGAACTCGGGACCTCTCGCACCCAAAGCGAGAATCATACCACTAGACCAAATGCCCATACATTTATGTACAACATTTCAAGCAATAGCCATGACATTAGAACCTGTTGGGATCAGGTTGAGTCTACAGTATGAGTTTAGTGGGATTCTTGATTACATTTGTAAGTCTGAAGGCTTTATGCCATATTTTCTCTGCTGAAACTATTGCACTAGCTATCTAGTTTACAAGTCTCCGAGAAACTCGGTAGAAGTTTTCATGCCTTGGAATCATGCATCTTCATTTTCTCCCTTTTTAGGCTCTATGCCATTAATGTTCTCTGTTGTGTGGAACATTTCAGGATAAGGATTATTTCTCTAGAATGAGTTTTCTGAGTATTAGACCAAATGTGTGGACCTCTAGCACCAAAGTGAGTATTAGAGTATTAGACCAAATGCCATGTTCTTATATATAGTAAAGTTATGCATTTTATTTGGGTCAAAACCAGCTGGCGTGTAAGATTCTCAGTAGTGCTTGGTTTTGTTTTGTAGGCTTGTACCAAAGAGATTCTGATGATCATGTGTATGTATAGAGAGATCTTACAATTTAATAAGACGAGAAGACATCATCTGGAAATTAGACTTGCTGCTCAAACTAAACGTTAGGGAAAACAAATGAGATACTTGTAGCACATCGTGTAATGACATGGGGTAGGACCAAAACGTTGCATAAGTTATGTCTCATTCTAAGGGAAAAAAAAAGAAAAAAATGTGTATTACCCGATGTGGATAGAACTACAAAGAACTGGTAATGAAAGACGATGTAATTAGAGTAAGGAATGAGAAAATACTAAGAAAAAGAAAATCATAAAGTTGCATATATTAAGTACACTCTTAAGGAAAAACAAAAGAAACCAACAAGTTGTTACAAAGACATTAGACTCTCAGTGTGATTCGGGAAAGCATGGAAATGATTAAGATCATACATTCCATGTCTAACTATATAATCGGGCCAAGATTCGCCGCCGCCGTCTGCCATTCCTTTGAATTCGAATCTTCTATAGCTGTTTCCCATCGGATCAAGAAATAAAATATAATACGATTTAAGAAACGAGGGTGGTACATAAACAAACTCACCAGCGGTAGTAACACCTCTTAGTTTCATATCGGTTCTCGAAATCGGATCAAAAGGTAAAAGATAATCTTGAGTCGACCATTTGTGTTTCTCTGCATCCTCCAATATCCACAATCTTCTTTCATTGTCTCTTATTCTGATATTGTAATTATCACTATCACTACAAGCTAACCTCCCGTCATAATTTATCAGCACAGGGTCATCAATATTCGATGGTAGTTCTATCATTTTGAATTTTTCATATCTGACATCAAAGCTCATTATAACAAATCCAAAACCAGACGGCTTACACTGATCACGGGCTATATAATATATCACCCCATTGATGCATCTCCCATAAGTATAATAGCCAGCACGATGCTTATGCTTTGTTCTGACCGTTCTCCACGATTCTTGAGCTGATCCCAATGTTAAAACCCGGCACACGTATGAAACTTTCTTATAGCGAATGCACACAACTTTGTATTTACCTTCGATGGGATCGTATCCTAGAAAGAGTGTTTTACTATTCCAGCTCTTATGGTTAGTGGGATTGGGTAAAGGTAAAAAACTTCTCATGCTAGGGTTCCAAACTAAGGGATTTGGTGAGGATTCAACGCATATAAAGCCGTGCACAGATTCAGTAAGATCATGAAAACCATATCCTGGGAGTTTCATATGATAACGCTCAATAGGCAGAGGAGAAGAGTTGTTCGAATCCTGAGTATGTTGCGGAATGGAAGAAACAAATAGTTTGTCACCTTTAGTGAAGCAGAGTAGAAGGGTCTGCCTTGTTGAGGAGTTATCTCCGAACGAGCTGATGAAATATGGATTGGTGGTGAGTGATGACCAAAGCTTCGACACGCAACGAAACCTCACAACAGATTTCAAAGGCAGCCTTGAGAGTATCTCTCTGGTTAGATCGAGAGGAAAGGACAATATTGATTTCGATCGTGTGCTTTCTCTTCTTCTTGTGTTGCCTTTTCGTTTCTTCGCTTCTTTTTGCTCCATGATCTTTCGTCAAAACCCTAATTTGTTCAGGCTGTGTTACCCTAAAAATGTTTTTGCTATATATCGACCGCTTCTTCTCAATAACTTATTAATATTCCATTTACATGTTCGGTTCTTTTACTTAGGGCTTATTATTAATTTTAGAGCTTAAATACGTTGGTTCCTCAATAAGTTATAGTGCATGACTCCATTTTTGGCACTTTAGTATATCTCATAAGATTCTCAGTTGTGATTTTTTTGGTTTTGTATGGCTTGTACCGTGGAAGCTTGAAGCTGGAGTTGCAAAGTTAAAGGAAGTGAATGACGTCAGGTGATCACAAACCATATGTTAGCATTACATCTGCTCAAATGCTACGCTCATTTCTTTTTTTGGTTTCTCAAAAATCAACTAACTAAATCTTACAAGAGACTTTAGACTCTCAGTGTAATTCGGGAAAACAAGGAGCTCATGCCTATCGAGCCAAGATTCTTCCTCTGCGATTTCTTTAAACTTGAGTCTTCTACAGCAGTTCCTCACCGGATCATAAAACAAAATACAAAACGACCTAGGAAACATGTCTTCTGGTAAATAAACAAACTCACCAGCATGAGTGAAACCGATTGCTTTGAACTTGGTTTCCAAACTCGGTTCATAGTATTGTGAAGGTACAAGAAAGTCTTTAGTCGACCACTTCCTCTCTGCATGCTCCAAAATCCACAATCTTCCTAAGCAATAATCAGTACAAGCTAACCTCCCCCCATAATTTAGCAGACAATCAAGGCTAAGAGCACCAGGTGGTCTTTCTATCATATGGAACTTTTCAGATCTGACACCAAAGCTCATTAAAGCTAGATTGGGCGAATAACACATACCAGCGTTATAATATATACCGGCTTTATAATATATCACCCCATTGATGCATCGTCCTTCAGAAGTTAAACAGCAAGCACGGTGCTTGACATCTGTTTCCACCGTTCTCCATGATTCTTGAGGTGATCCTAATGTTAAAACTCGGCATTCGTATGGAACTTTGTCACAGCGAATGCACACAACTTTGTGTTTACCTTTTATGGGATCGTATCCTAGAAAGAGTGTTACTCTTTTCCAGCTAGGGTTGTTGGGATTTGGTAAAGGTAAAAAACTTGTCATTGTAGGGTTCCAAATCCAAACTATTGGCTTTTGATCTGCTTGAACACAGATCAAGCCATGGACAGATTCCGTAAAGGTAAAGTTAGAATACTCTCCTGGTAGATCAAAGTGATAACGTCGACGGATAAAAGGCAGAGAAGAAGAAGAGTAAGCCTTCAGAGAATGTTGGGGAATCGAGTAAGCACACAAATTATTGTCATCTTTTCTGACGTAGATTAGGAGACTTGGCCCTGGGCACCGAGTTTCGAACAAGTCTATGAAATATGGATCGGTGGTGATTGATGACCAGAGCTTCGACACGCAACGAAACCTGGCAACAGATTTCTCAGGCAGCCTTGAGAGTATCTCTCTGGTTAGATCGACAGGAAAGGACAAAGATGATCTCAATAGTTTCTCCATCTTCGGGTCAAACCCTAATTTCTGTAGGCTGCTACTGGTATCGTATCGACCTTATTTTATATTAACCGTTAGATGCCCTAGGTTTTCTTTTTTGACCTAATTTTAATTTCCAATTTTTTTAAGAGTAAATTAAAATATTCTAAAACAATGACGAAATTATTAGGAGTAAATAAACGTATCAAAAACCCCGACTAGACATGTTAAAAATAATATGCTCCTATTTTGATCAAATACCCTCCAGTAGTTCGATATATACAATAGTTATATACTTCGATTCATTATGATTATGTTTTATCTTAACGTTAGACTTGATCATACCACGCTACCAAGTTCTTGGTTATAATTTTATTAACAGAGACCTATTGAATACACCAATAAATTTTGGTGAACTTTTAGGTAGATACACATAGTTGAAAGGTTGGACGTAATCTAAGACAAATGAGGCACCAATCACCATTTGCAAATATATATGCCATGATCTACGTCAGTCCTAAGAAAAGATGGCAAAGGACAAATCGAATGCTTGTGACAAGGGAAAATTGAGTTGAATCGTTTGATCCAAGTTTTCAATGGAAATTGTCAATTGATCATTTGTAGGTGTCGTCTCTTCACATACTACATGAGATTCGAATGCTTTTCAGCTCGATAAGACCACTCAGATTGATAACAAAAAGGCTAGTCTATGCCACAAGTGATTCAGTATTTGTCAGACTGTGTATTACTTTTTGTCTTCCTTAAAAGAAAACATTACAAACTAGTGTTCCATTGAGCTTTAAACAACGACAACTTTGAATCACTTGGAATCAGTGACAACACCCTTCTCTTTTGTAACGTTTACGAAAAACCCTACTGAGTCTTATACCAATATCATAGATCTTTTTCTCAAGAGGTCAAGAAACTTTTATGCTTTGGTTTTGCCTTTAATCACTTCTCTTTTATCCTTACATTTTTGGTCAGCCTCATTTTCTCTGTTCTTAAGTCGTGGATAGTAATCTGCTGCAAAATTCTACGTCTGTTAGCGTTACATCTGCTCAAGTACTACATTCATTTTTTCTTTTGGTTTTTTTTCATCCTACTCCTTGTAATACTTTTTATTCCATTTGACACTATATTTTCCTACCGATCAATCTTCTTATTGAGAAATAATGATTTCAGACAACCACGAACTAAAACTTTTTTTCTGAGATCATGTTGTTTGCATTGCAAAAAGTAAAAACAAATGTAACCCTGATGCGGAGGCTCAAGTCCAAGATCATCTGAAAATAAGTTGCATATGTTATTATACAACATTATCAACTTGGACAAGTACATCATAAATTTAAGTATCATCATTCCAAGGATAAACAAAAGAAAAAAAAAATCAACTAACTGTTACAAAGAAACAGACTCTCAATGTGATTCGGGAAAACATGGAGCTCATACTGATGGTACCAATAATCGAGGCAAGATTCTTCGTCTGCGATTCCTTTAAACTCGAATCTTCTGCAGCTGTTTCTCACCGGATCATAAAATAAAATACACAACGATCTATGAAATTTTTCAGGTACATAAACAAACTCACCAGCATGAGTGAAACCTGCTAGTTTGAACTCGGGGTTACCATAGTCTTGTAAAGGTACAAGAAAATCTTGAGTCGACCGTTTCCACTTTCGTTTCTCTGCATGCTCCAAAATCCACAATCTTCTACTTTCATTGTTTCTTCTGACAAAACAACTATCACTACAAGCTAACCTCCCCCCATAATTTATCGGACCATCCTCGCTAACAACACCAGGTGGTTTTTCTATCATATGGAACTCTTCAGATCTGACATCAAAGCTCATCAAAGCTGAATGTAGCGGGTAACCAGAAATACCGGCGTTATAATATATCACCCCATTGATGCATCGTCCTTCCGAGCTTAAACAATAAGCACGGTGCTTAAGATGTGTTCTGACCGTTCTCCATGATTCTTGAGCTGATCCTAACGTTAAAACTCGGCATACGTAGGAAACTTTCTTATAGCGAAGGCACACAACTTTGTGTTTGCCTTCGATGGGATCGTATCCTAGAAAGAGTGTTACTTTTTTCCAGCTCTTGTGGTTATGGGGATTAGGTAAAGGTATAAATCTTCTCATGCTAGGGTTCCAAATCCAAACTATTGGCTTTTGATCTGCTTGAAGGCAGATCAAGCCATGGACAGATTCCGTAAAGCGAAAGTAACAATAACGATGGTCTTTCGGATTCTGAACATGCTCCGGGAGCTTCAAATGATAACGACTAATAATAGGCAGAGAAGACGAAGAGTAAGCCTCGTTCGGATTCTGCTGAATCGAGTAGACACACAAATCGTCATCTTCTTTTCTGAAGCAGAGTAGAAGACTCGGCCTCGTTGCGGACCGAGTTTCGAACAATTTGATGAAATATGGATCGGTGGTGATTGATGACCAAAGCTTTGACACGCAACGAAACCTCGCAACAGATTTATCAGGGAGCCTTGAGAGTATCTCTCTGGTTAGATCGACAGGAAAGGACGAAGATGATTGCGATAGTTTCTCCATCTTTGGGTCAAACCCTAATATTTCTATTGGCTCTGCTATGATTGACCTTATCTTATATATGTAGTACGTCAGATGCGCCATATGTTTTCTTTTTTTTTATCCCTAATGGTAAAGTGACATGTGGCAAATTAAAGGAAAAAAAACGTTAATCAGTTTTGCTGAAAATCATGTTATTAAAAGCAAAATATAAGAAAAGCCCACTAAATATTCAGCCAATGAAATCAATACCACGTTTTCTCTTCCAAAGAACACGATTTCAGTAACCTCCTTTTCTCCCAAAATCCCTAATTTTTCGTATCCTAACTCACCATTTTCACGATCGTGGAGAAAAATCAACTGTAAACTGTAAATCAATGATTCTCAATCATCCCTCATAATATAGATTTCTACTGAGAGTTTTATCAGCTTCATCATGCCGTTCTAAGCTTAACATTCAATTTCTCCTCAAATAACTCGAATCGTTTTCAGTTTTCTGATTTTCATCATGATTCTCAGGTTAATCATGTCACTTGAGTATACTCATGTGTCTAAGCTCAATTCATCGAAAATAGAATGGAAAATTAGAGCTTGTGTGTCTCGAATTTTAGTTGTAAAGTTGCAGAAAAGGTATCATTGCTTCAGCTCTTCCTCCCCTTTTTATTTTACCTTAAGACTTGAAATTGATGTAGAAACGTTATGCTTTGTTTCCAGGTTATCAAAGGTATCGTTGATGGTTGTGGGAAATCGAACTGTGCTCTCTTAGTGGAGATGTATGTTTTACACAGTTAGACTCAATTCCTAGCATTTGACAATATAGTTTATGAACATTCCATAATTTGCTTCGTTTAGTTTTTTGTTTGGTTGGTTTTAGACTGCAAAGAAGCCCGATTTTAAGCAGAAGGCGAGTACGATCTAAGCGAGTTTGGAGTAGTCATAGTAAAGAAAGAATCGGTTATAAACGGGAAAAGCATAGTGGCTGGAGATGTTCTTATTCGCCTCCCTTCTAGCGGTGTTCATTCAAATGGTTTCTTTTTAGTAAGAAAGTAAGTTGGTGATAATATGACACTAGGAAGAATGTAGTCTATTGTCACTTGAATGAGTAAAGCTTAAAGACCACAATTGTTGCAGGTACTTTTACAGAAAGATGAGCTTCCAGGTGGATCATGTAGTCTTGGTGAAGCTTTAATGCCACATACTGTCATTTACGTGAATCAGGTTGATTTGTTTTTGTTCTTTGTCAGCCAAAAAGTCCATCACATTTTTTTAGCCAATTCCATGACTTATTCTTTCTCTATCCGCAGGTACTTGACTTTATCAGCAAATGAGGTGTTAAGGGTTTAGCTCATATAACATATGGAGGTTTCACAGACAACATTCCCCGAGTTTTCCCGGATGGATTGGGCGCTGTTATTCACTGGTGCTTGGGAAATTCCACCCTTATTCAAAGAGATCCAACAGATAATATACTTAAATGCTTGATTTGTGTTTGGTTATTGTATAGTTTGGGAATATAAAAGACACTGAGATGCAAATTAAAGAATGTTAATGGTGGTAACTCGAGAAGCAGCTACGGGAATACTTGGGGAAGATGAGAATGGAGAAGGCGTTAGCTATCTCACTAGAACATGTCTGTATGAACTACCAATGTGTTTTTTTAATAGGAACTCAACGTGTTGTGTTTTTAAGTTGGTGTGTGAGAGATATTATTGTTTCTAATGTTTTTATCCATTTTTGTCTATCGGTGTTACCCATTTTGGGGTTTATAATGGAAGTGATATCATTTTTTTGTCTTTCACCGAACTATATAATATGTAACAATTAACAAAATAAAAGATAGTAGTTGTTAGTTAACCAAATATATAATTTTAGCGAATCATACATATTTCATAAAGAAAACATATCTTTCTAAGCCTTTATTTAAACTTTAAGTTATATAAAAAACTATCTATTTTTTTACGTTTTGTAGCTTTTTAGTTTTTTTTTTATGTTTTGTAGCTTTTTAGTTATCACCCGTTTCTTTACCTTTTCTAAGCTTTGTAAATTTTTCTAAATTTCTTTTAACCTATAAAAACATAATAGTTGTGAAAATAAATTTTATGAAAAATTGTTTAACAAAATAATTGACCCGTGCGTCTGCACGGGTAGAAACACTAGTTTAATTTTAATTTCTAAAGTTTTTTTTTTAGTTTTAGGGGTGTATTGAATTTGAAACTGAGATTTTGAGTGATTTAGGGTGGATTCAATGTTATTGAATTTAAAAATCCACTTTCAAATATCAAATCCATTGTTATTGAAAATGTTTTTAAAAGTGGATTTAAAAAAAAATAGATTTGATTTTAGATTAATTTGGTGAGATTTTTCTTGTTAAAAATAAAAGATTTCAAATCATATATATATTTTAAATGGGATTCTAGAATGATTTAAATAAAATGACTTGAACTTTTATAATTCACATAAATCATCTAAAAACTCTCTAGCCGACCAGGAAAAGGAGGGAACAAAGTGCTCATATTTTGATTGAATCGACACATCACACGCGATACTCTCTTCTCGCACTCTCATCTGCAACTCTAAGGATTCGCCGACCCAACAAGCCATCTGTCGTTATTCGAGCTTGTCTCGTCTTAATAAAGTCATTGTTCTGTTGACATGTCCCACGCCTGCCACATGTTCGACGAAATTCCTGCACCAGCTTACTTGTCTCACAACTAATGAGATTGTGATTGGATCAGCGAGATGATTGAAGACTTGCGTCTTAGGGACCAGTGAATGCGTCTCTTCAGCTAAAGTGGGTAAGTGATCCGCTCTTTCTGTTTCATTTCTGCTCTGTAGTTTTGCCTCATTCTCCTCAAATTTCAGTTTCATACTAAATCAGTGTTCTTTTTGATGTTTAGAGTCCTTTGTACACTCTTTATTCACTGTAAAGTCCAAAACTTGTGCTACTAGAATTCAATCTGTTTTCACTTATTTGATGCTTGAAACTGTTAATGAGCGTTTTTCTTTTTGTATGGCAAATTTTTATAAGAAAGCTGTGCTTTGTGTGTTTGCTTCTTTTAGTCAACCTTCCACACATTGTTGAGACGTGGAATGTAGTAGGCTTTTGACAAAATTAGACAAAACAAGACCTTTGCACATTTTTGTATGTAGTTGTTGTTCTGGGCTACTATTTTGATCATGTGTGTCCCAACTTAAAAAAGTCAAAGGGGCATTCCGAGAATCGAACTCGGGACCTCTCGCACCCAAAGCGAGAATCATACCACTAGACCAAATGCCCTGTTGCTTATATGCATTACTTAATCACTCAATGCATAGCTATTCTTTAATCTTGGACACCAGTTTTAGGTGTGTTCTATTCAGTATTCACTTCCTGTTGATGTGTCATGGTTCAAGTCTAATCAATCTGAAAGAAAGTGTGTGAGACCCTCTAGTTTATGTGAAAGTTTACTTGCAAGACTGCCCTCTAGTATATCATTTTTGGTATTCACTTCTGATTTCCTTTGGTTGAGACAGGACATTATGTCTAATCTACTGCGTTTAGAAAACTGCATGCTAATTAATTTCTTGACTTTGATCTGTGAAAAGTAGGCACTGAGGGACATATATTACTTAACGCAGAGCACATTCTTTTTAAAAAACAACCGGTGTAGTGGAACTAGAGTCATTTTAGGATTGATTTGGCTGGGGAGATGTGGCTTATGTTTCTAGGATCCTAAGCTAGTGGATTTGATGATAAGTATACACTTTGATCATGTAATCAATCCTGGAAGTCTTATTCCTGAAAATTTGATTTCTCCTTTTAAAATGCCTAATATCATCCTGGTCTTGCTTATCAATTGGTCCTGATATGCCCTCCACATTCTGTATTGCTGATATGTGTGATGTTGTAAGTCTCTTGAATGCCCCTGAGGGTTAAAAAAGAATGGGGGGCATTCCGAGAATTGAACTCGGGACCTCTCGCACCCTAAGCGAGAATCATACCACTAGACCAAATGCCCTTCTGTTTGGAATCTAATAGAAGAAAAACTTGTGAAGTGAATGTCAGATCTAGTCCCCTTTATTGACTTAGTGATAGTAATCTAAGACTTGATGCAATATGGATCTGGTTTCCCCTTTATTAGAAACTTTTTATATATTGAAAAGAAAATGCAAAAGAACATTTTAGGACTGATTTGGTTGGGGAGGTGTGGCTATTGGTTCGACGAACCTAAGCCAGTGGATTTGATGAGTTGGGTACACTTTGCATCTTGTTTGATCAGTTACTTTGATCATTTAGGCAATCTTGAAAGTCTTATTTCATGTCTTATGTCTGAAAATTTGTTAAAATGACTAAATTATTGGCCATGAAGATGTCATCTTGCAGTTATGTAATTTGATCATGTAGTCAACGTGAAAGTCTTCTTTCATCTCTTATGCATGAAAATTTGTCAAAATGACTTAACTATTTGACCATAAGAATATCATTATGGACTTGCTTATCGAAGAATCCTGATATTACCTAACAGGTTATAAATTACAAGACTGTAAATCTCACAAGTGCAATTTATCTACCAAAATAATTTGTCTGTTAATTGGGGGTGTGTTGCCCAATACTGTACCATCCGCTCCATAAACTGGAGTAAGATATACGCTTAGCTTTCACTTAAGTTTGCACCTCTCAGTATGCATTCACCTAAATATTAAGACTGACTGAAATTTCAAAAGAGGTGAAATAATATTTATATCGTTCAGATTTGTTAGCAGGCACTTGCTTCACTGAAGGGATCAGATAGCTAGGGTTTTGCAAAAAGTAATCAAGACAGAAGTAACAGTGGACACTGATATGTGCAACTAAACAAATTCCTTACATCCATTTTGGCTCGGGTGTTTCTTTTGTTGATGATGCCAGCTGGTCTCCTAGGCCGAGGTGAGCCATCGCTAGCCAAACAAAGTTGATGAGCTCTCCTCCTTTTCTGAGCTGCTCCATGCGCGCTGTAGCATCGCTATTGCATGCTGCGTGGAACAGCAACTCCATCCACACTTTGCTCACCATCCTCCACTCGTGTACTTCTCCACGGTCCATCTTCACCCGTTTGAGTTCTTTGGCCAGCGCTGCTGCTTCAAACAGCACAGATTTGCTTTTGTTTCCTTTGAAATCTCTTGGATCAAATTCTATGCTAATCGAAAGAATTTCATCACTAGCAGCTTTCACATCCCTCAAGTTCTCGATGTGCCTCCTCCTGAAGAACTTTTCAGCCTCGGCCAACGTGTCTCTAAATCTGATCATCCCTATGCCTGCAACTTCTGACATCAGCTTTGGCTGATTGATCAAAAGATACATCATGTAGTCTGAGATGATTTTACTGAACTCACGATCTTTATGATTCTCCAGTGTAGACGCTTCTTCTTGGTAACACAGCTCAGTTGCTATGTGCCAGAGCAAAAGGCTCCGGTCGTAATCAACATCTGCTATATAACGCATCAGCCCTTCTAGCTTTGCCATCTCTAAGTCGGTGTTGCCAGAAGCCCATCCTCTCCTTACAGCTTGTGTTTTGCTTATATCCTGCCTGTCTGGATGTTGGAGTTTGCATTGCAGCTGAGTAAATATGTTAACCCACAATTCTTTGGTCAAGGGTTCACTGTGTACAAATCTTTTTGGAATGGTCCTATCAAGATCACTGATGCCGAGGATGCTGGTGATGTAGTTTCCAGTAGATTTGAAGAAGTGAGGAATCCTGAACCAGAATTCAACAATAACAATAATAAACATCGGCCAGTTGTTGGTGACATCTCCGATATACTGGTGAAGTTTGTGATTCCAAACGGCGATCCTTTTGCACGCTTCCTTGAAGATGTTGATAGTGTAAATGAAAGGCAGAAGTATAGCCTTCCGTACACACCGACGTCTTCTACCTTTGGCGCCATGGATTCTCTCTGTATCTGCATTCATAGAGTATGAAATAAAGTTGAAGAGCTTGATGCTTCCTGCCCATCTCTGGAGTAGAAACGGCGTGTTCAGCACCTCGTGCTCGACTCCCTTGCAGCATTTTTCCTTCTTCCATTGCAGCCTCTTAAAACCAAGGAACCAGTTGAGTTGGGGGTCTATCCATGAACCACTTTCTGATTCGTCATCTGTTTCGTCATCTGCCTCGCCTTCGTTTAGCCTGCTGAAGACAGCAAATGTCCACTCGGAGGTCATGAATACGAGGAGAGATCTGAGATCCAGAGCTATTCCAACTAAGAAGAGAGTGTAGGTGATTACGATATCGGCTCCATGAAACTCATGGCTCTTCTTGGGTCTATAATGAAAGATGCAGAAGGCTGACAGAAGAGATCCGATGGTTATGGTCCTGGTTGCAGCTCCAATCCAAGTATGAAGAACTGAAGCTTTTGTGTATAGACCTTCATAGATAAAACCAAGCTCGAGCTCTAAAATTCTCAAAGCTTCTTCGTGTTTTAATCTGCTGAAGAATTCCCTGCTCTCGTCACTTTGCTCAGAGGTGAAGATGTTATTCACCATAAGACTCTTGAAGTTATTGAAGAACCAGAAAGCAAACTGAAGAATCTCGAGGTGCGTCAAATCTCCATCATGCTTTTCAAGCTCTAGAGGTCTCTGTTGTCGATCATACTCTTGCATTGAGTCCTCTCCCTTCTCCAGGCTGCGGGCCTCATCAGACACCTTGAGAATTGAGCCTCTGAACTTATCTGAGCTTGCGAGGTACAACGCAATGGTCCTTTCGAGATACTTACAGGTCCCAGCAATGAATAAAAGCAGTATGATCACCCAGAGCGTATTGGGCAGCGACTGGATGACCACGTAAGCACCTGAAATAGCCTGCAAACCCAGGCCGAGGAAGTGTCTGTGCCAAAGAGCATTGTCCGCGAGAGAATATGCAGTGATTGTGTCTGGTCCACCAAGATGAAGGAGCAAGAACGGTGCCCACAAAGCCATGAGCTTCTGGTCCTGAGGAGGATCTTCGGGTTTTAATTCTTTCCCTTGGTTCTTGGCAATGAGACCGATTGCAAAGTTGGCAGACCAATCTGCTAAGAGATAAGACAACCACAGGACTATAACCAGGAAACTGTTGCGTGTTCGTTTCCTCAATGGAGCTAAGACGATGAGAATTGTCTGAATTGAGAGACTGAGAATTACCATTCCCCTGATGTTCCATGCGTCCCACACATCTTTGATATGCGTGGAAATCACCTCCACCATCTTCTTCTTCTAATTACTGATTCTGATGAATGTTTGGATTCACAGAGACTGAGTTTTACCGATATTTAGTCGTTGACTTCTTTTTTTAATTCCATTTTACAAGCAGTCCTCCGGTCTTTTCTTTATATATTTCGTTTGATTTGGGTTTTGAAGAAAACTTCAAATTCCAACTTTCATGTCAATCAATATCTTATCTTATTATACAAAATTAGATATATTTTATGTGACTGTGACACATAAGATACGAGGAATTAAAAATTCTATGTATAATAAAGGAATCTAAGTGTAGTTTCAATTTTGTGCTCTTCTCTATTAAGAGCAATTATTTCCGAATCAAAGTCAGTTATAGTCTTATAGATGTGAAGTGAAATTAAGAAAATAAAAATCACGACATCTTTGAGCAATAAGAAAAGTAAAGTGTCACTGCTTGTAGTGAAATTTGAAAATTTTAATTTTAAATAGTCTAACTTTCAATAGTCCACCATATACTTAAGAAATGAGAAGAAAAATAGAAAAAAAAATATATAAGCCATACAAAAAATGGAGATTTGTGTATATACTCCAAAACAAGTTAACATTTGTTCCTCTACACCTTTTTACTTTTGCTAATTCTTGTCAAAATTACTCTTCAATATACCTTATAGTTCTGAAATAAATATTTTAAAACTAAAAATATTAATAGTTCAGAACAATGATATAAAGATTGTTTATAATATTTTAGCATTTTTTTTTGTGATATAGTGTTCAGAAAATAAAATAATGTTGTGTTCTACCAATTTCAAAACTAATGTAAAATACGTTTTCTACTTGTTGCTCTAACCTCTACCATTTATTCAAAAGCCTTTCATATGCGATAAAAAATCTCAAACTTAAGAAACTCGTAATTATAACTCGCAAATGAAAGTTATAATTTTTGACTCAAATGATAAAGACTCGTGCTTATAACTAACAAGTGATTATATAACTACATTATGTATGAAAGGATGTATTGTTGTGTTATTCTCATATATTGTTGTTGTATGTGTTAAATTAGTGTGCGTTATTTATAACATCCGTGAACTGAAGAATTGAGAAAATTCGATTGTGTCACTCGTGTGTCGAGTGACACAAGTAAGTTGTGTCGGTCGACGCAACGATTTCAAAATCAGACCCGGTTTAATTTAAGTTGGTTTGAGCCGGTTTGGGTCTAAGGAAACCCTGATTCTCGTTTTAAAAGATGCAGCCGTCGAGCTGTAGAAGAGTTTTGTCGTTTAGTGGGACTAGAGAGAAGAAAAAGGCGATTCTGGGCGGATTCAAGGTGTCTTGGTTGAATTTACATCTGTTTGTGTTGTTCTACACTGTTTCTTCTCTCTTCCTTCGTTCCAATCCATTGTCAAGATGAGTACATGATTGTGGGTCCGCAATTAACTAGATTCGGATTTGATTATGGCTGTTCTTGACAAGTTCATGTGTTATAGTGGCTTTTCTGTGATACTTGCTTGTTGTTACGATGGATTTCGTGTTTATGTTGAAGTTTGGTATTGTTTCCCTAAATTTGGAATCGGCCCCTGGAACGTGTGTGGAGCGACACAAAGTAGTATGTGTCGACCGACACAAAGCGTGTGTCGCTCCACACAAAGTAGTCTGTGTCGACCGACACAAAGCGCTCGTCGCTCGACACAAGCCGGTTCAGGCCGATTTAAATCGATTTGAATTTTGGTTAATCGGTTAAATTGAATTAAATGGTTAAGGCGGATTGGTTGGTTTAATTTCGGTATTTGATTAATTATTGGTTATTTAATTAATTAATTGATATTAATTGATTGTAATTAATTATATTAATTGTTTTAATTATGAAAAATTATTATTTAATTATGAGAATTATTTAATAATTGAGAATTGGAGTTTTAATAATTATTGAGGTTATAATATTTATTGTAATTGCTAGTAATTGAATAATTGACCCGTAGGCAGGGTGATTACCTCACTAAATATTTATTAAATACTTACGCATCTCTTTCGCAATGTGATGCATGTAAAAGATTTGTGTGATCGCAAAATCAAGGCTGAATCAAGGCTGAAGAGGGGATGATAGAATTTATATGTTTTGCATTGTTTAAGTTGAACCTGATTAAGTTGCTAGACTTGTTTATTTAATTGTTTTTGATTTCGCTGAATTGATGTTATCGATATTTCTTTATTTAATTTATTTTCAGACTTCCGTTAAAATTGTTTAGGATTTTTTTTTTTTAAAAAGACTTGGTTGTTTCATTATTTACCAGAGAGAATGATCTTCTTTTATAAGCATATTACAAAGATAGTAACTTTAATGAATTCACTTCAGGGGTTATTGGGAATAGAATTTGTGATGATTATTAAAGAAAATAAAATCTGTTGGTATTGGTTAGTGGATTTTGACATTATTATTAAAATCTATTGTTATTGGTTTGATAACTTTTAAAATCCATACAAAATCCATTCTTATTTGAAAAGTTTGCAATTTGAATGATTGCATGAATTGTTAAAATCTTTGTTATTGGGAGATTAATTATAAACAAATGAACTCATGAAACAAAAAATTCGAAATACTACCTATGACTCTTAGATTCTCAGGCCTTGATTGTTTGCAGATTTTGAAATAGATTTTGGATTTTGTTTCTCCAAAAACCACTTCATTAGCCAATCAAGTTTTTGAACAAATAGATTTCCTAAAATCTAGGGAAACTAGTTTTTAACAGTTTTTATCATTTTCTAAAGAGAAACCAAAAACTACAATTCATGAGTTTTGCCGTAAGTTATTTTCTTTCGAAAATATTTTGTGCAAAAAATCAAAAACCAAAATCTGAAAACCAAAAACTAAAAACCAAAAACCAAAAACAAAAACCAGAAACCATGTAAACATTCATGACCTCAAAGTCCATTACATTAAAATATTTTGATTGATTTTCTAAATTTACATAGTTTTTCCAAATCTAACAAAAATCTTTATAAATTTAACAATTCTCTTAACTTTTAAAATTCACACAAATTCTATTCCCAATAACCCCTAAGATATGATGGTAATTGTAAAAGAAGTTACTTATGATAGATGTTATTTTGATAGACATTCATAAGTTTCATGAACAGAGGTTATCAAGAAAATACAGGAAAGTTGATTAATTTTTGTCAAAGAAGAAAGTGGATTGGTTACAAGAAGACATATAACAATAAAGAGTTTCAAGATCAAATTACTCTCACCTCAGTTTTTCCCAGTTTAGCTCTTCTTCTTGGTGTTTAATTAAGAAACTGCTTTCAGGTGAAACAATAACAGGAGCTTACGATCAATGAATCACAGGCAGTTATCCTTGTGGCTGCATTGTGCCATTTTTCATCATAGCGCAAAATTCATCATAGTTTATTCTTCCATCCTGCGCAGATTTTTCATAACAAGATTCATAACATGTTAAATATTGATTGGGGAAACAAGGAACCGCAAAATTATAGAGGGCAATTTACATTATCTGTATCGACTTCCGACATAATTTGTTTTGCACTTGTTTCATCTCCCATACCATGCTCCTTCATGGCTCTCTCCAACCCATCCATCGTTATGTACCTATTGTATAAAACAAGTCATTCACATTGATGTCTTATACTAGTTTTAAACATTCTATCTCAGTACATAATCGAAACTTTGATTCTACTGACACAAGAAATGATCAGTGAAGATTGATTCATTAACTTACCCACTGTTGTCTACATCGAAGTATTGAAATGCTTTGTATAAGTGATCCTCTCTAGCCATGTTTCTTCTCTCTATATGCATCATCGCTGGGATAAACTCGAGGTATTCTAGTGTTCCATTACCATCCACATCAGCCTGAAAATGGTTTATCATGTGTGTTTCGGATTCTCTCTTTTTCAGATAAACAAATGTGAGTAAATGATGCGGTTATGATACTCACGACTTCCATAAGTTCTTTAACTTCAGTTTCAGAGAGTTTAGATCCAAGTCTATTCAGCCCAATTTTGAGCTCTTCATAAGTGATTGTCCCGCTTTTGTCGGTATCCATGCTGGCAAACATTGATTTTAGACTTTTGATTTCCTTTTCCGATATACTCTCCGCAATAACCTGCAAAGCAAACAGATAAATCATAGCCCTAAGTTCAGGCACCAGTAGATATGCAAGATTAGATTTTCCAATGGATCAAGGAAGCACAAACAGATGGCAGGACAAAATATGCAAGATTAGATTTTTCACACATGCTTATTAAGAATAGACAAATTAATACATCATTTTGTGTGATTAACAATAACTTCCAATATTTTTAACTAATGATAATTCAAAAATTTCAATTTCTTTTTGAAGTTTACATCCATCTTTTTCAAACAAATTATTTTTGTAAAATATTTATCTTTTTGAAATGGAGAGAGTATGTTTTACCTTAAGAGCTAGCTTGTTAATCTTGTTAACAGCTCGGAATTTTTTCATACGGGATAAGATAGCATTATCAATAGGCTTATCTTCAGCTTTTAGGCCTGTGATCCAAGGATTTTCTATAACCCAGAATTGCTAGTTAGAGACGACCAGAAACTCATACTAACATTTCAGACAGAATAAGATGAGACTTCAAGATTGTCATAGTGTCATTTTTAAGGCAAAAAAAAATGGAATATAAGCAGACTCTGGATTCCTGTAGATGATTTTAGAAACTTCTTTCCGAGCTCACCAAACATTTCGTTGGAACTGTAAGAAGATGACCTCTTGGGCACTTCCAACCATCAAAAACTAACAATCATGCCTTGTAATATGGAATTTCAATTTTACTGCTTTAGAATGACAAGAAAAAAATAGAACACTTATGTTGGTTGCAGAAGAAATTTTCTTACCAAGAACCTTTGCAGCAGAGATTCGTTTCATTGGGTCACTGGTGAGCATCATCTGGATAAGGCGTTTTGCGGACAAAGATATAGAAGGCCATGGGTCGCTATACAAATCAAATTGGCCAGTCGTAATCTCATACACTACATACAATACAGCAGAAGAAAAATTTGAAGATGAAATGCCAGGAAGAAGAGATTAAGGTGCTAGTTTTCTTAAGCTTTTACCACTTTTAAATGGGAATTCGCCGCTGAGTAGGACGTATAAAATGACACCTGCACTCCAAATATCAATTTCCTTCCCATAGGATCCTTGTAATGCTTCAGGAGCTGTGTAGAAATCACTGCCTCCTAAACCCTCAACAAATTCTCCTGTATGTAAATGTTGGGAATATATGAGTCTAATTAATAATCAAGCTAACTTAAAATGGCATATTTGACAATATGACAAGATCTTGATACAGTCATAAAAGACAAAAGAACATCTTGAATTCCTATGAAGTTATAGATGATAAGCCTTGACAGTCTATCAGGATATATACTAGAGTCTTACGGTTTTGAGTCCTACCTTTATGCATATTGCATTGGAACATAAGGTCACCAATTTTGCTATGGAAAAATTATGAATTCCAAACACTAACCTAACTACCAATTCCGTCAAAGATGTTCAATTTCAGCTCACCTTCTTTGATGCAAACAGAACTCTCGAAACCGATTGCTTTGAACGTAGCATCTTCATTGTTACTTGAGAGCACAAAGTTATCGGGCTTGATGTCCCGATGTATAACACCCTTCGAATGACAACTTTGCACAGCATTCATAATCGACCGGACGATTTGAGAAGCATCCTTCTCCGAGTAATAGCTCTGGTCGTTGACCAGTTTCCCGATCCTGTCGAATAAATCCCCACCAGTACACAAATCCATCACGATGTGTACGAAACTTCTATCCTCGTAACAACCCTTGATCTGTACGATGTTGGGCTCTCCTATCAACCGGTTCATAATCTCAATCTCTGTCTTCACAACCTCCTTCTCTTCCTGGCTGCTTAGCAACCTCTTGCGTATGGATTTGCAGGCGTAAGTCTTGCCCGTAGAAAACTGCTTGCACATGTAGGTTGCAGCAAGATCACATACATCGAGTTTCTTCCCCAGGCTATAAAACTTATTGATGTGTTCCAATGGCTTTCCCAATATGGTGGTCTCTTCATCAGGGACGGGATTCGATGGTGTTGGATTTTTACTGCACCAACAACCCATTGATCTGAGTGCGGATTTTCAGAGACTTTCGTACGGTTTCGGGTTCAAAGTTTAACTTCGAGGATTAAGAAGACCGAAGCTAGTCAACGTGTATCGATTTAGGAGCTCGGTTTTGAATTTTGATGGCTTCTTTTTCTGCCGAGCTGTCCCCAATATTATAATAATTGAAAAGTCACACAAAAGTTTCATAATTCTTTCTACAGCTCATCGATCGTCACAACTTGTAAATTTGGGTGAGTCACAAGGATTTCAAAAGAAAATGGATGCGATCACAATAATTTTTTTTTTTTTTTTTTTTTTATAGTTGAACATTTTAAATACCGTTTAGTGTTGTAGGTTTTTTTTATGTTCTGATATAGACACCTTAATAAATAGAGAGAAAGCTCTATAATTATATATACGATAAAATGTTTTAATAAAAGCGGGAGTTAGAAAATATTACATTTTAAAACAAAACATCATTTAGTAATTATTCCAAATAACATTAATTTTTGTTAGAAATTTGTAAAACATTTTATAAACTGAAAAAAGTCCTTAAACATTACATTTTGAAACAGAGGAAATAAATCTTATCCAAAGTCCTTTTAAAATTTGTACATCTCATTACTGTGAGATGTTCATTGCAGGCAGCTCATTAAATAAACAACAGTGATTTTAGTTATAAATGATGCTGATTTTAACTTACCAGTTAATAACCATGAAAATAATAATCTTTAAGAGTCAAAAGACTTTTTTAACATTTAACTTTACCAAATGAAAGCTCATTTAACTTTACCAAATGAAAGCTCCTATGAGATTAAAAAAAAAAATCAAACTGTAGAAATTCGTAAATATTATTCCATCTGTTTACAGTATAAAGGTTTTATGTTTTTGCATATATATTAAGAACGGGTTTTGTGCAAAAAAAAAACTTCAAACTAACTTATTTTTGCAAGAAAAAACCTCAACTCAAAATTCACCCGCAATATAGTCAATGCTTATATTGATGATGTGGCATTCTTTCAAAAAAATATTTTGAGCAAAAAAAATCTCGAACTAATTTATTTTTCAAAAAAAAAACTCTCGTATCAAAACGCTGCATTTTGATGTCAAAAAAATTGCGTTATTTTTCAATTTTCATAAGACCTTTAACTAAGTATTTAACGTTTTCAAAATTTAATTTATTTTTAATAAAAAATATATATAAAACGAAAAAGAGCTCATCTTAATTGTCTTCATTTTTTTTCGTATCTCCATCTATTTATTTTCTGAAAATAAATCACCAATGTTATTTAAATCTTAAACAAAATGACTTTATTCATTTTCAAATATGCTTATGGCTTTCTTACCTCGTCACAGTAGATTTGTTTAGGAAAAAACTTTTGGCTCGATGCCGACTCAGGTATAGTACTCTTATTCTTAGTTGTTTCCGATATCATTTTTTTCGAACTGTTTTGTTTAGGAAAAAACGATTCAATTTGAATTCACACAAACTTGTTCAAATAAATCTTGTTTTGGTGACTTTTGAGATATGTGAATTGACTTAGGAGAAATGAATATATGTAGTGTTGATGAATTTTAAAAGTTAAGAGATTTGTTAAAAAAAAAAATTGGTGGGTAGATATTTGTTAAAATTATAAAGAGCTTATGTTAAATTTGGAGAGAGTTGTATATTCTGAAAATTAATCAAAATATGTTATAATGGATTTTTAAAATCAATAAATCAATAACAACATATTTTAATAAAATTGTTAGAATTCACAAACCAATAACAAAGATTTCTGAAAATTTTAAGAATTATTATAAATTCATCTACCAATAACCCTTCTTATACTTTTTGATGAAAACGTTTTTCTTGCAAAATAATTTAGTTCGAGGTTTTTTTTTTTGCACAATTTTTTTTATATTATGAATGCCACGTTATCAATATAGGCAGGGGCTTTATTGCGGGTGAGTTTTGAGGTGAGTGGTTTGACTTGCATTTTTCATGCAAAAATAATTTGGTTTGAGGTTTTTTTTTGCACAAAACCCGATTAAGAACTCATTAAATTTTTAGTTTTTTAAAATAAAACATGATTTATCATCAATTTAAATACAAGTCAATTAATGAAAAAACAATATGCAGAATTCAAAAGAGTCAAAACAACAAAAATACATCTAATTTTGCACATAAACTTGATTTAACCAATGAAAAAAAAAAAAAAAAAACCCTTGTGAAACAGAGAAAGTAAGTTATAATTTGGGACTCAAATGATATAGACTTGTGCCTATAACTAACAAAGTAACAAACTGAATATAGAACTACATTATGTATGAAAGGATGTAGAAATGTTTTTGTGTTGTACTTATATTGTTGTTGTATGTGTTAAATTAGTTTGCGTTACTTACTTACTTATGATAGATGTTACTTTGATAGACATTCATAAGTTTCATGAAGAGATAAAAGGGTTATCAAGAAAATACAAAAAAAAAAATGTGGATTAGTTACAAGAAGACATATAACAGTAAACGGTTTGAAGATCAAATTACTCTCACCTCAGTTTCTCCCAGTTTAACTCTTCTTCTTGGGGTTTAAGAAACCGCTTTCAGGTGAAACAATAACAAGAGCTTAGGATCACTGGATCAAAGGAAATTATCCTTGTGGCTGCATCGTGCCATTTCTCATCACCGCGCAAAATTCATCATAGTTTATTCTTCCATCCTGCGCAGAATTTTCATAACCTGTTAAAAATTGCTTGGAGAAAAAAAGGAACCACAAAATTATAGAGGGCAATTTACATTATCTGTATCGACTTCCGACATAATTTGTTTTGCACTTGTTTCATCTCTCATATCATGCTCCTTCATGGCTCTCTCCAACTCATCCCTCGTTATGTACCTATTATATAAAACAAGCCATTCACATTGATGTCTTATACTAGTTTTTAAACATTTTATCTAAACATATTCGAAACTTTAATTCTACTGACACAAGAAATGATCAGTGGAGACTGATTCATTGACTTACACTTACCCACTATTGTCTACATCGAAGTATTGAAATGCTTTGTAAAATTGTTCCTCTTGAGCCATTCTCTGTCTATGCATCATCGCTGAGATAAACTCGAGGTATTCTAGTGTTCCATTACCATCCACATCAGCCTTGAAAAAGTATATCATGTGTGTTTCGGATTCTCTCTTTTTCAGATAAACAACAAATGTGAGTAAATGATACGGTTATGATACTCACGACTTCCATAAGTTGTTTAACTTCAGTTTCAGAGAGTTTAGACCCAAGTCTATTCAGCCCAATTTTGAGCTCTTCATAAGTGATTGTCCCGCTTTTATCGGTATCCATACTGGCAAACATTGATTTAAGACTTTTGATTTCCTTTTCCGATATACTCTCCGCAATAACCTGCAAAGCAAACAGATAAATCATAGCCCTAGGTCTAGGCACCAGTAGATATGAGATGTTTCAAACAAATAGGCAAGATGCACAATTAGTTAAAGAAGGACAAATTTATGGCTACTACGTTTTACCTTAAGAGCTAGCTTCTTAAACTTGTTCACAGCTCGGAATTTTCTCATACGGGATAAGACATCATTATCCATAGGCGTATCTTTAGCTTCGTTGCCTGCGATCCAAGGATGTGCTATAACAAACAAGGATTGTTAGTTAGGGGCCGACCATAAACTCACACTAACATTACAAACAGAATAAGATAAGACTTCAAGATTCACATAGTGCCATTTTAAGAGTGGACTACACGCTGACTCTGGATTCTTGTATATGATTTTAGGAACTTTTTACCGGAGCTACATTTCATTGAGATTGTAAGAAGTTGACCTAAAAACTAACAATCATGCCTTCTAAAATGGAGTTTCAGTTTGACTGCTTTAGAAATCACAAACACATAAAACATTCCTGTTGGTTAATGTAGAAGAAATGGGCTTACCAAGAACCTTTGCAGCAGAGAATCGGCTTGACAAGGTCTTTTGCGGCCGGAGACGTATGAACCCATGGGCCGCCAGACAAATCGATTTTGCCACTCTTAATCTCATCATCTACAATACAGCAGAATACAAAAAACTGAAGATTAAATGCCAGGAAGAAGAGATTAAGGTGCTAGTTAACTTAAGCTTTTACCGTTTTCAAATGGGAATCGGCCGCTGAGTAGGACGTACAATGTGACACCTGCACTCCATATATCAATTTCCTTCCCGTAGGATCCTTGTAATGCTTCAGGAGCAATGTAGAAATCACTGCCTACTATATCCTGGACACCTTTTCCTGTAATTGTTGGGAATATATGAATCTAAGAATCAAACTAACTAAAAATGTCATACTTTACAAAATGATCCGATCTTGATAAAAAGACTAAAAAAATCCTATGAGGTCATAGATGCCTGATGAACAACCAGGGAAAATCTATCAGGATACATCTACGCATATCACACATTAGAACATTAGCTTACCAATTTTGCAGGAAAAAAAAAACGAAGAAAGGCAATCATGGAAATGTTGTAGATTGCAAACATAAACCTACTATCAATTCACTCAAAGATAGGTTTTATGTTCAATCTTCAGCTCACCATCTTTGATGCAAACAGAGTTTTCAAAACCGATTGCTTTGAGCAAAGCATCTTCATTGTTACTCGAGAGGACAAAGTTCTCGGGCTTGATGTCCCGATGTATCACACCCTTGGAGTGAAAACTTTGCACAGCATTCATAATCGACCTGAAGATTTCAGAAGCATCCTTCTCCGAGTAATAGCTCTGGTCGTTGACCACAGCTTCGATCTTGTCGAATAAATCCCCACCAGTACACAATTCCATCACGATGTGCACGAAACTTCTATCCTCGTAAGAACCTTTGATCTGTACGATGTTGGGCTCTCCTATAAAGCGATTCAAAATCTCAATCTGTGTCTTGACAACCTCTTTCTCTTTCTTGCTGCTTAGCAACCTCTTGCGTACGGATTTGCAGGCGTAAATGTTTCCCGTAGAAAACTGCTTGCACATGTAGGTTGTAGCAAGATCACCTACATCCAGTTTCTTCCCCAGGTTATAAAACTTATTGATGTGTTCCAATGGCTTTCCCAATATGGTGGTCTCTCCATCAGAGACGGGATTCGACGGTGTTGGATTTTTACTGCCCCAACAACCCATTAATCAGAGTGGGGATTTTCAGAGACTTTCGTAAGGTTTTCGGGTTCAAAGATTAACTTCGAGGATGAAGAAGACCCGAAGCTAGTCAACGTGTATCAATTTAAGAGCTGGGTTTTGAATTTTGATGGCTTATTGTTCTGCGGAGCTGTCCCCAATATTATAATATTTGAAAAGTCAGATAATGAGTTTTAATGACAAATCATTCAGCAACAAAAACAACTGCCCATTCATAGAAGAATAGCTACAAGTGCTCAAGTTGATCGACAGGAGGAAAAGTAAGGAACATCGCAGGAACATATATGTGCATATTAATCACTTGACTACAATCAGTTTAGCTCTACCATTCCCCTCTGTTGTCTGGAATTGAACTCCAAGGCCAAAATGAGCCATCAGTATCCAAACAAAACTGATGAATTCACCACCTCTGCTCAGTTGCGCAACATGTTGTTTAGGGTCACAGTGAGTTGCTGCATAGCAAAGCATCTCAACCCACACTCTGCTCACTACCTCCCACATCACTTCTTCTCCTCCTCCTTCCCCATTCAGCTGGTTAAGCGTTTTTGCTAGTTTACTTGCATCAGTTAGCACGTTCCTGCGTTGATATCTCTTCCCTTTTGTTTCCTTTAACTCACTGAAGGAAGATAAAATCTGCTCGCAGGCCAGCTTCGCGTTTCTTGACTTATCAATATCATTCTTCTTGAAGAACTTCTTACCATCCGTAAATTTCTTAGCGTCTGCTATGGCCTCCAAGAATCTCATCTTATCGATTCCTGCGACTGTTGACATCAGAGCAGGCTGTAGAACTAGAAGGTACATCAAGTAGTCTGAAAGGGTTTTGCTGAACTGGCGTTTGCTATGATTCTCTTCAGTGCCTTCTTTGGTTTGGTATAAGAGTTCAGTTGCGATATGCCACATAAGAATGCTCTGATCATAGTCTACTAGAGTCACGGAATGCAGCAGGTTTAGATTCTCTGCACTATTCTTAGCTTTTTCGATTATAATTTTGCGCAACACCCACTCACCTCTCCCTGAATATACCCTGCTGTCACTTTCCGCGCCATCAGCAATATCGGATCTCTCCTTAATCTCTTTATATACGAACTCCCACATCTCTCTTGTGATGCGATCACGTGATGTATATATCATCTCGTTGAGCTGATCTGAGATGCCAAAGAGGTCCAAGACATAGTTGACCATTTGGATTTCAAACCAGAAGTTACCAAACAGCTTGAAAGGGTAAAGAAGACAGTACAGCACAGAAATCAGCTGCCTACGACCGTGATCAGTGTTTTGTTTCATTGTCCTGAAACAGGAGTTGATCTTCTGGATGGTGTGATCAATATACAAACTCCGAATGCTAGCTTGAAAGAAGCCTTGAATGCAGCCCTTGGTTTTGTGTATTTTCTCAGGTTTTATCCCCAGGGAGTACCCTATCAGGTTGTACGCATATATGTGTTCAGACCATCTACGAAATATGAATTTTCTGTCAAGCACCTGACAAATGCCTTTTTTGTTGGAGCAGTTGCAGTCCTTCCACTTCAGCTTCCTGAAACCGAGGATCAGGTTGATAACTGCATCGAGTCGGGTGTCCGTATCTTCCACGTCCTCCTTTGGCTTTGTAAATCTGGCAAATGTCCAGTCAGAGACACAGAAGATGAAAATAGCAACAAAATCAAGTGCTATTCCACCTATGAGCAAAGCGTAAGTTAGGCCCACATCGAAGCTGCTGTAATCATTTTTTTTCCTTGTTGTAAAGATACAGAGGGATGATATAAGGGATGCCAATGCAAGGAAGCGGAAAGCAACTCCAATCCGGGTATGCAGAATGTCAACTTTGGTGTAAAAGGTGCCATAGATGAAGCTGAGCTCCACCTCTAGAACCCTCAAAGCTTCCTCTGGTTTTGATAAGAGCAAGAACTCTTTGCTGCTGTTCCACTGATCAGACTGAGAGCTAAAGATGAGATCAACCACAAGACCTTTGAAGATATTGAAGTACTTATACGCATATTGGACAACCTCGAGATCTGTCAGCCGTGTATTTGGCCTCACAAAAACCTCAGGTTTCTTGCCTTTCTCGGACTCCTCGATCCTAACTATCCGGGTAGGCTCTCAGCAACTTCCTGACTGAATATTCCTCCACGAACCTCGCGTAATCTGGTCCAGGATCAGGCTCCCTGAGCATCGAGGCTTGAAGTTTCAAGATTCGCACCCGCAATGCTTTTATCCTCTCAACATACTTGATGACTCCAGCTACGAGCATGAGCGATGTGGGCACCAAGAGATTGTTGGGTATGGAGAGCAAGAAGACGTAGATAGTGATGATTGCTTGGCAAACAAGACCGAACAAGCTCCTGAGCCAGAGGTCATTGTCCTCGAGAGCAAGAGCCGTGATGGTGTCAGGACCACCAAGGTGCAAGAGAAGGAAAGTTGCCCAAAAGCTAATAGATCGTTGTTCTTGGGTTGTGGTTCGTCTCCTTGGCTCTCCGAGATCTGCCCCACGGTATTCTGCTGCCCAGTTGGCTAAAAGGTAAGCCGACCAGATATAAATCGGAAAAGTCGCCGTGAGTTCGTTTTCTGTTTGGTGAGAGAAGAACCAGGATTGTCTGAAGGGCAAGACTAAGAATCACGAGGCCACGAATGTTCCATCGGTCCCACAGATCCTTCACTTCCTTTGGTATGGCTTCTCCCATTTCTCCCCTGAGAACACTTTTAATAGTTCTGTTTGTTCTGGTCTGAGTGAGAATTACGATCCTTTCCTCTCCTGTGTGATAGGTGGGAAAATTTTGAAGGGCTATTTTATTTTATTTAATATTCAGCGGAAATTGTAAACTACTTACATGATTACATCTATCGTCGTTTCCTCACCATTTATTAAACACTAGGTTGATTAGTAAACGAAATCTCTTAGTTTAACTGTTATTTAAAGAAAATATCACAGAACCTCTTCAAGTTCAACCTTACGCCTGTCTCAAATCTCACGCCAAATACTATACTTAAATGATATTTTCGCTAACCCCACTTCAATAATATTACTTTTCTTTTTATATTCAGCGGAAACTCTAAAGTCTAAACTACTTACACCTATCATGTTCCCTCACCATTTATTAAACACAAGTTGGATTAGTAAATGGAATTTCTTAACTTAACTGTTATTTAAAGAAAATATCAAGACCATCTCCAACCATATCTCAAATTTCACTCCAAATACTATATTTAAATGATATTTGCTCTAGTCCCACATGTTATTTTATTTTATTTTATATTCAGCTGAAACTCTAATTTTCCTTCACCATTTATTAAACACAAGTTGGATTAGTAAACGGAATCTTTTAACTTAACTGCTATTTTAAGAAAATATCACTTTGTCTTCCCTCTTTTCATTAACAAAGACTTGGTATCGAGGCAAAGGCTTGGTCAATTTTGTTACTATAAATTAGTCTGTTTAAGAAATGCAGGCTTTTATTAATAAAGAAGAGAGCCGATTGCTGTTCTGTATTATACACTTCAGTTTTGGCTATGCTTGCGTTTCTGTATTTATATATTATGTTTTGGCTCTTAGTTGCATAATTTTTCTTGGGTCTAGCGGTAAATGCAAGTATTTTCCTTTCCATCACGTCATGAATTCGAGATTCGAGATTACTAGGCTCTTTTTTTCTAGCTTGTGGCCATTGGAAACTCAAGGCCGGCGGCTATACATAACAAAAACCATACCCGAAAGTAGAGTCGGCGCTTCCAAAACGTTTCCTACTTGATTTTTTATTTTGAAATCATGATTCTGAAGCGATCGAAAACATAAAACGTGTTTGGATAAGAGTTCCCATGCAATTAAGTTTATAACGTGAGCTACATAGCTGGTGGGATTGTCAAGTTATAGTTGCTAGACTGATTCGAAAAATGTAAGCAAGTTTTATAACGCAAATCAGAAATCGTAAAAGATGATGTGCCAATCCGTGACATAGTAAAAACATAGACATGTATCAAATACTGAAAAGAAGTAAAGCACGGTCAAAAAGGAAATAAATTGACGATGCATCTCAGTCATATAAAGCTCCTGAGTGTTATCAGTCAGCTCTCCAGATTCCATCTCGATCACAGGGAGAGAAAGTGACTCTGGGGCACTGATAGATCTCCAATAATCTAAGGTTTGGGAAATAAATTTCCTTGAGCTCTATCCAATTCACATTTAGCTTTTGGAAGCACATGAGACGTAAAACCTTAACACTACAATTGGATGGCTTTTTGGGTAGTGAGTCACTGAGTGCCTTGAGGCGTCTCGAGCTTCCAAGGTGGAGCTTCTTCAGGTTTATTAGGTTTTGAGGCTGAAGCCAAACGGGAAGTTTATTATCAGGAAAACGACGCAGGTCCAGTTTCCTTAAACTAAGGGGAAGATGAAACTCATCGCTCTCCAAGTTCACTGAGCGGAAAGTTCTTTCCTTTTCATCGTCTTCTAGCTTCTTCTTGCTCCCGGGCTTTACCCTTCCCCACAACACTTTCAGCTTTTCCAGCTCTTCAAACCCGTCTATAGCCACAATCAGCTCTTTTAAACCAAAACCCTTTCGGTCTACTCTAACGCTGAGCTTTCTCAGCTTCCACAAGTTCTTCAGATAAACCAGCTTACACGCAATCTCCCTCTCATCAGCGACCACAAAGCCCTTCAGGACCTCCAGATTCAACAGCTTAGTCAAATTCGTTGGAATGCTCTCCAAGGCATCGCAGCCGGTCAAATCCAGGTACACTAGATTCGTGAGGTTGTGTATATCGTCTGGAAGTTTCTCCAGGTTATAGCAACCCCTGAGGTCCAAGACTACCAGCTCAGGGAGCTTGCAAGCAGAAGGGCTAATTCTCATAATGGTTGAAATACCTTGAAAACTCAGAAACCTCAACTCTCTCATGGCACTCAAATCTTTCATAAGCCCACGGCTATCCACTTCAATCTCGCGCTCGTTTCTCTCCCACCTACCTAGATAAAGAACCTTGAGCAGCTTCATACTTGAGAACCACTTGATTATGAAATCTGGGTAACTCTCTGAGACATTGAATACTGTCTCAATGTCTGCTGGTGCCATCTTTTTAGCTTTTGCATCCGTCTGGCTTGAAGACCCTTCCACAAGGCAAACCTTTTTCAAGTTTGATTTCTTCATGCTTGGTTTCTGATCTTTATTATACAGATCAAAAAGTCCTCTCTCCTTGGCGATGTATACCACTGAAAAATGCACAAAAGGGGTCATCTTGTAGCTACTTGGCTTCCTTTTGCGCCTGTCTACAAGAGGTTCAATCAAGTTTCTATCCATGAACTCCTTAAGAATCTTCTTCATAGCCTCTTCCGGTTTGAGTTTATCAGGAAGGATCCCTTCTCCGATCCACCAATACATCAACATTGTTCCGTTGATCTCTCTATTCTCCGGGAACACAGCAAAGCTCAGCAGGCAGGTCTGGCTGTCACTACTCAGTGTCTGGACTTTATGTTTCACGTCTTTAAAAAACGCATGTCCTATGAGATCCTCTTCATTTGTAGGGATGTCGGGTAATAAAAGAACGCTGTCCTGATCATCATCTGGTGATGTTTTCTTCTTTCTCGAACCCTCATGCAACACCGAGACCTTGCCTATCAAGTCCAGCAATTTCTTGGTGATCTCTTCTAACTCGCTCTCGATTAAACTCATATGCAAAGCTCCAGGGGGATCTGCCTCCTCAACCACCCGCTTAAGCGAATCGAGTTGTCTATTCAGCTCTGTCTCCACATCCACTTGAAGGCGCTTCACATGTTTTAGATTGAACTTTAGCCGAGTCAGAGCACTCTGTATCTTGAAAATCCGGTTCACAGGATCAGAGTGATTCGAAGCAGGCGCGCTTTTGGCTCTTTCCAAACCCACCTCGGAAATCCCCTCCTCCACAACGCTTTCATCAGTTTCTTGATTTGCATCCTGTAGTGGAATAACTCTGTATAGATGACTCAGAACTTTGTTGATCGAATGGATTGTATAGTATCCATCCGTATCACACCTCGAACACTTGCCCGGACGCATCCTACACAAACCTACAAACAAATTGTATATCGTTAAAAACGTCAACTCATTGTGGCTTGTTAAGATTCCTTTAAGATCAAATGCTGCCATCCCATGATAAACAAACAACAGTTTTTGATAAAGCTATATTTCTTTGTCTAAGACCTTTTTTTCCTTTTGTTTCTTTCTTAATCAAGCAACTCTAACCAGAGTCATGCGCCAAATCATCGATCATTATAGTCTAGAAAGCAAATCTCTTATACCATTTTATCAATTCGCTACACAAATCAAAGCATAATAGAGACAACGTTCCGGTCTTACCGCGGAACAGCGATCCTGGAAAATGTTGGCCGTCAACGGACCTCTTCTAGTTGCAATCAGATCTGAAGTCTTAACACAAAGAGGAAGATAAAGAGTAAGCCAAGTCAAAAAGAAATGATCCATAAACTAGATTAGTCTCACGGGTTAATAATTTAATATTTTATAATATATATATATATAAATAAATAAAAAGATCAACCTTCAAATTAAATAAATAAGATTGAGAAAATAAATACGAAATCACCCACCGTTACTCTTTTGTGTACAGTAAAAAAATTATATTTTTGATTTTTACAGATTATTTAAAATGAAAATGTTATTTGTTTGAAAAATAATAATTAAAAAATTCTATTTCTACCCTTTATCGTAAAAAACCATGTATTGAAAAATAAAGCCGACAATTCTTTGACTTGAAGAAGTAAAGAAAAATTTCCAATCAGTATCATACAGAATCAGAAAATGTAGTCGGCAAACACAGAATTATATTAGTCGGAAAAAGATTATAATAATAAAGAAAATGTAACACACTGAGGGAGAGGGAGCCGACAAGTCGCCAACGATCAAAATCGAGATTCAAGACGACGAATAAAGAAGCCCACCGCGGAGCGCTCCGGTCGACGGTGGCTATCCGATTCGCTCCACCAAGGTTCGTTACAACTTTCAAATGTGGATTTCAGACTTTCGTCTTCCTCTCTGTTCTCTCCTTCATATAATTTTATTGATTTCTCCAAGTTCAGGACTCGGATATCTCCTCAGTCTAACGAAATTTGTTATCTATAGTCTATAGTATTGGGTTTCTAGGATTTGTAAAACCATTAGAACAAAGAACTTTTGATTCGTCAATGATTATGTTTCCAGTTTGACTTTATTTCTTCGCTTTTCCTTATTTTGCTTGTACCTTTGTGTTTACCAGTGATGGATTCGCACGGTATTCACCAGATAGCTGTAGTTAAAGCGTGCGAGAACATTCTGGAATCACTAAACAAGGATACTGCTTCGAGAGTCATACTTGTCGGTGAAGCTGGAATAGGAAAGACATGGCTGGCTCGCAAGATATGCGAGCATGCAACTGGAGAGGAGGGCTCATGCTACATCACCCTCTGGTTGAATCTAAACAGAGATCTGGATGAAATGTCGCTTTACAAGAATATAGCATCTCAGTTATCCTTGTCGCTTGAGAATGAAGAGGATGAGGAGGATGATAGCGATGAGGACGGTAGTAAAGAAGAAGAAGATGAGAGAACACAGTACTTGATGAGGTTGAAACATAAGATACATCAAAAACTTAAGAGGAAGAAGCTCAAGGGTAAAGGAAAGAAGTACCCTCTGTTGGTTTTGGATGATGAAGGAAGTCCGACGAAAGAAGGAAAAGTGATGAAAGATTTGCACCTTAGGGATTTTCTTGCACCTTACCGACCTCTAAAGATTCTTCTCACAAGAAGGAAAACAGAAGAAGACGCTATGGATAGTGATGGGGAGATCGAGTCTCATCTCGATAAGTCACAGGCTTTACGGGACATCCTGAGTGATGAATACTTGGTGGATCTACTCGAATCCCTTATCAGCGAGGAATCACGTTCAAAGCTTCGTTTGGTTGAGGATTCTTGGGGGACAAATCATGAGCTCTTGAGACGACATATCGTGAGAATGAGCATGCGTTCCCCAGCTGCCCTCGTGGTTCTAGCCAAGTCGCTAAATTACATATGTCAGACTCGTTCCTTTCTGTTTTCTCTTGAGGAGGTTTTCAAAATCGCGGATCATCCCTTGTCTTTTCAATCTGGTACAGCTACTGGCCGTGAGGGAGCTGCTACTGACAGGTCTAGGGAGAATCCAATTCTACGTCTCTCTTATGAGCTGTTGGAATCAGCGGATACCAAGAAGATTCCTGTTGTTGACTGCTTCTGGCATAGCTTGAGCTTCTTCGAGCACTGTGGGTGCGTTTATTACCAGGAACTGATCGCACATTGGATTCTCGAAGGCTACATAGATCCTGTTAAATCGGTTGAGAATGCCTATAAGGATGGCCATAATGTCATGATGGAGCTTATAAAATGTGGTTTGCTGAAGATAGAAGAGGATAATGTGGTTATGCCAGAGGTTGCGATGAAGAACTTAATCCATCTTCAGCCTCATGGGTCAGGCACATCTAGAATTGGACTTGCTAAAGTATGTGGTGGTGACATGAAAAAAGGGCTAGGGAGAATCAACCAGGAGGATGGCGTCATTGAAGGAGTGCGAGGGACGGGGAAAGGGAAAAAAATCACCACAGTTCTGGTTAACGGAAACCGATTGTGTCGTGAAACTCCCAAAAGATATTTCGAAAAATTGGGTGATGTTGAAGTGCTAGGCGTTTTTGAACCCAAACTGGACCCTTTTGTCTCTTTCTTATCGAAACTAGTGAAACTACGGGTGCTTGTGATCAGGGGCTGTGATCAACTGGAAGATATAGAGGAGCTTAAGGCTCTTCAAGGGTTACGTGTTCTTGAAGTTTCTGGTGGTAGCTCCCTGAAGATAATCTCTGATGGCTTCTTTATGGCCATGTCTGAACTTCGGAGTATTCGCCTATCTGGACTTCAGATCAAATCTTCCCCTTCCAGCATTTCTCTACTAAAGAAACTTCGCCGTCTCATTATTAGGGATTGTACTGTATTGGAAGATTTGCCGGACATACAAGAACTGGGGATGCTTGAAGTTGTTGATGTCTCTGGTGCTCGTGGACTTGAAACTTGTTTCGACAAAGGAAAGAAAAACAAAAGCAAGAACCAAAACTTTTATCACCTTCAACAACTTCAACTTCTTGACTTGTCGGAGAGCCAAATAGACAGACTTCCAATATTCCAGGATGCTGAGGTCGCCGCAAAGCTTCACTCTCTGGCTTGGCTCTTGTTGCGCAACTGTAGGAAGTTGGTGAGATTGCCTAATCTGAAGCCCTTGTCAGGTCTCCAAGTTCTTGATCTTTCCGGCTCTACTAGCTTAGGGAAAATCTTGGAAGTATGTTTCGAGGATAAGAAGGAACTCAGAGTTCTTAACCTGTCAGGAACTAATCTTTGCCGGTTACCTACCACCATTGCGGGACTGTCGAATCTCAGTAAACTCCTTTTGAAGAACTGTCCCAACCTAGAAGCTCTACCAAACATCCAAAAACTCACAAATCTCGAGGTCTTTGATGTTTCCGGGTGTAGCAAGTTGCATACAGTAAAAGGGTCATTTGTGGACATGCCTTACCTACATGAAGTGAATCTCCGTGGAACTAAAGTGGAGACACCAGAGTTCCCAAAGGAAAGCAAAATCCGTTGCCAAAAGCATATTATTCTGGGAGATGAAAGGCCTTTTCAAGGTGGGGATTGGAGCCAAGTAATGAAAGCCATAGAATATGAGATAACTGGAAATTCCAGCTCCTCTGATGCAGTTTCTAAATCCCAAGAAATCTCAGAAAAGAAGTCCGGAGAGGATCAGTTAAGTGAACTTGCCTGACAAAGAAAGTGGAGAATTGCCCACATTTCAAGGAAATTCCCAAGGAATCGGTAAGTTGCAACTTTTTGCTCTATCACATCTGCACTGAACATTTAGGACAATCAGTGCTTCTCCTACTCTTTTTCTTTTCTATTTCCTGACTAAAAACCTTTGGCACTCACCTATGACATGTCAACCATCAGTTTTGAGTTGTCAACACTGCGAAAGTATGTTAGTTATAATATCATGTTTTGAGTTCTAGAACTACGCTTAATTCGATTCCCTGTAATAATCCGGTTTGTGATTCTTGATTTCGTGCGAATTTCCCTTGGACTTGACGCTTTCTCCATTATTTTTGAACGCTTAATATCATTGTTTCATTATCACCTTAGTTATTGATTTGCAAACAACAAATAATCATACTCTTCTCTTACCTCTATTTTATTCTGGGAGAATCGTAGTGTAACAGTTGGTCTTACGTGGATTCGATCCCTCAATTACTACATCTTTTGTTGTACAATTACAAAAAAAAAAAAAAAAAATGTAGGGTTAAAACTCCGTATCACATTTTAAACCAAAAAATATATCCTCCACTTATCACTCTTCTTTGTTTACCATTGAAAAATATCACTCGCATTCGGTGAAAATTTGCATTATCTGGAAATGTTAACTTATAACAATATCACAATAGAGTTCACAACGAGATATACATAAATTAAAATGAACCTTATCCATCCGAATATTTGTTCGATTTATAATGTATAGTTTAAGAGTCGTTCTTCTCAATAGTGGAGAAGAAACTACAACTCTAGTCCAAATTTTGGATAGACAGACAATCGGAAGAACAATAAATGTTGTCTTCCTGCTTGAACGCGACTGAGTCTGGACAATGACGGTCACACATACAACATAATGGTCGAGAATCTTCATTGTTGGAGATGATCTCAAACTCCTTTTCGTCCGAACCATGGTTAATCATAGCTCGACCAGGCTTGGCATATGAGGAGCTTCCAAGAACACAAGTTGTGTGAAGAGTGCCACCAGAGTGGTCACCTACATAGAACCATTTCTTAGGATCTACTTTCTTCTCGCATATAAAGCACCAGTACTGACCCTTAACGTCTTCTTCTTCTTCTTCACCGCAACAAAGGGTTAAGGCATATTCGTCGCCGTCATACATGTATAAAAATTTATCTGGTATAGTAGAGCATTTGAAACACATAAAGAAGGGACACTGTAAACAATATAGCGCTATGGATGATGCTTTTCCACAAGTCACACATGTCATTTCACCTCTGTTTCTTAAACTAATGAACATGGGATGTGGATGAGATTTATGGTTTAGAGACTCTGGTATCGAAGCACACCGGACATCAGCTACAAAACGACAAGTGTCTTCTTCGCAAACGTACCTAAACCCGCAAGAGAAGCGAGTGCAAGTAGAGCAGAAATAGAAACCTCTCCGGGTACTATAACTGAATGTAATGTCATCTGCCTTTAGACTAAGCGGGTGCGGATGTAAGGTTGACCATCTTCTTCGAGGCAAATTAGCACATTTTTCGTGGAGACTGAAACTGCAATCTTTGTAATGATCACAGTTGTAGAAATTATCACACTGGATAGGAAAGCAACAGGCTTGACAACATCTCGTTCTATCAATAAAACCATTACTATCCTCGTTGGGTACAAGTCTTAGATAATGTTCATGACTGAAATGTTTTATGATGTTGCCGTCTATTACCTCGTATGGATAGACATCTTTAAGCTCATCTACTGCCTCAGGGATACCTTCAAGTTCTCTCTTGTCCCAGACAACATCCAATGTTGCACATCTGGTATGGACTACATAGCTGCAATCTTTAGTGCTGCAAGAAAAGGCTCCATACATGGAATCCACTAGCGTGTGACAAATTCCACAAGACCATTCCTCTAGAGGGAGAGAAAGTCTTCGAGAGAGACGATGTTCATGACACGATATCCTTATGATGCTTGGTAGATCCAGGCAGTCTTTGTGGACCATGAAATCACATTTGATGCATGCATAAATAGGAAACCAATCACCGTAGAACCCACATAGATTGCAAGTGAAGTCCATCCTTCTAGGGAAGATTGTGAGAGGATGATCATGTTTCTCCCCAGGGTCCAAGGTAAAAACCAAGTGTGCCTGGCTAGCACAGAAGAGATGGATGTTTAAATTACAGACGGAGCAATGATAGAAAATGTACCCCATGTTTCTTTTGCACCATAAGCAATCCTCAACAACATCTTCAGATTTGCGGGTGCGGATTTTAAGTGGGTGTCTCGGGTGATAAGGATGTGTAGGAATGATCAACGAATACTCCGTGCACTCCTTGTGAAAGCTAACATTACAAGTAGAGCAGTGATAAAAATGATCGGCTTCGGTATGAAGGGAGCAAGCCTTACATTCCGATTGACCAACAACAAGGCTTAACCGGTGTTTATGTGTAGGTTGTTGCTTTAGTAAATCCATGATGAATATTTTTGGATTTATGACTAGTGCACAAAAGATGATGAATGGTGTATGAACAAATAATGTAAAGATGTATAGGCAGATAATTTCAAACAAAACAATAAGTTAAAAAAAAAAGTCAAAACAAACAAAATTAGTCTTTTTTTAATATCTCAATAAAGACAGTTTAGCAAACCGATAATTGGACTAGTCCTCAATGACAACTAAATAATTCATTTTTGGGGACAACATTTAAATACTTAAAGACCAAATAATTGACTAGTATTGTCTACAATATCTTAATTCGGTAGCGTTGGAAGCCAGAGGAGCCGGCGTGAGTGAAAGCCACCCACTAACCTCGAGGCCCTCGAGTAATGGTATTTTAATATACTGATCATCAAGGCCGGTCGAAAATGGTTTAAAATTATTTGGAGCTCTACGGTAGATAATGTTTTTTTTATGGTTTTCTTTAATACTTTCACAATTTAAGTTAAATAGATTTAGTACTTTGTGTTAGTTTTGTAATTGTGTCATATTCTAAATTCAAACTCACATATTGTATATGTAATTGAAATACAATAATTTAATGAAACTTTAGAAGAATTTTGTTAATGATCTCTCTTGCTGAAATGAAAGTGATTTAATATGCAGTCTCCTAAATGATATGTTCAAACTTTAAAGATTGATCTCTAAGAAAAAATTATACTGGAAATTAGACTATATAGTTAAAGAGTAAATGATGCAATCTTTAATGATAGACCATTACGTATAGGCGCAATAAAATCGCATCAAACCCATCAAAGTGACAACCACTTATAATAACCTCTAAAGATTTTAATTAGCCAATCAAACTGAAAACTTTAACATATATAACCTTCAAACAAATACTTACGTACCGATATCTTTTCTTCCTTTGATAGTGCTCGGTCTTAATTTCTCCTTTTAAAATGGACAATGTCATCTTGGTCATGCTTATGAAGGAGTCCTGATATGCCTCCACATTCATGTTGAAGGTCTCTCGAATGTCCCTGAATTTAAAAAAAAAGAATGGGGCATTCGGAGCATTGAACTAGGGACCTCTCGCACCCTAAGTGAAAATCACACCAGATCAATGTTCTGACCAAATACCTTTCTATTGGGAATCTTATTGAGAAAAAATAAAAGCTACTTAAAAACTTGTGAAATCAATGTCAGATCTAGTCCGCTTAGTTGACTTAGTGATCGTAATTAAGGACTTGATGCATTTTGGATCTTGTTTCCGTAGTTGACTTTTGATAAATATCCAATATTCTAAGTTTGTCTAAGATCTAAATGTTAAATGCCAAGGTTTTGTTTTGTGATGCTAGATTGTTGATGTAACTCATTGACAGTACGATCATCTTTAGTTTGTTTGTTTCTGTAACTTTAGTAACTAAGGCGTTATCCTTTAGTCCTTTCCTGCAGCTCGTTGTTGTAGCATAGGCACGTTGTTGGCAATTATCAACTGGTTGGAAATCTCAATCATATGACGTGTAAGCGAAGGTATGCTGCCGTTACTAATGGTGATGTTATAGGATTAGTCACTCTATTGAATTGAACATGGTCTTTGAAAATCTGGCAACATAGGACAGAACTGTCGTCAGTAACAAAAATAGTTGACTTACATTGTTTAAAAAGTCAAAGGGGGCATTCCGAGAATCGAACTCGGGACCTCTCGCACCCAAAGCGAGAATCATACCACTAGACCAAATGCCCTGTTGTTTATTTACAACACCTCAAGCAATAGCCATTACATTAGAACCTGTTGGGATCTAGTTGAATCTACAATATGAGTTTAGTGGGATTCTTGATTAGTTTTGTAAGTCTGAAGGCTCTATGCCATATTTTCCCTGCTGAAACTATTGCACTAGCTATCTAGTTTACAAGTCTCTGAGAAACTCGGCAGGAGTTGTTTTCATGCCTTAGAATCATGCATCCTCATTTTCTCTTTTTTATGCCATTAATGTTCTCTGTTGTATGGAACATTTCAGCTCTAAAATGAGTATTAGAGTATTAGACCAAATGCCATGTTCTTTTACATAGTAAAGTTATGCATTTTAGGTCAAAACCAGCTGGAGTGTAAGATTCTCAGTAGTGCTTGGTTTGGTTTTGTAGGCTTGTTTTAAAGAGATTCTGATGATCTTGTGTATGTATAGAGAGATCTTACAAGTTAAAAGACTAGAACACATCATGTGGAAATAAGACTTGCTGCTTAGCAAGAAAAAGAAAGAAAAAGAAGACTCTGCACTTGCTGAACAAGAAGACATCATGGAAAAAGTAGTCCAATAAGAATCCAAGCTTCTACAGCAAAAGAGGCAGAGGAAAAATGAAATATGGTGGGGTTTTGGATCCGGAAGATTCGAGTTTGAGTATCTTACGATTGTGTATATATGTATGATTAAAACAAATTGTATAAATTATCATTCCAATGAGAAACGAAAGAATATCAACAAATTGTTAAAAGAGACATTAGACTCTCGGTGCGATTTGGGAAAAAGTATGGAGCTCATACGTATCGTCTGCAACTCCATTGCCGAGCCAAGATTTGTCGTCTGACTAAACTTGATTACTTTTTTTTCTCCAAGGAGCTATTAGTGAGAAGTCGAGGGTGGCTTTTGCGTTCTTTTGACCAAAACGTTGCACAAGTTATGTGTCATTCTAAGGAAAAAGAAACAAATTTGTATTACCCGATATGGGTAGAATTACCAAGAACTGGTAATGAATGGCGATATAATTAGAGTAAAGGAATGAGAAAATACTAAATAAAGAAAAAATCATAAAGTATCACTCTAAAGAAAAACAAAAGAAACCAACAAATTGTTACAAAGACAATAGACTATCAATGTGATTCGGGAAAGCATGGAAAGGATCATACGTTCCATGATCGGGCCAAGATTCGCGGCCGCCGTCTGCCAATCGTTTAAAGTTGAATCTTCTAGAGCTGTTTCTCACCGGATCAAAAAATAAAATATAATGCGATTTATGAAACGTGTCTGGTACATAAATAAACTCACCAGCGGGAGTAACACCTCCTAGTTTGAATTCGGTTCTCCAACTAGGACCAAAAGGTGAAAGAAAGTCCTTACTCGACCACTTTTGTTTCTCTGCATCCTCCAAAATCCACAATCTTCTATCATTGTAATTATCAGTACAAGCTGCTAACCTCCCCTCATAATTTATCAGCACAGCCCTATGCATTTTCGATGGTGGTTCTATCATATCGAATTTTTCAGATCTGACATCAAAGCTCATTATAACCAAATCAGCTGACTTATTACACTCATCACGGGCTATATAATATATCACCCCATTGATGCATCGCCCATAAGTATAATAGCCAACACAATGCTTATGATTTGTCTTGACTGTTCTCCATGATTCTTGAGCGGATCCCAATGTAAAAACTCGGCATACGTAGGATGTTTTTTTATAGCGAACGCACACAACTTTGTGTTTACCTTCGATGGGATCGTAACCTAAAAAGAGTGTTACCTTTTTCCAGCTCTTATGGTTATTGGGATAGGGTAAAGCAAAAACACTTCTCATACTAGGGTTCCAAACTAAGGGATTTTGTGAGTGTTTAAGGCATATCAAGCCGTTGACAGATTCCGTAAGATCATGAAAACCATATCCTGGGAGTTTCATATGATAACGCTCAATAGGCAGAAGAGAAGAGTAAGCCTTGTTCCGATCCTGAGTATGTTGCGGAATCGAAGAAACAAAGAGTTTGTCATCTTTAATGAAGCAGAGTAGAAGGGTCTGCCTTGTTGAGGAGTTAGCTCCGAAAGAGCTGATGAAATACGGATCGGTGGTGATTGATGACCAAAGCTTCGACACGCAACGAAACCTCACAACAGATTTCGCAGGCAGCCTTGAGAGTATCTCTTTAGTTAGATCGAGAGGAAAGGACGATGTTGATTTCGATTGTGTGCTTTCTCCGCTTCTGGTGTTGCCTGTCTTCGTTTCTTGTTGCTCCATCTTTCGTCAGAACCCTAATTTGTTCAGGCTGTGTTGCTAAATATCGACCTTTTCTTCTCAATAATTTCTAGGGCTTATACTAATTTCAAAAACAGAAAAAGAAGAGACGGTGGAGATTCTATGGAATACCCTACGGTTTGGTTGGGATCGTTTTGTCAGTTTCGTAAACTTTTATTAATTTTTAAACATACATGTTAAGATAGTTTACTTTTTACTGTAAAAGTGAAAATGGAAAGAAGAATATTTAAAATCTAATTGGGCTTGGCTAAAAACTAATTGGGCTCACCATACCACTAGACCAAAGTGAGAACAACTATTTGTTCTTAGTCTTTGTGTTGTTTGTTGTTTACCTTATGCTTAATTAGGGTTCAACCTATTTGACGAGGATCCACTCGTGATCTCCTTATTGTAAGAGGAATCATAAACGTTTATGAGTGGCAATGAAGGCATTATTTTTCATATCTCCATACATTCGACTTGCATATGAATAATTAATAAGCTCACGCCTATAAAAATACTTAATTAAGTAGACAAACGTTGACATTGACATTTAACACGTACTGACGAAGATCCAACCGTACGTAACTGAGATCCACCTTGTAAGGAAAATAAAATAAAAATGTTTAGAAGCTAGAGAAGCAAGCTCAACATGCATGTGGAGTAGAGAAAAAACAAAGAAAAGAGTGATTATTATATGATTTCCATAATCTTTATAAGAACCCTAGTCAAGCTTTTACCCTTAAGAAAGTCAATACACAAAGATGAAAACAAATGCAATCTCTTTCTTGCTCGTTGTAGTAGCAACATTTGTTGTTGTTGTTGTTGTTGTTGCTGATGTAAACCAAAAAGTGTATGATGCCGACGGAGAGCCGATCAAGACCAACGTTCCGTATTTCGTAAGCTTCATGACATTGGAATACGGAATGTGGATTTGCAGAATGAATATGGGAGCTGACCCCATGTCCTGCCCGCAACAACCGGTAATGTTCACTGATCCAAATATAGCACCAACACCAATTATGTTTGTATTACCATCGTCATCATCATTATCAAATTCATCGGATGTTAACGTCGTGCATGAATCAACCGAAGTTAGCATTAAGTTCGCAAGCCGTGATCGTTGTAGTGAGTCCGGTTTTTGGAGAGTTGTTCAGAATAACACGAGCTCACAAGGAGAAGTGGTCTTGACCGGGTCTAAGTCGAGCAGTGACAGTACCTTCACCATCGAGAAACCTAACGAATATTACACTTTTATTTTCGGGAGTAATGATGATCGGACAACTATTAGTATATCTAACGGACCAATCTCGAGGCTGATATCGACCAGGTTTTCTGGAGAGATGGAGGTTTATTTCTACCGGGCTACATTTTAATTAATCAATTCATATATATTTTATTTTCTTTAATAGTGTAACTGAATAAATTTGTTGCAATGTGTTATGTGTTACATCATATATGCGATAAATGAACATTTATGTACTATTTTCCAGTCGGTCGTTTTTCATATAAAATACAAAAATAATTTAGTGCTATTTAGTCTGTTTGAAAACCCGCGCGCTACGCATATATGTATCCAGAGTAAACGAACCTAACATAAAGCCGACGAAACCATGTTTCGTCATGTTTTGACTGAATCGCACGGCACACGCGAGACTCTCTTCTGTCGATCGTCATCTGCAATTGCCAACTGTCGTTATTCGCGCTTGTCTCGTCTGAATTATGTCGTGATTCGGTTCGATAGGACGCATGCCTGCCACATGTTCGACGAAATTCCTGTACCAGCTTACTTGTCTCACAACTGATGAGATTGTGACTGGTTCCACCTGGAATGCGAGATGATTGAATACTTTCGTCTAAGGGACCAGTGAATGCGTTTTCTTCCGCTAAAATGGGTAAGTGGTTCGTTCTTTCTGATTTATTTATGCTTTGTAGTTTTGCTCCATATCCTGGGTTAAGAAAAAATTATACATTTTCTGTATCTTCTTATTCCAAAACCTTAATCATACTAAATTAGTGATCTGTTTGTTTTTTTTAAAATCCTTTGTAAGTCCAAAACTTACAGTCCAGTCTGTTTTCACTTATGATGCTGGAAAATGTTATTGAGTGTTTTTCTTTTTGTAAGGAAGAAAAGTGCTTTGTTTGTTTGCTTGCTTCTATAAGTCTACCTTCCACACATTGTTGAAAGGCTGGGATGTAGTAGGGTTGTAACAAATTAGACACCAGTGACTTTTTAAGTTGGCAGTTAGAACATAAGGTTTACAAAAAGTCAACGGGGGCATTCCGAGAATCGAACTCGGGACCTCTCGCACCCAAAGCGAGAATCATACCACTAGACCAAATGCCCTGTTGCTAAGCAATTTAGCTTAAACATTTTTGGTCATTTTGTGGTCTTGTGGTCTTAGTTGACATATATATTAATATAGTTCGAATTGGATGTTCCTAAATCTGTATTCTATAAGATCTCTTTCAATCCTGTGATATGATCTTTGAGAAGTGAGTTTCTGGTTTGCATTGTACTATGCCGTGTTTAAAATTTCCCTGTCGCTAAGCAATTTAGCTAAAACATATTGGCCATATTGTGGTCTTAGTTTAATTGATCACATATTCTAGTCTGAAACGGATGTTCTTAGATCTATTTTGTATGAGATTTCTTTCAACTCAGTCTAGTGATATGATTTTTCCAGAAGTTGATTTCTTGTTTGCATTGTACTCTTGATGGAAATACTTTTAGACGAGGATAGTCTTCAATTGGCTTTGTCTTTGCATCAATCATTCTAAAGTTGCCCGGTAGTTCAATTTGTTATGATATTATTTTTTCTTAAACTTTGACTTGATCATAAGCCAGTAATATTAGTGAAGTTTTAGGTGAGACAAATCAGGCACCATATGCATATTGTGTCGGAACTTACAACATTTGGTTTTGATAAAAAAGTCAAAGGGGGAATTCCGAGAATCGAACTCGGGACCTCTCGCACCCAAAGCGAGAATCATACCACTAGACCAAAATGCCCTCTTGTTGATATCTTGTTTTGTTATTGCATTCTGTTTTCAGTCTCTCCATTGTCAATATAATTGCTGCTTCTCGGTTGGATGTATTGGCAATTCATTTTTTCTTTGTGACTGTCCTCCCTATATGAAGTTTTCTGATAAAAATGTTTTATTGATTGGACTTCAAATCCTCGGTATGCTCCCGAGTTTTTGTTAATGATCTCTCTTGCTGGAATGAAAGTGAAATCAAGGACTAAGAAAGATTGGTCTCTAAGCAAAGTTTCTGCTGAAAATAAGGGCATATATTTTAGAAAGATTAAACGATGCATTCCAATTATAGAACTTCACTCTGTTTTCACTTTAAATTTAGGCGCAAGACTTTTTCTGTTGGGGGTTTATTTTTATGAAGCTGGAATATACTTTGGTGCTTGAATTTGTTACTTAAACGTTTGTTTTATCATAAAATCTAAGTACAATAAACACACACACACACGTTGTAGATCTTTATCTATTAGCTGACCAAACTTCAGCAGTTAATGCAAAGGTGGATTGTTTGAAATTTTCAACATCTACTCAAAAGGTCAATGGGGGCATTCCGAGAATCGAACTCGGGACCTCTCGCACCCAAAGCGAGAATCATACCACTAGACCAAATGCCCTGTTGTTGATGTGTCATGGTTCAAGCCTATTCAAGAAAGAAAATGTGTGAGACCCTCTGGTCTATGGTGAAAAATTACTTGAGGATATAATTTTGTATTCACTTCTGATTTCCTTTGGTTGAGACACAGGACATTATGTCTAATCTACTCAAAACTGCTTGCCAATCAATTCTTGACCGTGATCTGTGAGAAATCAGGCACTGAGGGACATATATAACTTGATGCAGAGCACATTCTTGCAATTGATGGATCTAGAGTCATTTTAGGATTGATTTGGTTGAGGAGATTTGTCTTTTGGTTCTAGGAACCTAAGATAGTGGATTTGATGATAAGGATACACTTTGCATCTTGTTCTTTCAGTTACTTTGATCATGTAGTCAATCTTGGAAGTTTTATTCCTGAAAATTATATTTCTCCTTTTAAAATGCCTAATGTCATCTTGGTCTTGCTTAACAAGATGTTCTGATATGCTCTCCACAATACAGAGATGTATGATGTTGTAGGCCTCCCGAATGCCCCTGAGATTTTAAAAAGAATGGGGGGCATTCCGAGACCTCTCGCACCCTAAGCGAGAATCATACCACTAGACCAAATGCCCTTCTGTTGAGATTTTGCTTAAAAAATCCAAAGAAAAACTTGTGAAGTCAATGTCAGATCTAGTCCCTTAGTTGACTTAGTGATAGTAATCTAAAGACTTGATGCAGTTTGGATCTTGTCTCCGTAGTTGACTTTTGACAAATAATCAATTTCCAAAGTCGTCTGAGATCTGAATGTTAAATGCCAAGATTTTTGTGATGCTCGATTTGATGATGTAATACTTTAGTTTGTTTGTTTCTGAAACTTTGGTATGTTATCATCCTTTATTCATTTCATGCAGCTTGTTTTTGGAGAATCTAGCAGCATAGCACTTTGCAGTGGCGAGCTGTCTGATATTAACTGGTTGGAAGTCTCGATCATATAACGTGTAATAAGCAAAGGTATGCTGCCATTACTAATGGTAAAACTATAGGAACTGGTCTTTGAAAATCTGGCAACATAGGACAGAACTGTCAGTAACAAAAATTGTTGACATACATTATTTTAAAAAAGTCAAAGGGGGCATTCCGAGAATCGAACTCGGGACCTCTCGCACCCAAAGCGAGAATCATACCACTAGACCAAATGCCCTCTTGTTTATATAAATCACACTATGCGTAACTGTTCTTGATACTTGGATACTCGTTTTAGGCTGTTTTCTATTCACTTCCTGCTGATGTGTCATGGTTCAAGTTTAATCAATCTGAAAGAAAGTGTGTGAGACCCTCTAGTTTATGTGAAAGTTTACTTGCAAGACTGCCCTCTAGTATATCATTTTTGGTATTCACTTCTGATTTTGAGTTTTGAAAGGGCATTATGTCTAATATACTCCGTTAAGAAAACTTCATGCTAATTAATTTCTTGACTTTGATCTGTGAAAAGTAGACACTGAGGGACATATATTACTTAACACAGACCACATTCGTTTAAAAAAACAACCGGTGTAAATTGTAATGGAACTAGAGTCATTTTAGGATTGATTTGGTTGGGGAGAAATGGCTTATGTTTCTAGCATCCTAAGCTAGTGGATTTGATGATAAGTATACACGTTGATCATGTAGTCTATCCTAGAAGTCTTATTCCTGAAAATTTGATTTCTCTTTTTAAAATGCCTAATGTCATCTTGGTCTTGCTTATGATGGAGTCCTGATATGCTCTCCACACTACAGAGATGTTGTTTATATAAATCACTCAATGCATAACGGTTCTTGATACTTGGATACTCGTTTTAGGCTGTTTTCTTATCATTTCCTGCAGTTGTCTCTTGGAGAAAGTGGTGTTCTCCGTTCGATCCATTGCCCACTGGACGTGAAAGCCAAGGTGCATTGCCATTCTCATTCTATTTCAGTAGTTTATATAAATAGACGTGATGGAACATTGTTTCTAAAGAGGAAAATGCACTAAAGCACATGTTTGAGCCACGATAGTTCTCAGCTGGTGTTTGAATTAGACATCCAAAAAGTCAATGGGGGCATTCCGAGAATCGAACTCGGGACCTCTCGCACCCAAAGCGAGAATCATACCACTAGACCAAATGCCCTGTTGCTAAGCAATTTAGCTAAAACATATTTGGTCATACCGTGGTCTTGTGCTCTTAGTTGACTTTTATTAAAATATCTATATTCAATGAGATCTCTTTCGACTCAGTCTAGTGATATGATTTCATTGGAAAGTGGATTTCTGGTTTGTGTTGTACTCTAGATTCATTGTGATCATGTTACCCTTAACGTTTGTCTTGATCACACCACTATACCATGTTCTTGTGTATTAACTAGTACCCAGAAATATTGGTGAAGTTGTAGCCTGTAGGTTGATCCACATAGTTGAAAGCTGAATATGATCTTGTGACAAATCAGTCGCACCAAATACATATATATGCAATGATTCTGAGATGAAAATTCAAACATAAATGGTTTCGAAAAAAGTCAATGGGGCATTCCTAGAACAGAACTCGCACCAAAAGCAGGAATCATACCATTAGATCAAATGCCTTGTTATTGGTGTTTTTCAGTTAGGGCATTCTCTTTGTTTCCTTACCCTTTGTGGAAAGAATAGTATTTCTGTTTGCAGTTCTTCTTTCTGAACAATATAGTGGATATGCATGTTGTTCAAGTGTCATATCTTCAAGGTGAATTCACGCAGGAAATTCCAATTTTGTATCCTTAACGAAAAATTTACTAGAGTTAGAGAATCAGGCTAGGTAGCTGTTTTAATCAGAGGAAAAATTGTTCCACCACAATAAATTTATTATAAGGTTTCAGTTTGCTGCTTGCGTCTCATATTCCTGCAAGCGTTTTTGCTTTTCATTGAATGTTCCTTATGATACTTTTCCCAGTTGCTGTGGTCGGTTTTGGAAAATCCAGTGGCACAGAGCTAGTTTAAGTAATTTCTCGTGTTTTCTGGTTTAATCTGCAGAAGGGTGATATTTTGTGCTTGAAGAGATCGAAGTCAACGGACGTGAAAGCCAAATTTTGGTGTACACCAGTTTGTTTGGCTGTGTTCACTGTTAACACTTAGTCTACAAAATATTCCACGAGAGCTGAAGTCAAAGGCATAATTTTAGCCTATATGCCCCACTCATGATACTTTTCAGTTAAAATGGTAAGGATATGATACTTTGTTGGTTAAAATTTGTATGAGTAACTAGTGGCGTCTCTAATCTACTCCTACTTAAATGCAAGGGAAGCCATTAATATTCAATTGCTGAAGCTCATTGATATACTAGAGAGACTTCGTCAGACATGAGCAAAGGTACGTGACACTTGATACTGAAAGTCGTAAGGGAACATCTGTTGATATCATGCTGAAATTTACGTTAAAGACTTGCTGTTAAGTTGTTAATCTTACCACTGAAATAACAAAACAAAGGTTTAGATTCATTTATTATATAAAATTGAACTCGGGACCTGTCGCACCCTAGGCGAGAATCATACCACTAGACCAAATGCCCTTGTGTTGGGAATTTAGTTAAAAAATCTAAAGAAAAACTTGTGAAGTCAATGTCATATCTTGTTCCCTTAGTTGACTTGGTGATAGTAATTTGGATCTGATGATAAGGATGCAACTTGGATCTTGTTTTCGTAGTTGACTTTAAACAAATTATCAATGCTCAAAGTCGTCGTCTTAGATCTGAATGCAAAATGCCAAGATTTTTAGTTTGTTTGTTTCTGAACTTTGTTAACTTGGCAATATCCTTTATTCATTTCCTGCAGCATAGCACTTTGCTTTAGTAAGTTGTCTGATATTATCTGGTTCGAAATTTCAAACATATGACGTGTAAGCAAAGTTATGCTTGTAATATACCAAAATTCCAGTAACAAATTCTCTTGACATGCCTAGCATGCACTGTTTAAAAAGTCAAAGGGGGCATTCCGAGAATCGAACTCGGGACCTCTCGCACCCAAAGCGAGAATCATACCACTAGACCAAATGCCCATATATTTATGTACAGCATTTCAAGCAATAGCCATGACATTAGAATCTGCAGTACAAGCTTTAACCGTGATGCATGATTTTGGGATCTGTTTGTGTCTTAGTGTAATTCTTGATTGCTTGTGTAAGTCTGAAGTCTTTAGGCTGCATTTAATGCTGTAACAACTTTTGTTCTCGAGTTTAGTGTAGTTCTTGATTTCGTTCTATTGTAGTTGTGTTTTGTATTCCCTCTGAACCACACATGATTGCTTGAAAAGTATTTGAGAACCGGGTAGTAATTGATCAGAGCCACGTTCTGTTGTTTATAAAATAGCATCTGGTTTCATTGAGCAAAACCACAACTAGTATGATTTATAAACCTTTTGAAGTGCTTTGCAAGCTTATACTGTGGAGCTTGAAGCTGAAATTTCAAATATTAAACAAGAGAAGGAAGAGTTACAGAGTACGTAGGTAGTACAAGGCGACATCTGCTCTTATATTACATACATTTCTGTTAGTTTCTCATTGTACATGTCTCATGCTTTACAGGCAGAGATTCAAAAGAAAAAGAATCAGGTAACTCTGAATCCATTTTACACTATTTTTCTACCCTACTAAGAGTTGTTTATTCGGCTTTTGCGACCTAAACTTGTCATAGTTCCTACTTGCAACATTATTTTAAGGCTTAGTAGCTCGGTCGTTTTTGTAGGTTAATTTACAGAGCAGGAGATGGGGAGATGAGGAAGGAATGTTCAAGGAAGCACTCAGAAGTAGCTGTGGAGGAGTGGTTACTGCTCATACTTATCTTGCTTTGATGTTAGAGTTTAGTTGAATCGTTTTCTCTCATCTTTTAATTTGTAAGCTCTCTCTATAAATAGTAAATACACAGGACACCATGATCAAGCTTGTCATTTTGATTGGTCAGTTTAAACCGAATTGACATATTGTCAAATCAAACTGAACCGGGATCCTTTCAATTTTATTTTGCTCCATAATTTCGTTATCAAAACTGCTAAAGTCCGTTTGATCCGGCCCAGGCCCACCTCCTTCGTGTTGATTCAAGCCTTACATAGACTGGATTTTCTAGAGTTTCTTCTCCGTTCTTTGTGTGGCTTTTGTTTCCTTTTGGTTGGTTGACTTCATACAGATCCTTTTGAGTGTCTTAGGGTATTCTTGTTTTCAAGTATAGACGACGCTCGGTGACAATATTTTATCTTGGGTTTGAACTGTCAGAAGGTGACAAGATATGGTGATGATCAGTGATTTGTCTGATGACTTGCTGATCAAGGTATTATCGTTTCTTACTACAAAAGTTGCAGTCTCCACAAGCATCTTGTCGAAACAATGGCGGTTTCTTTGGAGGTGGTTGCCTAAACTTGAGTACAATGAGTATGATGATTTGACTGGTGGTCCAATGTGTTCATGGTGGGGGTCCATGAGGTATGAGGAATGTTTCGACAAGAATCTGCCATTGCATAGAGCTCCGGTCATAGAAAGCTTGCGCCTCAGATTTTATTATGATAGATTTGGTCAGCCTGAGACAATCAAGCGATGGGTTGGGATTGCGGTTTCTCGCTTTGTGCGTGAGCTAAGTATTGTCTATCTTGATGGCAAAACACATAATTTTATATCATTGCCGAGTAGTTTGTATAGCTGCAGTTCGCTCATGACTTTGAAACTTGAATGGAAGAGCATTCTTGTGGATGTTCCTCGGATTGTTTGTCTCCCTTCCTTGAAGACCTTGCAACTTCGATTTGTGACATACTTAGATGATTCTCTTGGGCTGCTTCTATCGCAATGCCCTGTTCTGGAAGATTTGTGTATTGCTGTATATAGAAGCGACAGTAACAACGAGAGAGCGATAGTTGTTAACGTCCCGTCTTTGCAGAGGTTATCCTTGGAGATTGATAGCGACTGTTCTTCTGATGGGTATGTGATAGTGACCCCTTGTTTGAAGTATTTAAAGATTGAGGACTACAGAGATTATCCCTCATATTTGATTGAGCCTATGCCAAAGCTGGAAGAGGCTGATATTGATGTTGTGCAAGATATCGACAAGATTCTCGAGTCGATCACATCTGTCAGACGTCTTTCACTACGGCCATGGTTCAACAGTGCAGAAGAGGTAACCTGTTTCCATGTATCAACTTCAATTTTTCATTTGCATTTTAATATAAATCACTACATTTGGGTTTTCTTGAGATTTGATGTTTACTTTGTCGTGTGTGTGCAGTATGAGTATCGTGCTGGTATTGTCTTCACCCGGCTTGAACATTTGGAGCTAGGTATACACAGCAACGATTGGTCCAAGTTGCTTATCTGGTTGCTCGGAAGTTCTCCTAAACTTCAAGGTCTCTACCTCTACGTCGAGGTTAGTTTCTTCATTTGCTGTGAAACAACTTTTATAACTTTGAACCGACTCTCTTTATCTAACTCTCCCTTCTTTTTTCATCGTAGTGGTGGAGTCTAGATTCTGACCCGCTTGACTGGAAGAATAAACAGAGCTCTATTCCTGAACTTGTTTTGACGAGTCTCGAGACTTTTGAGTTAAAAGGCATGGGGACTCAAGAAGAGAGAGATTTCTTGACAATCTTGTTCAAACACGCTTCTTGCTTGAAGTCTACATCAATCACTGGTCATGATGCTACACAATTTGGTGTTTAACTGAAACTTGAAAAACAAGACTTGTTTGTTATGTTGTCCAATAACAAATCAGAATACGATTACATGATCTTTTGTATGTTTTTGCATCTTCAATTTCTAAGAGAAGCATGAGAAAGTTATTTATTGGTATCTAAATTCCAATGCTCTCATGGTATATGTAGACTCTTTGCAATGTTAGCTTGTATGCGACAATGAGAAAGATGTTTTTGGGATCTGTTTGAGTCTTCAGTATGTTTTTAGTGTAATTCTTGTTTGCTTGTGTAAGTCTGAAGGCTTTAGGCTGCATTTAATGCTGTAACAATTGTTGTTCTCCTCTGCATTGGATGCACAATCTGGTTTACAAATCGCTGAACTAGAAGCTGTTTCCATGCCGTAGAACCATGCATCTTCTGTTTTCTGGTTTTAGGCTCTATGCCCAATGCTCGTTGTTGTATGTCAATTCTATTTCTTATATGAAATGAGAGAGAGAGATGCATAAGTATAATTGTCCTTTTCTGGTGAGTTTTATTTATTTCTTATCTGGCCTTTGGTCTCTAATGCAGCATCTCTCTAGTGTAATTTCTCTGTGATAGGGATCGTCTTATGTGACGAAAAAGGGTTCAATATAACACCAAATCTTGAAGAAGTGAAAAATGCGTTTTAATGCAGCCTTGGACATCTTCTGTAATGCTCTTCCTCTCATCTCCTTGCCAAATTTACTTCTATTGTAGTTGTGTTTTGTATTCCCTCTGAACCACGTATCATTTCTTGAAAAGTATTTGAGAACCGGATAGTAATTGATCAGAGCCACATCTGTAGTTTATAAAATACCATCTGGTTTCATTGAGCAAAACCACAAAAAGTATGTTTCATAAACTTTTGAAGTGCTTTTGCTAGCTTATACTGTGGAGCTTGAAGTTGAAGTTTCAAATATTAAACGAGAGAAGGAAGAGTTACAAAGTAAGTAGGTAGTACAAAGCGACATGTGCTCATATGTTACATGCATTTCTGTTAGTTTCTCATTGTACATGTCTCATGTTTTACAAAAGAGAAGAATCAGGTAACTCTGAATCCATTTCACACTATTTTTCTCTCATCTCTCTCTTCCTTCACAGGAGACCATGGCGAATCAAGCTTATCATTTTGATTGGTCAGTATAAACCGGATTGACATACATCAAATCAAACTAAACCGGGATCCATTCAAATTTATTTTGATCCATAAATTCGTTAGCAAAACTGCTAAAGTCCGTTTGATTCGGCCCACGCCCACCTCCTTCGTGTTGATTCAAAGCCCTTACATAGACTGGATTTTCTAGGGTTTCGTCTCCGTTCTTTGTGTGGCTTTTGTTTTCTTTTGGTGGGTTGGCTTCAGACAGATCCTTATGAGTTTTGAGTGTCTTAGGGTATTCTTGTTTTCAAGTATAGGTCGACGCTCGGTGACAATATTTTATCTAGGGCTTTGTATTGTCTGGCGGTGACAAGATATGGTGAGAATCAGTGATTTGTCTGATGACTTGCTGCTTAAGATATTATCGTTTCTTCCGACAAAAGTTGCAGTCTCCACAAGCATCTTGTCGAAACAATGGGAGTTTATTTGGATGTGGTTGCCAAAACTTGAGTATACTTTCACTTTTCTAATGTCTCCATGTTCATGGTTGAGGTACGAGGAATTTATTGACAAGAATCTGGCCATTGCATAGATCTCCGGTCATAGAAAGCTTGCTCCTCAGATTTTTTCATCGTAGTTTAAGTCAGCCAGAGAAAATCAAACTATGGATTGGGATTGCGGTTTCTCGCTTTGTGCGTGAGCTAAGTATTGTCTCTTTTTGTTTCAATCCCAATCCAAGTGATGATGTAATATCATTGCCGAGGAGTTTGTCTACCTGCAATTCCCTCATGACACTGAAACTTCAAGGCGGGAACATTCTTGTGGATGTTTCTCCAACTGTTTGTCTCCCTTCCTTGAAGACCTTGCAACTTCTACGTGTGACTTATTTGAATGAAGATTCTCTCCGGCTGCTTCTATCATCTTGCCCTCTTCTATCACCCAGTTTCCAAACGGGCGTCTCTTCTTACCAACAGCATCTACTCTCTTCCCCAATGTAACATCAACATTTCCAATCTGTTGGAGAATAACACTTCCTGATGGTGTAGTAGGAGAAACCCTTGTCTCAATAAAACCATCAAAGCGTTGCTTATCTTTTCTAAAACTATGATCTTCAGGAAGGAAACGCCTATGTCCCATAAAACAGTTTTTCTTGCCATAGTGTAGACGGAGCTCTGTAGCATCGTAGTTACAAGAAGGACATGCTAATCCTTTGTATACATTCCACCCAGATAAATTCCCTAGCCCTGGAAAATCACTTATAGTCCATAACAGAACCGCACGCATACAAAATGTTTCTTTCAAAGATGCATCGAATGTAGAAACTCCATCATACCATAGCTCTTTTAGTTCCTTGATAAGAGGCTGAAGATAGACATCAATATCATTTCCCGGCATGTTCCTTCCAGGGATTATCATTGAAAGTATCATCGAGGTTTGTTTCATTGACATCCAAGGAGGAAAGTTGTAAGGGAACAATAGCACAGGCCATACACTATAGTTTGTGCTCATAGAACCAAAAGGATTAAAACCATCAGTTGCCAATCCTAATCTGACATTCCTCGGGTCTGATGCAAACTCTGGAAACTGTTGGTTAAATGATTTCCAAGCCATTCCATCTCTAGGATGCCTAAGCCTACCATCTGTATTCTTAGAACTATCATGCCACCTCATATACTCTGCAGTTTTGGATGACATAAAGAAACGTTGCAGGCGCGGTTTCAGTGGAAAGTATCTAAGTACTTTGGCCGCCTCTTGCTTCTTTTTCTTCTTCTTCTCAGCAACTGGCTTAGGTGTCTTCCATCTTGAACTTTCACAGACTTTACAAGTGTGTCTAGATGCATCTTCTCCCCAATACAACATGCAATCATTAGGACACACATGAATGGTCTCATATGTGAATCCTAACTTTCGAATAATCTTCTTCATATCGTTGAAAGAATCTGGTAGCTTTGCGTGCTCAAATGCTTCTTTCAAGAGCTCAATTATCATTGACATTCCTTTGTCACTGATTCTAGACATGCACTTGATGTGATACAACTTAAGCATGAAAGACAACTTGCTAAAAGACTGACATCCTTCATAGAGAGCTTGATTACAATCTGATAACAAATCATCAAGTGCCTCCTTCTGCTTCGAATGATCCTCCTCTCTAGGACTAGCAGACTCACTAAAACTGTTATCCATATTCGGAAAAGCATCTTCAAGCAGAGTCATAGTTGGGTCTTCAACGAAATCTAGGTTAGACGCATTATCTAAACTAACTGTCTGCTCCTCTAAGTCTAATTCTTCACCATGCAAATACCAGTTTGTATAGGTGTGTAGAAAACCATGACAAATCAAATCACCCTCACTTCAGCTCTAACCTTGTATTTAACAAGACAACAACGCTTACACGGGCATTTTATCATTTCTGAATTGATATTTGCAAAGGCAAAATCCAAAAACCCTTTTACTCCATTTATATAGTCTTGAGACAAATGATGTTTTACTATCCAAGACTTGTCCATTGTTCTACATAAAAGTTCATCCAAGAATAAGTATGTTTAGCTACTAAACGAACACAATACCATTCATAAAAATCAGTAGACAAAATCAAATATGAGACTTGAGAAGACCAAAGTTCACAAAACAAGTTCAAATATTCAAGAGATTCATTCACAGTCAATTAAAGCTTTCAGAAGTTCAATTCCCAGATCATGAAAGAAGCTAAGCCAATATCAATAATATCATGAAAGAAGCTAAACTAGATTTCTCGTAAGACAATGCTTTATGAGAAAATTGATCATGAAATTTCACAATCAGACTCAACAAAACCAAATTTGTTGCCACTATTTCACTAGTGGCTTTCTCCCATGGAACCATGAAGAGAAATTCTTATTCTAAGATCATGAGAAATTCATATGCTCAAAACTAATAGATCGGATGCAAAACTAATAGAGCTTCAAACAACTTGATTTTGACCTTTAAAGCTAAATTTAAAGGATCGAAAGTTTACCTTAAATTTGCAGAGAAATTTGAGATTCGCGAGCTCTGAAAATCCTCTTAAATTTCTTCACAAATCCTTATATCCTTGAACGAAATTCATAAGCATTGTTAGATTCAAGCATAATGTATTCTTCTTCTGTATTTCGTCATAAACACAGCTCAATTTTTAGGAAATTCAAACTTTACGAACCTGAGCTTGACCCGAAATCGGATTGTTCGCCTGAGCTTCTGGAGAAAGGATCGAAATCGGATTTCTATAAACTCGAGCAACCTTGTGATTATTGACACTGACGACGATTGCAGAAGTAACGAAATCAAATTTAGGGATGCAGAAAAACGAAAACCCCCATGATTTTGCAGAAATGGGTTTTGATTGAAGGAAGATTTGCAGTTTAGGCGAGGAAGAAGGATTGATTTGTTCTAATTGATTAATAAAATTTAATAAATTTAATTTTTCTTTTATTTAGCATCGGTTTGGTACGTCGGTTTAGTAAATGACTCCAAATCCCTTCCTTTTTATTAATTTTACGTCGGTTTAACAAGTGACGTTATTTAAGTGACGTTATTTCAGCGTGATCTCTCTAGTGTAATTTCTCTGTGATAGGAATTGTCTTATGGGACAAAAAGGGTAGTACAAAGCGACATCTGCTCATATGTTACATGCATTTCTGTTAGTTTCTCATTGTACATGTCTCATATTTTAAAAGTAACTCTCTCTCTCTCATTTTGATTGGTCAGTATAAACCGGATTGAAATACATTAAATCAAACTAAACCGGGATCCATTGAAATTTATTTTGATCCATAATTTCGTTATCAAAACTGCTAAAGTCCGTTTGATCCGGCCCAGGCCCACCTCCTTCGTGTTGATTCAAAGCCCTTACATAGACTGGATTTTCTAGGGTTTCGTCTCCGTTCTTTGTGTGGCTTTTGATTTCTTTAGGCTGGTTGGCTTCAGACAGATAATTTTGAGTGTCTTAGGGCATTTTGTTTTCAAGTATAGGTCGACGCTCGGTGACAATATTTTATCTTGGGTTTGTATTGTCTGACGGTGACAAGATATGGTGAGAATCAGTGAGTTGTCTGATGACTTGCTGATTAAGATATTATCGTTTCTTCTACAAAAGTTGCTGTCTCCACAAGCTTTGTCGAAACAATGGCGGTTTCTTTGGATGTGGTTGCCTAAACTTGAGTACAATGAGTATGATGATTTCACTGGTGGTCCAATGTCTTCATGTTCATGGTTGAGGTATGAGGAATTTATCACAAGAATCTGCCATTGCATAGAGCTCCGGTCATAGAAAGCTTGATCCTCAGATGTTATATAGTAGTTTAAGTCAACCGAGAAAATCAAGCGATGGGTTGGGATTGCGGTTTCTCGCTTTGTGCGTGAGCTAAGTATAAGCTATTTTTGTTTCAATGGCAAACTCGATGATGTATTATCATTGCCGAGTAGTTTGTATACTGCAATTCCCTCATGACTTTGAAACTTGAAGGCAACAACATTCTTGTGGATGTTCCTCAAGTTGTTTGTCTCCCTTCCTTGAAGACCTTGCAACTTCTACGTGTGACTTATTTGAATGAAGATTCTCTCCGGCTGCTTCTATCATCTTGCCCTGTTCTTGAAGATTTGTGTATTAAACTAGAAAGGGACGACAACAAGAGTGTAATAGTTGTTAACGTCCCGTCTCTGCAGCGTTTAACCTTGCTAATAGGTTCTGGATGTTCTTCTGATGGGTATTCGATAGTGAGCCCTTGTTTGAAGTATCTCAAAATTGTGGATTACAGATGTATGCCCTCTTATTTGATTGAGCCTATGCCAAAGCTGGAAGAGGCTGATATTGAGGTTAGGAAAGGTATCGAGAAGATTCTCGAATCCATCACATCCGTCAGACGTCTTTCATTACGCTCATGGTTCAGCAGTGCAGAAGAGGTAGCCTCTTTCCATGTGTCAAGTTCAAGTTTCAACTAAAAATTGGGTTTTCTTGATTTGTGATTTACGTTTGTTTTGTGTGCAGTCTGTGTATCGTGCTGGTATTGTATTCAGTCAGCTTGAGCATTTGATGCTATGTATACACAGCAAGTATTGGTCCAAGTTGCTTATCTGGTTGCTCAGAAATTCTCCTAAACTGCGAGTTCTCAACGTCTACGTCATCCGTGTAAGTTTCTTCATTCACTGATTTCAGCTAAAAAGCACTCTTGTGGTGGTAATCTTGACTCTCTTATCTTTATCCCTTGTTTTTTCATCGCAGGGGAGTCTAGAATATGACCCGGTTGACTGGAAGAATATAGAGAGCTCTATTCCTGAATGTTTTTTGAGGAGTCTCGAAACCTTTGAGTTTGAAGGCATGGGCACTCAAGAAGAGAGAGACTTCTGGAGAATCTTCTTCAAACACGCCTCTTGCTTGAAGTCTACATCAATCAATGGTCATGCTACACAATTTGGGGTTTAACTGAAACTTGAAAACAAAAAGTTGTTTGTTTTGTTGTCCAATAACAAATCAGAATATGATTACATGATCTCTTGTGTTTTTGCATCTTCAATTTATAGGAGAAGCATGAGAAGGTGATATTTGTTATTGGTATCTGAATTCATGGTATTTGTAGACTCTTTGCAATGTTAGCTTGTAATGCATCGATGAGAAGAAACAATCAAAACGATAAGCTGATCTGATCCTGTCCTGTGTATGTTTATAGAGAGAGCTTACAAATTAAAAGATGAGACTACGATTCAACTTAACACAAAAGCAAGATGATTTATCTACAGAGAACACTACGTATAAGCATAACGACTTGATACAAGTCGCAAAAACTAACTCTCCATAGGGTAGCAAAATAGTGTAAATTAGATTCAAAGTTACAAATAGTCTATAATCAAAAGATGAAAAATAAACATACAAGAAGTGCTAGGGCTCACACAGGATTTAGCTTACTCTTTCTCTGAGACCGTATACGTTGCAGAACAGTTTGCACATTCCGCTGATCAGACGCAGAAGCTGTATCACTCTTCTGAGTATCCTTGCCGCTTAAAAACCGTGACATCTCAGGTAAAATCTCGATCCCCGCCAAATCTTGTGCCCACTTATACGGCCTTGAAGTTCTACTCTCATCAAATGCATGATTATCGCCAAGAGTGAGCTTCGCTGACTGAACATAACCATAGGCAACAAAAGAAAGTGAGTATGTGCTTATACGAGAGTAGCCGTTACTAAATGGACGTGAGTACCCTACCTGATGAGGAGGCTCAAGACCAGCATCGTCTGGAAATAAGCTGCATAAGACATTTCCCTCAGGGCCATCCTCAGACTCTTCAGTGCCAACACAAACCACATTCAACTTCAACAAGTACTCAAACTTGAGCACGACAAGCTTACAGGGTTTCGGGTCTGAGATCTCATCATCATCATAAACATGAAGGACAATCTTGAGAGGATGGACTTTATATAGTCCTGCCTCATCACAACACTCTTTCTTGGCTCGCTTCCTTTGCCTTTTCCCATCATCATCATCTTCATCATTATCATCCAATCTTTGTTCTGCTTGCTGCTTGGCATAAGTTTGAGCATCTTTAAGACTCCCAGATACTTCAACATCGATGTTCTCTTCAAAAGCTTCCTTCTGCGCCATGAACTGCGAGTAGATGACGTAAAGCGGCGGAGGAAGAAGCTCAGCTAGGTTATGATACTTTATCTTCTTCGGATTCGGTAAACTCAACTGGCTATGTACAGGCAAAGACGCCTTCTTTAGAGATTTTAGGTGTAATGGAAGACTTGAAAGAAACTTGCTTCGCTCTGCGTTAGTTTCCAGCAAGAACTTCTTTTGTTGTTCTAACTTAGCTCGAAGCTTGCATAGCTCTTTCCTCTGAATCAAAACAATGTGTAAAGCTTCAACATTCAATCAGTAGACACAATTGAGCAGGAGGCAGAGAGAGAGAGAGATTAGTTACCTGGTGGAGCTCAAAGTTGAGTCTTTTGAGCATCAGATCATGAGAAGCATCGTTTGAGAGCGTTTGGGATTTGATTGCTTCAGGGGCGTCTCTGAGGAAGGCTTGCTCGGATATGAGATCGATGTTTGGGTACTTGGATTTGAATTCTCTGGAAGTCTTTGTGGCTTTGAGGTAATGGCTCTTCTCGTACATGAGATTGTGAAGCTGCAATGCCGTGAAATCCATTGGGGATTTTGCTAACTCCGTCTCGGATTTCACTTTCTCTTCTTCCGTCAGAATCGCACGATTCGCCTGCGATTGAGAAAATCGAAGTTGTTTGTCGAGATTCTGGGAAAATTGGGGAAATTAAAATCTCTCAAGGATTCGAATTTGGAACCTGACGGAGGTTGATGAAGTTGAGAAACATCTGAGTGAGGAGTTCGCGATTCTCGGATTTGGGGTTTCCTTGTTTTTTGATTGAGAGCATCCTCGCGATGATTGCCTCGACGGAGGCTTTGCTCTCTTGAAGTAGCTCCATCGGGGATTTCTCCGGAGCCGCCGCGTCTTTCGCCATCTCCGATTGCATAATTTCTTCTTCTTTTCTCTCTCTCACTCTCTTCTCCGACGACAGAAAGGGTTTGACACGGTGGTTTCTCTCTCCAACTCTATCATATTTATTGATCTAGCCCTTCAAGGCTTTCTCTGTTCATAATTCAGACCATAAATTTTTTATTTAGTTTATTAGACCCTAATGTGCTCTGGAAAGTTGAAATTTAGAAATTGCCCAAATTAAGATGGAATTTGGAAATTAACACACAATTTTAAAACAAACACTATAAAATATAAACACTATTTTAATTGGAGAGTAAAAAGTATCAAAAGAATTTCCAAAAAACAGTACATTTTACAAAATAGTATTTTGTATCTCTAATTTAATCCGTAGTTAATAATTTAAGAACATTTTCAAATTGTTGACTTTATGAACTTATATCTTACTCCACTATAATGTTGATTATCGTAAATGAATTTTAATTCTTTTTTTGGAAAATTTCAAAACTACATCTTTTGAGGTGCCAATTTTCAAAAATACATCTCTATGGTGTCTATTTTCAAAACTACACTTTTTTCATTTAGTAAAAGAACTCAAAACCCTAAAATATAAACTCAAAACCCTAAAATCTAACATTGAACCCTTAAATCTAAACCCTAAACCCCAAAATCTAAACCCTAATCTAGGATTAGTGAACCCAAACATATATATTTAAATTAGGAAAAAGTGTATTTTTGAAAATTTCCACATTATAGGTGTAGTTTTGAAAATTTGCACCTCAAAAGGTGTATTTCTTAAAATTTCTCTTTTTTTTTTTGTCAAAGAGTTTAATTAACTGTGTTGTTTATTGGTAGATTTCCAACACCTGATACATTTTCAAGATAATTGTGCATGATAATTTCCTAGTCAATCTTATCTCCTTTACTCAATGGTAGATTTTCAAGATACTCTGCAATACAATGTCTATCCTCAAGAAATATTTCTATGATCTTATTTTTTTTTAGGTTTTCGTTGTATGATCCTATATCGTAATAATTCTAACTTGTTTCTTATTGTCTCCCCCTGGTTTTGTAACGAAGCTTGTGTTGGTGTAATTTAATTTGTTTTAACATTGACAGATTTTTTTTCCAATCGAAAAACGCATTTAATGGATCTTTTCAGCGATCAACTAACTAATGGAGAAAATCTGAAGCAAAGTCGGTCCACATGACTATTCACATCCGTGTTTAACTTCTTTTCCACCTTACACGTTTACCAACTCCCCAACCAATTATTATATTAGCACACTCGAAAGTCAGAAACCAAACAAACAAGATCGTTCTCCTTATACTATTTGATACTTTGAAGATAGATTCATGGCTTCTGTTGGGAACACACTCTGTCTCGTTGCAGCTTTACTTCTAATCTACCAGAAGACAGCCACTTCAGCCCCTTCAGACTTCCTCTCTCCTATCTTCGGTTTGTCTCTTCCTCTTCAAAATTCAATCTTGTTTTTTCTTTTTCTGGGCTTTGTTCATCTTTCATTTTTGGTGGATTCTCTTAATCCAAATCTGTATTTCTTCTTCTTTGCAATTTGTTAATAATTTAAGCTTAGTTCCTCTTGTAATATGTTTCTAAAAGTTATGGTTTTTTTAGACTAAGAGTTAAAGAAACTAAATTTTTCACTAGGCTTGGTCAAGTCAATGTAAATTCAACTATATTATTTCAAGACTATGGCTAGTATTATATTTTTTTGCTAAATTAAAGTACATCTTTTGTCAGTTGAACTAGAGATGTAACAAAAAGGACAGACATTTTTTATTTTACTGACAGAATTAATGTATCTTTTGTCAGTTGGGTTTTGAGTAAAAGTCATCTTCTATGAAGTGTCCGTTTCAGATTTCGAATTTAGTATATTTTGTGACTCATGTGACAAAATTAAAACCAAAAGGAAAAAACGTTTGTTAATTTAATTGTTGTGCTTCTTGTGAACAAAAAAAAAAAAGATAATATATGCAAGGAAGTGGAATGTGGGAAAGGGAAATGCAAAGCATCTTCAAACTCAACTTTTATGTATGAATGTGAGTGTGACAATGGTTGGAAGCAATTTGATGGTAACCTCAAGTTTCTCCCTTGCATCATGCCGAACTGTAAACTCTCTCTCTCTCTATCTATCTCTTGATCACTACTAGTTAGTTTGGTTTTTAATCATATTGAACATAAGAACGTGTACATTCCTCTTTTTTAGGCACCTTTGATCTATCGTGCGGTGAAGCAGCTTCTCCAGCACAGCCTAAAACGCCTCCTAAAGATAACAATTCTTCATTTTTCGACGGTAATCATCTCTAGCTATAGCCCATCATTTGCTTTGATCCTCGATGTGTGTATATATGTATGACTCTGGTGTTCTTTTGTATAGTTTGTCATTGGGTGGATTGTGGAGGAGGAGTTTGCAACAGTACAAAGCCGTTTATATACAGCTGCGACTGCCGTGAAGATTACAGCAATCTCTTGAACACCACCACGTTTCCTTGTTACAAGAAATGTAAGAAGAACAAAAAATTTATTCTTATTGATTGTTCAACTGATCAAACAATTGAACTAAGACTTAATTGGGGGTTTGGTGTGGTTTTGAAGGTGCACTTGGAATGGACTGCTTGAATTTGGGGATCCCTTTGTCAAACTCATCGTCACCTTCTCCAGCTGCTCTGCCTGATAGCAGCAAGAATCAAGGTTTGTTTATTTCTTTTAAAATGTCTGCCTTAATCTTAACCATTTTTTGAATATATATTTGATTAAGATCTTTTAAGTTACTGAAGAATTTGGGGTTTGTTTCATTGCAAGCAGCAGGACTGAATCTAAGAGGATCATCGTTTTTGTGGATAACATTTTTGCTATGTGTCTCTCTAGCACCATAGAGGCTGCTCTACATTTGATCTCTATTACTTTTGGTTTCAAATTTTGAGTAAAGAACGATTTCCTTTAGATGTTATTCTGTTGGGTGTGGTACCACTAGATATATCATAATGTTGATTATCGTAAATGGAATTTAAGTATTTTACACTTCTACAAAAACACACTTAATCGAAATCCAAAATTGTGTATAAAAATCAAACAACCGCAAAAGCAAAACATAATAATATAGATTTGGAGTAGGAGTATTATACTAATCGAAATAAACAACTTAAATTGTCAATTGTGTATTGGCTTATTGGGAGACTCCCACCCACATTGTAGATTTTCAAGACAATTATGCATAATGATTTCTTAACACGCTGCATGCTTAATGGTATATTTCCAACTTCCAAGATACCCTGCATGCTTCTCTTCCACTTTTATTTTTACAATTTTTTCCATTCCCCAATTTATCTATAAACATGCATAAGTTTTACTCATTTTTTCATCACAAACATGTCGTCGACATTCCATTTGCGTTGGAGCCCTCATGAGACCATCAAAATAACGATAGCAGTAAACCAAGAACAAGTCGATGAAGGCATAAAAGCACTAGTGTCAAACCATCACAACCGCACAAGATCGATCGGCTTGGACGTCATAACAAAGCGAGATCCATGGACAAACACCGCAAAGGCTATGCTTCTCCAGCTCAGTGATGGTATCCAATGCTTAATAATCCGGCTTCATTGCCTTGATGCCGATACCTTACCCGAATCTCTCTACAACTTTCTCAGCTTGCCTGCTTTTACGTTCTCTCGTTTTGGAATTGAAGATACAATGTCTCTCCTCAAGAAAGATTATTGTTTATCTTGCAAGAACACCCTCGAAGTTGGACGCTCTGTGTGGTACCATCCAAAGAAATCTGTGACTGATACGCTTTGGTCTATGCTTATACCATCATCTAGTTGTATCTCTGATGTTTGGGATGCAGAAATTGATCTCGCGGATGAAATGGTCCACGTTGCTGCCTCAAATGCCTTTGGTGCATTTCGTCTTGGAGAAAAATTCCGTTATTAAGAACTTTTTCGATTAGCTGTTGCGATTTTGAGTTGTTTTTTTTTTTTTTTTTTTTTGGTTATAATGTTAAGATTTTATACCAAAAGCAAACTGTTACATACTACGATTACAAACTACAGCTAAAGAAAGAAAAGCTTACCCTATACAACTTACCCATGGAACGTGGCCAAAATAGAATTACAACGGATGAGAGATACAACTAAAATAAGACTGTAGAAGAGAAGAAGTGCTATCCGTAGAGGGAAACATTAGGAGGCGGTCACGGATTGCTCTGTCGACAGCCCGTTTGATTGCCACTGCTGAAGTTGTAGTTGTCGTGAAGATCCTTGCATTCCGTTCTCTCCAAATTACATAGACAATTTGTTGAAAAAGGAGTTTGAGAATCAGCTGAGAATGTCTGTTCCTGGTGCTTGGAGGGTGAAGCAGATAGTCAATAACATCTGTAAGATTATGTGGTGGATTATCATTCCCAACATCTGTAAGAGTTGTTTTGTTTTTGCCATGCAAGATTTCAATGTTACTTCAGTTGTCGTTTCCTGGTGTATGATTTTAAGTCATATATATTTTTTTGTCACCCTACTTTATTTTGTGGAACGTAGCTCTTGTTGGTAATTTAAATTGTTTTAACATTGGCTTATTATATTCCTTATATATAATGAACTAGTGCCTTTTTTTTACTAATTTTTTTTTATCATGTTGAATTAGTGCCTCTTTTTTTTTATCAAAGCAATATGATTTTTTTTTATATGTTCTGGAAAAGTTCAAAATTAAACACAAAAAATTCAAAACTGCATCGTTTTGATAAAACAATAAATTCCTTCGGCGGAGGCTTTTGCTCTCTCCGAAGTAGCTGAAGCGGCGATTTCTCCGACTTCGAGACTACACCACCGATTGCAGAATTCCTTCTTCCTCGGCCTCACGGAGCTCGGAGAAGAGGGTTTAAAACTGTGATTTTATAATCCATCGGATTCTTATTAATCCTAGAGCGATTTCTACACACATTCCAATATCCTAGAGTTGGACATATTCCTGAAAGAATGGGAAAGGTCGGAGGCGAAGAAGAAGAAGAAGGTGCAGCAATCAAAGCTCTGGGCTCTCTCTTCAAGCTAACGGAAATCCATCTATGGTAATCTCTCTTCACACACTCATCACTGTTATATAAAAATCCGAACTTTTTTTTCTTCTCTTCTGATTCTCTCGTCTGTTTGAATTACTCAGGGATGATGGGTCGACAGATTCTCGTTTGGCTCCTCTCTTCCATAAACACAGTACGTCTTCAATTTTTGTTATCTTTTTGGGTTAAAGATGTGTGATTTCAAGGAATTGGTGATTGAATTTTTTCGAAATTTGTTAAAAAGAAAACAGGTCTGAAGATATGGGATTGTTAAAAGAGATGAAAGATTTGGGTCTTCCTGCTTCTTTTCGAACAAACAAGGAGGTAAATTTTCTCCATTGTTACCAAAATCTTCATGCTTTATAGTTAGTTTACATGCTGAGGATTCAACAACTTTATGCAGTGGAAGAACAGAACAAGAGGCCATCAAAAGAAAGGAATCAAGGATCTATCAAGCGAGGTTAATGTTCTTTCCAAAGAAGAAGACATGAATTTAGTGTATGATTGCTCTTCAGATCATGCTATTGGTGGTGATGAAGAGATTGAAATGCCAAACGATTGTGTTGAAAGAAATGCAGTCGAAGAAGAGAGCTGTTGTTTGGGAGATGGAGATGGAGACTCTGTGTTGGTACCAGAGGCAACAGACTCTCAGAGCTACAGACTCGGTGATGATAACGATGACTCTGGTGAATGGAAAGTTTACTGGGATGCTTTCTACGGACGGAGTTATTTCTACAATGTCAACACACAAGAGTCTACATGGGAGGCGCCACTTGGGATGGAGCATCTAGCTTATAGCTACGAATGTAACCAAAACCATAACTTGGATGAGTTAGCTATAGAGGTGATTGAGATTGACGCCTGCCTTTTTTTACCTTTCTTGTGAAATTTTTAGGAGATTTGTTTATTAACCGTTTTGTTTTGGTCTTTAGACAACAGAGAAGCCACATGATGACCTGCTCAGAGATGGACTTACCGATGATGTTGGTGGACTTATTGAAAGTCAATGTGAAACAGAAGCGCTTGAGGAAGTTAACAGGTAACGTAATGTGGTCTTTCTTCATGCTTTATAGTGACATTATGTTCAGTATCTTGTGTGATACCGAGTCGTATTAGCCATTAATCACTACATTGTTGATCTAGTTAGTATGTGTCAATCTTATCAAGTGTTTTAAGCATTGATATGCAAACTTATGTGGCACTAGTCCTGAGAGGCATGACCTTGATTTTCTGTCTGTTGTTGAGTCTCTTTAACTATAGCCTTCTAACTTTTTTCCTTGTTACCAGTTTGATTGATACATACCAAGAAACTTCCAATGGAAACCAATCTTTGGATATTACTACTCTTGAAGAAGAGGGAAACGGTACATATGTTGTGAATTCAAATAGGAAGGCTAAAAAGAAGACAAGAAGAATTTGTTTTCCTTGGAATAAATGATTCTTGGGTTTAATTTTTATATTTCTATGTACGTGGTTAATCACCACATAGTGGGGTGTTCACTGTATCCTACGTTTAAAAACAATTACAGACTTCTTTTTAATATAATACTATTACTACTACACTACAGCTTTTACTTGCAAATGACGTACTTATAAAACAAAAGACCCCAAACACAAAACAGAAGACAAATATTCATTGATTCCTCATGCAATCGAAAAGTGAATATAGTTTTATACTTGCCTATTTGATTTCTCTATCCCTAAACCCTTATCATGCATTCATTAATCATCTCTTAACCTCATTACAAGAAGCAGCACGTGCCTAATTCTCCAGGAGTGAATTTGATTAGGAATTCTTTTGTTTTCGTCAGAAATTAGGATTTAACTGACCACCTTTAAGAAAAAAATAACATGCATGCCGAAATCACGTACGTCGTAAATCACCAAACAGTTGGGGATTAACTGCATCCTACGCTAAAAAATGATTACACTGCATCTTCCTTGCAAATGATATTATACTGTACAAAACAAAATACCTCAAACACAAAATACTATGCAAAGAAAAGTGAAGAGTTTTAATTAGCACGGAATTTTCCAAACTTAACTTTTTGACTTTTCTCTCCTTAATCATTCATTAATCATCTCTTAACATCACTATAAAAACCACCACGTACCAAGTTCTCTTCTCAAAGCTCGTTTCACTCCTTGTATCAAATATTTCTTATCTATTATATTTCAAATCACATAACAACAAAATTCAAAATGCCGATCCTAACTCCGGTCATAAAACTCGTGGTTTTTAGGCAAAGTCTTCGACCACATTCCGCTATTGCCTTCCTCGTCGAGTTCATCTGCTTCGTCCTAGAGCTACTCGACAAGGAGAAAGATCTAGCCAAATGTTCCTGAAATGATGCAGAGACGCTCTGTTTAAGGCGGCGATGAACATTGCTTCAAGAATCATTATGTTTCTCCCAAGAAACGTTGATATTAACCAATTGGCAGAGCTGGCCTTATCAACGTCTCCTCCATGGTCACTTGAGGCAAGTGTTTTTTTTTTACCATTCACTTTCTTAGTTGGTCGATTATGTCCCAGAAATTTTGATAGATTTTGCTGATTTTCCGTCGCTATAAAAACAACCGATAATTTGTCGTCCTCTCTACATTGCAAATGTCTAACAGGCAGGCCTCTAATGTTTTCAGTTAGAAAAGAACTATTTAAATGGGAAGCTGAAGGCGATAACAGCGTACTACTTGAGACAAGATGGTTGTTAGAACCTAGAAGAAGAAGAAGAGGAAGAAGACACAGATTCTTCTCAAACATTCAATGCAAGAAGCCCAAAGGTATCTACAATCTGCATTTGTGTCAGCCTGTCGGAATCCAAGTGGATGGAAACTTGATTTGTGATCATAGTCTAACTCGAATCTTTTTAGCAGTTTTGTTTGGTAAATGTGATGTAAATCTTTTAGCTATTTATGTTTTCTAATTTTCTTTAAAATTGATAAATTTAGTACGCAACTTTTATATTTATTATTTTATCAAAATTTAAGAAATACTTTTAAGGAAATATAATGTAAACTGCATACACAAAGTCGTGACCTCACATGTGCTTCTCCTTTCTTCTTCCTAAACCTAATTTTTTCCCCTAAACCTAATTTTTTTTGCCTTCTGAAACAATTTTCGGGTGAAAAAGTTTCCAGTAAGAGAGACCTACACAATTTCAAAAAATTACATAATGGAACTTAAAGATGATGTTCCAGAGTCGGTCATGGTGATGATTCTGGCGAGACTACCAATCAGGTCTATTTCGAGATTCAAATCAGTGTGTAGCAAGTGGAAACAGCTCTTCGAATCTTCCTATTTCCGTAATCTCTACCGATCCTTGAACAAGAGGAATTTTTCCTCTCCATGGTCGTATCTAAGCAGCCGCTCAAAAGGTCGTGTGATCGAATATTTTGGAGAGAGATGGGGACTTACCAAGTCACTAGGTACTTCTCTCTCACGTTTACTCGATCACATGAAAGAAGGAACTAGAGTCGTGGACATCACGGAAGGGTTGGTGTTGCTTGCTGAGGAAGGCAAAGACAAACGCGACTCGTTCTTGATTGGTAATCCTGTGTTGCAACAATGGATCAAAATCCCTTCACCTCCACTGGTAGAAGCTCGTCTCTCTGGAGCAGCACTGGTAACACACACGAGCAGCGATGATGATCTTTTGAGTTACAAGGTGGTTCGGTTTGAGCGAGAAAGTTGTATGAAGCAGTCTCACCACTTTCAGGTTTTTTCGTCTGAGACTGGGAATTGGACCTACCGTGAGCATCAAGTCTTCAATAACCCTCGAAATTGGGCTTATTTTGGTATCTGCAAAGCCATTCATTTGAATGGTTGTCTTCATTGGCTATGCGTTCACGATAGAGTCATTAATATGTCATGATTTCTATCCTAAGACCAGCCAAGAGGCTCACAAACTTACTCGTGCTATAGAGTTACCTACTTACAACAACAACGACCGCACGACGAGTGAAAAATCCTGCGCAGTCTCATGCGGATCTCTCGTGTTCTTGTCTGATAACGCAAAACAACTGAGGGTTTGGAGGCTGAAGAATCACAGAACCGATCCTTCATGGGAAATTTTGTGGAACGTTACAACTTATGACAGAGATCTATTTGGCTCCATAAGATGTACGATGCCAATGATGATGCACCCTTTCGATATCGAGGTCACGTACCTTGTGGGCTACAGATATGACCAAGCAGGAAAATGCCATAATTATCTAATCTCAGGTAATTTGCGCACTGATAAGTTCCAACTGCATGAAGAATTCAAGAGATACGATGAGTACGACTTTTTGCAGTTTTCTTTGAATAAAAAAGAAGGCAGAACTGATGGCAAGAGCTCCCGCAAAACTGGCTTGTGCCAGTTCGTGCTTCCACAGAGACTCGGCTCCATTCCATGTCCACCTGGTTGCTCTCTGGTTACAGCTTCAGCTATAACGGTCTAACACTTAAGCTGGTCATTAAGTGTATTGCATGAACAAGTAGAGCTTTGATACATCTTTCAACGTTGAGGAAATGTTATTCAATTTGCATCAAGTGACTGAATATACATTTTTTTTTATTATAACGTTTTAGTAGTTTTACACTTGTTAGTTTAAAGTTTTTGTGATTTTTTTTTGTCATTCGAGCATTGCTAGATATTCAAGAGCGATGAACTAGACTTGAGTTTACCCAAAATTTATCTGTTGACTAGTGGAAGTAACGTTTTGCACATTTTGGAATTTCTCTGTTTCATTTATATGCTTTGGTATGCCAAAGTAGGAGTCCCTACGTAAATGCAATTGATATGGGTCCAAAGAAACTTGATTTAGCATAACATAATTCTGTCACATAATGTGTTAACTAAAAAGCACTCATTCACACTCTTCATACAGTTTAATATGATTATGTGTTGGTCTGCATGTATGCTGTATGCATCTCAATGTATATTTAGACCTTTTGAGTTTTTTTTTTTCTGTTGTACCTTGGCCTATATTGTTTTTTATTGGCAAATAATATTTTTGGAATATTTTTCGGTAATATTTCATTTTATATAACACTTTAATATAACATCATGTTTTGCTTAGGTGGAACCGTGGAAGCCCTGAAAAGAGTTATTAACCTCATCATCGTGTTTCCCATTTTTTTCTCCTAAACCTAATTTCTAATTCCTCTTGTCTTCCATTTGGTGTGAAAATTTTCCCAACCAATACACAATGAAACTCGAAGATGATGTTCCAGAGTCGGTCATGGTGATGATTCTGGCGAGATTACCAATCAGGTCTATTTCGAGATTCAAATCAGTGTGTAGCCAATGGAAATTGCTCTTTGAATCTTCCTATTTCCGTAATCTCTACCGATCCTTGAACAAGAGGAATTTGTCCTCTCCATGGTCGTATCTAAGCATTCAATCAAAAGGTCATGTGATCGAATGTTTTGGAGAGAGATGGGGACTTGCGGAGTCAACAGGTACTTCTCTCTCACGTTTACTCGATCACATGAAGGAAGGAACCAGAGTCGTGGACATCACGGAAGGGTTGGTTTTGCTTGCTGAGCAAGACAGATACGAACGCGACTCGTTCTTGGTTTGTAATCCTGTGTTGCAACAGTGGATCAGAATCCCTTCACCTCCTTCTGTACTACCTGGTAGGCTCTGGGCAGCAGCTTTAGTGACACACATGAGCGACGGTGGTGATCTTTTGGGTTACAAGGTGGTTCGGTTTGAGCAAGAAAATTTAAAAAGGAGCTTTCAGGTTTATTCGTCTGAGACTGGGAATTGGTCTTACCATGAACATCCAGTCTTCCATGGCCTTGGAAACATTTTTTGTTATTTTGAATCCAGACCGATTAATTTGAATGGTTGTCTTCATTGGCTATGCAACGAAAGGAGAGTCATTGTAGCTGATGATTTCTATGCTAAGACCACCCAGGAAGCTCAACAACTTTGTCGTGTTATAGATTTACCTTATCGGTCTTGTAATAACCCAACCTGCACAGTCTCATGCGGATCTCTCAAGTTAATTGATAGTGACGGGAGACAACTGAGAGTTTGGAGGCTGGAGAATCACAAAACCGACCCTTCGTCAAACAATCATTGGGAAATGTTATGTAACAGAAAAAAACATTGGGAATTATTGTGGAACGTTACGATTCATGACGTCCAAGATCTCTTTGGCTCTGTACCATTGTCGACGCCAGTGATGATGCACCCTTTCGATAGCGAGGTCATGTACCTCGTGAGCTCCTACACGTTTGACTTTGCAGGAAAAAATAATTATTATATAATTTCAGGTAATATGCGCACAAAGAGGTTCCAACGCCACGAAGCAATCGACAGATATCACGGTTCCCCTTTTTATCAGTTCGTGCTTCCAGAGAGAATAGGCACGATTCCATGTCCACCTGGTTGCTCTCTTGTTACAGCTTCACACAAGTCTAACACTCAAGCCGATCAACCATAGTTATCCTCTTGAGCTAGCTTCTGTATTTTCATTGATTTTTTAATTGTTGGTTTTTGCTTCCAAGTTGTGTTTAGTTAGATGATATGAGTAATATTTCATAAGAGATTATATTATTGCGCTTTCTTCTAATTTACTGAAACATCTTTCATGTTCTTGGTTGGTCATTTCGTGGATTGGATTTCACTTGACTGTCTACGGCTCCATTGCGTAACCCTTGTTCATACATGGGCTTTTCAGGATAATAAGCTCATGGGCTTTGGGTGTGAAGCTGTGTCCTATCTCTTTCTATTTCTATATATGGAAAGTTATAGAAATATGATGAAAGCCGTCACAGCCCTTAGCTCATTTTGTCATTTGTAACTTATAGCCTGTTCCTTCTTGTTTCAGATTACACAATTATAACTTGACAATTCTATTTTTATTGGTTATTCTTGTAAGTACCTTGTCTAACACGGCATATTCAGAATGGAATTCAAGAATCAAGAAACAGAAAGCTTTTTCTGTATGTTTTTGGTTATTATTATTTTTTTTTTAATTTTTTTTTGGTTATTATTTTGTTTGCCCATACGTTTCGGTATTTATCAAATACCCCATATAGTTTGTTATCAACCGAAATGCTCCCGATGTTTTAGTATTTACGAAACTGCCCAATATCCTTTAGTATTTACACTAATAACCCCTAATTGTTTCGGTAACTACAGAAACACCCCCACATCATTTGATACTTACCGCAATGCCCCCGTATCTTTTGATAGTTTACCCATACGCCCAAGATCTTTTAGCTGGTGTGAAACCAAAAAACAAAGAGTGAAAAAATCGTCCTTTTTCCTCTCTTTCTCAACAAGCTTTCGCTCAAGTCAAAGACAAACATTATTAACAAAACAATTTCCTGCAGAGTCTACGAGTCACGAAACCAGATTACCACGAGCTTTCTCTCTCTTTCACTCATTCTCTTTCTCTCTCTCTCTCCATAGCAAGAGCTCAGAGAAACTAACTGTTAAATTTAGCTCATTAGATTCCAAATGCCGTCGGAGCTCCAGCGACCGGCGAGATCGGCCGTCTCTGGAGGATCTCGTCGAGACTCGAGCCCAGACTCGTTGATCTTCACTCCGGAATCCAACCTCAGCTTCTTTTCCTCCGCCTCCGTCAGCGTCGATCGCTCCTCTCCCACCTCCGATGCTCACGACCGCGACTCTCTCGTCTCCGCTCCCTCCCTGGTACTACCACATTGTTTGAGACTTCATCAAAATTAATTTCAGGATAAAATGTGAATCTGAGTTCGTGATTTTAGTAACGACACTATGAAATACGCTAATGATTTGACTCAGTCAAACTAACAAAAATCATGCATAATTGTTTTTTCCTCAATTCGTTAATTCATCACTGTTCATCATTGAATGACAAAGAAACAGATTTGTTTCTCTTAAATTGGAGCGAAATGATTGAGTATTTTGTTCAGTAGCTTCAATTACAGTAGAATTTGCAGTTTTAGTAGATTACTATATGCAATAGAACGAGTAGTGAAGAAGCTTAGTTCATATAAACACGACGATGGATTTCGGAGAAATTTCTTTGTGATAGATGTTTCTTGTATGTTATTTAGTAGATCTTGCGATATATATTTTTTCAAACTCGAAATTAAATTTTGTCTCCATTATTTGAGATGACAGGAGCGAGATCAACGGGATCCAGATCCAGAGAAGCGTGGAACTGGGTGGAAGCACAGTCGCAACTCTAGAAAATCAAATAAAGTGAAAGGTAAAATAATAATGATTCAAGAATTTGATAAAAAAAGTTGTCAAGGAAAGAAAGACAAGCGACAAAAATAGTCCAAAAGAGAGAGAAATTCAATTATGCTTTTTTGGAATTTTCTCCTAATTTACTTTCTCAACTAAAAAAAGCAGCTTGGAAAGAAGAGTTTGAGGTGGTGAATAAAGAAGATGAGAGCCAGAATCTTGATTCAGCAAGAAGTTCTTTCTCTGTAGCTCTTAGAGGTATAAAGCTAGTTTTGTACTACTTTAAGCATTCATACTTTTATTACTTCGGCAGTTTTATAATCTCTCTCAACTCTCTAATAGAATGTCAGGAACGTAAATCAAGATCTGAAGCTCTGGCGAAAAAGCTAGATAACCAAAGGCCTACTTCACTGGATATTAGTAATGTAACCTCTTCATCTCCGCGAGTGGTGACCGTGAAACGAGCTTCGGTTTCGACTAATAAATCAAGTGTGTTTCCCAGTCCCGGAACTCCGACTTATCTCCATGGTATGCAAAAGGGATGGAGCTCAGAGCGAGTAGCGTTACGCTCAAACGGAGGGAGAAGTCCACCAAATGCTGGATTTTTACCTTTGTATAGCGGTAGAACAGTTCCTTCGAAATGGGAAGACGCAGAGAGATGGATACTTAGTCCTCTTGCTAGAGAAGGAGCTCCTCGAACTTCGTTTACCGCATCACATGAAAGACGGCCTAAATCGAAGAGTGGTCCTTTAGGGCCTCCAGGAGTTTCATATTATACATTGTATTCTCCTGTTGTTCCTATGGTCCATGGTGAGAACTTGACAGCGAGCTCTCCGTTTTCAGCCGGTGTTTTGCCAGGAAACGGCTGCTCTAGAGGTTCCGGTGTATCAGCGTTTCCGCAGAGAACTGATCACTGCATGGCTAGATCAGTTAGCATTCATGGCTGCTCTGAAACTCTTGCACCCTCGTCGTCGTTATCTCAAGGTTGCAACACATTAGGACTGATAATTTTGAAATTCTGTTTTGGTAACTGCTTATTGAGTTTGATACCACAATATGTGCAGATGACATGCATGAGAGTATTAAGGATGCGGCTACTGATGCTAGAGCTGTCTCGAGAAGGGACATGGCGACACAGATGAGTCCAGAGGGAAGCATCCGTTTATCACCTGAGAGACAGTGTTCGTTCTCTCCGTCCTCAACAACAGCACGATCGATTGTGGAGATACTGAATGCTCGTACCAAACGAGCAGAGGTCAAGGACTTGCAGGTTGATGAGAAAGTAACAGTAACTCGCTGGTCAAAGAGACATAGAGCTCTATACCATGGAGATACCTCAAAAATGCGTGACCATTTACACGGAGAAGCTAGGGATCCTCAAGGCTTGGCATGGTATGTTCTAACTTGTTACAGGGTCGTGAATCTCTGTATAACCGTTCCATATCTGATATGTCCCTTGCACCATCGCTTATTGTGATACGAATGAATTAGACTTGGAGTTGTGATTGAATGTTTGGTATGTTTGTAGGGCTAAGACCGAGGAAGCCAGAATCGTATCTTGGGAAAATTTGCAGAAAGCTAAAGCCGAGGCAAAAATTAAAAAGCTAGAGGTTCTTTCTCTCATCCTATCATTACTCTTTTTTTTTCCCTGAAGCACCAAAACTGTGGCTTTTAGCATTAAAACAGTGTATCAATAGCTTTTAGGTAAAACATATGTCCATTGCACTAGACTGCTTGTGTGTATCACTCATATAGTAGTAACTAATGTCAGAATTTTATGTTTTTTGCTCAGATGAAGTTGGAGAAGAAAAGAACATCATCAATGGAAAAAATAATGAGAAAAGTGAAAGCATCTGAGAAGAAAGCAGAGGAGATGAGAAAGTCGGTGTCAGACAATCGAGTAGTATCAAACGCATCATCCCGTGAAAAGTCTTTATGTTTCAGAAGAAATGGGAAGAAGAAGATTGTTTCCTTGAGTGGTTGCTTCACCTGCCATGCCATTTTTTCCAAGAAAAGACGGTGAAAAGGGGACTCTCGACGTAATATTTCGTTTTTTTTTTTAGTAGTCCTGCTTGTAATACATACATTTGATAGTCTGTAGCTGTTGAATTTCGATACATTTTTGTGTAGTAAAAGTTGAGTAAAATACGAGGGATGAGTTTACCCCTTTATGGCACTTTGGGAGTGTGTTAAGATGTGAATTGATCCCTTAGTCTCGATTTCATATATATGTGATCTAGCCTTTATATAGAAACAAGCCCTTATGTAATAATCGAGTAGATTTGTATTCAACAATTTGTTGTAGCACAAAGGTTAATTGCTAAACAAATGAAATCAAGGTTCAACCAAGAATTTGATCGTGGTTTCTTATGTTTCCTCTGGTTTGAATGTATTTCTTGTTTTTATATTAAATTGTATTGATATATTAGTATCAATTGGAGAGATGACAACGGATCCGCTGTAGCACACAGGTTAATTTCAATTGATGAAATCTGGGTTCGAAGCCCATCAGCGGAATTTTCTTTAATTTTATTTTAGGATTTTTCTCTAATAAAAACACTAATTTGGCATATTTTGATTGGTGGTTTTAAATTTTGATGTAGCCACCCTTAAGGATTTATAGACTAGATTTTTATATAGTACTATATAAGATTGTTTTTGTAGTTGCAAATATTGTTAAAAAAAATAAAAATGAAAAAATCAGAATCTAAAATAGAAGAACCAAGAGGATTTCGCTTCTTAGGAACCGCTTCATGCAGTCCCTCTTTGAACTGCGAAATGAAGACATCACGGAGAGGATGGTGAATAAGTTCCGTGGAAGCTTCATCTTGATGTCATGTACAATGAACTCCTATCATGTTGTCAAGTGGGTGGTGCAACACGGGATTGTCAATATTCTTGCGATTTAGTATTTGTGATCTCACCAAAATTTGTTCAATATGTGCACATTCGTTGTTACGGACGAGGTAGATGTTTAATGCATGTTCGTAAATAGAAATTACTAGGGAAATTATCGCAAAATTGTACATGGAAGGGTTTTCGGAGCAGCAGTATGTTCTTTGTTTTTGAATACTCATGACATTAGCTGGAGCTCGAAGCCTAAAGCTCTCCCTATCAATATTCCCATACCCAGCGTCGGAAGTAGATTCCCACAAGATCAAATCAGGCACCCTGCATCCAATGAACATCCAGCTTCCATACATTTCACGCTCATTCATATCATCTATCACGAAGTAAGCTGGAAAAGAAGTATGAATCATGAGAAACAAGAGGAGAAATATATTTTTTTTTAAATGAACAAATGGGATGAAACTAAGGTTACTTGGTAGCTCATCAGGTCGGCAGAGAGAGAATATAGAGATTATGTCTGAAATTTGGGAGACCAGTGTTTCGTTGTGGTGCTTGCATTCTCACCAAATCGAAAAGATGAGAGATATTCAGCTGCTCAATCTGTGCTACCGTGAACATGTTGGTCATACACACAGGCTTTAAAAGCTGGCTTTCAGCTGTTGCAGCGACCATGTGCGCCTGTGAGCAGTAGATGAATCCTGGTTGCTTGTACCTTAAACAGTCCCAGAGAGCACATCTCTGGTCTGGATAGTAGCTGGTTTTCACACAAGTAACTGGCTGCAGATGCGCCATGTTCAATCTGCAACCAAGCTCATGAAAATCATAAAACAAGTGGTTACAATTCAAACCGAAGATACTCTTATACAAAAGCATCAAACTCGAAAACGATGAACGCATATACAATTCCAGATTGAGACGAATAAAAATCCCTAACAAGTATTTACTAATCTAGCTACTAGCTACTATTACTAGCTACTATTCATGTAATTCACCCAAGTAAGGTTTGGTTTATGAAGCAAATGCACATGACGTATGAGGCGATATGCTTTTCTTGCAAATGACATCACTGTAAGTTCTATTTGCTCGACGTTCGTTGTTTTATGTTGATAGTATCTAAGGTTGCAATCTATTTTGATAAAAAAAAATTTTGAAATCTACAAACTTTGCAAACACTCCATGTTGCACATACTTTTTCAGCTGTTAACCAAAGGTGGAACTACGAAAATGAATTATTAAGGCAAACGATTTGGTTTGGGCGAGTTCCATGCTTTTCCATCTATTTGTTATATACACAGAAGTATGTGTTTCATCTAAGACACATGCACCTTAAACTTACATTTAAAACATGTTTAGCAAACCATGCAATATTCTCAGTTTTTAGGTGAGTAAGAACTAATAGAATATTGTTGTGGTATATTTTGTAAGTTAAGCTAAATTTGCTCGATGTGGTAACATTATCAGGTCCATAGGAACCTCTGCTAAATTTAGATTTCACATTTCAGCATAATAGTTTTGAATTATATTATAGTTTTTAATTGTATACCCCATCCCGTTGGTATGTACTTTCTTGGGTTGTAAGCCTGTAACTATACTTATTCATTAGCCTAGCGTATGACGATTCTCAGGGACTTATACATGGTGGTGTTTATCTAGCCCGTCAATACCAATGAGAGTGGAAATATTGATGTGACAGAGCATTTACTTGTTTCTCATGCTTTCCATGTGTATGATCATTACGTTGTACAAGGAACTTATGACTCAAGCTAATGAATATACAATCTTAATTTAATAAGTTTTTGGTTTACATTTCTAAAACTGTTTAATTCACCCAATTCAAAATTTAAAATTCAGAAATCATAGGAAAAACCAACTAAATGAAAATAGCATTACTAACATACACACGATAGAATTCACACATTATACACACAATAAAACACACATACACACACACACACACACACACACACAGAAAAAACAGAAAATGAAAGCTCTAGTACAATTTATTCAACCCAACAAGAGCATATTGGATTACTACAAAATGAGATTGCATGAATTTCAAGCAATGAGGGCAAGTTTATCCTCAACAGTAGTAGTAGCAACAGGTCGAGCCAAGCCTCCCAAGCGCGTGGTGTTGACGTAATCAAACGGGAGATGATTAGTGACACCTGGGAATATTATTCCCACAACCCTAAGAAACCTCATAATCCAATTCTCTTTATACTCTTTGCCTTTCCAAAACTGTATTATAAAACTCCTTAGAAACTCCCACGCACCAATCAACAGTTTTGGAATTAGCCACAACAAGCTGAAGTAGTTCGCGTTTGGTGCATCTTCACTTACCTTCAAATCCCCATTTAATCATGTCATAATGAATATCATAAAAGGATGCTTAAGAAAAATGCTGAAAAATAAGTCTAAGTTGAAAGAAATAGGCTAGTTCCTTTTCTTTTCCATCGAAGAAATACACTATTTTCGTGTTTAGATTTTTGTTCGAAACAGATTTTTTTAAAATAGTTATGAAGCTCGAAATATAGATTATTATCTATCATGTCAATTTCATCTGAAAAAATGACAATTCTCTTTAAAGTCCAAACTATTGTAAAAGTTTCTTCCTTTCCACTCTCTCTCTCTTTTTTTGTCGTTTTAAATAATTGAGCAAGACAAAACAAATAATTGGATACATGGATGCTGTAGTTTACCTTTCCTTTGTAGAGACTGTTGAAGTAATTGCAAGATCCATAGTGCTTGAATGAGAACAAAACCTTGTCATCAAAGGGTATTCTAGGCACGATATCGTTATTATAAACAAACCTCTCATACTCAATTCCATGCTTTCTTATCACATCCTTCATAAACTCTCCAAACTCCTCGTCTCCTATACGTGGCTGTCCAAATGTGTAGACTCCTTGTAGCTTATCAAGGAGCTCATTTTCACCATGAACCGCAAGAATCGCCGGGAAAAGAGCAGCAATTGCACCTCCGAGGCTATGACCCGTAAGAATAAACTTAAGGTTCTTGTCTTTGGCAAGCATGTCCCTAAGCTTTTGTCTAATAGTGTAGTAAGCATATTGACGTCCGATGGCTATGATTTCTTTAGGCCATCCGTTTTTTTGGAGGCCAAGAGCTCTAGAGAACCCGGCGTGGACTTTTCCAACGTTCTTGAACTCGTACCTAATTTAAATGTAAATGATATATGAATTAGGAAGAGGGAAAATACTGATGTAGATATATAAAACATATATACGCACCAAGAGATGTCGAGATCAGTGCACCAATCATCAGTGTCGAAAGGTTCGGTTCCTCTGAAGCTAACGACGATGAGGTTCGGATTTGTGCTCGACGCCTTACATACAAATGCTTGCGTGATGTTTCTTTCTTGGAACGCTGACCACACAAACGAAAACGTAAAATTAATCGATGTTTAGTTTTCCAAATGTTGTTTAGATTTGTTTCAAATTATTATTTCAATTTTCAAGGTTCTTATAAATTTTATATTTAAAATGAAATTTGTTGATGTAAGAATAAAGAGTAAATAATTATTTGGAAACATAGGAACTCCTATAGTTTTTCTTCCTCTCTTAAGCCCATATAGATCCTAAGTCAAAACTCATAATAATCCGTCGGACTTGCTAATAATCCTATAGTTTTTGGCTTAGGATCTAGCTCGAAATATAGATTATTATCCGTCGGACGACACACTTAAAATCAGTAGGGTCACTTGCTGAGACTTAGTTGGCATTTATTTAACACGATAATATGGTGTAGAGAACTACTCCATATTTAGCATTAATTATTATTATTAGTTATTCCTTCCATTTGTTTATATTTTTGTCAACGACTAGTTGGCACTTATATCATCATGATCTCGTAGAACTTTTTTGTAGTATAAATTGAAAAGCATTTATTTGATTTGTCCATCCGTAAAAACTCTATAATTAGTATTACTATCAGTAATTTTCTCTACGTACATATCTAATTATGTGTCTTTTTTGTTGCTAAAGTACGTACATGTCTTCAAGGTTATGTTTTCTGTATTGCTCTTTTAATTGCTTTATGACTTTTAAAGCTTTATATATGACTTTTCTGTGTCGATCTTTTAAATGCTTTATGACCTAAACTCTAAAATGGGAAAGGAAAAACTTTTCCTATAAAGAACAAAGCGTTGTATTTAATTTACCATTGTAAAAATCGTAGTAAGCCACGAAGTCCATCTGCATCACAGGATAAATTACAGTCATACAGAGAAAGTGAAAAGTAAAACAAACATGTAGTACATTATTTGCTCTTATTTAGGACGAAGTTTATTATCAATAATTAAAAATCATAATTAACAGTGGAAAATCCAAATATATTCGATAAAGAGTGATAATTAAAAAACGTCAATTAGGTCATGTAACTTTTAGTTTTTTAATCGAATTTTAAGCTATTTTTACGATATAAACAAACGAGAGAAGAAAAATAGTTGTAGCTAAAACAAGAACAAGAAGAAAAATGGTATTAAAAAAAAAAGAACACGAAGAAATGAAGTGAACCTTCCAAGTGTTCTTGACGACGGAAGTGATGAAAGATTTGTTCTCATAAGAGACCTTAGATGCCATTATTGACAGCATCGAGTTGTATTCGATGGTGCCAGCATTTATTTTCTCGTCAAGCTCCACTCTTCGATCCGTGCATCCTACGAACGATGTATACGTCGCCGACGATTCCTCAGGCTTCACCATATTTCCTGTCACAAATCCAGCATTTGGGTTATTCCTGTGAAAATACTTGCCAGCATCATCCACAAAAATCAAAATGTTCGGATTAATTGTCTCAAATTTTATATATTCTTCCAACTAGAATATTAATTAAACTTTTTTCCTCGCCAAACGATGAAACGAATTAGCTCTTGATCTTATACATCATATTATTTAGTTTACTTTTGTCTTTGTGCTGTAGCGTCTTGCATGTCAAGTAATACTCGTTCTGTCACAAGTCCGTTTGAAGTGCGATAAGTGTCATATTGGTCACTATGGTCAGGTCCAAAAGTCCGATGGGGTTGTTAATAAATGGGACAACATGATATCTGGTCTTTGAGATTTTAAAATTATGGTCCTTGAGATGTGAGATTTTTTGGGGTACTTATATCTTAAAGAAACAACTTAAACCTTTTTAAGTTGAAGAATTTGGTAACAGTGAAAAGAAGGAAACAACTTAAAAATTCTTCAAGTTCAAGAGTTTGGTAATAGAGATATATATAGAGATCGTGAACATATATAAGAATGTCATTGTTAGATATCTTACCCGTCAAAAGGTGAAGTATCAACTTGAAGAAGCCTCCATTTGCGGTAAGAAGATTTGGAAAATAGGTGAGAAAACGACCTAGGAATGCAAAGGGCTTTCTTAAGAACATCAATATCTTTTGAACCAAAATGGCCAACACAATGATCCATCGACTCGCGAAACTTCTCCGGACGCTTTTGAGCGTATCCGGTGGAGAGTCTATGAATCTTGTGCTGGTTAGGTTGGGGGAAAACAAAAGGAGAAGGAGATCAAGAACATTTGCTTTGGTCGGATCGACCAGAAAATAACTATTACAGAATTTCATGTCGGCTTCGGACATTATCAAAATATGAAAGGAAGCAAAAATTGCCAAAATATGAAGAAAGAAGTGATTTTGGTTGATTTGTGTGTCATGCAACCTAGAGCAAGGCTACGTATTTATAGCGCTAGTAATAATTGGGATCGTAATTTTTTATTATTTTTATAACTTTATAGTTGAGACAATCATACAAAGGAGGGCCTCGTGGCCATTAATTAAAAGCCCTCGTTTTTCTTCACGTGCGAAATAATATTTCAAATGAAACTATCGATTTACATTTTAACCTAATTGACCAAAACCTCGAGTTGATTTTATCTAATCAAGAACAATTCTTTCATAATACATTAATATACGTTTTTACTCTTAAGAATCAACAAATATATATTATAAATAGTTTTAATAAAAGTCTAAATACCAAAGAGTCTTAATGTTCAAATCTCTTCTACTTCTTCCATGTACTCTTGAATTAATTAATGTTCAATAAAATAGCAAAAAAAGTTTCCAGTGTTTGTAAAATCAAAATAAGTTTCTCTATATCTATATATATAAACTTAAAGTAGCTAGAGCCGAAGCGATAGTAAGGTAGTAATAAATGTATATAGATGTGAGCAGATGGACATAAAATTACAAAAGCAGCAATAGTTACAAACTTTTGTTTTTGTATGTGGATTAGCTGGTCTTAGTCAAGGCAACCGGTTTGGCTATTTTAAGTAAAACAATTGTATGGAAATGAACTATTTTGATACCATATATGATCATGATAAAGAATTGCAAGTATCTTTTTGGAAAGAAAGCTCTTTCATTGCCTTATCTGTTTTGATATATCTTTATGAAATGAAACTATAACCATTGGATTCGTACAAACAAGAAAACAACAACTGAAGTGGGAAAAAAGAACTAAGGAATATTTCATCCCTTATTAAGCAACTAAGAGAAATTAAAAAAACGTAAATGAAATCATCCATTATTTAGTCTGAATATATATACTTAGTCGATATATCTTGAATTGAGTTTCCTCAACACGCCTTGGCCTTTCGTATGCTCATCATATTATTAAATATTGAATTTCAAGCAATAAGGGCAAGTTTATCCTCAGGAGTAGTTGTAGCAACAGGTCGAGATAAGCCTCCCAATCGTGTGGCATTGACGTAATCATGTGGGAAATGGTCAGATGCACCAGGTAATACTATTCCCAAAATCCTTACAGACCTCATCGTCCAATTCTCTTTGTACTCTTCGCCTTTCCAAAACCCTATTATGAAACTCCTTATAAACTCCCACACACCATTCAACAGCTTCGGTATTAGCCACAACAAGCTCATGTAGTTCGCATTCGGTGCATCTTCTCTTACCTTCAATTCCATAAACATGTAAGAATTAATGAATATAGCAAAAAAAAAGCTTATTCGGTAAATAACTAAATGGAGATAAATTTTTTTTTTTCAGAAAGTTGATGTCTTTTATTTGTTATAGCGGGTGATGTGTGTAAGCAAAAAATAAAAAATAAAGAAAGTTGATGTGACATTTCATCCTGTTATAAATAAGTGGTCTATTTTATCGCATATCTTTTCGAAAAACTAGTATATATTATGTAAAAGAATGTAACAATATGATTCTTTGAATAAAAAAATGCATGTGAAATGCATGCTATCTTAGAAATCATGGGTGGCAAATGACATATCTACTAAAATGTCAATCGCCCATTTTGCAAATAAAATATAGTGCTATTACTATATAAATAAAAAGAATAATAAATTTTCTAAATATAGGTTCATTTGAGAAATGACAATTCTCCTTAAGGCCAAATTAAAGTTTCTTAGTGCCCACTTTAATCTCCACCTTTTTTCTTGTTTTCTTATCAATAATTGTGCAAGACAAAACAAAATAATTGGATAGATCGGATGCTTTGGTTTACCTTTCCTTTGTAGAGACTGTTGAAGTAATTGCAAGATCCATAGTGCTTGTATGCGAATAAAACCTTGTCATCAAAGGGCACTCTTGGCACCATATCATTGTTATAAACAAACCTCTCGTACTCTATTCCATGCTTTTTCATCATATCTTTCATAAACTCCCCAAACTCCTCGTCTCCTACACGTGGCTGTCCAAATGTGTAGACTCCTTCTAGCTTATCAAGTAGCTCATCCTCACCGTGAAAGGCAAGAATCGCCGGAAACAAAGCAGCTAGTGCACCCCCAAGGCTATGACCCGTCAGAATAAACTTAAGGTTCTTGTCTCTCGCAAGCATGTCCCTAAGCTTTTGTCTGATAGTATAGTAAGCATATTGATGTATGAGACTTATGTTTTCTTTGGGCCATCCGTTCTTTTGGAGACCAAGAGCTTTCGAAAATCCGGCGTGGATCTTGCCAACGTTCTTCAACTCGTACCTAATTTAAATTAATTTGGAAATATATATATATATATATATATATATATGATATAAGAATAAAGAAAAGTATTATAACGATGTATGTATATACAGAACATATATAGACGTATCATCTATCTAAATATACGTAGTTACGTACCAAGAGACGTCCAGATCAGTACACCAATCATCAGAGCTGAAAGTTTCGGTTCCTCTAAAGCTGACGACGATGAGGTTCGGATTTGTGCTCGAGGCCTTGAATACGAAGGCTTGCGTCAGTTTGCCTTCTTGGTACGCTGACCACAACATATAAAAATGTAAATGTTCAGCGACTTGTTTTCAAATGTTATTTAGATTTGTTTCAATCTATCTTTCAAGTTTTTACAGAATTTTCAAATTTTGTAGTGAAAAGCAAATTTGATGCTGTAAAAAGTATACTTTTAAAAACTAGGAACGCTGAATCGCTGATGGTTTTTCAAACAAGAATTTTATATGTGAATAAATCTCGAGCTTGACAAGAAAAAGGATCTTGATTGATGATAATCTATACTTCCTCTGTTTCATCGTTCAAGTAAAGATTTATGTTGTAGAAAAAAAAAATAATAGTTTTCGTTATATCGTTCTAGTATATTTTGAGAAACTTGGCCTCTGGACTCGGACAAAACACGTGAATTTTTTGATTTTGTGTCCCCAGTTATATTCTTGTTGACTAAGAAAATTTAATAAATGGTTAAAAATGGCTAGATAAAAAATGCAACCAACGTATTGAAATTTAGTTGGGAAATTAGAGCTTACAGATGTAATCAGATGCAGCCAACTGACATATATGTTTTTTTTTTTAAAACCACGTACGTAAACTTAACTTTATTTGTATTCTACGCATTTGTAAAAGTTACGAAAAAAACTCATTACTACTCTTTAGCTTAAAATCATTTTCTTTTTACATTTACTTCTAAATTCATTAAAGTAAGCTGCTACTTATCATATCAGTAGGGTCGATCTGTTTCTCATTTATTTCGACACGATATGGTATAGAGACCAATCTGGCATTTATATACCATCATGATCTCGTAGACCTATTTCTGTAGCATTATAAAACAACATATAATGAGAAACATTACGTGCATCTTACATCTATTTCTATTTACAAGTTTATGTTTTCTCAGTTTTCTGTATTAACCGGACTTTGGAGGTTTTATTTATACACTCAAATCAAGTTATTCCAAAAACACAAACGGGTACAAAAAACATATCATAAAAAGAATAGAGCACACAGCATTTGATTTACCGTTGTAAAAGTCGTAGTAATCCACGAAATTCATCTGCAACACAGGATATAAAATTCATACAGAGTGAGAAGTAATAAAAAATTAGAAATATACTTCTGTAAATTCACGCATTCAGTATTACTATAAGAGTCTAAGATATCGTTTGTTTGCCTTTATTAATATGTAAAAACAAAATTATTATTGAAAATAATGTTAGAAAGTAGAAAACGCCCCAGGATAAAGAAAACTGTTTCTATGATTACCTTAATATAATATATACACACATATTAATAATTAACACGAGATGGTAAAAATCCTATTAAAAAGGACAGAAGCAGAAAAAAGTTAACCTTCCAAGTGTTCTTGACGACTGAAGTGATGAAAGATTTGTTTTCATAAGCGATCTTAGAAGCCATTATTGACAACATCGACTTGTACTCAATGGTACCAACACTTAACTTCTCGTCAAGCTCTACTCTTCGATCTGAGCATCCTATAAACGAAGCATATGTGGCCGACGATTCATCAGGCTTCACCAACTTTCCTGTAACAAAAAAGAAGAAGAAGAAAAGTCTTTAGTGTTCTTAAAACCTAGATCTAGAAGACTATTTCTTTTCTTTTTTACCAAACTAGTCTTGATGCAATATTTCATTATATAATTTATTCAGTATTTGTGTACTATAGCGTCTTGCATGTAGAGTAATCCTTGTTCTGTTACAAATCCATTTGAAGCGGGATAAATGTCATATTGGTCAAGTCCAAAAGTCCGATCGGGGTTATTAATATATGATATATGGTCCTTGAGATCTTTGAACTGATCTTGTAGTAAAATCTCTATAAAGTAATAACGTTGGGACCACAATATTTAATTACTTTATCGAGATTATTAATTTATGGAGGGATAATTAGACCAAAAACTGAATTTGGGACTTGAAAATTATATTCATTTATCGAGGTATTACTTTATCGAGTATTACTTTATAGAGGTTCTATTGTATTATGTTTTTTGGAATACTTATGTCAGTATGTAATAGATGGAAATAAGTTAAAACTTCTTCAAGTTCAAGGATTTGGTAATAATCATAAGTTGAAGTTAAAAAAAGGATAGTGAGTGAAAGTATGCTATAGTTAGATCTCTCACCTGTCAAAAGCTGATATATCATGTTGAAGAAGCCTCCATTTGCCGTAAGAAGATTGGGCCAATAGGTGATCCAAACACCTATGAATGCCAAGGGTTTTCTTAGGAATATTAATACTTTTTGAAGCAGGACGGCCATCGCGATGACCCATCGACTCGCGAAACTTCTCCGGAAGCTTTTGAGCGTATCCGGGGGAGAATCTATGAATCGTTTGCTGGTCAGATTTGGGGAGAACAAAAGGAGAAGGAGATCCGAAACACTTGCTTTGGTTGGATCTACTACAAAATAACTATTGCAGAATGTCATTTTGGGTTTGGACATTCTCACAATACGAAAAGAAGAGAAATATTTTGAACGAAAATAAGAAGTGAGTATGGTTGATTTGTGAGTCATGCAACCTAGAGCGTGGCTACGTATTTATAGCGGGATAATAATTTCTATTTATTTATTTTAACTTAAAAGTTGATACAATCATACAAGGCCTTGTGGTCATGATCGATCAAAAGCCCTCGTTGTTTTTCACGTGTGATATAATCATATAAAAGTTGTAGGTTTTTTCTTAGAGCAAAATAAAATAAAATAAGTCTACAACGGAATAATTAATCTACAGACTAATTTCTACAGCATTTAATATACAACTGTACACCAACCAATCATCCACTCCTACTTCTATCATTTTTCAGATTTTTTATATTCAATCAGCATTTCTCCAAAGTTTGTAGTGATGACTGAGGATGTATGTGATGAATCTGATGATATTCCATATGGTATAAATGGATGGGAGCTTACACTTGGTGTTATAGTATGGATTCAAAGAAGATAATGTGCGAGTTGTAATTTGTAAACCACATTTATTTTCCCATTGTGAATCAGAACCACGTAGAAATTTTATGAATAATTTTCTCTTTTAATACAAAGATGGAGAAATTATTTTTCGTATGAATCTAAACATGGACTGATCTGATCCAAGTGGAGTGGTGGCAGGCAGCTATCCCCAGTTTATTAGTAGTATTTATAAGAGTTATGCACTAGCTTGTAAACACTACACTGTAATAATTGGAAAAGTGAAAACTCATAGACGAAATGGTGCCGGCAAAAAAAAACTAATACACGGAATGGTGAAAATCTTCATTTTAATCCAAAAGCCGCCCATGCCCATTTCTTTTACAAACGAGTCAATATGCATGATATCACTTTTGAAGAATTTTTTTTTGTTTTCTGGATAAAAAGCTGGTAGACGATATTACTATGCATTACTATAAAACTTTGATTTAAAACCGTCAGGATAATATTCATAATTTATGCTCACTCAAATAACCACCAAGTTGGCTTGGTTTTGAATCAAAATCTGAGAAATTGTCACTTGATATTACATGGTTCATTATTATACTAGATCTAGATGATTGACTCACACCAATTTCCTTTTTTATTTTTAAATGAGTATAAGAAACTTTTATATTTTAGTTTCATTATCTTACCAATAAAATTTGATCTATTACGATTATGATCACGATTCACAAGACTTGCCAGGCATGGATTTCTCTTAACGGTTTAATTACTCTAATTACCATCATCGAGATACTTGACATGTCAAAAAATATAAATATAAGATTTTATACAATTTTGCCACCAAATAGAAGATACTTTAGTATACTTTTTCGGCCTTTGACTCTCTCGTTTGGCTACGGATTTACTCCATTACACTCTATCGTAAAGAAAATCCAAATCTTAATGATTGAGAGAAAAATAATGTACTATCCGAGGAAGTGGGTGTATATCAGATCAGATCTTGAGAGAAATTGTCTATCTTACATATGAATTTGTTTATGCGTTATATATGATTTTGGAATTTGCTCAACAACAGAATTCATTTATGCATCAAGGGACATTAATATTTCTTCCACAAAATGTAAAAACCTAACTAATACGGGTGCTGCAAATAGGAAATTAAGATCAATATAATACATGACGTTTAAGTCCTTCTCAGTTTTCACTATAATTAAGGAAAAATAAGGGACAATACCATTAGGAAAACTATAAGTAGAGATCCGAGAAATAGACTGGGATCAAAAGTCAAAAAAGCTAGTAATGAATCAAAAATAATTATTCCATTTGGTGTTATCATGTTTGTTAACGTGTAATTAGACATAAGTAAGAAAATCATTTTAGCTAACTATTTTGTTGAACCACGTGAATTGTTTCAAACGCGTCTGTTTCGTTGAATAAATTGGAGATGAATCTGCCGAGAGATCTGCATTTATTGTATATGTATATTTACACTACAGTCGTAATGAATATGACGCATGGGTAATACCGTAATAGACTTTAGGTGTTCGAAAAGTGTGTCGTGTGCGTTTTTTTTTTTTTTTTTTAAACGTTTGTACACTTTTTACCTTTAAGCTCCAGTAAGTTTTTCTTTCTAAAACTGTTTTTTTCTTCCTTATAATTGAATGAAAATGTATATAAGCCGAGTGAGAATGAGCGTTTGGCTTAGTCGTGTGCGTTGCCAACGTTCATTTTAGTCTCTCCAAAAACAGTGGATCGTCACTTAGAATACAAACCTCAAATAGAAAGAAAGTGTATTTTATTGAATGGATGAGTAATGAGGTGATGCAAGGTAGTTGTCCAATCAGAATCAGCATGGGAACACATTAACACATCATATCTCCTGTGACAATGTGACATTCACTCAAACCATAAACAAAAACAAGTTGGGGCACGCGAAAAATAAATGATCATGATCTCTTCAATAAAACAACCCAAATTCTTCCTCATGGATTCGTGGACATCTGATCCTTTACTGCAAAACCAAACGATAAAAACGAACAATGGCACAATTTACGAGAACCACATAATCTTATTTTATTCCTTCTTACTTTGGCAAGTTTGAGTATGTGCCTCACGTCTTCGAAACCAGAATAATAATACTCCTACCACTCTGACTTTGAGCCAGTTTAACCAAACGAACTAGTTGTCTTTCCAATTTGGTCGTCTTTTTGGTATGAATGTTAAGAACAACTTGGCCGTCTTCTCTTAAACCAAGACCGAAAAAAATCTGAAAATCTGAAGATCATCGAAAACTCACTGGAAACATGGTCCACAGCGTTGATGTTGCCGTCGACCACGGTGTTGTAACTTGTACAGCAAGTCATGAATCTTTTCCGATATTGGTTGAATTCAAAAGTATTAATGACTTTACCTTAGGAGTTCAAAGGCCGCAAGAAAAAAAAAATTAAGGTCCATAAATTAAATTTTTTTATTTGGTTTGTTGGTCAAACTAAGAATTTGTAAATTATAACAAAAATAAGTTGACCACTAAGAAAGTGTATTTAATTATTTACCACTAAATTGCAAAAACATTCTACTAAAAGGAAAGGGCCAATAAAATAATTATATAAATAATGGTCGCAAACCCCAAAGTTGGCATGTTTAGTCTAAGTGCTGAGTTCTTGTAAACCGGTAAACTATTAAGCAAGACCTCCGACCAAAAAAAAGTGTCTTCACATATTCCTTTGTATGAAGATCTCAATCTCTTGGCTAAATTGCTACTTCGATATAAAAAACAGTGAGACCACATTGTTCAAGAACTACTGGATCTAACACATACTTATGAAGGAACCAAAGGCAGCATCCATAAACAACTCGTACCAACAACACAACCATTGAAAAAGCCATATAAATCCAATTAAAATCCGGTTTTCAATCAATTCAATCACCAAATGACACTCAAGCTAAGATCTCTATACATCCTTGAATCAAAGAATATACATAGCTTTTTGCTATGTTTGATAAACTCACTTACGGTATAAAGATAAAAGAAATTACATAATCAATCATCCATAAAATCTATAAATTTGCCAAATCGGCTTACAAGATTTCTTTGGGTTTTTTACTGAGTAATCATAAGAAAAGAAAAGAAAAAGAAAAAAAAAAACCAAGAAACTAGTTGGTAAAAGTTAAATTATCCAAACAAATTCAGAAAAACCAAAGTTTTTTCTTTGATTCTCCTCATTTAACTTCCTATCTCCCTCAAATTACTTCCCTCCATTGTTATCTTTTGACCACTCAAATCTTCACATCATCAACCTCAAAACAGAAACACCAGGCAAATGAAAAGGCATAAACACCAACTTGCCTTCAGTGTTCTGATGAGGCCATTTGCATAGAAGATTCGACGAATGGTAAAAAAACTCAAACAGCTTAAGGCCTTCCTATCTTCTTGGCTTCTCTGCAGTGTTTAGCCCTGTTGTCTTGCAGATTGGGCAAAGATTCTTCACCTTCAGCCAATCTTTGATGCACGGGCTATGGAAGTCATGCCCGCATTCCAGCGTTCCCACATCTTCTCCTTCCTTGTATTCCTCCTGCAGTATTTGCCACCAAGTTTAAGCCAAAAGAAAACTTGCAAGGCCTGTGACTTAAACCTAAGAACAGAGTAATTTACCTGACAAATACAGCATGGCTCAACTTCTTGGGTAGATCCTGTGCTACTTTTGTATTTATGTTCCTTCAATCGGTTTGAAATGGTATCATCATTCAGACCGGTACAAACATCTCCAATCCTCTCTTCTAGAGACAATAGCTCCTGAAAATATTTGATTCTCACAACAGGTTAATATACTGAGCTCGCAAATTAATGGTTATTATGGGTTTGCTCTGGCTTTACCTCATATGACATGTTGTCAACATCAAGCCGCATGTCTCTATATCGGTCATTAACATCAGCTCCACCTAGCATCGACTGATTCAGAAGCATAACATCCTGAACAAAGCAGCAGAAAAATGATTAAACAACTAATTACAAATAGAAGCTGTGATACACAAGATTTTGGGTTAAAAATGAAAACAGCAAAGATATGAGATATAGTAGACAAGATTGGAGTATTCATTTGTCAGGTTGGATTCTGGAAAAACGTACCTCCATACGCAAGTTCCCTCCCCTACGCATCTGATCCAAGACAGTGCGGATCCGCTTTAAAAAGAGAAGCACAATTGTCAGCTCTACATAAGCAGTCTCTCAAGAAAACCATAAGAAACACTAATCTTGATGTGAAATGAAACTAACCTCAGATGCCGCAAGAGTTCTTCTTCCTCGGCTTGTGGAAGCCAAGCCTCGCAAAGAATGAGAAACGCCAGATGCAATTTGCCCTTGTCCTGGACCTGCTCTCGCGTGAGCCCGGTTCTGCACCTGAAAGGTGTTATCGCCGCCAGGTTGAAGCACATGTTCGACAGGAGAGGCAGGAGGGACCACGGAACGAACAGCAACTCTCTGGTTTGCAAGAGCAGCAGAAAGCAAAGACCTACGATTATGTTCAGATAACCTTCTTGGAACATGTGGCTGGTGGTTCTGGTAAGGACTCCAAGCTGGAGGCGCCGACGACGGTGATAGCTGGCCACTTGTCCTGGATGAAGACGAGGATGCAACATGCCTAGCTGCTGCACCACTTGTGTTTCTCCTGATATGCTCGAGGGCATGGTTTCTCATTTGAGCTTGAACAAACGAGGGATGCTCTAGAATGGTGCTTCTTCCTCTGGTTTCATCTCGGGGAACGACATCAACAGGAGCAGCAGAACTCGATGCTCCACCCGCTACTGCAGAGCTCCCACTCCATTGAAATGGTGGTACCATGTTTCTTAAAGCAGGAGAAGGCATACGAACAGCAGAGCCATTAGGGTTCTGAGGAGTAACACTGCCAAAACCATGTCTGTATCCGAAGTCAATCAGTTGTTGATCAATCGGTAGAAGTCCCGGTGCGTTCGAGGATGGAGCAACTGGTCGCCTGATAACACTTCCTGCAGAGAAGACAGATGGGCTTACAGTTCCTTGTTGAACAGTGGGGTTAGAGAAGTTTCTGCTGGAGCTCTCTGTGGTGGCAGGAGCAGAAAGATTTGGAACTGTGCCAGAGACTGATCCCCTTGGACCATGGTCAAGAGATATGTTCAAATCATTACTCGCTGGGCTATAAAACACAGGAGTTGAGACCCAAGAACTGCTCTCTCCACGATGAAACTCACGGAAACTTCCTCCGCTTGAAGATGGCTGACCAATGCCGGCATCAAGAGCTTTTCTTTTACAAGATCCAAGACGCCCATCTACAGATGAACCTGCTCCATTAACCTGGAAAAGACTAGGTTGACCTGTGACAGGACTCATATCGTCAAGATGCTCATTGTACTCTGCATTCAGATTGACATTGCGAACAACGCGGTTTCCACTGGACGAAGATTGCATGAACAAGTTTCTCTGCTCCTCAAAACGTCCCATTTGCATCCACTGCTCACTTTGACTAGCGGCTTCGTTCTTCGGACCGCTAGAGCTAGCCTCACCAGGGCTAAACCTGTGCAGGCCGCGCTGCTGCTCAAGATACAAAGTAGTGTTTGCATTTGTATCAGCAGCTGAGATCAAGTAATCATCGTTATCACCAAGCCAGTGAATCGGCGTATCTATCACAGCATTGCTAGATGAAGAGCCATGCTCAAAGTTCAATGCCTCTGACAAAGAACCGATACTGGCCCTCTCTCCCTGCATCTTAGCTTAACCAAAGTCTGACACTTGAAGGAATTCAGCAGACTCTCACCACTCTCCGCAATGCTGAAAACTACAACAACAGAAAAAAAAGGAAACATCTTTCAGTAACAAAGATAAAGAAAAGAGCTTTACAATTGAAAACAGTTCCTCATAAGCAAGCAATGGTGATCCACAATTGAAGATGCAACTGTGCAATTCAAGATGCAAGCAAAAGTGATATATGCAAAGCCTAATCTTAAGACCACAAACCCAGTTGAAATTTTAAACCTTTTCACTAGGTTAATCAGATATTAAAGCTGCATTATCAATTTGACACATGAACTTCAGAATTAAACAACCTATATAACCAATGGCACTTGGAACAGACATTAGCTACGACAAGGATAACATAAAAAAATCAAAACTTTCAGCAAAATCTCAACTTCATATCTCAACCTCAATACAAAGCTATCATAAATCAACAACTTGAACATAGAAGCCTTATTAGATAAACAAAATCACACACAGAAATCAGAAAAATATAACCTTTTTGCCAAAACCAACACTAAAACACAGGTTCCTAAAGCAAGAGATCCAACCTAAAAACCCATTGCAAACAAATAAAAAAGACTAAATTTTTTTCACTCACGAGATTCTATCGATTTTAAGACGAACAAAACACACAGAAGAATATAACCCACCAATCCGATTTCACCAATTTCAATCGAGCTTCTAAAAAAAAACACAACAGAGAAATTTAAAACCAAACAAAGAGACAGAGAAAAGGAATCGATCTGAGAAGGTTTGGTGAGAGAGAGAGAAAAGGAGAAACGTCAAGGTTCTAAATTTCCTTAGATTCTTCTTCGCAAACACATTCAAAGAAGAAACCGATTGCGGAGAAAAGAGGTTAAAAAAAGAGAGAAAACAAACCACTTTTTTTCCTGCAGAGAGAGAGAGAGAGAGGAGATGATGATGGAGAATGAGGAAAGCGAAGCGAAGCAACACAAAAACCAAATGGGAATAGAATCCGGAGATTATTAGGAAGACAAACACAGTAATATAGGTAAATTCACATTTAAACCAAGCAATATATTTATATAATAGTCTAAGATTCAAATTTTAAAATATGACAATACCATTAAACATCAGAAGTAAAAAAGAAAGAAAAATGAAATTTAAGGAAATTGGGTTTTTCATAAAAAGTCAATCAAAAGAGCAGTTTCCAAAGACAGAATTGAATAGCTATCTAGCAAAAGAGAGAGGTACGAATCATACACGCACACACAGACACGCAAAATTTTATAGTAATAAATTTATATACACAGAGAGAGAGGATCAGGATTGTAACGTGAATGAATGTGTATGTGTATGTATACAAGACTCAGAAAAAGCAAGTTGGGCAAATTAAGACGAGAAGTTGTCTTTGTTCCCTTCTCTTCTGTCTCCTCTCACGTCCAACCAAACGCACGCGGCCTCTTTTGCTTCTTCCTTCCTTCTCTTCTTTCCTTTTCTTTATTTACTCTTAAATTTTAAAGTGTTTTTTTTTTTTTAACTTATATTTAAAGTTGAAACGAATCCAAAGCTAATTGTGTTACCAAAACCAATTGTCAAAAAGATTTTTAGACAATTCAAAGTTCAAGCACTTTGTTTCTTTTTGGTGATAAGTGTGTACATGCATGTTTAGTATATATCTGTGCATTATCAATCTACTTGTTTGATTATATTAGTATAGATATATACGTTTTTAAGTTGATATATATTTGAAGTCATGAACAATGTTTTTGTTTGTGTTACGATAATACTTTGTATGGCTCTTAAAAGCTTATAGATATTGGAATTTGAGATGGATATATATCCTTGAAAATTACCAAATTGTAATTTTTGATTTTATACTCAAATGGGTTTCTTATATCCTCCTATACTTATACTTAGTTCGAATATATCTCTTATTTAGGGAAATTTCAATATTAATACATGAACTTAATTTCTATGACTAACTTAATACACGTACCTTTTTTTTCATTTCCGAAACAATACCTCCACTAATACTTTTTTTCCAAAATAATACGTCACCCTAATATTGACATATTGTACCAATTATCATCACCAACTTAACGGAGAGTTAACTATTACTAACTTATAAAAATTATCAATTTACAGAAAGAAAAAAAACAATAAAAATCCAGAAATTCAAAAGAAAAATCTCAAAATTATTTTAAAAATACAAATTAAAGTGTAAGATTTTCAAAAATTCAAAAATAAAATATTTTATAGTAAAAAGACAAAAAATAGTACTCCCTCCGTTTCATAATAAGTGTCGTTTTCACTCTTCACCTACCCAATGTATTTGGATATATATGGATGTATTAAGACTCAAAACACATCTAGATACATCAATAAATAGTCCAGATTCATTTTAACAAAATGACACTTATTATGAAACGGAGGGAGTATTCTAACTTTTTCAACTGAAGTTACACTAACTTTTTTAGGGAAAATATAAAAGTATTCTTTTAGAAAACTAAAGATTCCCACAAATAATCTGTAATTTTTTAGTTTATAATTTTTTATTTTTGGAGTTTATATCTTATGAAGACCAGAGTTGTGACTTAGGCTTAATGTGCTCGACCGATCTATCTTTTTAGCGATTTGTTTGCCATTTTATGGAGGTATAGTGGCGGTGGATTCTCTAGAGGAACGAATTTGGTGTCACAGTGGCGATAAATTCTTAGTGTTTTAATGCTACTTGTTTTGAAGGAGCGTGTGATTATTGAAATGTTTTTCTGGTAGTCTATGTTGAGAGTGGCTTCTTGAAGGCTGCTTTCATCGGCGGCGGCTCTAGAGTTGGTGCCGGATCACCTCTTTCCTATTCATATATGTCTTCTATTCCTCCTCCAACAAGAATCCAGGTGGCGGCATGAAGGTAAACGTGGTTCTTTCTCAATGGGGTGTTAGTTCATCGCATCGTTGGCTGCAATACTCAATCATCGATGGCCACAGCTTTTTCTCACTCTTATTTTGTGCGTTACCGGCTAGACGTGATTTAAGAATTTTTTTTTGGCACACATGACTAAACTAGCTTTAATTTAGGATTTAATTTGCTTGTATTTGTTTTGGAGATTTTATTAGTTTAGTTTTTTTTTCTTTATAAAGGGCAAAAGAAAAATACGAAAAATTACAGTTTCATTATTTTTAAAATAAGTTTTTTAGTAATTTTTAAAATAAACAATACTATCTATACATAGAAAATTACCATTCGAAGAAAATATTATTTACATGTAAATTTTTCCTACATGTTTTCTTAATGTTTTAGTTTGGAATAGTTTTTTTTTATATAAGAAAATTTTAGGCATATAAATTTTGTAAATTTTATATAAAATTCTATGTTGATACTCACTATAAAACATGTAAGATCTACATCGAGGCCCGGCCCTGACCTAATGCTAACAATGCAGAATTATTGGGTCCTGCAATTGTTTTAAAATTTTATTTATAGTTTTAAGGTCCTAAAGTTTCAAAATGTTCCAGAAAATGTCCTAAATTTTTAAATGTATCATTTTTTATACATATTTTAATTTTTTTATTGAACAAGGCCAATACTTATTTGAACCGGATATGACTATGTCCTTAACATGAATATGAGCAATAGCTAAAATCACTTGTTAAGATGACTAAGAGCATAGGTTACAGTTTTTTAAGATGAATAATCTTAAAAGAATATGGATGACATTTAATGAAATGAATTTTGAATGACAAGAGAAACTACTATGGTCATTGATCAAAAATAGAGAAACAAGCTTACTTTTAAAAAAACCTGAAATTTATTATTAAAAATAAAGAAAAGCATACCTGTTATACTTTTGACTATCCTATAACCGGTATGATTAGAAAATAAAAGATAACCTGTTACACCAAAAACACTGTCAATACACTTTGAACAAAAATACCAATGATAAGATTATTCAAAGAAGAATACAAATAAGGCACATACAAGACACATATAGTGATCTCACATGGTAATACAGAGTCAAAATAGAATATATAAAATGCTTGGTGAAAAATTCAGTATATTAGGTATACACTGTAAGAAGAGGAAACTGAAGAAGAAAAGATGTTAACGTTCCGAGTTAGGATTTTGTTTGGTGAGAAGGAGGCGCCGCCTGTATCTTCCCGAGAACTTTTAAAAAATTAGGTTATGTCATCGTTACTGTAGTTAAATATAAAAAATGACAATAAACTCTTATTGGACCAAATTATGTTTATGGCCCATGAAAAACTAATGGACATGATAACTTAAAAATTATCAATGTTTTTTTTAAAAAGTTAATGATTTCTCAAGATCAATAAAAACTGTGAAGTATATTAAGAATTAAAAAGTATATATCATTCAATAGCACATACCTTTTGTTGGTTGACAAACATATAATAAAACAAAATAAATGAGGTACCTCTAGTTTGTTTTTGTTGTTTAAAATGAGGTATCTCTGACAAACTGAGATACAAAAGGCAGTGAAGAGAACATAAAAAAAAATGGCTTCATACAAAAGTTTTACTGTTTTTCTATTTGCTACCATGATGTTATATCATTAGTTTTTCTGTAGAATTGGAAAAACAAGAGATATGAAAAACTCACATGATAATTTACATAACTCATAAGTCATATCTCTTGTTTCTCCAATTCTACAAAAATAAACCTTCAAAATGTTTCAAATTTCCATAACCTTCAAAATGAGACTCATCAGGTGAGTTTCCATACTCTTAAAATGTTTCAAATTTTGTTCTTTTCAAAAAGTTAAAGGTTAAACAGCATTGCCTAAGCTAATTGGATAATAAAATAAATTAGCTAATAAAAGTCATATTATAAAATAAATTAAACAAAACATCATCTTTCGACCGACCAATATCACCTGATAAATACAAGATGGTAATTATACTTTCTAGCATATATTACAATATACAGTATTTGTTTTGAATTGAGCTATGTCTATGAGTATGTTTTGAATTTTGAAAAGGACACAAATTAAAAACATTTAATCGAAAGATGTCACAACCGTGCGTGAGTCGTTGATTCTATAACCAACCAACCCCAATAGTAACTCTCTATAGCTTACCAAAACCATGAATCTTTCTTCTTCTTCCTTTTCCTCGTCACCGGTTTCCGATTCTCTCTCATCGCCGTCCCTAATTTTTGCTTCCCTCGTCGCTTTCCGGGAGATGAAAGCGTTCGTTTCCGCTTTTCACACCGGAGAAGCTAGACCCTGAGAGAGGTATTAATTAGGGTTTTCGGCGAATTTCCTTAAGTTTTCTGCCCGCACGGATTTTGGAGCTTGCTATTATGGCGGAAGAGAATCGCAAGAATCGAGGCGTTTCATCTGAAGTCGCGATTCCTTCCGGTTTGAACCGGATCAAGACTCGGTTAGCTTCATCGGGTCCTATACCTGAAGCTTCCACCGATTCCGGAAACTATGGTGTTCCGAAACCTCCTTTTGGCCGTAAGCAGAAAAATATTGTTCCTCGTGGAAATGGCAGAATCTCTGGCTCTTCCAAGCAAGGTTTTTGATTTCTCTTATTTATTTATGTTTTTCAAATACTTAAATAGAATCATTGTGTTATGGTTTGATTGATAAACTAGCAGATTAACAGATTATCGTGTAATTTGTTCATATGATCATAGTCATTTTTTTGTTTTGAACTTTGCTTTAGAGAAACAAATTGAGATATGTGCTTGAATTTCAGAAATTGAAGGCAACTCTAGAAATGATTGATTGATCATATTTCTTGCTGGTGATCACTTTTTAGTAATCTTATGTTTCAGAGCATAAAGGGAAAAAGTTGTCGAGGTGGCTTGCTTCATATAAACCCAAGCATTCAGAGAACCCTCCCAAAAATGGTTGCTCGAGTAGTGAGGTAAAAAAAGTGGTCTTTGGTTCATTAAAAGGTTTCCATGGGAGCAGTGGCTTTGTTTAACTGCCTTGTTTTGCTACAGGATGTTAACTTCAAAACCAAGACCTCTCGTAAAGACGAAGAGAGGGTGGCCAAGCTATCTGAAACTAACCTTCCCTCTTGCAAAGTGTCAATCGGTATAAAGAGCTTTTCCCATGAATTGGGGCCAAGGGGTGGTGTTCAAACTGCGACCCCTCGTCCCCACAGCTACAACGATCTGAAGGTACTAATTGTCACAAGGTTTTGCTATACAGTTGATGAAACTTCTTAGAGTTGAGTTCTGTTTTCTAAATTTTTTGTTTCAATTGCAATGATATTCAGGAACTTCTCGGCTCACTTCACTCAAGATTTGACGTTGCTAAGGAGATTGTGGATAAGAAGCTAGATGACTTTGTCATAGATGTGGAAGAGGCTATGGAGAAAATGGATCCATCATGTCCTGAAGATCGAGAAATGGCAGAGGAGTTACTTAAGTTGGCTCAATCCTGTATAGAGATGACATCTGCTCAACTTCGTGCTACTTGCGAGTCTATTGTCCAAGACTTAACCAGGAAAAGGAAACAGTGCCAAGCAGGACTTGTGAAGTGGTTCTATTCGCAGTTGCTTTTTATACTGACTCATTGCACAAGAGTTGTGATGTTTCAGAAGGAGACTGAGCCAATTGATGAGGATTCCTTCCGCAAATTTAAGGAATGTTTAGAAAGCATCCCTGCTCTGGAAAAGAATTGGGTTTCCAGTTCTAGAGTTGATGATTCTGGTTCTAAATATCAGAGGAATGAAGCTGGAAAAAAGTTCAAGAGACAGGACAAAGAATCTTTAGAAGCAGACACAACTTTTAGTTATGGGATACCAGATGATCATAGCAATAACGCTGCTAGAGAAGGTTATGCAGCTCCTAATCAGGGCTTTCCATCGCAGGAATCCCAATTTGATAGTAAAGTGGTGGAACAAAAAAGTTATTTAAGCGATGAGTATCAAGAGAGGATGTCAAATGGGTCTGGTAAAGAGTTAGGTGGATCTGATTATGTAATCTGCAGAATATGTGAGGAAGAAGTTACTATCTCCCATCTGGAACCGCACTCCTACATATGTGCATATGCAGATAAGTGTGAAATAAATTGTTTGGATGTTGATGAGCGCCTTCTGAAACTTGAAGAGATCCTGGAACAGATAATTGATTCACGAAGTTTAAATTCCTTTACTCAAGTTGGTGGCCTGGAAAATACAGTTTTGCAGAAATCTGGAGTTGCATCTGAAGGTTGTTCTCCCAAGGTAAATGAATGGCGGAATAAAGGTGTTGAAGGAATGTTTGAAGATCTGCATGAGATGGACACTGCCTTCATAGACGAGTCTTACACATTTCCTATTAGCGTGAAGAGCCATGTTGGGGCAAAATTTTGCCATCATGGCACATCTTCGTCAAATGGGAGCATCACGTCAGTATCTTCAACAAATACCCCCAGAACAAGTCACTTTGACTCTTATTGGCTAGAGCGGCATAGTCCAGAGCAAGAGGATCTTCAACTGGTTAGTTTCCTGTTTCCACTATGTTCTCTTTTTAGGTATTGATTCGGCTTTATATGTTACTCTACTAGTTTGCTATTGTGCCTTGCAGTATCCATTCTTATAATAGATTCTTTGTCCTTTCTCTTGAAATTGGATCAAATTAAGCATGTGGTGTTGTCAGATTCGTTAAATCCTTATTGTCTTTAGTCAACAAACTCTTGATGCTTATACTTTTGCCATTATTTACTGACCGTGATAATGGCTAGAGAATTTCTCCTCTCTAGGTTTTATAGCAAGTCCATATATTTTGTTACTTGTCCATGGCGGGTCTTTGTTATCAAAATCATATACAGTATATAGCATTTGAGTTTACCTGTTTCCCTGATTTTTTTAGAAAATGCACCATAATCTATTCCTGCTTATAATTTTATTCCATCTTGCAGATGATGGACCTTTCTGACATTGCCCGCTGTGGAGCAAGCACAGAGCTCTCGAAAGAGGGGTCCTGTGACTATCTGCTTGCCTGCATGCAAGACATACAAGCTGTCTTGAAGCAGAGCAAGCTCAAAGCACTTGTTATAGATACATTTGGGGGGAGGATCGAGAAACTTCTCTGGTAAATCACTGTGCTATAAAATATTAACTACTGCGCTCATCCTGTAAGTAATATTAACTTTGATCTTCTCTGCAGCGAGAAATATTTATATGCTTGTGAAATGATTTCTGATAAAAGTTCAACGGGCAATGTAAAAGAGAGTGAAACTGTCTTGGAGCATGCAACGCAAAGTTCCGGAATGGCTACTCCGCACGTGCTGCAGAAAGATAGGACAAGCATTGATGACTTCGAGATCATCAAACCAATAAGCAGAGGTGCCTTTGGTAAAGTCTTTCTTGCACGCAAAAGAACAACAGGGGACTTCTTTGCAATAAAGGTAGATGCTTTTTTATTTTCGCTTTGTTGCAGGTACGGTGTTTGCTTTGCCTTCTGTAGTCAACCATATATTTCAATGTAGATATTAGCTAAAGAACAGTTGTGATGACCTCTGTTGTTGTAAACGAAGGATGAATAGATCTAACAGAATAATACATCTTTGCAGAAAAGTTTATACTAAGGAAGTTTTGCTAAGACTAAGATAGAAAAAATGCCCCAGGAAATACATTGAAGCTCTACTTCTTTGTATTTGTGTATATACACATTCAAATAATGTGTGCTGCTTGATTATTATCCTTAGTTTTTTTCTGAATAATCCTGTCTACCCTCCTTTTAGTCAAATATAAGCTTTTTTAGGCCAATTTTAGGCAGCCTAGTTGTTGGTGCCATATTGTTAAAACCTGGCAGAATGACAATACTCTTAGGATTGAATTCTAAGCTATAACATTTCCAATTGAAAAGCCATATAAGTGAACCAGGCTAGTAATTTTGGCTCCCTATGTTGTCTTAATTGCTTCATTGTTATTTGTTAAACTATTCGGAGCCAGCTTCCCCATTTACTAATCTTATTTAGCTCATATACAGGTACTCAAGAAGTTGGATATGATAAGGAAAAACGACATCGAGCGGATACTGGAAGAGCGAAATATACTAATAACTGTCAGATACCCCTTTGTGGTAAACGTCTCACTTCTTTGCTACTGTCGAAGGCTCCGGGCATAATATTCTTTCCAAAAGCTGAACACCTGATCTTACAATGCAGGTTCGGTTTTTTTATTCGTTCACCTGCAGTGATAACCTCTATTTGGTGATGGAGTATCTTAATGGCGGTGATCTATACTCTCTGCTCCAAAAAGTTGGCTGTCTTGATGAGGACATTGCTCGTATATACATTGCGGAACTGGTTAGTTGAGGGCTTCTTATGCATAGAGTACCGAAGTTCGTAGGATTCTTGAAGTAACAGTTTATCATTTTATTTCAGGTTCTTGCATTGGAGTACCTCCATTCTCTAAATATTGTGCACCGTGATCTAAAGCCTGATAACCTATTAATCGCTCACAATGGACACATCAAGGTCTGTTATTCAAGCTCTCGCATACCTATTTCTTGCAGTAGAGTGGTCATTTTTTTTCCCTCGATGCGTACAAATGAAAAGAAGATTTCTATGGACAAAATGTGTCACAGCTAACGGACTTTAGGCTATCCTAATACTATTTTCCATTGCTATTATTGAAGTACTTTGCTCTGCTGTTCAACAATTGAACTTATTAATATTATCTTTGTTACCAGCTGACAGACTTTGGGCTGTCAAAGATCGGTCTAATAAACAACACAATTGATTTATCTGGCCCCAAGTCAGATGCGTCTCCAAGAACAAGTTCTCGTCAATTTCAGATGAACCAAGATGAAGAAAGAATTCGGCATTCAGCTGTTGGGACACCTGACTACTTAGCGCCGGAGATTCTTCTTGGAACTGAACACGGTAGAGATACAACCTTCAAACTTAGGCCATTCTAAAAGCACGGGGAAATGATATTTACCTACTTGATGCTGCTTGCAGGTTATGCTTCTGATTGGTGGTCTGTGGGAATCATCTTGTTTGAACTAATAAATGGGATCCCTCCTTTTACAGCATCACGCCCCGAGGTGCCTACATATTTTAATTACTGCTTGACTTTCATGCATAGTTTACCCTCAATAGAATCTGGCTTATACTACATTAAGTGGGTTTGCATTTTCTGGGACTTGATTATTTCATATCACTTTCACAATAACTGAGAGAATTCCACATGTATTTATGTAATTAAACTTAGTAGCCTATGTTTTGCCTTCTTAGCAAAAGATTTTCTGATCAGTTATATTGAGATGGGTTCTACACACAGTTTAGTTTTCAGTGGGTTACAATCCATCGCACTCACCATTTTAATTGTGCTGTACAGAAAATATTTGACAACATCCTCAACGGAAAAATGCCCTGGCCAGATGTGCCTGGTGAAATGTCATATGAAGCTCAGGATTTAATCAACAGGTCTGTTTTGAGGATTCTCTTTCCTACAATCCTGCTCCTTATCACCTATCCTAGTTTCTGTTTATTAGTTGCCAACAATATCAGCTGATATTTAGGCTTTGTGGTGGTCTGTGTTAAAGAAATGTTAAATTGGGTTAATTAGTTCGATATAATGTATAATCGTCTTATGTATAATCACTGTATATGGTTGACTTATAACTAGTTTCTCCTGTATTCATATTGATTCCTTTTCTTTCCGTAATAGGTTTCTTGTCCATGAGCCGGAAAAGCGACTGGGGGCAAATGGAGCTGCAGAGGTTCCATTATTTTTCCCTTTAGTAACATTGCGCTTCTAAATGCATGCTACGGCAGAAAGATGTTGTCGTTGTGGTCATTACTAAAATTCTCAGTAACATCTTTTGTTTCATTTTCAGGTAAAGTCGCATCCCTTCTTCCGAGGTGTTGACTGGGAGAATCTTGCTTTGCAAAAGGTAAATACTCAACTCGGCACCTTGCATTGGAGACATATTTGATGAAAAATGAGAAGAGAAAATAAAGCAGAGCTGTTTGATCGAAATATCTCACGATTGCACAATATGAAAACTCTAGCTGTGTTTCCTTGTCTTGCTTTTTGGCAGGCTGCTTTTGTACCACAGCCTGAGAGTATAGATGACACGAGCTATTTCGTACAACGGTTCAGTGAAAAGAGTTGCAGCGATACTGAATCTGACGACAATAACAGCGAGTCATATCCAAATTCAGGAGACGAGGTAAAGCATCTTTAACTCTATAGGGTACTTAACATGCAAACAACGAATCTATAGCAAACCGTTTGTTCTTGTTTTGTGTGTGTTTTTAGTTGGATGAATGCCCCAACCTGGCCGATTTTGACTCTCCACCATATTATCTATCGCTCATTAACTTTTCTTTCAAGGTAAAAATCGCTACTTGCACCTTTTCTTGTTATAAATTTACACCAAAGCGGCAGCTAAAAGCCCAAAATACGAACTGTTTGATCATAGTTTAGGTTGATTAAATTTGTAGGGTAGTTCTGTCTTGTGATAGTTTTGTATTGAACTCTTGAGATATGATGATACAGAATTTGTCACAATTGGCTTCAATCAATCATGATGTGTTGTTGCAAAAGGATTCAGCCAAAGGAGGAGGAGGAGGAGGAGGCTCACCGTTTAATAGCCAAACGTAGAGCTTTGCTACAACCGTCAAAGCTGGCTTTAGTCCGCGGTTTGGTCTGGTTCGTGCCTGCTTTGACTGTTGTAGCTGCTGCTACTGCGAAGACGAAGACGACTCTCCTTTTTTTTTCTATGCTGAAATTGTGACCTTAAGGTTTTGGGGTAACTTTTTATGCAGTTTTATCATAAATTCATTTGGAATCATTTCAAATGCAAATCCCAAAGTTAATCTTGTGGCAACAACACACAAACGCACACACAGCATGTCTGTTAGATACACATTTGTATGAAGCTTGTGTATATATATTTGAGGCTGATGAAAATAAGAGAGAGCATTGGTTACTGAAGTATGTTCAATCCCACTTCTCGAAAGAGATTTTAATCAGAAAACCAAAAAGCTCGGCTCTAAGCCCCACCCAGGTCACAGTCATTGAGAGAAGCTTCTTAAATCCTTTATAGCTAAAAGCCTAAAATCATATGTTTGAAAAAAAAAAAAAAAAAAGCTAAAATCATATATTGTTTAGTAGTTTTTGTAAATTGTTTTAAAAATTTGAAAATAAACTCGCGTATATGCGGGATCTTATCTACTTTAAAATAAAAATAGAAAATATACCTAAAAGAAAAAAAATACTTATCACAAGACTTGGAAAAAAATCTACAAATAATCTCACATAATATTTTAAAAATATTTATATTGAATACAAAGTTATTATTTTATTGGAGAAATAAATAGGTACATTTTACAGATTATAATGCAACGTAAGCTGATATATTATATTTAAAATATGATAATCTTTACAGCCTGTAAATAAATATAGGGATAACTATTGGATGCTTAAAGTGGTAGTAAAAAAAATTATAAATAAATTAAATATAAATTTTCTTTACGTAAATCTAGGGATAACTATTGGATGCTTGAAGTAGTAGTAAATTTTTTTATATATATTTTCTTTTTCTTAATTACTTAAATGTTAAATACATGTAGATTACATCTATTTCTCTATAAATACGACATATTTCTTCCATTTGTTTACATCAAAATAATATTTCATTTGTCAGAAATAGTTGTTCAGAATGGCGAGAAACAAAAGAGGTCGTCAAAAAATAGAGATGGCGAAAATAGAGAACGATCGCAACCTTCAAGTTACTTTTTCAAAAAGAAGATCCAATCTTTTTAAAAAAGCGAGTGAACTTTGTACGTTATGTGGTGTGAAGATGGGAGTGATCGTGTTCTCTCCCGGTGGTAAAGTGTTTTCTTTCGGTAATCCAGATGTTAGATCTGTGATTGACGGTTTCAGAAATCATACCCGTAATCCTTTTCTATTTGCTGAAAATGGTCCCAATGCAACTGTCGAGGGTCTCAACAATGTACTCACTCAGGTAAAATTTCAATTCTTTCTGTTCTTTTTTATTTATTTATGTTTATAAGAATATAATTGAGTTTGAGTGTTTCTAAATTTTATACTCCAAACCATAGCTTATACAATGTTATATATTATCCGCAAAAAAAACTGCTTATTAATCTATAAATAATATTATTATATTTTAAACAAAAAAAAATCCATTAACAGGCCAATATATGACAATGATACATGCATAGACATATAACTGGCATTCAAATCACAAAAAATGGTAGGCTCGTTTATACTGTTAGACTGTGTTGTTTCAAAAGTTCTACATATTTCTGCCGTTTGTTTCTCTTTAGAGTGAAATCTGATAATTACGTCTTTTTTTTTATAAATCAGATTATTATGATATGGGTTACTTTTTTTATTTACATATAGAAGTATAAATTAATAACGTAGTGACGATAATTTTATTTGTAGGAGACAGCAAAGCTTGAAGCGAAGAAAGAAAAGAAGAAATATTTGGAGCAAATAAGGAGCCAGAGAACAGGATCGGAGAAATGGTGGGAACTTCCTCCAAGTCAACTTAACTTAAGTCAAACGACTCGTCTAATCAACGCTCTGGAAAAGATAAAGATGGATTTGGAGAGTCAACGGCCCCAACCCGTACAAGCAACTGCTCCGCAGAATTACCATGACGGAAGTTTCAACAACAATGTTCAAGGTGGTAATATCGATACTTTCGACCAAAGAAGCATGATCGATATGAATGCTTTCAACTATAATCCCAACATGGTGATACCTAATCACGGACCAGTGCTTGGATTCAACAATAACAGCAATGTTATCGATCAGGTGTCTGATCCGAGGAACAATATGACTTGGCCTGAGTACAACCACAACCCATACTAAGATCGAGGTCATCTGAATCATGTTTTGTTTTTCGTCTTCTAATAAAATCTCTGGATTAGAGATTCGTTTGTTTCTTTTTCTTTTGCTGTTTTCTACATCTTTCGACCTTTTATTTTGTTGTTGTTTCTCTTGTGTTTTGAATAATTAAATCTCTGGATGAGAGATTCGTTTGTTTCTTTTTTGTTTGCTGTTTTTCTCATCTTTGAACCTTTTGTTTTATTGTTGTTTCTCTTGTAATAAAAGTTCTGGATAAGAGATTCGTTGATACTCTTGTGTTATGAATAAATAGTTCTATATATTTGTCTCATTTTCAGATATTATTAATATTTTGTGTTTTTTTTCTCATACCAAATAACTATAGTATAACGTAGAAGTTAAAAGTTATCAGCACGATGTTAGTTGCAGCAGAGTTTTCAATCGATGAACCTTTCACCCTTTCATTCAAAGTAAAAAGATATTAATTTTGGCTATGCCGATAATAATTTCAGGAACGATAAATAATTTTGACTTTCATACAATTTTTTTTTGAATTGGTGTAGATGTTGCACCTCCTCCCTGCTAATAACTTCTTTTTTTTTTTTTTTCAAGATTTTAGTTATGCTATGTAGTTTGAATTTAAAAGCTGACTATTTTGTTTGTTCTGTAAATTAAACTTTTTTTGGGTAGCCTAATATAGATTTTTATTTTAATATTAAATTTTGTCAGTATGCTCAACTGTTTCAGAAGAAACTTTTGATTTTTTTCTTAAATACGTTTTTCTATTATTGTTAGCATGAATATATTTTAAAGATATTTTCTGTTTCTGAAATGACAGCTTTCTAACACGCTGTAATATTTTTTTTCTTCTATTTATAAAATGACAGCCTACAAATACGCTGTAACTTTTTTTTTTCTTACAACCACATTGTAATATTCTTAAAATATCCTTAAGATACAGTCACGCTATGACGTCATAATTTTCTTATTTTCTGTTTTAATATATAGCTATTAGTCTATTACACAACTTGACATAGTTCAAAATTGGAATCTTATAACAAGTATCATACAAAAATCTTTAAGGACAAGGCTTAAGTATCTCAGAATTCATGCTTGGACACTTTTTATGGAGTGGTCGATGTAGACCATCGTCAACATATGCTTAGGTCGTGGCCACTGAATTCAGTGTCACCACATTAATCAGGATTGTAATTAATCAATTTGGCACCATCATTAGTAAACTATGATGGTCGTATTTGATTAGGCCTTCTTTCGCTGACAAATGCATCATTTCTCTTCTTGGGCTACAAAGTACATACTGTACTTTCATATTGTAAGGATTAAACTCTAACTCAGAACTAGGATTCACAGCAATTAATTACTACTAAAGTATTTCATTGCCATTTCAACCCTTTAGCCAACTCTCTAATCTTCCTGTTACTAGTAGTTCATCGAGTGTACGAAAGTAAGAGTTCCCATGTTTTTTACCGATTTCATCAAAGGCGACGTAACAAATTTTTGTTTATTTCAATTGATTTTATCTAACAATAGTAGTTAAAGAAAAAACAAAATTAAAATGTTGAGTAATATCAAAGAATTAATATCTTGTACGATTGTAGCCAGAAAATGTATTTTCCCGCGTTTCCAAAGAATTTCATTTTGCGTAATGGTTGGGGAACAAAAGAGTATATCCATCCATACAACTTAAAACAAATACTGTATTGAACTATTGATTACAAAAAAAAAAAGCTTTAACTTTTAACTTAAAGGTACCTTTTCCGTTTTCTTTAGCCACGAGTAAACTGTAAGTTAAAAGTTACCACTACCATTTCAGAAATCTCGGAAAAAGCGATCGTCTCTTTTGTTCTATATTTCTTCAATCTCCTAAGAAAGAATCTCAGAGATTTTCTTCTCCCTTTCGCCCGGAAAAATGGACAACAACAATGGTGAGATTTCAATTCTCTTCCAGTACTACAACAAACACATACTCGGTTTTCACAATTCGTCTTACTAGCCGCAATTCTCCGTTATTAGCTCTTCCGTTTTTTTCGCGGGATCATAATTCGTCTGGGAGTTGAAAAAATTGTGGAAATGGCCGGAAAAAATTATCAATCGATGTGCTTGTTTAACAACGAAACCCTCTAAGATCGTCAATTTCGTTACTCCGAACTGATTTCTCCCTTTCATCGAGAGGGATATGATCCTCACAAGTTTCATGCTAATTACGTTTAAGGAGAGATCAAGTCTTTTTTTAGGAAGTGGAAATTAGATTCAGTTTCTTAACTTCCTACAAGTGATTTCAGAAATTAGCTTACTAGATTCAATAAGTTGATTTGTTGAAGTCACTTTGTTGAGAATTTTAGGATCTCAAGATATGACTGTGCCAGTAGAAGGAGTGGCTGGTGGAGGAACTGCTTATGGGTTTAACGACGGTTCTCTGAGTGAAGGACCTCTCAAACAATCTACAGATCCCTCAGAAGTTCCAACTTCTGATTTGGTTAACGTCTGGTGTATGCCCAATACAGTTAACGTCGGTTCTCTAGAAGCACCTCGACCTCTAGAGACTGTAAGTGTTGCTCCAATACTCGAATATTTTGTTTAGGTGTTTCCTTGTGCATTCTAGATATAATCATGTATGATCGAAAAGTGTTATGGAGCAACAAAGCTTGTAACTTTGAATAGCTGAAAGCTCTACTTAAGATTCTTAGAACATTTCTTCTGAATAGCTATTGTTTGTGTAGCTGAAAATATAACAGTGGAATGATACCATGGTTGTACGCTGTTGATTACTAACTCTGATGATACTTTATCGTTCTTGATTCTATGAAATGATGCATGTGTTTTTATATGGCTTACATATTGTGTTTCTACAGATAAATCTTTTGGCAGCTAGAAACGAAAGAGAAAGTTTTCAGATCGCCATGCGTCCCAAAGTATCTTGGGCTAGTTGCAGCCCTTCAGGGAGTGTTCAGGTTCAGTGCAGTGACTTGTGCTCTTCGGCTGGAGATAGGTGAGCCTTTTTTATTTAAAGGATAGTTGACAGAAGTAGTGAGACATTTTCATTTCTTTGAGATGGCTTCTTCTCTTTGTGGCTTTATCCCTTAGGATCTACGTATGATTATTCTCTTCCTTACCATTACAGATTGGTTGTAGGCCAGTCTCTAAAGTTGCGGCGAGTGGTGCCTGTCTTAGGTGTTCCTGACGCTCTGGTGCCCCTTGATTTACCTGTTTCTCAACTTAGTCTACTTCCAGGGTACTACCACTCACTCATCCAATTTCTTATTCTGGTATGTGGAGACATTGCTGTCGTTATTTCGTTAGACTGATGTAGTCTCGGATGGTCCATATTGTAGAGAAACAAGTGTAATTTGGGTCTCAATAGACGTTCCTAATGGGCAGCCTCCCGGTCAATATGAAGGAGAAATCGTTGTTTCTGCAATGAAAATGGATGGAGGGTGAGTCTCCCTTTGTGTACCATATCTTTTATGTGCAGATGCATTGTGTTTTGTGAAAATGATAACTTGTTTCTCATTAATTTGACACGCCGATGGCCAACAGCTGTTCTGATAACTTGGGAAAGGATGAGAAGGATCAGCTATGCACGGAACTTAAAAACTGTCTCGATATTATGGAACCAATAGAGGGAAAACCTATGGACGAAGTGGTAATTTTCACTTTCCTTGTATGTTATTTGACCTCACCCCCGATAAATACTTTATGTGTCAGTAATCTGCAGCTTATCTTTTAGGTAGAGAGAATAAAATGTGCAAGTTCATCCTTAAGAAGAATTCTCTTCTCTCCATCATTTGCGGAGTTCATTTCTACGAATGGATCCACTGATATGATGGAAGAAGATGTTGTGTCAAACCTTGCAGTGCGTATAAAGCTAAGATTGACAGTTTGGGAATTTATTATTCCAGTGACTCCATCACTCCCTGCTGTCATTGGTGTCTCCGATACTGTAATTGAGGATCGTTTTGGTGTTGAACATGGGAGTGAAGAGTGGTACAAGAAATTGGATCTCCATTTCAAGTGGCTTCTTCAGTATCGGATCAGCCCATACTTTTGTAAATGGGGTGAAAGCATGCGTGTCTTGACATACACCTCACCATGGCCTGGTATTGCAAATCCTCGTTTGACTTGTTTATGCACCATCTTTATATGTTCTGTGTTGAGCAAGCTGGTCATTTTGCTTCACACTCTTGAGTTCTTCATTTGCATTCCACTTTTTTTTGGTTTCGCAGCCGATCATCCGAAGACTGATGAATATTTCTCTGATCCAAGGCTTGCGGCTTATGCAGTACCATATAGACACGTTATAGCGGGGTATACATGTGTTTTCCTAGTCAAGCTTTTGCTAAGTTTCGTAGGTACCCAAGCTAACTTTCATTTGGTGTGCAAGCAGGGATGATTCAAGGGAAAGTCACCTGCGGAAAGAAGTTGAGATACTGAGGAGTAAACCCCACTGGAATAAAGCTTACTTTTACTTGTGGGATGAGGTATCTTAGTGCTTCAATCATTTTTTCCAGTGATTATCAATAGGATATAGTTTTACCAAAGAAACTTTTATGCAATTTCTGTATCTCATCTTCTATCCTTGGTGTAATTGATGTGTTGTTTAGTGGAAATTTACTTATTGGCAGCTTCCTTATTAATACCATCCGAAACTTTTGGCAGCCACTGAATATGGATCACTTTCATAACGTTCGCAAGATGGCCAGTGAAATTTACGCCTATGCACCGGATGCTCGTGTTTTGACTACATACTACTGTGGTATGATTCCCTTTTTGTGGAATTCACGTGTGCTAATTAGTTCTCTGTTTCTCGATTTTACATCCTCTTTTTCCCCTGGGTTCTGTTTTATTGGTTTTCATTGCTTTGTCTTCCTGTTAAAATGAGCTCCAAAACTTGGCAGTGGTCTACCATGAATGTAATTTGCATCTGTATGTTGATCAGTATCCCACATTATGTGATTATGCAGCCCATAATGTTAGGTCATTGTGTAAGGTTAATATTTAAGCACTTGTCACGTTGGTCCGGTGGTTGTCTGATATGCTTCATTACAGCACTTACGGATATCTATTCGTCATGTGTGTTGTTGAAAAGGAACTGAAAATAATATAACAATGCTCTTTACTCTTTTTGTAGGACCTGGTGATGCACCTCTTGCTCCAACGCCCTTCGAATCTTTTGTCAAAGTTCCAAATCTCCTGCGACCCCATACTCAGATATACTGCACAAGGTAATTTCTCATGCAAAGTCTCGTAGGTTGCCTTCTCTTACCTGGGTTTGTGGAATAACTAGATGCAAAGATCTTAACCGTACCAATCTTTAGTTGTAATATCCAGTAGTGGGCTATGTCTGTGGTGTTTATATTGTACTATCAAAAGACATCCGAATCGTTCAGAATTTGTCAATAATCTATCAATTAATCAAAAAGTCACCTCCATTTTCAATTATATATTTTGGTCTTAAAATTACCTTTTCGTTTCACCCGGTCACCTACTTGGATAGACTTTCAGGTGAGTTTAGTATATGAATCTATGAGTTAGGATTGTAAGATGAGTTTTCGGCAACCTATAGAGAAATCTGTTTAGTATACTCTGACTCTCTCGTTGCCTTAATCTCGTAACTCAGTCTTAATATATGGTTTAATATTCAGTGAATGGGTGCTTGGTAACCGTGAAGATTTGGTGAAGGATATTGTTGAGGAACTCCAGTTAGATAATCGTGAGGTATGCTCTCTCTGCTCCTTGTCTACCCTTTAACTTCTCTTTGAATCGTATGGTTCATCATCATCACTATAAGATTAAAGTTTGGTCAATATAACCACAATCAATATATTTGACTAGTTATCATAAGCTTTGGGATAAGTCTGCACACATACATCGATACATGTAGTATTAAGGTCATATTAATACTCTGTTCATTTGTGGTTATGAATGTTATCTTGCTGGGGTGCAGGAATGGTGGACATACATATGCCTTGGACCGTCAGATCCTCATCCAAACTGGCACCTAGGGATGCGTGGGACACAGCAACGTGCAGTGATGTGGCGTGTATGGAAAGAAGGAGGAACCGGGTTCTTGTACTGGGGTGCAAACTGCTACGAGAAAGCAACTGTTCCAAGCGCCGAGGTTCCATTCTTATCCCCTTGTTTTCCCTTTGTAAAATGTTTCTTGAATCTTGATTGATTGCTTCATAATGTTATATAATAACCAAAAATGTGTTTATAGGTAAGGTTTCGGCGAGGTCTTCCTCCTGGTGATGGAGTTCTTTACTACCCCGGTGAAGTTTTCTCGTCGTCCTCAGAGCCCGTTGCTTCGCTTAGGCTAGAGCGTCTTCTTAGCGGTTTACAAGTATGTCTGCTCTTAAGCTTCTAAAGTTACCAAATAGTAATTAAGGAGTAAGGACGTGTTTCAAAACTGCCCTTAATGTTTGGGGGCAATTTCAGGATTATGAGTACTTGAAGCTGTATGAGTCGAAATACGGAAGAGAGGAAGCTTTGAAGCTATTGGAGAAGACAGGAGTGTACATGGGACCTGAGCGGTACACTTTGGAACATAGACCAATCGATGTATTGCGAGGAGAAGTGTATAACGCATGTAGACAGTAATGTTGCAAGTTAACTTGTACCTAAACGGCTATACCACCTATAGACGCTCTTAGTTAGCATTAAATAATACAATGCAACATAAGAAGAAAACTCTCACAAAACCTAGTGTTGTCCATGATGTTTTGATGTGTGTAAACTGTAAAGGTTAATTAGATGAAAAATATGTAGATGCACTGCGTCATCACGCCGTTGACCTATTAATGTTTGATCCATCCATACACGTTCTTCATTTGCGATTGCACGTTCGTTTACTATAAAAATCTGATCCCGGCCCAACACAAAAATACAAAGAGAAAACCAAAAACCCTTACGAGCTAAGAATCAAAGAAGAAGATGAACGGAGAAGGAAAAGTAACTGAAGTCCACACCTTCGACAGCTGGAAGGAGAGTATCAAAGCCGCCAACGAATCCAAGAAACTTGTAACTTTCCCTCTGCTTTCATTTTTCATTTGATTTGATTACTTTTCTTATATATTATGTTATCAAGGCTTTTGCAGATTACTTAGCTTAGTGTTGAAAGTTGAAACCATTTTTCAAATTTTGACTTTGACAGGTCGTGATAAACTTCAGTTCGAGATCGTGTCGATATTCTCGTTTATTTGCTCCATCCTATGAATATATGGCTGACCAGTTCCGCAATGTCATCTTCTTCATGATCGAGGTAGACGAATTCGGAGTGGTTACTGGAGAATTCGAAGTCGATACAACGCCGACTTCTGTCTTCATGAAAGAAGGACAAATCATCGATCGTGTTATTGGTGCAAACCAACAAGCACTCCATGAGACATTGCTGAAGCATGGTGGTGAAGTCGCTTGACTTTCCTTCCGAATTTCTAATTTTTTACTTTTCAATTTTTCATCATTTGTGTGTTTTTATGAACAAGTTTTAATTTTTTTGCTTTTCAAGTTTTCATCATTTGTGTGTTTTTATGATAAGTGATATATTTGGTATTATTTGACAAATTCAACATAGAAATGATTCAAAACTCCTTAATGGAAGATATCTTAACTTTTCTTTGAAAAAGTAAAAACAGAACTCCAACATTTATAATTTTTAACTTTCTGTTATTTAGGGTAAACAAATGTTACCTTTGAAAGTTTTTAATTTGGTTTGTAAGATTTGGAACGAAAACAAATTGTTCATTTCGATATTAAAATATACTTTCTCGTATTTATAATCTTTTGGGGGGCAATTTCAGGATTATGAGTACTTGAAGCTGTATGAGTCGAAATACGGAAGAGAGGAAGTTTTGAAGCTATTGAGTGTACAACTGTACATGGGACCTGAGCGGTACACTTTGGAACATAGACCAATGACCAATCGGCAATCGACCTATTGCGAGAAGAGGTGTATAACGCACGTCTTAAGTTATGTTGCAAGTTAAATTGTTATCTACATCTATACACGCTCTTAATTAGCTCTAAATAATATAATGCAACATAAGAAGAAAGTCGTCTTTGTCTTTCGATGATGTTTTGATGAGTAAATGTTCGTTAGTATGAGAGAATTAATATAATTAGTACTTTTTACGTGTCCGAACTTCACTAATTCAAGTACTCAAGGTTGGTATTTCGGGTAATTCGAAAGATTTAAGAAAAAAATCCAAAGAAAGTTGAAATTTACATAAAAATATATAAATAATTTTGACAAATATTGAAAAAAAAAAATTCATTCTAGATCTAATATGTTCTCTTATAAGTTAGAGTAAATTTTAACATTTTCAAATGGATAATTATTTAAACGAGAACAAGTCCAAGAAAGATAAGTCCTAGCTCAGAGAGCACAAATCATTGATCCCGAAATGTTCAACGTAACTAGTGTTAACAGAAAAAAATATGGGTTTAAAAGAGAGTTTCGTAGGTTTAGAACATAGAAATGCTCTTGTTTTGGTTTGTTTATCCAACGTCGTAGAGCATTGCGTCATCACGCCGTTGAGTTAGAAGATGCCCCAATAAATATTCGATCCATTCACATTCATCCGCGGTTACACGTTTACTCTACGTACCTATTCTATAAACTATAAAATCTGATCCCACCGTAACAGCACAAAAACAGAAAGACAAAACAAAACCCTTACGAGCTAAGAAGAATCAAAGAAGAAGATGGACGGAGAAGGAGATGTAATTGATTGCCACTTTCCCGACGACTGCAAAGAGAAGATCAAAGCCGCCAACGAATCCAAGAAACTTGTAACTTTCCCTTTTCTTTCATTTTTGATTTGATCTGACTAGATTGCTTTTCTTATTATGGTTTTAAGGTTTTTGCTGATCACTTTAGCTTAGTGTTGAAACCATGTTCAAATTTTTTTGACTTTGACAGGTCGTGATAGACTTCACCGCGTCATGGGCTCCACCTTGTCGTGAAATTGCTCCAGCCTTTGTAGAGATGGCTAAGAAGTTCCTCAATGCCGTCTTCTTTAAGGTCGATGTAGACGAATTACGAGAGATTGCTGAAGAATTCAATAACGAAGCAATGCCTACTTTTGTCTTCATGAAAGATGGGAAAATCATCGATCGTGTTATGGGTGCAAAGAAGGAAGTAATCCAAGAGACATTGATGAAGCATGGTGGTGTCGCTGTTTGACTTAATTTCCTTCCAAATTTCTATTTTTTGCTTTTCAAGTTTTCATCTTTTGTGTGGTTTTATGAATAAAGTGATATACTTGGTACTAATGGACAATTCTCCAAAATAGACAAACTCAACATAAAAATGATTCAAAACTCATTCTTAATGGAAGAAATCTAAAATTTAATTAACTTGGAATAAAAAACAGAACTCCAACATAATGTTTTAATTTTATATGTAATTTATTTAGGGTACACAGATGTTTGAAGCATCTTTTAGAGCTTTTCTCTTGCTAGATTATAAAGCTTTGGTTCGTGATTTCTGAAATTCGTTACATGAAGAGGTTGTTATCTTTGTTTGGCCGTGAGCATTTGCGATAACCTCGTTTATAAAGTTAGAAAGTCTTGTAGGTTTGGAATGAAACCAGTTTTGGGTACAAGTCGTTTTTGCTATACCTCAAAAAAACAAACAAAAAATATCGGCAAAACAAATAGAGATATATTTTTGGTAACGAAACGAAAAAAATGATAAACATCATAAATATATTTAGTTTTGTTTCCAAAAATAATAAAGTTTTGCCGAGTTTTTTCTTTATAACAGTAATAATTGACGTATTGTATGTTTCAATAATAGACCCAAAAATGTGCAAGCAGGGATTCAAGGGAAAGTCACCTGCGGAAAAAAGTTGAGATACGGAGGAGTGAATAAAGCTTACATTTTACTTGTGGGATGAGGTATCTTAGTGCTTCAATCAATTATTCCAGTGATTATCAATAGGATATAGTTTTACCAAACGAAATTTTATGCAATTTCTGTATCTCATCTTCTATCCTTGGTGTAATTGATGTCTTGTTTTAGTGGAAATTTACTTATTGGCAGCTTTCTTACTAGTACAAAACTATGACCATTCTAGAGCATTTGCAACTCTTGCATGCTTTACTAAATATTAATATGACAAAGAAAAAAACATAATACTCTTCTAAATAATCTGTCAATCAAACGTGTTAACAGAAAATTACGGGTGTTTAAAAGACGTTCGTACTTTTAGAAGATACTACAATATTGCTCTTGCATGTTTTTCCAACGTCGTAGATAGAGCGTTGCGTCATCACGCCGTCAACACTAATGCCATCTTCTTCGTGATCGAAACAGGCAAATTAGGAGTGGTTGCTGGAGAATTCGAAGTCGAAGCAATTCCGACTTTTGTCTTCATGAAAGAAGGACAAATCATCGATCGTGTTATTGGTGCAAACATTGTAACACTCAAAGAGACAATGCTGAAGCATGGTGGTCAAGTCGCTTGACTTTCCTTCCAAATTTCTAATTTTTACTTTTCAAGTTTTCATCATCCGTGTAATTTTCTACTTTTCAAGTTTTCATCATGTATGTCTGTGTTTTTATGAACAAGTTCTAATTTTTTACTTTTTCAAGCTTTCATCATTTGTGTGTTTTTATGAACAAGTGATATATTTGGTATTATTTGACAAATTCAACATAAAAATGATTCAAAACTCCTTCTAATTAATAGAAGATATCTTAACCTTTATTTGAAAAAGAAAATGAGAACTCCAACACATATAATGTTTTAACTTTCTATTATTTAGGGTAAACAAATGTTATAATTTAGTTTGTTAGATTTGGGGAAAAAAAAAACTGTTCATTCCGAGCTCTCCAAACTTGTTTTAAATTATACTTTCTCGTATTTATAATGTGTTCTTGTTTAATTTTGTAATCTTTCCATTCAATTCAACCATGCCGTCTATGCTTAGAAACTTGTCTACAATTAGCCGTCATCTAGAAGTTTCTTCGAAAAAACAATAGACGGTTTTATTTCTAATCTAAAGTGATTAGAGCTTTGCGTCATCACGCCGTTGACCTAGAAGATGCCTGTTTAATATCAACCGTTGGATCCATTCACATTCATCCCCGTAATGATTACACGTTTCCCTCAACCTTTTTCTATAAATACCCAATTCCCACCTTATCAATTTCATTCATTCACCTACAAAAAAATCATCAACCACACAAAACAACAAAAACCCTTATTACGAGCTCAACGAATCAGACAAGAAACATGGCCGGAGAAGGAGAAGTCATCGCTTGCCACACCCTCGAAGTCTGGAACGAGAAGATCAAAGCCGCCAACGAATCCAAGAAACTGGTATGTAACTTTCACTTGCCTTCAATTTAGGTTTCTTAATTATTAGTGTTGAAACAATGTTCATTTTTTTTTTTGATTTTTTGGACAGGTTGTGATAGACTTCACTGCGACATGGTGTCCACCTTGTCGTTTCATCGCACCAGTCTTCGTAGAGATGGCCAAGAACAACCTCGATGTCGTCTTCTTCAAGATCGATGTCGACGAATTGCAATCCGTTGCTGAGGAATTCAAAGTCGAAGCAATGCCTACTTTTGTCTACATGAAAGAAGGCAAAATCGTCGACCGTGTTGTCGGTGGAAGGAAAGATTTAATCCAAGAGACATTGATGAAGCATGTTGGTTCTGTCTCTTCTGCTTGATGATTTGATTTCTCCAAATTTCTAGTCTTATGAAATAAAATAAAGTGACATATTTGCTATTTTTATAAACTATATTGGTTTATGATCACAACAAAAGATTGATAATTTAAGAACAGCATGAGTAATGCTTTTGTGTAATGCACACAAAGATTGAGTTTTTATGTTTGTTTTTAGTTTACTGATCTCTTTACAACAGAGACTTTGGAGATATCTCCACCAAGCTCTTCAAAGAGTACTAACAAGTTCCCTCTTGGCTTCAACCATGACCTCGGAACATGATACCTATACACACACAAAAAAAAAAATGGTTTAAAGAGAGCTCGAAAAGGGTTTAAGAAACAGAGCATTGTTACTTAGTATTAGTGTATATATTTACCATCTTTGTGTTGGCTCGCCGCAACCAGATTGGCATTTGGCTTGTCTGTATGTTCCTGCGTAGTTACAACTTCCACAGTTTCCTTTAGCAAAAGCCATCCAGTACCTTCCTATGCTTTGCCCGTTTATCCAAGCTTGTCCTTTCCCCATACTCTTTAGATCTAAAGCTAGCGGCTTGTTCCCTTTAGGCGCGTCAAAGTAGGCCTGTGAATTGCCATAACCAAAGATGTAGTGAGTCTACTTGAACAAGATTTAGCCTTAGCTATAGGTTTGTTCTTGGTTCTTGGAAAAGTCAAGAGCTTTCTTGTTTTACCTTGTACCATGTCAAAGGTTGTTTGTTTTGCTTAGCTAATGAGCCTTTGATCCAATCAACAGAGGAAGCTTCTGTAGATGAGATCAAGTTCAATGCTTCCCCTTGCAGACCGACCTGTTTAACCACCCGAAATATTAGTTAACATCAGTTTCTTGAATCTATGAGAGTTTCTTCTTCTTGCCATCTCACCTGATATGTCCATTTCTGGCGGCTCAAGTCTTTACTACCCTCGTCAAGACCATGAACCGCAACAGAACCGACTATCCCTGTGGCCCACGTCTCAAAATGCGGTCCAACATTCTTCAAAACCATACACAAAAGAAGCTTTTCTTTATCAGTCTGCAACAAGAAAGCTTCAACACAAAAGTGCAGAGTTATTCATTCTTTTAACTAACCGGTAAACCAACTGCTATGCTCAGTAGCGCGATTCTGTTAGCTCCAGCTCGAAGACTGACCGGTGCGCTAAACGAAAACTTTCTGCTCTCTCTTGTCCCAAATGCAGATCCTGCATCGTCCAAGCGAAGAAAAAACATCTATAAAACAGTTTCTTTCTTCAGAGTTAGTAACCAAAAGAATGAGTCTTACCGTAGAAATGTCCATTAACAAAAACATGAACAGCATGCCCTGCAGAATCAACAGTAAGACTCGGCCATTTTCCTCCACGCAAGAACGACTCCGATGCCTTAATATCCACACTGTAAACCCCAAAAGAAAACAGATTCATTCTCCAAGAACAGATCATATGTTTTGAAAAGAAAAGATAATTAGAGATTCCAAAAACGTACCTGGTTATGTACCAAAGGTAATCACTAGTATCTCTTGTAACATTAATCTGCTCCAACAATCCAAGAGCTGTGATCGTCCCTCTGTCTCCATAAGTAGCAAGATCTTCATCATATCTAGAAACCGAGTACAAGACTGAGCCAGATGGCACCATTTGCACATTTGATGTCTTTGCTCCAACCTGTTCAAGAACTTTTCATATTTAGCTTTCTTCAAGATCCAACTAAGAGCCTTTACACACGACTCTTTTATACATACCGTTGCAGTGTTGAAGACAACGTTTCTGCAATCTGGAAGAATGCTAATGGACCAAGCGGGTAGAGTATAGTGCCGCTTGTTGAAAACTACTTTCGCAGGTGCATTCACATGATAGTTCGATAAGAAAGCTACACAGCTTCCTTTACCAGCAGAGAACACATGAGCTTGCTCGTAGTTTCCTAACTTAGTAACAGTTGGATCAGAAGCAACTAATGCAGATTCACATTGCTTGATTGCTAGATGAAGCTGCTTAAGATGGCTGTACTTAGGCTCTTGAACCAACCCTGCATCATTGAAACAAACACCGAGTTCTTAAGTAAAAATGTTATCAAGAAAACAACATTTTACATCAATGGACCGCAAGATTATTATCATTACCGTATTCATCAATGGGAGCATCATAATCGTAACTAGTAGTGATAAATGGACCTCCTGCTGTACGTCCAAAGTTTGTTCCTCCATGGTACTGTCACATAAAACCACACATCAAAGCATCAGAATGAAACTGAAACCGAATCCAAAACAGAGTTTTCGATATATTTACCATGTAGTAGTTTATATACGATCCACCCTTTTGTATGAAACGAGCAACACCAAATGCTAAATCCTCTACAGGTCTTTTTGGAATGGTTCCACCAAACTCTGAGAACCTTTTATTCACCATCATTGTGAACAAATTTAACACAATCAACACACAACATTTTGTATCTCTCTTTCACAAAGAAAAGTATTCAATGTTTTTATACCAGCCACTCCATGCCTCTGTCCACATTGTTGGCTTATACGGTTTGTTTGGAGTGAAATAATCGCAGTAGAATCCATTACAAGAGTTGATCTACAAAACAAGAATCACAAAGAGATGATATTAGAACATAGTCTTATTAGTCAGTAACACACAAAATATTTCAAGAATTGGTTTCTCACAATTGGATCAGGTGCATCATCTTCCTTGCACATCACCCATGGGACTCCAGTGTTTAAACCGACCGCCATTTTCGCAGCCCAGTTAACATATGAATGACCAGCTGGTCCGAGAGATTTAAGCTCTGGACCAAACTCATTCTCAATCTATACATTTTGAAAAAAGATCAAACCTTTTAAGCATCTAACTTCGAAAGATCAAAACTTTGTGACATTTTGTATGTTATTACCTGAGATAAGATGATTGGTCCACCTTGTGACGCGAAGAATTTATGATCTTTCATCATTTGGACAATCTTCTGTGTGAAGCCTTGCATTGCAGACTTAACAACAACAACACACAAATGTTACATTGATAAAATCAACAAACTTTAAACAGAAATAATAATAATCAAAGATCAAACCTTGAAAGGTCCATTATCTGTTCTGAAGCTAATCCCAGGTACATACTTCAACCAAACAGGAAACCCTCTACACAAATTTCAAGAAACAAAAATTCAAAATTCAAAATTTGGAAAATGAGACATAACAGAATATAAAAATTGTTTTTTTTTGTTTTGTTTCTTCTCATTTATTGAAGCGTTACCCAAAATTCCATTCTGCACAAACATAAGGACCGATTCTGAGATGAACATAAAGCCCCACTTCTTGTACCGTCTTGATGAATCGTACCAAATCGTATCTTCCTTTGAAATTGTACTGCAGACAAAACAAATAAACCGACCAGTTTTCAAATCTAATCTTCTAAAAGTTTCAAACTTTTGAAATCCAATTTCATAAAAGTTTCAAACTTTTAACAAGAATTTTCTTACAGTGCCAGGAGAAGGTTCATGACCATTCCAGAAAACATAAGTGTCAATAACATCTAGGCCTCCATCTTTAGCCTTCCTGATAAGATCTTCCCACATCTACAAGAATTACAAAGTTCAGAAGAAAGAAATAAACAAACAAATTCAATTATTCTGAGAATTCATCAAGATCTGTACCTCAGGGGTGCTTCTTGGGTAATGAATGGAGCCGGAGAGAAGAATTCTACGGTGGCCATTAACGACGATGGCTCTCTTATCGTATGTTACGCTACACTGGATCACTGAAGATCCAATCAGCAATGTCGTTAGCAAGAAAGATAGGATCTTGCAGAGAACCAAGATGGTTCCCATTTTCCTTTGAGAGGGAAATTGATATTTTAAATTAAAAAAAAACAAACAGAGAGAAAATGAAAGATCAGAGAAGAAGCAGAAACTCTGTGTAGAGAGAGTGTCGTTGGTCTCTAACTATATTCTGTGTGTATAGATAAATACAAATATAGTTCAAAAAAAAAAGATAAATACAAATATTAATTGGTATAGTGAATTAGTTGAAATTAATAAATTTAGTGGGAGCATTCTACATAATTGAAACTAATCGGTATTACTTTATTTGCATTAACTTACATATAGAAAATGTTAAAAAGTATTCTGATTTAATGATTGTTATGAACGTTGTAGATCAAGGGATTTATTAGGGTATATGTGGAATTTAATTTATTGAAAAATTAAAGCAGAATTATGTGTTTTATTTAGATCAATGATTTTAAAATCTTTTTCAAAATGTTGTGTTATTTGTTTTTAATATTTTCAAAGTAGTAATTTTAGAATTTAAGTTATACAAAAGTTAAAGTACTCACACATATTAAAGTAGTAATTTTATACTATTTCATGTTATTGTTAGAAAGTCTTTATGCAGTAATGCAGAGAACCGAGTGTTATAACTTTTGTATTTTACATTTTGAATGTTGAATTGAGAGGTACATTCTAACAATAACATGTGTGAGTTATTAATGAAAACGAAAATCATTAGAGAAAGAAGAGAAAGAAACAAGTGACAAAAGTTAAAAGCTTCAGGCGGCTCCACATGGAAGGCCGTAAGCAAAAAGCATCAACGTCACATCAACTATTTATTCCACTTTCAATATATGGGCAATGCACAGTATGTTACATTTACAGCATTTAAAGTGTTTTTATATGCGAAAGTGACGAGCAAAAAAAAAGAAATCCAAATTAGATACGAGTTTTCTCAGATTAGTATTGTTGTCAGGCTCAGTCGATCGTTGATCTAGAAACTCTACATGTACTTCCTTTTATTTCTCTTTTTACCAATTGAAAGTGAACCATATTTGATGACAAAAATAAGATAAAAAGTGAACCAAATTTTTGGTCATAGCTCGCATGACAACTGCATATCATTCGATAGGGGACCCAAATAGCCAATGCTAATAACATTTATAGTTCTGAGGGAAACATTATCTCTAACAACTATACCAACTAGATTTGATTACCACCTAATTTTAATATAATCTCTATATTTTAGAATCATTACTACCACACTAAGTCTAATCAAAATAAATACTTTACGCCACTTTTACCATGATATTGTTTTCATATAAATAAAGCTAGATACTTGTGTCACATTATGCACACTTATATTGTTTAGCAAAACGAAGATTCAGATTGCGGTTTTGCTCGGCTACTTTAAATCGACATATATAATAATGTTTAGGATCAACAATTTTCTTAACTCAGAAAATGTGTTTTGTTGTTCATACAAATTCATGTTGAAACTTGTAGTAAAACCAATAACAAAATAGACGACAAATTAACCTAGCTCACGATAACCACACCGACTAATTTAAAGTTGATGAGCTAATGAATTAGGTATGATGTTGAAGTTATAATTTATAATAGCGTAATAGAAATCGGACCATAGAACATGTGCGAAAACGACAAGAAGAAGGAGAAGAAGAAGCACGGTGATGGTTTTGCAGCTGGGCTCCATGGCATGTGATTATGATCTAGATTTACATCTCTTCTTCGAAATTCTTTTATAAATACCATGCAGTATAGCTTATATCCAAATTGTAACATATTTTTGTTATAAAGAAATGTCATTCTATAGTTCTAACTTTGTTTTTGAGTCGTGGACGACAGTGTACTTTGATCTCAATTCATGTCCATATACTTTGGTTTCACTCCACTTCCATCCAAAATTATTAAAACTTAGCTTCCACGAGGAATTTGAACATGTGCCCATCATCTTCTAGTAACTTTTTTATCGATAAACAAATTTGGACAGACGATTGTGTGACTTGTGCCACCTCTTATACTTTTTATATTCATCACATTTTCTATTCCAATTTATCTTTCAGTTTATTCCAACAAACATTCTCAACTTTTTATAGCTTCTAATAATATCCGAAATTGAGATTTAAGCATATGTGATTAATTTTTTAATGTATTAGTTTAAGTAGTTTTATTTTTTATATTGTTTTGTATCTGTAATTTCCTTAGGGCATAAACACTACATTATCGTTAGACGTAGCAAAAAGAGAAAAACAAAAAAACACAAGTTAAATAAGACACAAACTAGTTTTTCCGTTAACGTCGCATCTTAAAATAGCTAAAACGAATTATTTGATCGAGTTGATATATTTCTTTACAGAACTTGTTACTGTTAGTGGATGCGTAAAAGTACAGTAAAACGAATTGATAGGTGGTCGTCGGATATTTCGAGTCTGGATTAAAAATGAATAAAGGATCATGGATTTGATCATGATTATAAAGATAATGAATATGAGAATCTATATATATAAAACACAGTTGGGGTCTCTTCTGGGAGCGCCACATCAGCAAACTCTTTTTTAATCAATGCTCTTCCAATTCTATTTTAAGACTAATAATTTATTATATCTATCACTTAATCATAATATAATTTGACTAGAGGGAAAGAGACTAGACAGGATGAGACTAGACAGGATAGATATGGCGGAGAAAATGGGATGAAAAAAAACATAATGGAACGGAAAAAAGTGAATTTAGCATATCCCTAATTATATTTAGGGACATGACGGAAAGAACGGGATAAGACAGGACAAAACGGGATGGAACAGTCTCAGATATATAGGATTGCATGTGACGATACGGATATGACAAATGGGACAGGAAAGAACCGACATGATAAAATGAACAAAATGGGAAGAATGAGAAATGATGATTCAAAATTTTTGCGTAAACTTAATTATATTTAATTTTCGGAAATTTTTGAGTAACCCTAATTATATTTGATTAATATGTGTATGACATTTTTAAAATAATAATAAATCATAGAATTAAATTAAATTTATGAAAAATAATAAAATCAACACAACAATTTCATTTCCCGCGCGAAACGTGGATCACCCCTAGTCAATTATGTAGGAAAGAAAGATGCGCACTACTTTAAGTAACAGTGGAAATTTGATTAGTTTACTTGTAAATAACGAGGAGTGAGATGCCGTTTAAGCGCCGTTTGTCGCTATGATGAAGAAATGAAGATTTTAATGATACCTACGTCACGACAATCGATCTCCGTTCCGTTTACGTCGGTGCATGTTTCATACGACGAAACGACATTACGTGTTTTGTGTTTTTAAAATATTTTATTAAACAAAGGGGTAAATTTTCGTGAACTTTGTCTTTCCAAATTGGATTGAGCACGTGAAGACGGAACCTGTAATTCAATTTGTTATGTTACATTTTGATCAAATGGTAAAAGTAACGATACTAACACAAACTAGACAGTCTAGCTACATGTTATTGGTTATTTAAATTTGTTATTATGTCATTAGTTTATACATTCAACACAAATACGCTAATAGAAACAGAAACATAGTGACTGCATTTAAATGAAATAGGAAAACACAAACAATAACAAAACTTTTAATGACTGCATATAAACGCTTTTATCAGAATTACTCCCTTGGTTTCACATTAGTTTTCGTTTTAGAATTTATATTGTGTTTTACTTCATTGTATATTTTCACAAAATTTTGATTATATAGTTTTCTACTTTGATCTCTACTTCTTTAGCTTACTAAATAGTGATATCACATCTTGTATATAGAAGTTATAAGTTGACAAAAAACAATAGTAGAATTTACGAGAAAGGGAACAAGGTAAGAGAATTAATGAAAAACTTGTTGTCATCTTCAAAAATCATTTAACAATTTTTTTGTTAGAAATACTACAACTTTTATTTTTGTAATACTACAGCTAATTAAGAAAAATTGCAAACAAAAAATGAGATGTTGATGATAAACAAACCCCTATAAATATACATAATGTTCTGGCCTTATCACTTATGTAACAATATATCTTTATTTAGCAATGTTTCTCTTAGTATAAATTTGAAAACATCACCATTACCAATCTTCGTAGCAAATTGAGATACAAAAGGCACTGAAGAAAATATAAAAGAAAGATAAATGGCTTCATACAAAAGCCTTACTGTTTTTCTATTTGCTACCATGATGATTACATTATTGGTGTTTAGTGGAATTGGAGAAGCAAGAGATATAAAAGACTCAGCTAATGTTTTGGATGACTCATCTGATGATACTACCGAATCATCTGAAAGACTTATACACGACTCCCCTGATGTGATTGAAAATTTGGGATACGGAGCCCTAAGAAAAGACGGAATTCCGGGATGCAGTTACCAACACCCAAAGATGTGTGTCAAAATCCCAGCTAATCCTTACAAGCCTGGTTGTGAAATATCTACAAGATGTAAGCGAAATCTTCATTAACATATCATTCTTTTAATCATGATGATGTTATAATCAAACTACTAAATGTGTGTTTACTCTTGACATAATAATAATTATTATAATATAACCATTAGTAACATGTATTTATTTTGCTTACGAAAACCATAAGTGTTTATATGTCATATAAATATTACAGTCTATACTCTAAAGTCTAAACCCGCCAAATCAAGATCTAAAGCTAAAAGGTTTTAAGGACTCAGGATCAAACTATATAACGCAATAAGTTTTCAACATGACATTGCTGAGTTTGAAGCAAAAGCTTCAACATGGCTATGGCCTCTCATCAGCTTCATCTTTTACCTGAATCTGCTTCCAGCAAAAGTTTCTTTTTTTTTTTTTGTTCAAACGATACTTGCATTAATGAAAAAGAGTTTAACCTCCACTGAGAGAGAATACAACAGAGCTACAAAGAGCTGAAAATACCAAAGCAACTGGTAAAACTAAAACAACAACTATGCTCATATAGAGACTTAGGGATAAAGGTGCATCCAAACAAGGGCAAGCGATAAAGACTTCAACTTTAGCTATGCAATCCTGCTTGTAACCACCACACGCGATCCATTTTTTTTAGGGCTCCAGGATCTAGAAAAAGACAGAGATCCATTTTGTTTGCCATATAATCAAATACTAATTTTTACTCTTTTATTTTTCTGATAACGAGTCACAATACTTTATAGATTTCAAATTTTGCTTAAATAATTGCATAAAATTCAGAAGCTATTATATCTTTTAGTGACTGTTACTCTGAGACCATGCTTCATGTGAAGAACAACAGACGGAACTGGCTCGATCTTGTGTCCTTCAACGACCTTTACCTCATAGTTTTGTATGATTGTCACAGCCGCTGTCTTCATCTGCGTCATAGCCACTTCTTTCCCCAAACAAAACCTTGGACCGGCGTTGAACGATGCGAACTTAGAAGGTGGCACGTGTATCAACCTACCACTCTCCGAAATCCATCTCTCCGGTTTAAATTCCGACGCATCTTCTCCCCAAACCGATTTCATTCTCCCTAATGAGTAAAGACAAATCACAATCTTGGAACTAGAATCCACTCTGTGTCCGCTTGGAAGAACGTCCGGTTTTGAAGGAGACTTGTGCTGAAAAGGAACCGGCGGATATAGCCTTAGGGCTTCACACAACGCGCCATGCAAATATACCAACTTGTTTAACTCTTGAGGATCGAGTGAATCAGAATCAGAACCACTCGTTCTTGGAGATAGTCTTGCGTTGATTTCTTGACGGATCTTGGTGGTTGCGTCAGGGTTCTTGGAGAGAAGCCAAAAGAACCAAGCGAGAGCAGAGCTTGTAGTGTCTCTGCCTGCTAACATGAAGCTTAAGATCATGTCTCTAAGGAATCTGTCATCACTCGGACACAACAGCTTGTATTTGGTCGTGTCAATATTCATGTAAGACGTCAACAAATCTTCAGAAGAAGAGTCTCCACGAGATATTTGATCTCTCTTAGACGCTATGCACTCGGAGCAAACTCGATCGAAAATCGAGTGAGCTCTTTTCATCTTCAACTCAACTCCAAGACCAAGAAATCTTTGCATTTTCCAAACCATCTTCGGCTTGACATGTCTGAAGAAAACAGCTTCCTCTGCGTCGTCTGAAGCTTTAGAAAACTCGATTTCCGGCATCTCAATCGAGAGACAACCTAGATCAGTCCCGGTCGTTAAAAGAAACGTAGTGTCGAGCGTGAATCTTTGGAACACATCTTGTAAGTCAACGACTAGTTTCTTTTCAGCAACATGATCAAGAAGTGGGACAAGACCATTCTCTACCTTGCTCATGCTTGTTCTTAGCGTGAACCTTTGAAACTCCTGATGAGTCATCATGCTTTGAGCTGATCTCCTCAGATCATTCCATAGATCAGAATCCGCATTGAAAATCCCATCTCCCAAAACATCGAATATCTCCTTGAACTCGGATCCTTTAGGGTAGTTGGCGAAGTTTGTAATCAGGATGTGATGAATATTGGCCGGATCAACGGTGACCAGCATGTCCATGCCGGCGAAACACGGGCCTTTGAAATGATAAGTTAAGTTCGAGGCCTCGAGATGCTCGGTGACATGGTCGTAAACACGAGGGATCTCCACGAGTAAACCCGGAAGCATACCGAGGAACGGCCAGTTCGTGAGAAACACAGGGTGGGATTTTTTGCAAAGCAAGAAATATCCAAAGAGGAAAGAAAAACAAAGGAAAGAAATTGTGACTTCAAGAAATGTTATGAGAGCCATTAGAGAGAAAACTGAGAATGTATTTTCTTCTTCTTTTGATCTGAGACTAAAGAGGCAGGTTGATTCTTGGTTTCATTCCGAATGCATATAATATAGATGCATGCATGTGTATACCTTAAAGCGTACGTCCTTCTCGTGGCAGTTGAAAATATTGATGAGGTCTATCGTTTGGATAATAAAAACGACATTTAACAGTACTTTTGTTTTGCTTTGTTTGTTAGTATTATTGGTACCTGTTTTGGAAGCCAGTGCAGTGTGCATATGACATTATTTATGATTCGTGGTCCTAGTTAATACTTTATGGTAAAATCTAGGCGAAAAAAATGAATGAGAAAAAAGCATACAGCTAATTCTTACTCAATCTGTTTTGTAAGCAGTTTAAGCTTTTTATTTTTGTATCACTTTTACGAGTAATCAGATTTTGATGGAAATAGATGTATGATTACTCTTTTATGATGGGGATATACTAAAAACGGTATATGATGAAGTTAACTCTCTTTTTTTTTTACGCAACCCAACTAATCAAGATCCCAAAATTCAAGGGCTTTGAGGGATTAGGATCATTATATATAACCCCTTTAAAGCAACAATTTTACACAATGACATTGATTAGTTTGACGCAAAAGCTTCAAGATGGTAATGGCCTCTCATATTACTCATCAGTTTCATCTTCTACTTCCCGAATTGCATCAATGCTAACGAATATACATCTTTCCTTCTCATTGATGTTCTTTCGGCTACCGTTTTCACCGCCTGACAGAGTTTGATGATATTAGATCCATAATCATTAGGTTACATATTCATTTCAAGGAACACAACAACCATTCAATATGTCTATATAATCTAATCATATACGTGTAATGAAATGTTTTAAACTTAGTTTCCAAGAAAGGGGAGGATCTCATAACAAAATAGTTACCGTGGAAAGGCTATGTATATTCTCATACACAATTTTGATTATATAGTTTTCTACATTGATCTCTACTTATTTAGCTTATTAAATAGTGAAATCACATCTTGTATGTAGAATTTATAAGTTGACAAAAACAATACTCCCTCCGTTTCAAATTAGTTGTCGTTTTGGCAAAATGTATCTGCAAATATTTGGACGTATCTGGACGTGTTTTGCATTGCAGATACGTCCAAATATTTGCAGATACATTTTGCCAAAACGACAACTAATTTGAAACGGAGAGAGTATAGAATTTATGAGGAAGGGAACAAGGTAAGAGAATTATGTTACGTGTAGCTTATTGAAAGTGACGATAACTCTAATTATTGATAGATAGTAACGATTACAGAACTTTGAGAGAAGTTAATGGCGTCTCTCATCATCCCTTAAGAGATTTAATGGAGTCTCTCACCTCCCCTGTGATCACTCAATCTCGTGATGAAGATATCTCTCAACCCCCCAAACTAATTTATAGATAAGATTAAGAAATAACCATGGTTACTTTGAGAGTAGCCACACTAAACTATGGTTACTTTGCCATAGTTACTATATAATATTTAACCGCTTTAACCAATTGAGACCGCTCCTATCAAATTAATGAAAAACTTGTTGTCATCTTCAAAAATCTTTTAATAATTGTTTTTGTTAGAAATACTACAACTAAATTCTTTTATTTTTGTAATACTACAGCTAATTAAAAAAAAACTGTAAACAAAAAATGAGATGTTGATGATAAACAAACTCCTACAAATATACTTATGTAACAATATATCTTTATTTAGCAACATTTTTCTCACTATAAATTTGAGGACATCACCATTGCTAATCTTCGTAGCAAATTGAGATACAAAAGGCAGTGAAGAAAACATAAAAGAAAGATAAATGGCTTCATACAAAAGCCTTACTGTTTTTCTATTTGCTATCATGATGATTATATTATTGGTGTTTAGTGGAATTGGAGAAGCAAGAGATATAAAAGACTCAGCTGATGGTTTGGATGACTCAAATGATGATACTATCGGATCATCACCTGAAAAATCACCTGAAAGACTCATACACGACTCACCTGATGTGATTGAAAGTTTGGGATACGGAGCCCTAAGAAAGGACGGAATTCCAGGATGCAGTTACCAACACCCAAAGATGTGTGTCAAAATCCCAGCTAATCCTTACAAGCCTGGTTGTGAAATATCTACAAGATGTAAGCGAAATCTTCATTAACATATCATTCTTTTAATCATGATCATGTTATACTGAAACTACTAAATGTATGTTTACTTTTTTATAAAAGTTATTATTACTCTATAACCATCAATGTATTTTATTTCGCTTGAAAACCGCAAGTTGTTTATATGTGATACTACAATTTCTTCACTTATATTGGAAATGTTTGACCAAAAAGTATCCAAGCAAAAGCTTCAAGATGGGAATGGTCACTCATATTACTCATCAGCTTCATCTTCCACCTGAATCTTTCCAAATTTCTTCAACGCCAGCGAATATACCTCTTTCCTTCTCATTGATGTTCTCTCCGCCACCATTTTCACCGCCTGACAGAGTTTGATGATATTAGAATCCAGAATCATTAAGTTACATAAACATGTCCACAACATGTCCTAATGTGTAATAAAATTCTCATAACAAAATAGTTTACCGTGGAAAGGCTATGTCCATCAGAGATCAGCACTCTCAACTCTTCTTCAAGTTGCGAATCCGTTGGATTTTCAGGTTTGGTTTCTTCTTTTCCTCCGATCAAAAGCGTGATTTCTCCTTTCGGTTGGCGAAGCAGAAACTCTTTCTTGGCTTCCCCTAGCGAACCCCTCCAAAACTATAGCAGAAGAGCACCTCACCTCTCATTATCATAAACCGTATACATATGTAGTTAACAAGTCACATACAGAGTGATAAAGGATTGTTACCTCTTCATGCAGCTTTGTAATCTCTCGAGCTATTACACATTGCCTGCAACATATCAATCATATTTCAGAACAAAGCTCCTAACACTAGAAAATCAAAAGATATAAATTCATTTTCTTGGCGGTCCATAATTGCATCAAGAAAGGCATAATTTAGTAGGTTTTTAACTTCTTGAAGTGGATGTGTATTGATAACAATTAAGAAGATGTGAATATAACTTTCTTGAAACATCTAACAGAAGTATGTATACCTTGATTCACCAAAGTAAGGAGTAGTATCTTCAAGAAACTGTGACAACTTATGAGGAGGGACATAAAAGATCTGTGTTCTCGTCTCATTTGCTGAAACCATCAGCCTCTCCTTCCTTGTTCCAGAATGCTTATGAAGAAAACCAACTGCAAAAAAAAATCAAGTAATTTGGAAAATTTAAAAACTTTACATAAGGTCATGAACAAAAGATGTAAATGGCTAAAGTTACCAAATGTAAACTCATCAGTCTCCAAACCAGAGGCAGAGAGAGCAGCAACTACAGCACAAGCCCCTGGGATCGGAATCACATCGATATTCTCTTTCGCACACATTTTCGCCTGAAGCAAGAAGATGATAAGTAAATTTAGAAAAGCTGCCTCTCTACTTCAGTGACTCCAGAAAGCAACAATGGAACAAAACTATATCTATGAACAGAAAAAATGAAGTCTTTTTAGCAACTCACAAGTTGAGTTCCAGGATCACTAATTCCAGGTGTGCCTGCATCGCTGATAAGTGCCACAATCTCTCCTTGTTTCAATCGATTCAACACAGCTTGCTCTCTCTGGGCCTCGTTGAACTTGTGATAACTGAGCTAAGTGTAAGCAAAAGAGAGCTAAGTGTAAGCGAAAGAGACTTTGCGTAAAAGAAAGGAGGAAACTTACAAGTTGAGCTTTAATGTTATAGTACTGAAGCAATTTCCCTGAGTGTCTTGTGTCCTCAGAGAGTATCACATCCGCAGATCTCAATACACGAATTGCTCTACACATAGAGCACAAGCAAAAGAAAATTTTCAATTGAGAATTGATTCGATTCAGAAATTGGGGGTTTTTTTGGAGATTACCGTAAAGTGATATCTTCGAGATTTCCGATGGGAGTTGCAACGAGGTAAAGCCCAGACTTGAGAGGACCCTGAAAAGCTTAAATATAGTTGCAAATGGGGAGACACTAAGCCCTAATCGAATTGATGAAAAGGAAGAGAGAGATGAGAGTTATTACGCGTTTCGAATCATCCTTGGGCACGAAGTCGGATAATTCCGACGCCGAGCAAAAGGAAACGGCGGTGGTTCTGGAGATAATCGGCGACTGGAAGAGAATCGAAAGAGGGGAGAAGGTGGAGGCACGAAGGGAAATGTAAGGAAGACGGAGAAACGGTATTCCCGCCATTCAAGTGTTTAGCTTTCTCTCTTTATCCCTCTCAAATGTTAAAACTTGAGCTTCTTCTCTGTTTAAACCTTTTGCTGTGTAGTAGAGAAGAAGATGATGGGAAGAAAAACCCTAACCGAACCAAACCAAACCAAATTGTAGCTATAGTTGATTCGGTTAGATTTCGGTTTATCCATTAAACTGATATGATTAACATTTTCAAAAAGCTTTTTTATTTCATTCCCCCATTTTGTTTCGGTCAAAAACTGTAAAGCCTGAACTGATTAACTGCTTTTTTTGCTCATAATTCAGATTCGACCAAAACGTGTGTTCTTTTTAGAGTTGGTTAAAACTGGTTCGGTGTCGTCTAACATGACTCGGTTTGACAACAAAAGAAAAATCGAAGTAGGGATTCCACATTCCGGTTCAGTGTTACACCTCTTTTATAACGATTCGAGGAACTGCTCACTTGAAGGAGTGAACAAGAAAAGAGGAGACGACAATAAGTTAAAATTATAGATGTGTCAACATTCTTGACATTTTTCAAAATGTCAAAATCATTACATAAAACACTTCTTCCTCTTTAAAGACTTGTTGGTCATGCTAATGCATCAAACCTTATCGTCATGGAACCACCACCTCGTCTCTTTAGGAGACCTCCCGTTCTTACAGTTCTTCACATAACGATCATTATCCGCAGGACGTTCCTGCAATAGATAAGGCGTAAACACATACATAAATCTCTTGTTTCTTACTGAGCTCAAGATTTTTGGAAAATTAGGAGATGAACAAAAGAAGGGACCTTTGCAGGTGAACTCGAAAGCATCGAGAGAATGCTTATGCAGACCGAGCTCACCGTCATTGCTGGTGACCATGAGTCATATAGAATATCTGCCAAAAACCAAACCACACATGTTTATTATAGTCACCAAAAGAATCAGTTTTCTCAGTTTACATGCTGAGTGTATTGCATCATTTAAGACTGCGTTTTGAGGATTTTTGATTAGAGTCCAACTTGGTTGCAAAGAGAACAGATATTGAACTTAAGCTCTACACCATATAGTACAAAATAATGAATCCAACGACACGAGAGCTGCATATTTTATCGGTTCGGAGACTACTCTAAGATCTTTGTAAAGGATTATGATTTTGCTCAAAGAAAGAAAGAATCTAGCCTTCAATCTAAAACATCTTTTACTGTGTGTGGAGAGATTGAACATGGAAAGCTGCTACAAGTCTAACGAACACTATGAGCAAGGTTATACAATAAAAACTTTTTTCTGGTAAACAAAAACTCTCTGAATCGCAGTCTTGCCAATGATCATCAACCTATTTTTCAAACTAAACAGTCTCCTCGATATAACAGAAAACTATGTCTATGTTACAAAGACTAACTAAACAAGGTACCGTTTAAATCATCATTACACATTAAAAACGAGAACAGTTATGCAACTTGGGGGTGATTAGAAAGTCAAATAAAATAAACCCTTGATGTGAATGAGAGCAAAAACATAAGCATAACGCAAAAGAGATAGAGAACAAATACCTAAACAAATATGTCCATTGCTGTAAATATGTGGATGTGACGGTGCCGGAGGAACAAAAACTACCTGTTCAACAACAGAGATAACCAGTCATACACTCATCCACAGCACAAATAAACAGACACAAAAGCTGATATAAACCAAAAAAATTATCACTAGCTCTTAACCGAAAGAGACACCAAAACTCAAAAAGAAATTCAATTAGTTTAAGAAGAAATAGCCAGAACAAAGAGAAAGACTTTGAATCAATATGAAACCTTAAATCAACCATATCTTCAGGGAATAGATAGAAACTGCAACCAATAACTTATCGATTCGAGATTAAAATGTTAAGGGAATCAAAAAAAAAAAAGTAAAACCTAGAGAGGGTTGAGAAATGACTTGCCTGCGGCGCTTCCATAGGGTAATTTACAGGAAATTCAACCTGAAGCTGGTAAGTCTCGTTCGCATAGAGCGTTCCCGGAGCTCCGGTAACATCGATTGTCCATCTTTTAGGATCAGACACAAAACCGCAAATCGATCGAAATTAAAAAACCAAAAAATTTGGGAAAATTCAAAAGAAGAGAAAGAGAGAGTGATTGATATACTTTTGAAGATTATCAGTAACTTTGTGCCTAAATCCAGTAGGGGGATTTAATTGCCACTCGGTAAGCTCCTTCTGCAGCCTATTGCACGCGATCTTGCTTAACGCCTACGATTCAATCAAAAATAGGTTTATATAAGAGAGAGAGAGAGAGACATAGATTCGTGGAGAAATCGAAGACATGCGAGAAAGAGAGAGAGACCTTGCGTGAAGGAGCGGAAGAGCTGGTCATGGCGGAGAGAGACGGAGAGAGAGAGAACGAGGGTCTGCTGTCTGTTTGTTCTCCTTTACTCTTTTTTTCTTCTTCTTTATATTACTTTTTTTTAATTGATTGTTACATATCTTTCCTCCGAAAATATAAAAAAGAATTACATATCGAAAGTAGCAAAATTTTGTATATTTTCTGACTTTGTGTTGATTTATATATGTTTTTGTAAACATATCGAACATGATGTGAAGTATAAGTAAATTTTGTGTAATTTTGTGTAACTTTGTTATCAACTGCGAAGTTGATTAATATGATTGGTTAGAAAAAATTGATCTAATGTTTTGTGTTAAATCGTTGTAATCTAATGCAAATGATATGAGAACGTTTACATCAACGATTATACCATCTTCTAAAGCTCTATAACCGGCTCCATGTTGAAGACATCCTCCAAGTTAATTTCCATTAATTTGCACAATTATGAATAAATCACATTATCCAGTACTCAAAACTCATACCTCCTAATCCTAATATAGAAACATTAACCAATATTTGAAAAATCTCTAAAACAATCACACACATTAATTTTATTTTTATACTTAGAAAAATTCATAAACTTAAATTTTGTTTTTCATTTGTAGGGGTGATCGATCGATCAGATTTGAGCTTGTCACGTACAATGGATGGAGGTCCTTATCAATTGCTTCCTCCTTGATTTTTGTTATTGGACTATAAACTTTTATTGGAAGCTCATCCATCTTTTCCATCTTAAATTTGTACTATTTCTCCACTTTCTTCATGAAATTGAGAGTAAGGTGAAGAAATCCTACAAATTGAGGTTGAACAAATGAACCAACTTCCATTGAGATGTTTTGGTTATGTAAAACCATCAAGGAGAACTCGTGAAGAAGAAAGCAAACGAAAGATGCCTCCATCCAATGTCGGCCCAAGGGTTTTGGTAATATATGCGTATGATGGCGAGAAAGACTAGTGGTCTTTTCTTTCAACCTGGAGGTGTATATTGATACAATGATATAAAAACGATATGTTTCCATACATTTCGGTTTGATTTGTTTAATGTTGTTTAACATTATTGACTAAATCTTTTAGTTTTAGTTTCTTTCTTGGTTGATAAAATTTGGCCAAAAGTATTAAATACATGTAGAAGTAAATTATCTTCTGATCTTATCGACTCAATCCTAACCCAAATTCGTCTCACATTAGAATCCTCAAACACGTGTCAAGTCTTCAGTGTAGTATGGCGAGAGTTTCCCACCGCTCTTAGAGCGTTTAGAGGCGTTTAGACCGCTACAAGAAACAACACCAGATACTTCTCGAAGCATGATCACAACTTTTCTCATGGAAGGTCGGTTCAAAGGGAGAGGGCTCGTACAAAGAAGACCAATGTGAATGACTTTGCTAATCTCTTCTTTGAACCCAAGATCGAGTTTGTGATCGATTACAAATTCTAAACCGGAACGGTCAAGTGTAGTGCACACCCATTTCGCCATATCTTTATCTCCAAGTTCCGGATCAGTTGGTCTCTTCCCTGTAACCAATTCCAAAAGCACCACACCGAAGCTATAGATATCACTCTTCTCGTTCACCCGAAGTGTATACACATATTCTGCAAAAACATTAACACTATTAGTATTATTCTCTTTGAAAAAATTATCATTTGATGATTTGGTTATACCTGGTGCAATGTAACCGCAAGAACCGGCGATCCCAGACATAGCTTCTGGCGTTTTGGAACCACTAATCTGACCGACTTTGGCGATACCAAAATCGGCGACTTTGGCGCCATACTCTTTATCTAGCAGTATGTTACTAGACTTCACGTCGCGGTGCACAATCGGAGGAACACAGTCATGGTGCAAGTACGATAAACCCTCGGCGGCGTCCAACGCAATTCTCAACCGCTCCGGCCAACCGATCAACAATCCGCCTTTGCCGTGACGGTGAAGCACATCGTCTAAGCTCCCATTAGGCATGTACTCGTAAACCAACAACTTGCAATCGCCGGAGCTGCAGCAACACCACAAACGCACAATGCTCTTGTGCCTAATGGTTCCTAGCGTTTCAACCTCCGCGGCGAAAACGTCTCTGTTCAAAGAATCGTCGTCTCCTTTGGCCGTTTTGTTGAGTTTCTTCACCGCTACGACTTCTCCGCCGCTTAGCTCCGCCTTGTAGACTTTACCGGAGGATCCGGATCCGATTACGTTTCGTTCGTCGAGGCAATCAGCGATTTCGTGCTCGCTGAATTGAAGCTTGTGGAAGGATCTCCATTTCGTCGCGGCGAATCTAGAGCTCTTCGAGGATTTGATCTTCCGGCATTTGGCGATGAACATGACGATCCCGACGACGAAAACCAAACCGGCGAGTGTGAAAATCGATAAGAGGATCCAAACGTAGCCGATGTTCTTAGGCTCTGATACCTTCTCACAAAGTCCGTTGAGATCGACGCACAAGCCAGGATTTCCGATGAAGTTGTTTGCGTAGATTTTATCAGCGTAGAGAGTGGGGATTTTACCGGAGAGGCGGTTATACGATAGATTGAGAACGTTTAGCTTCAGATTCTGCAACTCCGGCGGGATTTCCCCGGAGAATTGATTGTTTGAGAGGTCGAGATAGTTGAGAACAGGTAAAGTTCCGATTTCTCTAGGGATTTCACCGGAGAGATGATTATTAGCCAAATCGAGCTCGTTTAGATTCTTCCAGTCTCGAATTCCACAAGGAATCTCGCCGGAGAGTTGATTGTTGCTCAGATCAAGCCTGCTCAATTGCTTCAGTTTCACCAAGCTACCGGGAATTTCACCCGTGAAGTTGTTCTCCGCTCCGGAAATCTCGATCAATCCGTGAAGCGATCCGATTTCTCCGGGTATGGATCCTGAAAACCGGTTACTCGAAATCCGGAGGTTCGATAGATTCTTCGCGCCGGAGATCGTCTCCGGGATTTTCCCGGTGAACGAATTTCTGGAGAGTTCGAGCAGCGACAAGTGAGGCAATCCCCAGAATTCGTCTGGAATGTGACCCGAAAGATTGTTGTCACTCAATCGTACACGTGTCAAGCTCTTGCATTTTCCCAGATTATTTGGGATTTCACCGGAAAACGAATTGTTGATAAGCATGAGATACTCCAGTTTCCCTCCCCCGCACAAACTCGTCGGTATCTCACCGGAGAATCGGTTATACGATAAGTCCACGTACTGTAACTGCGAGTTCGCGCCGAGTTGACTCGGTAGTTCACCGGTGAGTCTGTTGTTGAAGAGTTTGAGTTCTGATAAAGTTTTGGAGCGAGTTATGCTCTCCGGCAAGGTTCCTTCGAGCATGTTCTCAAAGAGATTGAGTGACTCGAGGTTTAACCGAGTCAACCCGTTGGGTATCTTCCCTGTTAGCTTGTTCGTCGATGCGTCGAATCTCTTCAACATCGTCATGTTGTACATCGCTTCCGGTAACTCGCCGGAGAATGAGTTGTTGAATAGCTCAATCTGCTCGACGTTCTTCAGTTGTGTGATCCAACTCGGGACAGACCCGGTGAGTCGATTTGTTGTCAAATCCAAGTTGACCAACTTAGTCAATCTCGATAGCTCCGGAGGTACTGGACCAACGAGGTTGCAGCCGCCGAGCCAGAGAACACGGAGCTCCGTGAGATTTCCGAGTTGACTCGGGATTTGACTCGGAGAAAACAGATTGTAAGCGAGTTTAAGTTCTCTTAGAGTCGAGACGTTGCCGAGCGAGGTCGGAATTGTGCCGGAGAGGAAATTACCGGCGAGGTTTAAAGACTCAAGCTTGCGGAACTCTCCGAAGGTTGGTGGAATCATGCCGGATAAGTTGTTGCCGGAGATTTCGAGGCTCCGGAGGTTCGGAAGCTGGGAAGGGAGTGACTCCGGGATTTTTCCCACCAAGAGATTCTCCGACAAATTGAGATAGCGGAGATTCCGGCACGCCGTGAAGTCGTCGGCGGAGAGAGAGCCATTGATGTAGTTGTTGTAGAGAGAGAGGAAAGACAGAGAAGGAAGACGGCAGATGACAGAAGGGAAAGGACCGACGAGCGCAAAGCTTGACAGATCGACGGAGACGACAGCTGATGTAGCGTCGCAGGTGATGCCTTGCCACTGACACGGTGTGACGTCGTTGTCGGACCACGAAGATAGTGACTGGGCCTGGTCGGATAGGCCCAATTTGGCTTGCCGGAGAATGGTGGCATCGTTGTTTAGAGAGAGAGTTAGATACGTGGAAGGGAGGAGAAATAGAAGAAGAAGAAGAAGACGACAAGAGAGCATTTTTTGATAGATTTGTTTATTTCTGTTTCATTTCAAGCTTGTTTAAACGAAATTATGAGTTACGAAAGGTTTATGGATTGATAATTATAAGGATTTGTAGAAGCAAAAAGGGAAGTGAACACTGTGACAAGACATGTTTTTCAAAAGTGGGAGACTTTAGGATGCAAAAATAAACAGTCAGCTATACACCATGCTGCAGAGTAATCTACATATAAATCATCCTCAAAATTGTTTAGTGATGAAAACTAAAAATCCCAAACTTTAATGCCTTTTTTCTCTTTTTCTGTCTAAAGTTAAACTCTAATAACTAAACTACAAAGTTAAGATAAACTGAAAGTCTAGTCAGAAATTTTGACGAGAGACAAGTTATATCGTAGTTTGAATTCTGATTATACAGAAAAAATATGCAGTTTTATGGAGAAAAAAATGAATGATTAAAGAAAAAATTCTGATTTTAATTTTATTGTTGTAAATAAACAAAAACAAGAACAAGTAATTTGTTTACATGATAAGAAAAGAAATGGTCACTCTCCAAGTCAACTAGTAAACTATGATGGAGATACATGGGCCATGTGCTGCTCGATTTATGTTGACTTCTCCTGATTATGCATAGAAACTTCTTTGATTAATGTTTTTAAGATCCTATGATTTTGTATCGATTTACAATTCTTAAACAGAAAACCTAAACACCTATGATCTATATCCTAAATTGATGGACAAATCTACTTGTATAGTTAAGTTTCATACACGTTAGTAAAGCCACGCGTATCAAAGGTCAAAATTAGTTGGTCGGAAAAGAACATGATCTAACAGTAATAGTATACTTTGTTAGATTACTTTCATTTCACTTGTTAAAAGCAACAGTCGTCTGAAACCACAAGATTTGAGTGGGAGAAAGTAAAAATTGATAGATCTTGTCTTCAATCAGCTATCGGATATCACGAGTTTGCATTTTTGTAATCTCGCTCAACTAACGGTCCATACCACTAAGCACTATGAATCTATGATGTCACCTTAACCCAATAATGTTGTTTAAGTCTTGGTCTTGAAACGATAACTATGTGCCTTATTTCCTAGCTTGCATTCCCTTTACGTCTCCTCATTCCTCAAGCAGTTTGCCTTGTTTTGGACTTTTGGCCGGAGTAATAAGCAATAACAATTTATTCCCTTTACGTCTTCTTCTTTTTATCGAATATGAAAAAAAAAAGAAAAAAAAGTTATATGTGATATCGGTCCAAAAAAGGGAGTAGACTATATGTAGTAAGTATATGAAATTGAGATCGTTTTTGTTATATTTCGTAATATCAACACATAACTGAAGTGCATGTCCATTTCACAAGTCACAACCGATAACGGGTAACCTCTTTTAGCCGAAGAACAAATTCCTCCAAAGACTAATTTAATGCATTATTTATAGACCACACGTTAGACAGATTAAAAAATTAAGCCACGTCTTTGAAGAATACTACGAAACTACAGTATTTTCTTCTGAGAAAAAAGAAGAAAAAAACTATCATATCAACTAGGGTTGGGAAAAAACATTGAACCAGATCAAACCGACCCAAACCAAACCACAATTTATAGAAACTGGTAGATAAGATAATCAATTAATTGTATTGTAATATTGTCCCTTTAAGTATATAGTCGTTTAAAAAAGTTTTCAGTATATTAATACAGACATAGTATTGATTGGTGCCTCAACTGGTGGTACATCCCCTTCCCAAGTTAGTTAGGAGTTATAAACGAGGCCCTTAACTACATAAGAAAACAAAAACAATAAGTTGAAAGAAATTGTTTAAAGATTATGACATTTTAACCCAATTGACCTTACCTTATTTCACAGAAAAGCATGTGGTGGACCTCTCAGTCGTCTCTAGTCTTTACTCAGTCAAATATATAATTACGAACATAATGCCTACTCTAAGCAAAACAAAATGATCACCAATTTCATCAAATAAAACTTAGCCAATTGGAAACTAGAGGAAATTCCCAAATCTTTGGATCGAATCTTTTTAGTTCACTTTCTGACATCATGTTTCACCAAAAAGATATTTAATGTCTCTGGGATCCACTACATTAAATCCCCAAGCTCCCAACTAACATTTTACCAATAATGTCAGCGCCTATTAACAACACTCGACACCTTCTTATTCTTTCTCTCTATATCTATCTTTTGTCATCCCAAAGTTAACCATTATAGCTCTTGCATTGGAAGAAACAAGATAAACATTTTTAGCAAAAAAAAGAAAGAAAGAAGATAACATGGAGGAAGAACAAATTAGAATGATTAAGATTATAGTTTTTGGAGTAATAACATGGGGAGTGGCTTTCATACTCACCAGAAGAATCTTATCAAGCTACTCTTTCGACTTCTGCAATCGTCTTCTCTCCATGGCTCACGCCACAATCGCTGTCACATTAGCTACACTCTCTGTTCAAGATTGGTCTTGCCCTGTTTGTCCCCGTGCTTCTAAGCCATCTCCCCAACAGGTTTCTTCTTAATCACGTCAATGCTCTTACTTAGTTTTATATAATCACTCGTTTTGCACGTGTAACACAAACTGAAATGAAACACGAGCAGATGGATACAATGGCGTTTTCACTGTCGTACATGATCTACGATCTTATATGTTGTCAGTTTGATCAAGTGATTAGTATTGACAATGCGGTTCATCATTTGGTTAGCATTCTTGGTTTTGTTGCTGGACTTGCCTACCAAAAGGTATTCTTATTCTTTCTTTCTTTTTTCCATTTAGTGATAATAACTATTAGAGAGTGAGATTTTGGATTACTAATTTTGTTGTTAAATCAATTTGGAAGTCTGGATCTGAGATCGTGGCTACACTGTGGATAGCAGAGGTATCGAGTCCTTTTTACCATTTGCGGGAGATTCTGAAAGAGATTGGATACAAAGACACCAGCCTCAATCTAGCAGCCGATGTGAGTACATTATACACATTTGGAAATCCTTTTAATGTTGTGTTCTAACATTTACTAAACGGGAAATTATGAGAAGAGACAAAAACTAAACAGTAAACACAATAGAAAAGATTCGGGAGACAATAAAATAAGGGCCAACTCTGGTTGCAATTATTAAAAATATGGTTAATAGTTGAAGATTTATTAGCTAAGGTCCTCCTGTAGAATCCAAATCTACTTCTCTGTTTTATTAGCATTTTCTGTCTTGTTTTTTGTAGTACTAGATAAAAGTCATTTTTATCTTATTATGTTGGAAGCTTCTAAGAACCTAAGCGTTTGCTTAATGATGATGATAGGTGTGTTTTGCGACTATATTCACACTGGCGAGAATAGTGTGTGGACCTTTTCTTGTTTACGTTAGTCTATCAGCTGATAATCCCATCTTCATCAAGGTATTTTCTTTTCCAATTAACACGATATTTATTTATTTTTTTGTCAGCAAGATATCTTAATATTTTATATCTGACATATTTCATCTGATGTTGATTTTATCAATGTCTCAATTTTTTAACATGTGAATCTTTTTGAACACAACGTATATGAATCTCTTAGTATGTCGCAATATTTTTTTTTACTATAATGGGAATGGGATACTTTAATGATAGTTGTTTTATTTTCTTACAGGCAATGGGATCAGGATTACAACTCGTGAGCATATTTTGGTTTTATAAAATTTTCGGGATGATGAGATATAAACTTTTTAAGAAGCCAAAGGCAAACAAAAAATCCGCCTAGTTATTGAAAAAATATAAAATTTGATTGAATCCAATTATTTTCTTTCTTATTTTGTATTTTTAATCTATCTATTCTATTAAAATGTATTACAATAAACAAAAGATTTTCAAACTTATACAAAATAAACAAGCTAAAGTTACTGTGACAGCTTTTGATGAAGCATTTTATACATTATGTCAACTTGGAGTTTCTCTATTTTTGTTTGGTCTAATGTACACAATGTACACAAAGCTAAGTTTCTCTATTTATGTTTGGTCTAATGTCAACTTGGATGTCTAAATGCTAAAGAAATGAAAAGGACTAAAATGTCGAGATTATCGCCGTGGGATTTGACTCGAAGAAAAACGATTTCAAACGACTATTTTGATTCGAACAATAAAAGTAAAAATATAGAGCTGTTGTCATTTCTAAAGCAGTAATATTAAGATCTTGAAACAAACATTAAAGAAGAAACTGAAACAGAGTCATGAGCAATGTGCTTTAAAGAAAACAACAGAGTTTTTCACTGCCCCATTTTAGGCCCTCTCTTCCTCTCAAGAGCTTCTTCTATTCTTACTCTTTCCCGAAATCTGCGTTATAGTGAGAGCTCGACTCAAGCTTCTTGGCTTCACTCAGCTTTCTCACCGCCTGTACAAAACAACATTTTGATAAACAAAAACGTCGGATATAATAAATATGCGAAAAAAAAAACAGAGTATTTCTTTAGATTGTTTCTACCTTCATGAAGTCCTCGTGGATTACATAGTCGCGCTCAGCTCTGATTGCAAACATTCCAGCTTCAGTGCATATGTTACGCAGATCAGCACCATTGAAACCCTACGGATATTGATTCAGAATAACAATCAGTGGTATCGCAAAGAAAGGCAAAACTATAATGCAGTGAGCAAGAAAAGGAAAAAAGAAACAAACCTCTCCAAGTTTCACAATAGCCTCATAGTCTATTTCCCCATGCTTGGCGATACCAGATGCGTGGATCTTGAGGATTTCCATTCTTGACTGCTCATTTGGCAACGGGATCTCAATCTTTCTATCTAACCTACCCGGACGGAGCAGTGCTGGATCAAGAACGTCGGGCCTGTTGGTGGCCATTATCATTTTCACCTAAGATATCATCATCACCAAAGTATCAGAATTTCACACCTCAGCTCGTCAAATAACTTCATCTGAATCGTTTATCTAGAGCTATTGTAGGAAGTGGTACCTTTCCGAGTTGGTCAAATCCATCAAGCTGGTTGAGTAACTCCATAAGTGTTCTTTGGATTTCACGATCAGCACTAGTTCCTTCACTGAAACGTCGCCCACCAATTGCATCGATTTCATCCATGAAAATGATACAAGGCTAGCCACAGACAGAAGGAGAGTTAGCTAATGGTAAAGTCAATATAAAAGCCTATAAAGGTATAAGAAAAGAGGAAGAAGAGACTATTCACTAGTAGAAGACTAATCTTACCTGGTGTTCACGAGCATAGTTAAACATTTCTCGAATCAACCTAGCACTTTCTCCAATGTATTTGTCTATGATTGCACTTGAGACAACCTAAACATCAAGGCAAATTAAAGATCTTATTTAAGCATAAATAAGGCATAGACGAATAGAAAACAAAACCACATACAACAGAATCAAACCTTCAAGAAGTTGGCATCGATGTTGCTGGCAATAGCCCTAGCTAGTAGAGTTTTTCCAGTACCGGGAGGTCCGTAAAGAAGGACACCCTGGAACGAGAGGCGAAAAAATTAGCATTAGCAGAATTCGAAGTACACTTTGATTCCTTTTAGCAGCTCATAACAGTAACCACAGCCGAATCGAAACATAAAAGGTGAAGCATCGGATAGATTGTGGCAACAACAAAAGAAAGGATTGAAGAGAGAATAAGTAAGTACCTTAGGAGGTTTAATCCCTACTCTGAGGAAAAGTTCAGGATTCATGAGAGGCAGCTCAATAGATTCCCTGAGTTCTCTAATCTGATCACCTAAACCACCAACAGCAGAGTAGCTAATGTTGCCTGGATCCTCATGCAACATGTTATAAACAACAGGATCGACCTATCATCAAAAAGAGATACCAAATTAAAAGCCACTCCAAATACAACAACTAAAATGATGTTAAGAAAGGATAAGCAATGCGGAAAATGAAGCATACTTCACGAGGAAGAGCTCGCATAATCGTTAGCGTAGTCATATCCAGGACAACTCTGGTTCCCGAGGTCAGCTTCTCCTTGTCAACCTTGCTACGGCAACCCACAACATAACGAGGGCCACTGCTTGCTTTAACAATCACTACAAAAGCAAAACCAAGAAGAAAAAAAAGACTCAACATTGTGATTGATAGAACACAAAGTGTAAAACGTTATAAGTAGAGAGGCTGAAAAAATTACATCTTTCGTTATCGAGTGGGCGTAATACTTCTCCGATAATCTGTCCAACGCTTTGGAGAGACTTCAAATCATCCTCAGTTTTGTTGAATTCCTTTTTAGAGGCTCTTAGACTTTCTCTAGCTGCATAAGCACAACACCCAGAAAAATTATAATCTCATATACAAAGTACAAACTCGACTGGGACTGCTTATACGAAACTACATTGAGCAGCAGTCGCAGGCAAATCAATCAAACTTCAGATCGATTTCAAAAAATTACTAATCAAGTGCGAGAAACGGTGGTATCAATCAAATTCGAAGCCCAAAAACCCTTAGAATCGCGTCAAGCAGGATAAATTTCAAAAATTTCTAGATTCAGTTGTACCCGAGAGCTTTCAAACTAAACCCAGAAACAACAATTGAGATTCAGATAGTAAGAGGGAAGAGAGAGAATGAGGATGAGATTTTGAAATTGAACCTGTGCGGACACGGGATTCGAGCTCCTTATGGTGGAGGAGCTTTTTCCGGTACTCGGTCACCACCGCCGTGCGGCGTCTAGCAGCTTCGTCTCCGTCGCTCATCCTTCTTCTACAGTGTATATCAAAGTCCCGCAGATCTCTAAATTGACCCAAAGCAACAATTTATCAACTTTTATATATTTGTTTTCTTTTCTTGAGCAATGGGTTTTGTGATCTGTTGGTTTGGAGTTGGTTAAGGATCGGTTTAGGGTCGGTTTATACCCATATAACATACCGAATCGGTTTAGATTTTAGGGACCATTTTAAAAAAATTCATTTAAATTTTATTCAACCCCATTAGACATAAAAATTGTTCCAACACTCACTCAGTCTATATATATACAACAATCTTCAGGAACTCTCTAGTCTCTAGGTGATATATAAAAAAACATGTAGATGTGGAAGTAAAGAGGTTCAATGCATTAAGAACGGTGTGGGGATTATCACAAGTGCTTCCACTCGAAACATTCAATGACCCGAAAAATGGATATATCTTTGAGAGGAACATTGTGACTTGTGAGTTTGGTGTTGAGAGGAACATTGTGACTTGTGAAGTTGGTGTTGTCCCAATTTCTCCTAGGCAGTCAAGGATTTTTCGGAGCGGAAAGAAATATTTACGAATCAGATAGATTTTCAATGGGAGGAAAAGAATGGTACATGAGTTTACAAAAGTATTTTCGATATTAATGCATCATTGCTAACTCTTACACATTAATATTGTCTAGGGCTATGCGGTTGTATCCAAAGGCATTATTTGAAAACAGATGAAAAATGGCTATGCATTTAAAGTTGTTTCGGCTACCAAATATTCACCCATAATCTAGTTTTTAAGGATTCTTATCGCCTACTAGGAGGACAACTCCGTTTTATGGGCTTATTCATCGTTATTAGTTATCTAATCTTTTTATATAACTTTGTTTCAGTATTCAGTTGGTTTTTTTTAGACTATATCTTTTGATTTGGTTCATGTCCTAGCTAGTCTAGTACAAAATGAAAAGAATAATGGATTCAATAAACCAAATACTATTATTCTTTTTTAGTTGAGTACTGAATGTGACATCTGTCAATATTGATTTTCTTAAGATGCATGGGTACAAACTAAGTAACGAATATTGAACAAGTTCAAAATATTCCATTCAAATACATTAGATCTCTCTATCATATAGGAAAACATAACACGACTTATTATTCCTGATCAATCATCATTCCCTTAAAATATAGTGAAAACTGAGTTTTTTTCTTCAATTAATCACGTGACAATTCTTCCTGATCTCACCATTAATACCAGTTAGAGGCTGAATGTTCCCCATGTTTACCATCGACTTTGCGAATTGCTCGAAGAAAAGGCTCTCGTCTTCTGCATAAGCTTTCACCAGTTGACCAGTCCTGCCTACGTTGCCGTTGAGAAGCACTTGATCTGATGTCAATAAGCTTTTGCCCCAGAGTATGAGCTTGAAGTATGTGTTGTCGAATCTTGCCGGAGAGGCTAAGTCTAGAGGTGAAATGTTGTTGTCACCGCCCCTTGGTGGACAAATCGATCTTAAGCCATAGTAGTAAGACCTCTCTAGTGTCTCGTCTGGTTGGTTATTACCGTTTTGGTTGTAGAGTCTTTGTTTGAATGTTGTGCACCTTGCTACTCCAATTGTATGCCCTCCTATAAAACACAATCCCAAAATTCAAAATAAATCTTATAACGATACTATAGGTGTTACAATTTAATGTAGTTTTAGTTTACTAGAAATTATTGAATTAATTATTAAAAACAAATTGTTTGGGTTCGGTTTTGTTCAGTACAAATTCCGGTTTAGGTTTGGTTTCCACGCTACTACCTATAACAAAGGAGGATAATACATTACTCGTGTAAGCTCACCTGATAGGGAAACAAGGTCTTCTTGGTTTAAACCTTTTCGTTGGAACATGTTTAAGAGATTCTGAATAGTTGAATTAGGTGCAGGAATGTTCGTGTTTGCTCCATTAAGGCTCGCTGTCCTCGAGTCTCTCCTTCCTAATGGAAGCTCCCATGATGGTCCACCACTCTGTATTCAACCACAAGTTCTTAAAAATTTAAGCTACATGTAACTTGTGACCAATAGTTATCTCTTTAAGGTTCTTTATTTACCAGCATAGTTGAACCACGAGCGGCAAGAGCAAGAATGTCGGCGCAAGAGACAGTTTGAGGACATGCTTGCTCCAGTTTGGCTTTGATCTCATCTATAACTTGAAACCCTTTAATGGAGTTCTTGTTTGGATTTGCATTCTTTTCACTTCTTATGGTAGCACTATCATCCAACAAGATCGATGCATCACAGCCCTGCTTACACAAAAAGTGTTAATCTTTATGAGACATTGATAAAGGAAAAATAAAATATAGGTCAAGACTTTTAAATGCAGAAACCTGAACGAAGCAGTCGTGGAAGTGAAGCCTGAGTAAAGAAGCAGCCATTCTTGGGTCTCTAGCTATGGCTTTTTCGAGAACCGTCATGACAATTTCATCAGCTTGTGGACAAGAGAACTGGTAGAATTGTGGGAAAAGTCCTGAGGATGAGAAAGTTCTTCCAATGTTGGGGCCATTACTTCCCCATCCAAACCCAAAACCTGGATGAGCAACACTAACATCAAAAGAAAACAAAGCAAAGATCACAAGACCATGAATAAGCTTTAAAATAGCCATTTTCTTTTCTTTTTTTGGAACTTTGAGAGTTCTGTAGAATGTTGTGAGGGTGCTAATAGAGTTTTATACTTGAAGAGATTCATCAAACATTTAAGCTAACTGCTCCAAGTTTACCAAATCCTAACTGAATCTTTGGATAAAGAGAGAGAGAGCTAGCTAGAGAGACATAGTCAACTTGTCCTTAAACCTCCTCTTTGTCTTTTTGAAGTCTTTTACCAACTCCAAGAACGAATCCATGTGCTTATACTCACATATGATCTCATTGTACTACACTAGTAGGTAAAGAACTCAACCAAAAATCTACACTCGGCACAAATCGTTTTCTTGTGTTCTATCAGAGTTGAAGATTGAACAATGGTGAGTCAACTGCTACATTGCGAAACAACTCTTACCAAATAATGTTTTTCTTCTTCATCTATTATTTACAAAGCATAGCAGAAACCATATGGTTTGCTTTGTGGTATTAACCAAGTTATATCCACTCAGCATCTTGAGTCTTTTGGTCACAAAACAAGACCAGAGAAAAATAAATATACGGCCTATATACAGTTTGGTTCTACAAAATATTATATTCTTTTTAAAAGGTGAAGAATCTATGATGTTTTGGAGATCATATCAAGATTTTTTATGTTTTGTTTCCATGCAAGAAAGTTTAGTTTTCTTGTTCAAAATTTCTAAAACAAGACATACAAAAACTAACAGTGTTCCTCATAAGTTACTGCCTACTTCCTCCAAAACAAGCCATGATGTTCAGAATCTGATCGCAGAAACCAAAAAAGATTTGTATCGCCGGATCAAAATCTGCCATCATGTTTATGTATCATCACTCACTTTTCTTGGATCCATCGGTTCCATAAGCGGGATTTGAGATATCAGACGAAGCTAAACTAGAGCTGTTAGTAGACGGTGTACATGTATCTGCCGATGCCTCTGTAATTCCAGCTGAGTACTTTCTAATCCTCATTGTGATTAGAACGCTTGACAGTACACCAAGCACCGGGAAGACATAACCCCAGACCTGAGTTTTCTTCTCTCCGGCTACCGAAGCCACAGCCATACCAGCGAGGCTACCGACTGATGCGTTCTGCAAGATCATCGGGAGGCAGCCGATCACCGTAGGAAAGAGAAAATCAGCTAGAAACCGGACTTGCGTTGCTGCTAATGCGTAGTTTATGACATAGGAAGGGATTGGCGAGAATCTTGCAAGAAGAACAAACTTCCAACCATCGCGCTCGACTCCTCTTGACAGAATGTTGAAGTATTTGTTTCTATGTGCCCACGCTGTTGCTGTGCTTGAACTCTTGAACACAAACCTGTTCATATATAAAAAAAAACATTTGTATGAGAGAATGGCAATTTCTCCCAAGAGATTATCATAAAATCTACTTATCACACATCGTAATATTAAATTAAACATCCCAGTTTCATAATTCTCTAGCATATGCTGACAAAGAGAATCATGGAATGGATTTAAGAATTGTTCATACTTCTCCATCATATCCACAAGACAATAAACATCTTATCCACATGCCATTAAAGAATCTGAAGCCATGCATGTTATGTTTCCTCTCGTAACCAACAAATTGAAATCATCTTTCCACACAAAGGTTCCCTTCATATCATACTTATAAGTTCTGTACAAGGTTTCAACGATGATGCATCACAGGAAACTGAATCACAACATTCATCTAACAGTTACATCTCATCCACACTCCAATATGGAATCTAAAGACTTTCATTTTCTCTGCCATTTTGGTGAGCACAGTCACAGTGTTAATTTTCCTCTGAGAACCAACAATGACATTCACACAAAGGTCCCTTTCCTAAACGAAAGTTCTTTATAAGGTTTTAGCAATGGTGCACTACAGGAAAATCTAAACCAAACCAAAGAGGTTATCATATATTTCACCAAGTAAAAGCTCAAACTTAACAAAAGCTATAACATAAACTAAGGAAATGAAGCAAAACAAGTTTCTACGAACATATGAATAAGGGGAAATGAGAAGATTCTGATGATCTGGTGCCTAAACAGAGAAGAATCTGAATCAAAATCGATTTGATTGTTAAACACAATTCGAAGCCTAGAAACCAATTTGAATCCCATAGCGGAGAAATGGTTGATTAAAGTTTCCAGATTCACAGACCTGCCGATCCAGAAGGAGAAGGAAGCGGCGAGGACTTTGGCGGAGAAAACACAGAGGAGAGCGGGGAGGAAGCCGAAGAGCATAGAAGCACCAGCTTCAAAGAAGACGGCGTGAGGGAGGCATAGCGCTAAAGTTACGGTGTGGACCGCTACGTACGTCGGAATCGCCCAAATCCCGAGCCGATTCGACATTTCTTTCAAAGCTTCTAACGCCGCTTCCTTGTTCCATCCTCCGGTGCCTTGCCTCGCGATCACGGCGATTATCGCCACCGTCGCTGCGATCAGAAACCATTTCTTCATATCGGAGCTTTCTAGAGATCGGAAGAGAGAAATGCGTCAAGAGTGTGAATGGGATCTGTGAGTACAGTAGTCGTTAGGCGGGTTTGCGGATTTATGACCCGACCCGACCCGAATTTTCGGACAAGGTCATTCTTTTTCTACGTCAACATATGATCCTATTACAGTAGAATGATTAATATTACAAAGTAAATGCAAACATTCCGAGAGCCACATAGGTGGATACAAACGTGAACTATATATAACATTGAATTAGTAGGTGTATAATATTGGAAGCTAACACATGTGCAACAGCATTATTTCCTCTTCTAGTATAAACAAAGCTACATTCCCTAAATTTGTGACTCCAATTGTTGATATCCTAACAAATAGTTTCAATACTAAAGTCTATATGTTTTTTCTTTAAGGGTATCAATCAAGATTTTACAATCTCCTTCAAAAACCACCAAACCCGTAGACCATGTTTGTTGCATTGATACCAAAACTGCCCCTTTGCTTCAGCTTCAAGAGACGAGGTTGTTGCTACTAGAGAAGTGTTCCCCATGAACTCGAATAATCCATCCAACCAAAGATTCTGTTGTATGGAGATTATAGCTTGCATCAAAATTATATTTGTCATATCCTAATTTTGAACGCTACCAAAAAAGATTTTGAAAAACTTGTTGTTGAGAATATACCACATAAACCAAATCTTTTATTGATAATGAAGTTAGCCATTCCATATGTGTCTGCTGAACAACAATATGAGAAGAAGTCATTTGCTTCTTGAAGATTAGGTTACAACTTGCCTTCCATATCCTCCAACATTCATTTGCTTCTTGAAGATTAGGTTACAACTTGCCTTCCATATCCTCCAAACTAGTCAAAAAGGTAAGAGTTTCTGATAATCAGACAGGCCACGTATATTCTGTATATCTAAAAGTTTTGCTATTTGATCATCACAATCATCATCATGATGCGGTAAAGGCTGCGAAGGAAGTTGACTAATTCTCCAAACCATTACCGAATGTGGACATGTGAATAAAGTATGGTTGATTGTCTGAGGAGACGAACAACACATTTGACACACTTTATCAATTTTTAGTCAACTTAAGGAAAAAAGATATGAAAAAGAAAAAGGCTATTTGTTGTGACATTTGTGTAAATACTAGTATTTTTATCTCCACAGCTGACATCAAATTGTTTATGCAAAAAGATCATGAATCAAAGATTTATAGTTCAACTGAGCTTAGAATCAAACATTATTGATAAATTAATATCACAACTTTGATTCTTTCATTTACGTATTAAGAGTTCTTAAAACATCGAATATTACATGCCACAAACTCGAGCTAAACAGATGGATTGGGTATAGAAGAGATATATCATGTAAACCTTCATTCAAATCCGAATCAGATTTCGTTCTTTAGTGATTTTCTTACAAGAAATATATATATATCTTCATATGTTATGGTCCATAAAGTTATCTTCTGGAATCGCGCCTATGGTCCATGGATGACACTCAATTTCCATGGTCCATTGCACACCCACTCTGTTTTCTTTCCAATTTTTTGTCCGGTTTCTTTTCGAAAAATATTTACTTCTTTTCTTTTGATCACATCCTTTTAAATAAAATCTTTTAAACTTTTTTTTTTTTTATAAATTTTGAAATTTCAACCAAAAATAATTATTTGCATGTTTAGAGTCCTCAACAAGCAACGTTACTAAGACAATATCTTGTCGTTTTAATCTCGTTTAGGATCGTTACTTTCATAATGACTATAATTAGATCAAGCCAAGGAGGTATTTCATTTAATCATTTATGGTTATGAGATTTACATTCTTAACAAAAAAAAAAGCTATTATGGTTATGAGATTTACATAAGTATTTATGGCTTATCATATTGTTTGATTTGAAAAGAGTATTGCTCGTGATCGTTAGTGATATATTGATAGTTGTTGGTATATAAGAATGTTTGATGTTGCATATTGTTGCGTGCATGTCTTGTGGCTGATTGACACTCTTTTTTTTTTGAGCAAGGCTGGTTGACTAGTCTTGTTGCTAGATCGGATGAGGATAACAATTTGGATGGTTTTATAATTCAATTTTTTCAGCATGAAATTATAACTTATGAGTAGTGTTAACTGATTACGAATAAATATCTTACGAACAAAAATGTGCGAAAATATTTATAAAAAATATTTATTTCGAAATTCGTCCCTTCAAATTTATCTTAAAATGCTATTTATATTACAAATACAATTTACTAAGGGAGGACAAGTAACAAGTTGAGAGGCAACAACAATGTCAACAAATTCAAGTAATGGAACTATACATGCAGACCGTATCGAAATCGTATCTAGATGATTTAATGACGACACAACTTGCATTATGATAATATATTTCTCGTAATTTCTGCCAATATAAATACCCCTCCCCATTTGCTTCTTTGCCACACACAACGCAAAACAAAAGCATTCCTAAATAATAAGATTGAAAGTGAAAAATGGCGAAAGCAAATGTGTTTCTCCTCTCCATTTTCGTCATTGCTTCACTCTCTTCCCTCTCCCACGGCCTTAGCATAAACGGCCTCCTAATCAACACCCTCCAAGTGAGTGGTGTCTTGCGTTGTACTCTTAACAGTAACACAAACGCTCCTGTCATTTCCGGGCGGACCGTCTTCTTAAGATGTGCCGGCTCATCCACCAACCTTGGCCAAGCAATCACCGATCCCGCCGGTGTATTCGTGGTCGTGGCCAAAATTGCGGACACAGCTCTCTTCGACCCCGCGTCGTGCCGCGTTGTGGTTGTTCTTCCCGTGGCCACATGTTCCGTTTTCCCACCGGACGGCCTCGTCGGTGCTACAGTTACGCTGGTCAGTGTCCTCCAGACGAATCTCGGAAATATCGCCCGCTTTACCACTGGCCCTTTCCTTGTTCTATGAGTTATGATCATCGATATGTGTTGCATTATAACAAATTAAGTATGTGCATGGACTTGCATGCATTTCCTATGTTTTACGTTTTTTTCTTGTAATAATAACTAATGAGGGGACAATAAGTGATGTCATGTAGTCGTCCATAAAGCTTTTAAGCTACCCTCATTGGTCGTTGTGTAATAATCCCTCTTTAGTCGAACAAACTGTATGACGACTAATGAGACGTTCATTTATATTTTATTTTTGTTATGTTATACTCCAGTGTCCAGTCTCCTTAATTTTGATTCCAATTACATCCCCTGTATGGTTTGTTTGTTGTCTTTTGACATGTTGTTTTCACGGCTCCATCCTCCATACTGTTTTTCTTTTGATTATCATCTTTTTCTATATATGACACATACTTTAATCACTAGTTTTATGCTCGCCTATGCATTTAGATATTGCATTCGGATGCAAAATACTCAAATGTTGTTTGTTCGGACACTTTAGAATCTGCATTTGCATGTTGCATAAAATTTCAAAAATTAAAAGACTAAGGATGTGTTTTTCTTTTCTTTCTCTTCTGTGTGTGTTCGTTCGCTGGTTGTTTGAAACACTGACCCATGCTCAAATACCAACGAGCCACTTGCAAGATAAGGCGTTGCCATCATATGATGAACTTTTTTTGTGCATTATTGGAAGTTTTTGTGTGTTTTTTTTTTCTTACTTCACATACTTGTATCTAAGGGCAGGTGTGGAGTGAATATCCTTAAACTGTAGTTTTTTTTCTTACTTCACATACTTGTATCAAAGGGCAGGTGTGGAGTGAATATCTATAAACTGTAGTGGTATATATAATCCGCTTCCACAAATTTGCTCTTTCAAGGAGTTCATCTACAAAGCTTATCTTATGTTGGTTTCTTAATAATATCATTGTGGTTTTGTGGGAGATCTAATGGTTTTTATGGTTTTTACTTTTTAGTAGTCACTACCTGGCTAGTGTGACATGGTAATTCTTGTGTAGCTTGTGTGCCCTCTTATTTCCAAGGATAACTTCATTATTCCATCGGCTTCTTATTTAACATCCCAAAATTTGAATAAAGTTTATCTTTTAATGCAAAAAAAAAAAAAAAAATTGTAATCCGTTTCCACATGAATGAACATTCACTCTCCAATCAACACGATATCCGGACACTATAACTATTAAAGTTATGATGTTTTGCCAATTTATAAAAATTAATTAGATTTTTTTATATATATATATATATATATATATATATATTCCACTCCACAAGTGTTTGAAAATAATTATAGAAAAAAAAAATTAACAAAACATTGCAAGATTTTTTATCAAAACAAATAAGTATTTTTTACTTAATTTATTTAACTTTACTACACGGTTGCAATATTTTTATTTTTAATGACAAAAAAATTACAGACGAAGATGAGAGTCCGTATACAGATGAGTGGCGGACAATTAGCTTCATAAGAGGTTTTAGGCAATTGAACGAAGAAAATGCTTGTTCTCCGCGCTCCCACCGGACCTGTCTCCGCCGTCAGATTCATCACCAAACCCAATCCTCGTAGCTCTTCCTCTTCTTCTTCCGATCCATGGCTCGGCCTCGTCCCCGCCGCGAACTCGAACACTCGCCGCCGGCGACGCGTCGTCCTCACTCTCTCTAACTCCGACTCAAACGGAAGCGTCAAATCGTCCACGACCTCTACCTCAGCTCCTCCTCAAATCCCATCGACGGGAGACGACACGGTCTTCGTTGGTCAAGAGAACGTTCCTCTCGAAGGCGTTATTCAATTCGATAAACCAAAATCAAATGCTTCAATTAAGAAATGGGGGTAACAAAAAAAAACTAACTCTTTGCTTTTGCTTACCTCTAAAGTGATTCGCTTTTGTTGATTTCAGTTTTTGGTGTTTTTGTGTGATTTCTTCAGACGTGTGGCGTTACTTGCTGGTGGGGATGTATTGGCTTTGCTTATCTTCTCTGCGATTGGGAGATTCAGCCATGGATTCCCTGTGTTTAGCTTCGATACACTCCACACAGCTGATCCTTTCATTGCCGGTATAGTTTGGATCTCTTATGGTTTCTGCTTGTGATTTGTTTCAGAAGCTTTGTTTGAAATGTAATGGGGAAAAATTCGAAATTGTTGTTGGCAGGATGGTTTTTGAGTGCTTATTTCTTGGGAGGATATGCAGAGGAAGGGAGAGGTATGAAGGGTCAGTCCAAAGCGATTGTTGCAGCTGCGAAATCTTGGGCTCTCGGAGTTCCGGTAAAGCTGCATTTACCAAAACGCTAGTGATCTTTTTTTGGCTAAAATGTGTCTATGTTTGGTTGAAAAATGGAAACTTGTGCTCTCTTTAATCAGATTGTTTTAGTGCTTCTCTACATCAGTTTTTGGTACATGATTTATCTGGATCAAACGCATATAATGAAGTTTATGTTCTCCTTAATCAGCTTTTCTTTAGGATGTTTGCGTCTCTGTTAACTCTATATGTTCATTGTGTTCCACTTCCACTCTAACTGTATACGCTTCTTCTTCCTTTTCATTGCAGCTTGGGATAGTCATTAGGTCAACCTCATCTGGTCACGTCCCGGCTTATAGCTTTATCTTGGTGACAATGGGAAGCACCGCTGTTTTACTTATCGGTTGGAGAGCATTGTTGTTCAGTGTTCTTCCTTCTGAGTCCAAGAAGAAAGACGATACTTATCGAAAAGGCAGCGCGTTCGAACTATTCGAGGTATGCAAAGAAAATGCATTCTCTAAATTCTGAAGTAGTTTCGGTTTTAGTTTGTTTGCCATTCTTTTTGTACAGAACGCATCTGATAGTAAAGAATATGAAACCTTTTCTTGACATATTGATGTTCAATGTCTGTTGAAAAGTGATATACCAATGTGTCAGCTCATATAATGTATGTTGTTTGCAGTTGCTTACTTCATTGATTAGACGATGGTGAAGGAGCCTTGATGGAGATAGAGATTCAGTATGCACATATCATCAACTTTTTTGGTTTTCACAAGATTGTATATGTACTTTTGAGTGGTGAAAGTTTCAGGACCAATTGTAATATTGAATTGATATAGTTTGTAGCACGTTAGAAAAGGAAACACCAAGATACGATTATTACTTCGGATTACTAAAAAAGAGCCTCTAAAGCAAAACTGAAATGACCTAAAGACTTACAATGTTACAGTGTCTAAAGAAAGAACAAAAAAATTCTTGAAAGGAAGAAACTTCACCATACAGAGTTACAGTGTCGTAACATTACAGATTGAGAACCAAATTTTGATCTACAGAGCTAACTAAAACTAAACAGAGATGATAAACGATTAATGAACAGAGACCAAATTGGAACCGCAGGTTTTCATAGGCATAATCTTCAACTTCAAAATTTTGTTCAGAGTTCTTTTAAACTGTAGAGGCTTTGCAGCAAAAATCTTGGATTTCAGAGGCTTCTTCTTCTCTGAAACATCTCTCTGTTTCTTGGAAGCTCGTCTGATTCTCAGCTTTAACCTCAACAGAAACGAGTTTCTTCTCTCTTCAGTGTTAATCTTCTCATCTCCTTTTAGAAACCTGTGACGCAATAGCTCACACGCGCTTCCTCTCTCTTCAGGTTTCCTTGAGAAACAAGTTTCGATAAACTCTTTTGCATCACAAGGCAGACTCTGCGGAATCTCTGGAGCTTTACCATCACGGAGACGAGTCGTGAGATCATTGAGTTCAACACCCTCCCACGGAATCACACCCGTGTACATCTCCAAAACTATGCATCCAACAGACCACAAATCTAGGGTTTTCTTTGCGACTCCGTCACGGAAAGACTCCGGCGGCATGTAAATCGGCGTCCCAACATACGGGAAATCAGTTTCCCAGTAATCAGGAACTTGTCCTACTTCTAACGCGTTTCCGAAATCCGACAAAATACTAGGGTTTTTCTTGCGACTCGCCGTCGGAAAGAGGCTGAAGTTGTTCTTTGCGACTTGCGTCACGGAATGCGACTCCGTCACGGAAAGACTCCGGCGGCATGTAAATCGGCGTCCCAACATACGGGAAATCAGTTTCCCAGTAATCAGGAACTTGTCCTACTTCTAACGCGTTTCCGAAATCCGAGATCTTCAGTTCGTACGAATCATTACACCGGAACACAAGTAGATTGGCCGATTTCAGATCGCAATGAACAAAACCGTGATCGTGAATCGAGACAAGACCTTCGAGAACCATCCGAGTGAAGTCTTTGATCATGGATTCCGGCAGCTTTCTGTCGGTGTGATTCTCCATGAAAGCGTTTAAGCTACCTTCCGATGCGTATTCGAGAAGCAGTTTGTGGACTTTGTTTCCGTCAGAGCTGAGACCTTGTTCCAAACTATCTCCGAAGCATTTAACTATTCTCGGGCATCCTCTGAGTTCGCGCAGAATCTGTAACTCTTTTTGAAGACTGTCGTATTCGGCGGCGTAAGAGTGTTTTACGGCGGCGAGAAAAGAGGAGCCGTCGGGATTAGTGTATTTGACGAGAAGAACGTAACCGTAAGTACCTTCGCCTAGAAATCTCACGAATTCTTCATTCGATTGCTTCATTCTCTTTTTAGTTTGCAAAACAGAACTTCGTTTTTTTTTTAGGGTTTCTTGAAAAATTGCAGAGAGAAGGTGGAAAAGAAAATTGTGGAAGAGAGCAAAAAAGGAAATTAAGTGTTGCGAGTGGAGATGTGGGACGTTTAGAGAGCTAGGGCTCAATTAGATATGGACCGTTAACTGAAAAAAGGAAATTTGCAGCTAGAGATGGAAAAAAAGGAAAACTGTAAGAATTGAGTTTAGTCGGCGACTTGTTTATTTATTTTTATTTTTCTAACGTTCATTTATTTAGTAAATCTTTTACCTGTTGAATATATTTGACATTTTTTTAACTGTTTTGTTCACATTGTAACAACAAGAGATACGTTGTCGAAGCTCGTCTGATTCTTAACAATTCAACTTTACTATAAACGAATTTATTCTCTCTTCAGCTATGGGGACAACAAAACAATAATCCTCCTCTTTTCGATGCAACAGCCGATGAAACAACAGCTCACACGGCTTCCTTGCGAAACACGTTTTCTTGCCAAATTAAGTAGAGTTTCGTTTTGATATTTTAAAAACCGTAAGACTTGCGGCGTTTTCTTTGGAGAAGACAATTGGTAAATTTCTCATCTCTTTCTAAACCAGAACTATTCATCTAAACCAAATTTAACCAGTATAAATCTTACTGCGATGCTATTTTTGTGTCACCGTAAACCATTCGTCCATTCCTCAAATGCTCAAAACCTGTTAACCCAATTCGGTTTAATCAGTTTTGTAATTCTCTACCAAAGTGCTGAGTCCACTGTTTTGTTCTGCACCGAAGTCAAGAACATTAAATTTTAACTACTTGCTTACTCCATTGATAAGACGAGAAGAGCCTCTAATTAAGAAAAACTGTCATGACCGAATGACAAACAATGGTGAGTACCTAAGAAAGAAAGCAAAGATGTTGAGAAACTGAAAGAGCTGTTGAAATTAAGCAATGATATAAACCAACAAGTAAGCAAAAGAAAATGTGAATTTCTAACAAATTCTTCAAAAACAAAAAAAACAACAAGAGAAACTTACTACTGTATATGGGTGAATTTTATGTTTGTAATTAGAAAACTGGGTGGGTTAGTTTTAATTGTAAAAACAGATAGTATATTGTTCACGTTTTAACTAGGGTGAATTTAGCCAATATCTTATTTTTTTCAAATAATCTGATAATTAAGAATTTGGAAAGATAACTTTATAATTAGATTTGTAGGAGAGATGAATTTAAGATAACACCCAAAATATCCTTCAACTTTAATTTATTTACATATAATGCCGTTAATTTAAAACATGTTATAGATCGGAAACACTGTTTATCAACTACAAACCGATTATATTGTTCATTGTCTGAAAAACCAGAACAATATATGATTGTAATAGATAACTATTCAGTTATCATTCTAACTAATATAATATCGAGATAATTATTTGATTACCATGCTAATTAGTATGATATCATGATAAATATTTAATTACTATGATAACTATTATGGTACCGTAATAACTATTCCATTATCAAGCTAACTAATATAAATTTACATATAATATTCATGTTAACGTCTAACATAAACATATATTTATCAATCAAACTTAGAAATTAACATGATAACAGTAATAACATTGTTATTATAAGTTATATTAATAACAACATAACCGACACTATAACTACTTGTTGCTAACAATGTTGTTATCTTTGCTTGCCAGAGTTGTCACCCACCAGATTTTATTTCTTTCATCAGAATGTTGTATTATGAGAAAAAAAGAATAATGTATATAAGGATAAAATCGATTTTTGTTAATGAATAGTTAATGTTAGAATATCAGCTTTTAGCTTTTTGGTCACACTAAGGCTATCACCATATTTCCTTTCTACCTAATTAAGCTTTTTACTCAATTTTTTTTATTAAACTCAAATGGTCAAATCTGTCTCTGGTTTAATAAGTTTTGTTATGTACCGAAGTGTTGACTCGACTAGAGTGATGATGGGCATTTTTCAATCTTAACATTATGAATATGAACAAAGCAATTGCAACCACTCGCTTCTCCCTTGAAGTTTCATCAACTACTTCTTATCGCTTTACAACTTATTATCATTCAGAAATATACCAGAAGACATACAGAGAGCCATTCCTATTCTCAAAATATCTCATAACTCTCAAATCATCTCTCTCATATAATCTCTCCCATGGCTAACTCTACGGACTCAGATTCAGAGTCGAAGCTCATTTCACTCATTTCTCAAATAGTGGCTCTAGACGACGGTAAGGATACAGATATGGATTCAAATTCGGATTCGGAGTGGGACTCGGATTTGGAGTGGGAATCGAAGATAATATCACTGATTATCCAAACAATCTCCCTCGTCATATCTATGGATTTAAATTCACAGCCGAAGCCAGAGTCGAAGCTCATGTCACTCACTACTCAAACAGTCTCGCTCTTCAAGTCTATGGATTTTGCTTCCCTTCCCAAGCCTCTGTTGAAGGTCATATCACTCTTTTCTAAAGAAATCAATAGAGGTTCCGACCAGAAGTTGGAGTCTGATTTGAGATTACCGTCACTTGTTGGCCAAACACTGAGACACAAGCCAGAACCAGAGCTCATTTTACTCATCCGTCAAATAGCTAGTCTCCACCGTCGTCTCTCAGAGTTCAAATCTGAATAAACGTATTTCAGTATGTCCTCAGGTAAAAGGACATTTCGAAGAAGGGAAGTTCAGTCTCTTAATAGAATGCCGTTGTAGGGTGGAGGATTTGTGGAACTGTTTTCTTGGCAATTGTGATATGTTCAGTTTAAAAGGCGCACACGCTACCTATTTCTACTGCGAAAGCTGCGACGGGGAGTACCATACAGAATATGAAAAGGCTCCAATTGAGATCAAACATCCTCTTCATCAGAAACATTCTCTTCAGCTTGCATGGAAGACTGGCAATAAGACCAGAGAATGCTACTGTTGTGATGAAGACCTTATAGAGGTATTTTATTATTGTTCTGCCTGCGATTTTGCTATGAATATAGATTGCGTGGCGAATCCACCAGAATTATATATACCCCCTCTGAAGTGGCATGAGCATAAACTTGCTCTCTTTCCAAGACGGGCATCGCTGACTTGCAAAGTCTGCGCCTTGGCCGATTTAAGCTCTCCTATCTATATGTGTCCCCCTTGTGACTTTGTGGTTCATCTAAGATGTATCAAGTTACCACGTGTCATAAGGATATCTCGCCATCCCCATCGTATCTCTTTTATGCCTTTTAATGACCATGGAGATTGGTCTTGTAATGTTTGTCGCAAAGAGATCAACAATGACTATGGGTTTTATTCTTGCATCAAGAACGGTTGCTGGTATGCGGCTCATACAAGATGTGCCACGCAAAGCAATGTGTGGGATGGCATAAATCTGGAGGGACATCCAGAAGAAATGGAAGAAGAAGTGGTTGAGCCGTTTGTGACGATCAGCGATGGAATTATACGACATTTCAGTCATGAGCATCATCATTTGAGACTTGATGAGAAAATTGACAGAGATTACGATGAGAATAAGCAGTGTCAAGGATGCGTCATGCCAGTCTATTTCGGTAGCTTCTACTCTTGTGTGCAATGTGAGTTTGTTCTACATGAAACATGTGCCAATCTTCCTCGCAAAATCTATCACCCCATACGTCCGCATCTTCATGTCATATAAGTGTATCTAAGAGTATCTTCTTATATGAGTGCGGTAAAGAAGAATGTGATTTCCAGCTACATGTGCAATGTGCCACAATTTCTGAGCCATTAGTCCATGAAAGTCATAAGCAGCATCCTCTATTCCTGACATCCAAACCAGGAGAGATGAAACTCTAAGGTAGATCAAATGATACATTCAATTGCACTGACGAGTGCGATGGATTTTCTTTGTGTTTCAAGTGTGCTACTCTGCCTCAGAAGCTGAGATATAAGCATGGTAGCCATATCCTTACTCTGTCATATGGGGAGGAGACAAGTAGCATTACCTATTGGTGCGCGGCTTGCGAAGGAAAAATATATCCCAAGGAGGGGGTTTATATGTGTCTTGAATGCTGCTGTGTCACCCTACACATCAAATAATTGATTGGGTGGGACTTATACATGAAGCCTGGTTCATCGTTTTCATACAATCGTAGACATGTAAGTGTTTTGCCCAACAATCATCACATGTCTCGACCTATTTGCTTTAAATGTGAGCAGCGTTGTCCACACAAAATAGTTTTCCAATCTTTTGGATCAATATTTTGTTCCCTAAAATGTTTTCGCTGTTTCTTTTAGAGTGTTGTTGGATAGAGTTCGAAAACCAACTGGAAACTTGGGGATTTCGGGGGGAAGTCTTCGTCTTTTAATGTCTTGTAACATGTAGTTATTGAGTTCAAGCAAAATATATATATTTCCAGGTCCACCTTCCATCATCCAATTTTAGCGTGATATCAATTTTTCTTCCTGCGCTGATCTGTTCATATTCTTTCTCGGATGAAGAAACAGAGGATTTGATCCACCTGATTTCCTCTTCAGCCTCAACGTAATTAAAAGGAAAACATACATACTCTTTCTTGCTGAGTGATGAGGGTTGTTGTGTCACCTTACTATTCAAAAGTTTGATTGGGAGTGACTTATACATGAAGTCTGGTTCATCGTGTTCTTACTTTGATAAAGAGGCTGGTGTTTTGCTGAAAAATCTAGAATTTCAGAGGCTTCTTCTTCTCTGAAACATTCCTCAATCGAGTTTCTTCTCTAATTAGTGTTAATCTTCTCATTTTCTTTTAGAAACCGGTGAACCTCACACGCGCTTCCTCTCTCTCCTCGGGTTTCCTTGAGACACACGTTTCGATAAACTCTTTCCCACGCAATCACACCTGTGTACAGACCATAAATCTAGGGTTTTATTTGCGACTCCGTCACGAAGAGAGACTCCGGGGCATGTAAATCCTTCTTTTTTAAAATAATCCCCACAATTATCTGACCAAGAAATTCTAAAAACCTCTTGAAATAAAGGTAACGGAGAGTGAGACAGCTGGTATATTTCTCATCTCTAGTCAAAACCGGTGACTATTCACATAAACCAAATTAAACCAAGATTTGAAAAATCAGATTCGGAGTGTGAATCCAAGATCATTTCACTCATTTCTCAACTGATACCTCGCATGAGTGATTCGAGCTGGGAGTATCCGGATTCAGAGAGAGACTCGGGCTCGGAGCAAGAGTCGGAGTCGGATTCAAAGAGAGAGCTGAATTCTAATAATCAAGGGCGGATCCTGGGGGACAGCTGACCCCCACTAAATTACTAATTTCTTTCTTAATTACCACAAATTTCATTAAGTGACCCCTAAAACTTTTATGTTTTGACCATTTCCATTTTTGCTCACTGTTTCTAAAAACAATTTCATTTTTTATTTTATTTTTAAGTGAGAATAGGAAAACAAATAACTAATTTTTATCTTTGACTATAAAATATTTATTGTATCTCTCAATAAATATTAAATTTCATCAGTCTTACATTTTATTTTATTAACATTTTTGCATATACATTAAAGTTTAGGTGAGAAATTCATGTACTGTATGTTAGTTATTTCTTTCAAAAATTGGTTTATTTTTTTTTATATTGTTTAGAATTACAAAGAGTCAAAGAACGGTTGAGATTTTTGTTTTCCATCTAAATTTCATTAGATTGCTAAAGTACAAAGAGGATCACAAGGTCAAATATAAAACACCAATGCACAAATTATTGCATAAACAGTTATATGGGCCATATATATTGAAGAACGGTTGAGATTAAGTAAGCTAAGAAGCAAAGAAAATGTAAACATCCAACAAATTCTTCAAAAAAAAAAAAAAAACTATATAAACAGTTAAATGTCCTAAGTTCTAACGTACATGTGGAGAGCTGAGATTATAAATTCAGCAAAAAGAAACCAAAATGGAATCAAAGTGTTTCATAGGCCTAATCTTCAACCTCAAGTTTTTATTCAAAGCTTCCTCTCTCCTCAGGTGTTTCCTTGCAAAACACGTTTGAAGAAACTCCTTTTATGCCTAACCATGTCCCAGCTTCTTGCCAAATTGATTAAATTTTCATTTTAATTTTGAAACGCAACATTTCTAAGAGACCAACTTTAAAGCTTAAGCAATGGCACAATGATGCAGCGTGATATTATTCCAAATATCTTAAATATCTTGATTATTTAGATTATTAGTTTATTTATTTATATTTATGTTTTAATACTTAATTATTTAAGAGCTTTCTAGAATATTCTTAGGGTTTTGAGCTTTTATTATAAATAGCCATCTAGACTTCATATTGTACTCAGACTTTGATAAATTTATAAAAAGGATATTTCCTGAAGAGGTTTTGATAAACCACTGTGAAGAGTATTCACAACCAAGAGCTTTTGCGAAAGCCCTGAGAGGAGGACTCTCAAACCCTAGTTATCCGGTATTCTGAGGAATCAACGGATCTCTCGTTCTATCCCTAGAAGCTTCCGCTACGTCAGTTGGTATCAGAGCCGCGTCTCTTTGATTTCTCAATCAGAGATCGATTCTGGATGTCATGATGAGTGACAACATCTACACTTTCGAGGACGAAAGTCCTTTTGTCGAGAGAGAAGAGGGTCATGAGATCTATCGAGAGATCTATGGCGATCCAATCTATGACACATATGAAGATGATGTTGATGTTATTGACTTCGTTTTCAAAGAAGATTTGTTTGAGGATCTGATGCGTGCAAAATCAGGGCGCAGTCAGATTCGTTTAGATTTCGGTTTCGTGCAAAATCCGGTTTGTGCGAAAATCGTGCAGATTCAGATCCGTGCAAGTTTCGGGTCTAATCCGGTTTGTGTGAAAGTTAGGCCAAGTCAAAGGAAGATGAAGATAATTCTGCCAAAAGCCCATGTGATGAAAACCCTATGAAGATTCGAGGACGAATCTTTCTTGGCCGGCGAGACCTGATGCAGCGTGATATTTGGAATCTTAAATATCTTGATTATTTAGATTATTAGTTTATTTATTTATATTTATGTTTTAATACTTAATTATTTAAGAGCTTTCTAGAATATTCTTAGGGTTTTGAGCTTTTATTATAAATAGCCATCTAGGCTTCATATTGTACTCAGACTTTGATAAATTTATAAAAAAAATATTTCCTGAAGAGGTTTTGATAAACCACTGTGAAGAGTATTCACAACCAAGAGCTTTTGCGAAAGCTGTGAGAGGAGGACTCTCAAACCCTAGTTATCCGGTATTCTGAGGAATCAACGGATCTCTAATTCTATCCCTAGAAGCTTCCGCTACGTCACACAATTACTAATTTTTAAAACTACAAACATGTATGGTCTATGTTTAATGCTTTGGCAAATAAAAAAGATTATTAAATATAAGCTTACTGCTCATCCATTTCGTGACAACGTGAGCGAGTGATTAGTGGAGAAGGCATCGTTGACTTTGTATTCGACTATCTAACAGCCTGTAAACCTCGAGATTCAGTCGTAATTTGCTGTCTTAATTATTTTATTATCCATTAGTATATCATTATTATTTATCTATACGCATTACAATAAGCACTAAGTTAATTACATTCAGTCATTCATTCTAAAAATCTCTCATATCATACGTTCACTCAAAAAAAAAATCTCTCTCTCTTTACCTCCATGGACTCAGATTCGGAGTCGAAGCTGGTTTCACTCATTTTTTAAGCAATAACTCTCGACGAGCGTACGGTCACGGAAGAAGAGTGGGACTCAAAGATCATACCAATGGTTGTTGAAATAATCTCTTTGATCAGATCTATGGATTTTGATTTGCAGCCAAAGCCGGCGTCAAAGCTCATATCACTCATTACTCAAACAATCTCTCTCTTCAACTCTATGGATTTCGATTCCCCTTCCAAGCCGGAGTCAAAGCCCCTACCACGCATTGCTAAAAGATTCTCTGTCGTCAACTCTATTTATGTTGATCCCCTTCCCAAGCCGCTGCGGGAGCTCATATCGTTCATTTCTAAAAAAATCTTAGCTCCAGACAAGAAACCTGAGTCTGACTTGAGCTTCAAGTCACTCGCACTCGATACAATAAGATTCAAGTCGGAGTTCATATTACTCATCCGTCAAATAGTCTCCGTCGTCATCTCTATGAACACAGAGTTGACGCCACTTATTTCCTAATCCCCTCATGCTAAAGTACGTTTACGTCAAGGAAAATTTGAGATGCTTGGAGCATCTCTGCGGGAGTTGGATGACGGGTGGGACTGTTTCTTTGGAAAATGGAATAAATTAAGGCTGACAGGAGAAGACGCTACCTATTTCCACTGCAGAAGTTGCAATGGCGGAGACCATCAAGATTTTGAAAATGGTCCACTCGAGATCGAACACCCTCTTCATCAAAAACATTCTCTTGAATTCTATCAAAGAAAGCATTCTCTTAAGCTTGTGGTGAATTGGGAAAAGGAAACTAGAGAATGCTTTTGCTGTGATGAAGATCTCGCAGAGGTGTTTTATCTTTGTCGGGTTTGTGATTGTGCTATGAACATAGCTTGTGCAGAGAAACCACCAGTCTTATATATACCCGCTCAGAAGAAGTGGCATGAGCATACGCTTGCTTTGTTTCCAAGAAGGGCTTCCTTAACTTGCAACCTCTGCGCCTTGGCCGATTCAAGCTCTCCTATCTATATGTGTCCTCCCTGTGATTTTGTTGTTCATCTAAAATGTCTCAACTTACCACACGTGATAAGGATGTCTCGCCATCCCCATCGTATCTCGTTTAACCATTCTTTTGACCAAGGAGATCGGTCATGTAGTGTTTGTCGCAAAGAGATCAACAATGTTTACGGGGGTTATTCTTGCATCAAGAACGGCTGTTTGTATGCGGCTCATGCTAGATGTGCCACCCAAAGCAATGTGTGGGATGGCATAGATCTTGAGGGAGAGCCTGAAGAAATTGAAGAAGAAGAAGTTGAGCCGTTTGTGAGGATAAGCGATGGAATCATACAACATTTTAGCCATGAGCATCATCATTTGAGACTTGATGAGTGTGAGGAATGTATTTTCTATATTGAATGTGAGAATGCTACACACGTTATTTATACAAGGTGAAGGAAGGATCTAGACAAAAGTAATTACAGAAGATTCCTAAAACAGAGAGATTGAGTATCAAGGCATATCTTGACTGAATCTCTAACACGCCCCCTCAAGATGGAGAAGCTTCAGTTACTACAATCTTGTTCCGTAAGTGTAGAAAGTGAGCTCGTGGAAGGGGCTTGGTGAGAACATCGGTGAGTTGATCGTGGGTGTGAACATGAGCTACTCGAAGAGCTCCGTCTTGGATATGACCACGAACAAAGTGATAGTCAAGGGCAATGTGTTTCATCCGGGAATGAAAAACGGGATTTGCACAAAGGAAGGTGGCACCTACATTGTCACAGTAGACCGTTGGAGGTGTCGGAAGCTCAATGCCAAGTTCGGTGAGGATGTTACAGACCCAGCGGAGCTTGGCTACAGCGTTGGCGACCGCACGGTACTCAGCTTCAGTTGATGAACGGGCAACACCTTTCTGCTTCTTAGCCGACCAGGAAATGGGATGAGTACCAAGATAGATGATGTAGGCATTGGTGGAGGCATAGTCAAAAGAGTCACCTCCCCAATCAGCATCAGAATACGCATGGAGATTCAGGGGATTCTTGGAGGAGAAAAAAATACCATGAGACGGTGTACCAGCGAGATATCGGAGTATGCGTTTGGCGGCTTGCCAATGATCGTCGGTGGGACAATGCATAAACTGGGAAAGTTTATTCACCGCAAAGGCAATGTCAAGGCGAGTAAACTGAAGATACTGAAGGCTCCCCACAAGTTGACGGTATTTAGTCGGATTTGCAAGTGCTTTGCCGGAGGTGAGAGTAAGCTTGGGAGAAGACGCCATTGGAGTCAGCACCGGTTTGGCATTGGTCATGTCATACCGATGAAGGAGATCGATAACCTACTTACGTTGGGAGAGATGAAGACCAGCTGCGGTGCGCTTGGCTTCTAGACCAAGGAAGTAGTTGAGGTCTTCAGGGTCTTTAATTGAGAACCGATCAGCAAGGAGTTGCAGAATCCGGTGAATATGATCCTTGTTGCTTCCAGTGACTAAAATATCATCCACGTAGACGAGTAGGTAGATGAAATGAGTACCGGTTTTGAGAATGAACAGTGAAGAGTCCGCAAGTGAGTTGACAAAGCCGAGACTGATGAGGAAGGAGCTTAGTTCTGTGTACCACGCTCTCGGAGCCTGCTTTAATCCGTACACGGCTTTGTTAAGACGGCAAACATAAGACCGGCGATCGGCATCGACAAAACCAGGAGGTTGATCCATATAGACTTCTTCATGTAACGTCCCTTGGAGAAAAGCGTTGTTGACGTCTAGTTGGAGCAGAGGCCAAGAACGAGACACAACGATGTCAATGACAGTGCGGATGGTAGTTGCTTTGATGACGGGACTGAAGGTCTCAGTATAGTCTTGTCCGTGTATCCCTTGGCGACCAAGCGCGCCTTGCACCTGTTATGTTCACCAGAAGAGAAAAACTTATTAGTGTAGATCCATCTACAACCAACAACATTGAAGTGAGGTTGTCGAGGTACAAGGTCAAAGGTTCGATTCACCGCGAAAGCGTCAATTTCAGTCGACATAGCCCCGCTCCACCGTTTGTCTTTGAGAGCTTGAGCAAGGGTCCGTGGTTCAGCTGGGACAGAGCGAGAGAGCGCCGCAGAATAGTTATATTTGGGGTTGGGTTTCGTGATGAGATTCTTGCGGCGAGTGGTCATCTGGTGAGCATTCTCCAGAGGTGGAATTGGCGGCGGTTGTACCGGAGGTGGTGGCACCGGCGGTGGAGTTGAGGAATCAGCAGAGGAAGGCGATGAGAACGACGGGGACGACGAGATCGATGGAGAGGGGGATTGACTTTCAGAGTGGGCTTGTGATAGGAAATGGGCCGTATCAGTACATGGGCTTGAGGACATGGAGTGATGGACCTCATCAGTATGGGCCTGTGGTGGTGATGAATTGAGTGGGCCCAAATTGGTGTGAGATGAGGGTGAAGAATCAGATGACGACGAGTGTGATTCCGGCGTGGGATCCGTGGCGGAGTTTGTCGAGACTGTCGGCAGAGATGATGAGGACGGCGTAGTGGCAGTAGCCGGGATTGGCGCTGGCGGAGGTGTTGGTGGTGGTTCCGTCGGAGGCGGGACTGTGGTGAGAGGGATGTGAACCACCGGAGCAGAGGATGAAGACGATTGGATCGCAGCAGGAGACATCGGAGGAGAGGTGTCAACTTTTGCAAAAGGAAACACAGATTCGTCAAAGCGGACATGCCTGGAGACGTAAATGCGTCCAGTAGCGGGTTGAAGACACAAATACGCACTCTGGGTTTGAGAGTAGCCGATGAAGACGCATGGTGTGGAGCGATCTTCAAGTTTATTCGTCGTGTACGGACGCAACCAAGGGAAGCAGAGGCATCCGTAGACTCGGAGTTTTGAGTAATTGGGATTTGATCCGAACAAGCGCTGAAACGGCGACTCCATTTGGAGAAGCGGAGTTGATTGACGGTTGATTAAGTAGACAGCGGTGGAGAAGGCATAGGACCAGTAGCTTTTTGGCATGGCGGAGTGAGTTAGCAATGTAAGGCCAGTCTTGACAATGTGGCGGTGCTTGCGTTCCGAGATCCTGTTGTGCTCCGGCGTATGTGGTGGTGAGGTAAAGTGAGAAATGCCAGAGCTTGTGAGAAAAGCTCGGAGAGCCACGAATTCACCGCCATTGTCGGAGTAGAGAGTTCCAATCCGTGTGTTGAAGCGATTCTCCACCAGTTCCTTGAATGCGATGAATGTCTCTCGGACCTGCGATTTCAATCGGAGAGGATAAAACCAAGTATATCGGGTGAAATGATCAACAAGAACAAGGTAATACTTATACTTATCAATAGAGAGAATAGGTGAACTCCACACATCACTAAAAATGTATTCTAAGGGACGAGAGGAAACAATAGAGGTTTGAGCAAATGGCAATTTGTGAGATTTATTGATTGCACAGTCTGAACACAAAGAAGGTTGAGTTACAGACGATGGAGTGCATGGTAAAGAAAACCGAGAAACAATGTTTTTAAGTATAGCAAAAGAGGGGTGGCCAAGACGATGATGCCAATCAATAGAAGAAAGTTTTTGAGTTGTAGAAGCAAAAAATGATTGAAAGGTAGATGGTGCGACAGGCCATTCATAGAGCTCATCCTTGGTATTGCCTTGCAACAACGGGATTCCCGAGTTCAGATCCTTCACCTGAAAGTGAGCAGGAAAGAATTCAACAGAGACTTTGTTAGCATTGCAAAGTCTGTAAACAGAAATGAGATTCTTTCGTATATGAGGGACACATAGCACATGATTAAGCAAGAGAGAACGAGATGAAGAGGGAAGAGAGATGGAACCAGTGTGGGAGATTGACAGTCCTGAGCCATCACCGATGAGGACTGCATCATTCCCAGTATATGGTTGTTGATGAGACATGTTGTGGAGGTCGCTCGTCATATGATGAGTGGCGCCGGTGTCCATGAGCCAAGCGTGGGAGGGATGAGCCGAGGCAGTCGCAACATGTGCTTGTGGTTGCCATGGGCGAGTTGGTGTAGGGAGAATAGCATTGGAGGGACCACTTTGGTTTTGTGGAAACTGTGGGCACCGTCTCGCACTGTGGCCGAAAACTCCACACAACTGACACTTCCCTTGATAGCCACGGGTGGTACCATTGTTGGTGTTGTTGTCTTGTCGTGACTGCTGACGGTTGTAGTTGTTCTGAGGCTGCCAGTTTTGATTGTGACGGGGCTGGTTTCGTGGTTGAAACCGACGAGTCGGACCGGTAGCAACATTCGCCGTGATCGGAGTTGCAGGTGAAGGAGTCTGAGCCATGAGTTTTGCTTCCTTAGTAAGAAGTTTCTCATGAACCTCCGTGATGGAGGGTGAAAGATCTCGTCCTTCTATCTGCTCCACCACTGATTTGTATTCGTCAGGGAGGCCTTCAAGGATGAACTCAATCTGATCTTCATGCTCGACAGGTTTGCCAAGGAGAGCAAGTTGATCAAACCGAGTTTGTAAGCCTTGCACATACTCATCAATAGTTTTGTCACCTTTGTTGAATTGCTTGAGCTGATGTTTGAGTTGTTGAATGTGCCCTCGGCTTGGTTTTGCGTAGGTAGCAGCAACGGTATCCCACATCTCCTTGGAGGACGTGGATTTGGTGACAACGGTTTGGATGGAGGGCGTGAGAGTACCAAGAAGGGCACTGAAGATGAGTCGATCTTGTCTCTTCCATTTGGTGTAGGCAGGATTGGGGGTAGAGACTTCTGCCGTGGTGATCGTCTGAGATGGTGGAAGTGTAGATCCATCGATGTGGCTCGCAAGGTCGTAGCCATCAAGGAGAGCATGGACCTGAACGCTCCATGTGAGATAGTTTGTGGAGGTAAGTTTTGTGATGTTGGACACGTTAACGTGGAGTAGAGATTGAGTAGTGTCAGCAATAGTTTCTGCGGCTCCAGCCATATTGGCGAAGAGAAGAGACAAAGAAGAAGAAGAGAGTTGAGAAGAGAAGAGAAGAGAGGAGGGAGGCGGAGGAAAAAAAAAATTTTAGGGTATCGTTAACGCTCTGATACCATGTGAGGAATGTATTTTCTATATTGAATGTGAGAATGCTACACACGTTATTTATACAAGGTGAAGGAAGGATCTAGACAAAGGTAATTACAGAAGATTCCTAAAACAGAGAGATTGAGTATCAAGGCATATCTTGACTGAATCTCTAACAATGAGGACATCGATAGAGATTATGATGAGAATAAGCAGTGTCAAGCATGCATCACGCCAATCTATTTCGGTAACTTCTACTCTTGTTTGCAATGTGAGTTTGTTCTGCATGAAACATGTGCAAATCTTTCTCGCAAACTATATCACCCAACACATCCACATCTGTTCACTCTAGCTCTAGCCGGAGGAAATGACAATGTCATAGGTGACAAGAATACGTGTTTAAACTGTAATAGGGTCGTCACATCTGGTTTCTGCTATAAGTGTGGTAAAGAAGAATGTAATGTCCAGCTACATGTACAGTGTGCCACAATATCTGAGCCACTAGTCCATGAAAGTCACGTGCATCCTTTATTCCTAACATCCAAACCTGGAGAGCAGAGAAGATGTTGTGTTTGCAACCAAACAGACATTTTCTTCACAATTGAAACATTCAATTGCATAGAGTGGATGGCTTTGCTTTATGTTTCCAGTGTGCTGTTATACCTCAAAAGGTGAGGTATAAACATGATAAGCATATCATTACTCTTTCTTATGAAGATGAGACAAGTACCACGACGTATTGGTGTGAGGCTTGCGAAGGAAAAGTAAATCCGAAAGTGGGTTTTTATATGTGTGATGAAAACTGTTGTGTCACCCTACACACCGAATGTTTGATTGGGAAGAATTTTCACATGAAGCCTGGTTCATCTTTTTTGGTCGAGGATAGACAGGACGATCAACGGGTATGTGTTATGCCCAACAATCATCGCATGTCTCGACCTATTTGCTTTAAATGTGAGAAGCGTTGTTCAGACAAAATAATTTTCCAATGTTCTGGATTAATATTTTGATCCCAAATATGTGTGATTTCTTATATTTTCTTTAGTTAGAATTTCTAGATTTGGTCCAGAGGGGTCAGTGCTCTTATTTGAATAATATTATTGTGATAGTTTTTCAAGGAAATTTAACGCAAAATAAGTATGAATCGCATGTATAAATCGATTGCTTTGCGTGGTACATCTAGATCAAATAAGGTGATATATGTGTGAGTTCATAAAAGTTGTTGCACTTGCTTACTTCAATAATGGTGAGTTCCTAAGACGAAACCAACAGATGTTAAGAGATTGAATCAAGTAAGCAAGGAAAGTGTTGAAAAAATATCCAATATGAAAAGAAGAAACTTTACTTAGCATAGTTACGATGTCGTAACATTAACTTGTAAGAGGCTCGTCACAAGTTACTCAAAATTATCTAAAGACGTTGTGGGGACTTTTCTATCTTCTTTTTTCCTTGCGAGACACGTTTCAACAAATTCCCTTGATTAATCATGCATGTACTTTGAAAATATACATTACCAGCTTTTAACTATAGCAAATATAACCAAAGACTTTTAATGAGTCATAATCTGGAGCTTTCAACTTCAAGAATTCATAAGGTGTTTTGTCCTTGAATAATTAGGTGCACTGTATTTGTCTGTTTCCCAATCATCTGAACAAATGCTGGAAATACACTAATTAGTAATAATCTCCGACTTTTTTTTCGCAGCGATCAATAGTGAGAGCATTGAGGTCGTGAATTGCGATAAGCTGATTTACGAGTACCACCCACCAGTATTAGCAGCATATCAGAGATTGCAAGTTTGCAACATTAGGAACAATTTTACCCACTAAATCGGACTAAAATGATACTTATTAAGCTTTTGGTCAAAAAACTAAAATAAAAAATGAAACTTTAAAAAATCTGGTAGATTTCTCATCTCTAGTCAAAACCGGAACTATTCATCTAAACCAAATTAAACCAGTAGCTTCTTATTAAATACATATGTTTTAGAAAATACATGCAGTAATTGGTGACTTGGTCGCGCATTAGCAACCACTCAAATGTAAGTTTGGTCAAACACTTCTTATTGCGCGCATTTGCAACCACTCATTTAAGTTTGGTGAACCACTACTCCACTACTGTTAATAAAGGCATTCGTAAACATGAGAGAGAGTCAACTCAAACCCTAAAACAATAGTATCTCATTATCTCTGCATCAGATAAAACCCCTCTCTCTTTCTCTCTCGGCAAACTCTATGGATTCAGATTCGGAGTTGAAGCTTGTTTCACTCATCTCTCAGCTACTGAATATCCCCGACGTTTATGCTCCCGATTGGGAGTCGAAGATAATATCACTGTCTATTCAAATAACCTCTCTGGTCAAGTCAATGGATTTCGCTTCGCAGCCGAAGCCCGAGTCAAAGCTCATGTCACTCGTTACTCAAACGGTCTCTCTTTTCAACTCCATGGATTTGGATTCCTTGCCGAAGCCGCTGTGGAAGATCATATCACTCATTTCTCAGAGAATGTCCATTGACTCGGACCAGAAGCCGAAGTCTGGTTTTAATTTGCACTCACTCGTTGACCAAACGCTGGAACTAAAGACAGAACCGGATCTCATATCACTCATCCGTCAGATCGTCTTCATCGTCATCTCTATGAATCAAAACTCGAAGAAATTTATTTCCTTGTGCCCTCAACTACAAGGAGAGTTCAGTGGAGGGAAATTTGAAGCATCGCGCAGCCAGGAGATTACAGGTTTCAAGTGGAGTTGTTTCATTGGAAACTGGGATATATTAGCTGTAACAGGAAGAAGAGGAGAAGATGCCACTCATTTCCTCTGTAGAGGGTGCCATGGCAAGCAACATCAAGAATATGAAAAGGTTCCAATCGAGATCAAACACCCTCTTCATCCAAATCATTCCCTTCAGCTTGTGTGGAATTGGTTAAATCAAACCAGAAAATGCTATTGCTGTGATGAAGATCTCATAGAGGTTTTTTACTACTGCAAGACATGCGACTATGCGATGAACATAGCTTGTGTTGAGAAATCACCACTCTCACATAAAGATTGTCCCAAGTGGCATGAGCATACGCTTGCTTTATTTCCAAGAAGAAAGGCTTCCTTAAACTGCAACATCTGCTCCTTGGCCGATTCAAGCTCTCCTCTCTACATGTGTCCCCCTTGTGACTTTGTGGTTCATCAAAAATGTTTCACCTTGCCACATCTCATAAGGATATGTCGCCATCCTCATCGTATCTTGTTTACGCCTTCTTTTGACGAAAGAGATTGGTCTTGTAGTATCTGTCGCAGAAAGATAGACAATGAGTACGGAGGTTACTCTTGCACCAAGGACGGTTGTTTGTATGCGGCTCATTCAAGATGTGCTACACAGAGCAATGTCTGGGATGGCACAGATCTTGTGGGGGTGCCAGAAGAAACTGAAGAAGAGATTGTTGAGCCGTTTGTGAGGATAAGCGATGGAATCATACGACATTTCAGCCATGAACATCATCTTTTGAGACTCGATGAGAACACTCACAGAGATTATGATGAGAATAGGCAGTGTCAAGCATGCATCACGCCGATCTATTTCGGGCGATTCTACTCTTGTGTGCAATGTGAGTTTGTTCTGCATGAAACATGTGCTAATCTTTCTCGAAAACTATATCACCCAACACATCCACATCTGTTCACGCTAGCTCTAATCGGAGGAACAGAGAATGTTGTAAACTTCAAGAATCTATGTTTCACTTGTGGTAGGCTCGTCACAGCTGGTTTCTTCTATGAGTGCAGAAAAGAAGAATGTAAATTCAAGCTGCATGTACACTGTGCCACAATTTCTGAGCCATTAGTACGTGAAATTCATGCACATCCTTTATTCCTAACATCCAAACCAGAAGAGAGGAGAGAATGTTGTCTTTGCTATGAATTAAACAACAAGTACACGACTGATACATTCAACTGCATCGAGTGCGATCGCTTTTCTATGTGTTTCCGTTGTGCTGCTATACCTGAAAAGGTGAGGCATAAGCATGATAAGCATATCCTCACTCTTTCTTATGGGGAGGAGACAAGTACCACAAAGAAGTCGCTTGTGGTGGATTGCGAAAAGATAACAAATCTGGCAGAGTGGTTTTATATGTATAACGAGGACAGAAGAACCACAGGGAATTGGTGCGAGGGTTGCGAGAGGAAAATAGAGCCGAAAGAGTGGTTTTATATGTGTGATGAGGATTGTTGTGTCACCCTACACATGGAATGTTTGATTGGGAGGGACTTGTACCTGAAGCCTGGTTCATCGTTTACCACCGAGGAGGATGTTCGGGTAAGTGTTCTGCCCAACAATCATCACATGTCTCGACCTATTTGCTCCAGTTGTGAAAAGCGTTGTTCACACAAAATAGTTTTTCATTGTTCTGCATCAATATTTTGTTGCCTAACATGTTGGGCGCGCGGCACACGTTGATGGCCATCGCTTTGTAACATATTATTGAAATATTGATCTATCCAATATTAAATATTGTATTATTGAGATTCTTTTATTTCAAGGAAAATTTTACTGAAAAGGAGTTTTTCGGTTTGCATTAGTAGCAGATTCCTGACAAAACGCAGATTTCAAGGCAGGAGATTTTATTATATCTAAGAAAGGAAAGGTAAACAAAAATATTACAATGTGAAAAGTATATCAAGAAACCGCATTGGGAGATGTATATCTCTCTGGAACAAGTAATAAGGTTTTCAGATGGAGTAAAAATGTTGTTACCAAACTTCTCAGCGATTCTAAAGTCTGATTTCACCATCTTCCCCAACCTCTCCATCCTCTAGCTCATCATTACCACCTCGACGACTACCATCCCGATGCTCTTTCTTCAATCTTTTATGCCGACTTTCACCGTCTGATTCAGGCGAGTTTGCATGCTGCCAACAAAACCATCTCTCTTGTAAGTTTCAATCTTATCGAAACTTCAAGCTTACCGAAGTCAGAACTGAAAGTCGAGAGAGAGAGAGTACCTTTCTTGATTTCTTGCGATCATGACCATGCTTACGTGACGACTTCTTCGACTCTTCTCTGTCATCCCTATCAGAACTGACATCGTCATCAGAGTTGTGATGCCGTCTCCTATGTTTTCTCTCTCGGTCTTTTCCTTTTCTCTTCTCTTCTTTGTGACTTTCGCTCACATCTACGGCCTCACCATCTGATTCCTCCCTTTTACTACTCCTATCTTTTCTCGGTTCTCTTTCCTTTTCCCTTCTCTCCTTCTCCTTGTCTTTCCGCTTCTCTTTCTCCTCCCTGTCTTTCTCTTTTCTACTCTGAAACGTCCACAGCAAAAAGAAGTCTTAGAGAGACCTGTTTTTTTTACATTAAAAGACAAATAAATTTCAGTACCTTTTCCTCATCACGCTTACGCTCCTTCTCCTTGGCCTTTTCCTGTAAACTCGTTATGTATTCCTCAAAAAGCCCTTTGCTAACACTATCATCTCCAATCGATCTGACGAAATTCGAAATGGGACATTAAGTATCTACTTAAGGTGTTTGCTAACAAGAACTATTAGGTAAGCCATCAAAGTATCAAACACCTTATTTGAAGCAAGAAACTGTTTACCTGTACTCTTGACTTTCTTCAACTAGTTGTTTGACATCTTCCCAATTTGAAGCTGCGCTTATTTCCTAAAAGAACAAGTATGTTTAACGTTTTAGAGAATCCGAGGAAAAAAAAGAAAAGAAAGTCGGACCATGTGTATGATATACCTTATGAGTACGCAATAGATCGGTAAATTCTTCAGCCAAACGCTGAAGCTTTCTGGCCTCCTTTTCTTCCTTTTCCTTCATTCTCCCAACCAAATCATCATATACAAGCTGATAAACAATTGAAATTAAAAATGTTAGAGCCTACTAAACTGAACTTTACAAGAACACCTTCTGACATATTTGTTGTAATCAAGACAATCTTCTCAACGAGAACTTTACAGTTTTGAGTTATTATGTATATTAATATCTACAACATCTATAACAATTTCTGCTGACACATATTCTTCTCACAACTGAGCCAGTACCTTTAGATTTATGTCTGATATTGGTTGAGAACTGAGATCTTCTGAAAGAGCAGATTTAAAATCTTCAAATGTCCACGAGGCGACCATAGAAACCTATTGGAGAACGGGATTAGAGAAAAGCTTGGCATAAGTAATATGGATAAGCAAAAATGCAAGTTAATTTTGACTTGCCTTCCTTGCCTTCATTGCATCCTTTATGAGACTCTTATCCTCATGATACTGTCAATAAAATATACATAGACAGGTTTGAGTATCGCAACTATCAGACTAACGCAAAGCTAGAATAGTCCACCCATAAGAGAAATGAACTGAATCTAGTCCAAATTACCTGTTTCTCTAATTCTTCTGTAACATCTTCGAACAAGTCTTTCGGAGTTGAGCCAGACGTATTAGATGCAACAGCTTGGTATTGGGGCAAGTCTTTTAACTGTACATCAAAATCAAATAACTGAGAAAAAGAGTCCAACATGAAATGTAATTTTTCTAACAAAGATATAAATTGGTCAGACACCTCAATGCAATATTCCGGCCAGTACGTCTTTGCTGTAAGGAGGCCAGCAGCGACATGTTCTTCCAATAGTGTACGAAATGCATCACGGTTTTTTCTCTCAGCCCGCCTAACATGTTCCTAGCTCCACATGAAAATGAAAACATAAGGATGGCGCTTCATAAGAACAGATACGAGTTTACAATTCTGAACATCGACCTTACTTTCTCTACCCTCTTCTGCTCCTCTTCTTCCTTCTCTAGGTCAAGAATGTAATCCTGGGATAACAAACATTAAAAAAATATTCTAATGTGGCAACATGAACTCCTTGATGGAAATCTTTTACCTCAAAACCAATCAGACGATCTATCTTTTCAAGACGTGAGCATCTTTCATCATCCTCCAATCTATCTTCAATTTTGCGCCATTGTGAACAAGCCTTCAAACACGTTTCATAAAAAGCATTATGGCAAGGTCTATCAAACAAAAAGGTTTGCAGGAATTAGCTTCACAAAGAATGACGTACTTTGATATAGTCACAGGATTCAAGAAACTTCCGATATTCTGCCATGTTCTGCCGATGTTCCTCCACTGCCTTTTCTCTTTCCTGCAGATTAAAGGATTTATGATGTCAATACAAATTATGAATTTGCGCCTTCTACAAAGCAAAAATATATCCATTTTCTATAAAATTTTCATAAGCCATCATGCTGGGGCACCAGACTCTCAGCCCCCGTCTAAGTAACCACCAAAAGCGTTAATTTGCCATAATTAAGCCAGGCCTCTTGTGATCATTCCAAGGTAGAAAATTAACATTTTGGATGGTAATAATAAAAAGCAAGAAATCATTCCCGTGTCCAACACCTTCATATTCATGAATAGTTTTCCTCAGCAGAGTAAAGTATGTTACCGAAAAACAAAGCAAATAAACAGCCAAAAAAACGACACATGAAAACGAAAACCCCCAAGAAGAAGACAGATAATTACCTTCCTCCCAAGTTCCACAATATAATTGTCAAAAAGATCTTCACGATCCCTTGGACGTTCAACAGCTTTAAAGCGCTCATCGTCTTCAAATAAACTCATTGCTTTGCTGGTGACGAAAGAGTTTCCATTAGCACATTTGTTACACATACAATAAAGACGAGAACCAAAGATCCTCTAGTTAAGTGAAAGCCACACCTCCATTTCATGGATGATGAAAGTTCTTCACATTCCTGTGGTCAAGAAATATCATTATAACAATAAAATCAGTACATAAGCCACACTAACCGACCAAACACCGAATTTCTGAGTCCTACGGTACATACCTCTAGCATCTTGACAAATTCTTCCCGAGCTTTCTTCTGTCTCTTTCGCCTCTCCTCAGCTTCCACTTTTTTCCTTTGACCAAGATACTGGCACATTACATTTAACAATCAGATGTAAGTATAAAGCTACTCAACGTGAAAATCTACCAGTGAAAAGATAATTACATCACAAATCAAGACTGCAATGCTTTATAGACAGGGAAATTACAATGCATATGCACATCATTCTTAAGAACTTAGAACCTGTATACCTCGTTAAAAGCTTGTTTCCGCTCACCAAGTGTCCTCAAAGCACCATATCTTTTATCGTGAACAATCTCTTTTGTTGCCTACAAGGAGATGATAAGGTCAGCACTGAAGCTAGTAGATGGTCAGAAACAGAATATAGGCCATATCTATCAATACACCCATAAGCAAATGACCCAAATACTTGCATATGCGTCCAGATTACCTGTTCCCATGTCCAGTCGGATTGAACATTAACAGATTCCAAAAGAGACTTGAAAGCAGCTTTGGCCTCCTAGAAAAAAATACCCAACAATGCAAAAATAGATGGATGGCAACAATTAGTGTTTTACATAACGCTACAGATATCAGTAGGAGAAAATTAGGGTAAGAAAATACCTGCTTAGTAGCATATACAATGGGTTCCTCAACATTTGCTTTGTCACCAGCAGGTGTCAGATTGCCTTTTCCATTCACCAACATTTCCTTATTCTCAGCCTAACAAAAAAAATCAAAATAATTAGAAAGCATATTAAGGTGTAACAGTTGACTATAAATATTCATGAGACCACTGCATCATTAGATGTACAGTCAATAATGAACATAAATTTTCCAAAAACTTGTACAAGTTACTATTGACCTCTTTTTACATGAAACTGAAGTAGAATATATAAGACTAGACTTTAAGATTATAGGCAAGTCATTATGAAAAAGGAATAGCAAAATCATGCCTCATTGTTTTGCGCTGGAGTTCCATCATTTGAATTATCTGCCCTCTGAGAAGGTAAATTATCCAATTTCCTGGTAAGATGGGCACAAGAGCTAAATTCAGAGACGCAATAGAGTGTATAATCATAAAACAAAACTTCGGAAGGGAAAAATAGTACATTGTAGTAGCCTCGGTATCACTAGCTGCAGCAGATGTTGGAGTAACAGGAGCAACAGGGGGAGGACGAGTAACAGGTGTAGCCAACCCCGCTGGATTAGGGCTTGAAGAATGCCCAGGAAATGTTGAAGATGTGCTGGGAACAACAGAGGTCACAGTAGCGCTAGCCGCTAGATCAGATGAGGATGCAGCAATGTGGGATTGGGACACAGTGGTAGATCCAGCTTCGGAAAGGGACCTCTTTGCACTAGCTAATTCAGCTTGTTCCCGAGCTAACTGCATACAACAACTATGCATTTAGTATAGCCTCCACATTAAGTAATGTGCATGAGACAGAAATAAATTGGCAGACCTTCAAATCATCAGGAATTGTCCACTTAGACTCCTTTGTAACCTTGTTATAATAATATCTGCGTTAATTAAAGCAATAAATCAGTGGCACCAATAGAGAATAGCATTCAACAAAAACCAAATGAAATTTAAAGATGCATACTTTCTTCCTTCAGCTGTTGTGAATTCCTTCCATACAGTGGATGCATCAGCCCTCTGTAAAAAAGGGATCATAAATTGTAAGAAACTACAAAATCAAGTATAGAGCCCAAAAGTGATAACTAATCAAAGCTCACACTAAAAAGATAAAGAAAAAAACAGAGATGTTCTGGCATCAGCTAACAGATCAAGCGACTGAACTACCAAAAATATAATTGCCTGTTTCAATAAAGTGAAAGCTGCCTTAAAATGAGCATGTAACAGTTATATATCTACGCAGTTACCATGGATACTCCAAACCAGTGGGAAAATAATGTGCAAATGAAACGGAATGCAAATAAAACAACATTTCCAGACAAAGCATGCAACCATTTACATCAATCGTGAAGTCGCACACAAACTAAAAGAACTAGTTAGCTTCAACGACCAGCAGGATGAAATTCATCTTAGAAGACTGACTAATTTGTAAGTCTTACCTCCAGTGGTGTCATCAGCTCACGAGGTTTTTCCCAACTTGATTGTTTCGTCTGCTTGTTATAGTAATACCTAGAAAAAAATAAGTATCTATCAGATAAGCAGAAAAAAAAATTAGATTTCATATACCCAAAACCATGAAACACATATCTGCATTCAAGGTTCAAGAGTGAGAAGCTTACGAACAATCTCCTACTAAAACTATAAATTCGAGTGGAAATTGCAAGAAATACAAGTGGGGATGAACACAAATCTGTAGGACAAAGAATGACATGTAGAAAGGTAATAGTTCTAGAGCTAGAAAATTAGTTCAGTAACATACTTTCTTCCATCAGCAGATGAATGCTCCTGCCAGTCAGATGCAGATTGCGGAGTCAGGCTTCCCTATTATCCAACAATAACATTAAGAAGAAAAAAACAGAACTGCTGAGTAAGATCATATGTGACAGGAGATGCAAAGAAAAGATGCATAAGAGAGATAATGCATACACGAAGACTAGCGAATGAGTTCGATATGAGTCCATCAATAATTCCACATCAGCTAGATAGTAATTAAATAAGTCTTAAGAAGTTGGAGTATCTATAATAAACTTTGCTAATAAGTTGAGGAACACTCGATTCAAATAATTATTATCTCAAAATAGTATAGAGAAAAGAGTGAAATGCCATGAATGGTAGAAGGCATGTAAGGTCGTTTCAACTTATATGATAACACAACTCAACTTAATATGATTTCACAGGTTTAGTAAGACATGGCTTCACGATCACTAGCAGATATAGACATCAATACAAGTTACCACAGCATATATTTGATCAGTTATGGAAGTCACTTACTTGGTCTGTGGAAAGAGGGACTGGTGTTTGTTGCCCAGTCTGCTGCACAGGGGAAACAAGTGCTGTAGGTTGATTTACAGGAACAGGCCAAGGGTTAGCTGCTGGAGGATCGCCGGCTGCATGCATCTGAGAAGTTGGTTGGACCATGGACGGTGGTTGTTGCTGACCATACGAAGATGGTACAAACTGCTAAAACAAGAATCCAATAAAGTGAAAACAAATCATATAACATCAAAAGGTCATCCAAAGAACAAATATAAGAAAAAAGCAAAAGAGGCCTCACTGTATATGAAGAAGAAAACGGAGGTCCAGATGAACCAAATCCCGTCATCGGAGGTGCATTTGGCTGTGGCTGAGTAGATCCAGAAGTGAGGATCTTATTCGTTTGAATATACGGCGATGTTAGAGGCTGTGATGATGATGATGATGTAATATGCCCAGGCTGACCTGGTCTCACTGGAAAGAGCTGCTGCTGCTGCATCGGCTGAGAAAACTGCGGAGGAGGCTGGCTTTGTCCATAAGGGTGATGAAAAGGCTGTGAAGCTGAAGGAACAAAATGCTGACCTTGTTGCCCAGGCACCATCGGCCGAAACTGCTGAAGAAAAAAGGTCTCATAAACACATCCACAGAAATTATCATCTAGCAGTCAGATTATTCATCATCCCAAAAAATTCAGTGATTCTATAGTTTCAGCTTCTTAGTTTTATTAAAACCTCACACTAGATCAAATTGCTTAGAATCAATTGAGTGAATTCGAGTTCCGTGGAAGTAAGAAGCGAAGTAACGAGAGAAAGTTTTGGCACTTTCGTACCTGGGCACCAGAGGACTGGGGAGGATTATTCGCCATTTCTCTGTAGAATTAGCTGCTGCTTCTCCAATTCACAGCTTAATCTGAAGAGCAAATCGACCCAATATCGAGCTTAATTCTCACAGAAAGCTTTCCAGAGCAAAAAAAATTGAACTCTGCGAAGAGGTGTGGCAAAACCCTAACAAAAGCAGCACTGCACGAAAGAAAATACCAGGAACGATGAGGAATCAGAGAGTATCGCCGAAGAAAAATCTCACGAAACAGAGATTGTCACTAAATTTTAAACCCTAATCGAAACGAGCGAGCTCCTGCAAATTGCAAGATCAAAAAAAAAAAAAATCGAAGAACACGCGATACGCTACGCAGACGATGTGCCTTAACTTATTTTAAACAGCATGGTGTTTACCTTTTAAAAATGCAAACGACGTGTATTTCTAACCTAACCAGTGCGGCATCGTTTTATCGGTATCCAACATCTTAAAAAAAGAAATTTTGATAAAAGATCTTAAATTGAGTTAATAGGAATGATCCTACAACCTACATGTTGCAATCTTTGAATTGCTATTTCAAGTTACAAATGATGAAATTTGCAACCGGAAAACGAGTTTGTAACTTCAAATAGCAATTTGATATAACTACATCATTTGATCAACACAATACAATAATACATTTGTCTAGTAATGTTCCTAGTCTTCCAATATGAGCTTCTAATCGAAGCATACATTCCTCTACTGCAAGACTAAAACAAACAAAAACACGAACACAATAGTCCTTCTAGCAGTGTCTACCAATCCTTGCCATCAAGGTAACTAATGATGATGTTTATAGTTCATATCATGTTTATGCTACAAAAAAACAACAAAACATAATTTGTTTTAAGTTTTGTTTTGTCTGATCTAATCTTCAACAAAATTTGAGAATTTTAGACAATTTTATTTTGACAACCGGTTAAATAACAATTCGAATAAACAATTTTGAGAACTACTTTTCATTAGCAAAATTAAATTTTGGCAACTGGAAAACGAGTTTTTATGTTTCAACTGGAAGTAAAATTAGCTCTAAGCCTCTAACTAATCTATTTTTTTTAAAAACGACGTAAACACCAAACAATAAAAATTTGGAAGGAATTTGTTTTCCACATAACGTTAAAACAAAACACATTTGTATTATGATGTTAGAAAAGAACGACATAGACAGTGTTATAAAACTCATTGAAACAAAATTCTCAAATTGAAAAAATATGGAAAAAATCCCACAATTAAATATTAGGGAACTTCGCTACAATTGAGCTCAAGCAAAACTCTGAGTTGAATTATGTGATGAATAACTTATTAAGGTGAAAATAACGCCATAAATAAACTACCCACAAACTCTGATATTTGAGTCAGTACTTATTAATGTTAACAAAAATCATCACATATATTGCTATTATGCTGCCTCTGATAGAAAAACCATATTCCCTACCATCGTTACTATTGCTTTTGTTTATTTAATATTTAAGTTGTTTTTATTTTAACATTTTTTTGCTTACCAATTGTTCAAAAATAAAACTCAAAACTAGTTACTTAATTAGGACAAGAGGTTTAAGATTGTGAAGGGTATTGCAGAGGGGTTGTCATATTTACATAGCTATACACTTCTCGGATACTTCATAAAGATTTGAAGCCGAGTAACATACTCCTCGACAAAAGATATTTTCCAAAAGGTGTAGATTTTGGGCTTGCTCAAATTGTGAATATTGGCAAGACAAAAGCTGATCGAGACACACAACTTATTATTTGTTTTTTCATATCTATGATAAGTTAGTGACAACTGTGTTACAAAACAGTAGTTGTTGGTTTCGCTTTTTAATGGAGATATTATTGATGTTTCATAGACATTGGTTTTGTTTTGAAAAAACTATATATATATCAAGTGTTTGAGGCAGAACAACAATGGATTTATGTCATGGAATACCTAGAAAACGGTAGTGTTAGCATTAACCGATGTATTGTAATATACAATAAAGTGAAACCCCAACAAACTTTTTTATAGATGTGGTATAATTTCAAGTCCAAACAAAATGTTGAAACGGCTTGATGAAACAAATCTCACATATTTAATATTTTGGCAAATGTCGTCACTTTCATAAGCTGCAAAGTTTATGTATTTCATATAATATTTACTAGAGTAGTTTTTTTATTGTTCGCCAACATATAAACAGAGGATTGTTTTAAAATCATGTTTGAATTAGTTTCAAGTTCAACTATAAGTTACGCTTGTTACATTCATAAATTTACATATGAATGCCAGTTTCCATTAGCTTCAACTATAAGTTGTTTTGAATTATCTTATATATAATTAGGGAGTTGCTCTCTCCATCTAGAGTGTCCACATCAGCACAAAAACATTAAATTGTATTTAAATATTTATTAAATATATGACTATTCATATTTCTTTACATTTATTCATATTTAATAAAAATATACAAATAAATTAATTAATTAATAGAAAGTATGTGATAATTTGATGTTAAAAGTTATCAAAAAGTTGGAATATAAAATAGAGATGGAGTAAAGAAATATTTAACTTCAAATAGTATATATTTACCTTTTTATTCAAAGGATTTATCCTATTTAAAAATGTTATAATGTGTTTACAAGTTAAAAAGTTGAATATAAATTAATTAAGATAATAGAAAGCTAATGAAACATTAGAGTTAGAGTTTGTTTTTCTAAACAAATAGAAATGGAGTTTTATATGTAAATTTAATTGTAGTGAAAAACAAGAATATGTTTACAAATTTTAACCTTCAGTCAAATGCATATACATATTTATAAATTTTAACCTTCAATCAAATACATATACATGTTTACAGTCTAATAGAAGTAAAAAAAAAGTAAACAAACATAATATTTATAACATGATAAAATTTTAGAAATAGAAAACTCGAGATAAAGCGGGTGTTAATATCCTAATAAATTAAAATAAAAAACAAATTATTCATATTTTTTAGTGTTAGTGGTTGAGTTAACTCAAAACATAACAAAAACATGAAAGTTAATACAAAACCATCAGAGTATAAATAAAATTAAACAGAAAAACTATGCAAACAACCCCGCGCTTGCGCGGGGCTTCAAATCTAGTAACTACAATTGGTGAAACTCATACTCAAGATTTAAATTTAGTCCTTTCATGAATACTTCCCAAACCAAAACTTAACTCCTTTTTGAGCTTGATTTGCAGCCCTTGGATACTTCATAAAGACTTAAAGCCTAGCAATATTCTAATTGACAAAGACACGTCTTGGGATACTTCACAAGGATCTGAAGCCCAGCAATATTCTCATTGACAAAGACATGGTCCACAAAATATAGATTTTTGGCTTGCTTAGATGATCGAATATTGGGCAGACAAAAGCACAGACACATAACACGTCGTTTGTTTCCATATATGTTACAAAACAGTATTAGTTGATGTTTAATAATTGATGTTTCATAGATATTGGTTTTGTAGTGTAAAAAACTAAAATCAAGTGTTTGAGGCAGAGCAACGATGGATTTAAGTCATTATATACCTAGAAAATGGTAGTGTTGAGCATTAATCATTGTATTGTAATCTACAACAAAGTGAAACCCAGACAAAAGTTTTTATAGATGTGGTAACAATTTCAAGTCAAAACAAAGTGTTCAAACTGCTTGATGAAACAAATCTCAAAATATTTTATATTTTGGCGAATAAGTGACCTGCTACTTCTCTTCACTTTCGTTAAATGTAAAATTTATGCATTTCATATAACATTTATTTGAATAGTTTTTTTTTCTGTTGTTCACCAACATAGAAATAGAGTTTTGTTTTAAAACCATGTTTGGATTAAGTTTTTCAACTATAAGTTGTTTTCAATGCATGCTACATTCATTCAGTTTCCATTAATTTCAACTTGTATAATTTGTTTTGAATTGTAACTATAATTGGTCAACTCATACTCAAGTTTAAATTATGTTTTAAGTTAACAAACCGGCTGAGAACATAAATTGTTACAAAAAAACAAAAAAAAACAAATAAGTTGAAATGTACTCTAACAATATATATTCTAGAAAAGGTTAAAACATGAATTATATGTTTTTAATGCATATGTTTAAATATAATTTTAATATGATGACAAATACTTCTATATAATAAGAAATTGACTAACCACACTAAAAATAGCTAAATTTATTATGTTGTACGAAAGAAAACTAGACATGCATACTTGGAAATTAAGTCTATTAGTTATAACATACAAATTAATCTCCAGAAACCAGATTATTTTATTAATATATATTATATAAATATTAATTGTATGTTAGTTTTCACCAAGTTATTTATATTTCTATACATTTCTGTTATAAAACGTATCACCACGGTATGCCGTCAAAAAAAAAGAGAAAAGAGTACATATAGTTTCCCATCTAGAGCTACAGAGCCTACCTACAATATATACATCTGTATGTTTGCGTCTACCCTATGCTGATTGTTGTTACTAGATTTCTATTATGTTTTTGGGCTAGGCCAATCAAAATCAAGGTGTATATATATGTGGCAGTATGTTACAAGATCTCACAACTAACATCCACTTTGACGTTTTTAAGACGTTCTTCACATGATTTTTAAATGTAAGCAGGTCATGTTTTCAGATTCTTTGTGTAGAAAACGGCAGAAGCTGAAACTTGGTGTACGAATAGATAGGTCACAGATCACCCCCAAACATGGTGTGTGTTTTAGGCAGTTTCCTGATAAGAAAACGAACATAAATCAATATAACAAATCTTTGAAAGGTTAAAAGAACAAAAGAACAAAAAATAGAATTCTCTTCAACATCTAAAATATAACAATCTTACTCCTTATTTCACATATGCCATCGGTTTCTTGAAAATCCTCTCTTTTTCAAAGGTAAGAGTATGCATTTCTTGAAAAGGCTCTCTGCTTCGTTTGCATTCTCATCTGGCCTCAGCAACAAGCTTTCATGAATACTTCCCAAACCAAAACTTTACTCCTTTTTGTGCTTGATTTGCAGCCCTTGCGCAATTAGATGCTGAACTTGAACAAGAAGAAGCATAAGTTCTTCCTCTGCTTGCTGATTGAAAACTATCACTCAATCTGATAACTGGTCTCCCACTCACAACCTCCGGAATGATCTCCTTGGCGACGAACTCATGACCACAATTTGAGCAAGGCAAAATCTTGTCAAGAAAATTAGCCCTCACTAACTCACAATACGTCTTGCATCTGTTGCACACCGTCCAAAACGTAAAAGTACTAACTCTCTCCTTTCTTGATATAGAATCAGACTCAAGATTAGGCTCAAACCATCTTGTCACTCTTTTGTGCGCCTTTGTGCTATCAGAAAACAAAGTCGGACAAGAAGATGTAACAGCAGAAGGACTCATTCTGATTACTGGCCTCCCATTGATTATCTCTGGAATGATCTCCTCCGCGACAAAATAATAACCACAGTTTGGACAAGACAAGGTCTTGTTAAGGTAACTAGCCCTCACATATTCACAATATGTCTTGCATCTGTTGCAAACTGTCCAAAAAGTATGCTCAAACTTTGGCTCAGGCTTATTATACCTAGACTCAGGTTTAGACTCAGAATCAGAATCAGACTCAGGCTTAGGTCGTCTAGGCTTAGTAGATGAAGCTGGCTTGTGTGGCTTTGATTGTTTACGCGTTCCAGTCTCATTCTGTTTACTTTCTTTCGGTTTCTTCTTTTGATTGGATAAATGAGAAAAAGCTTCTAAGATCAGCTTAAACGCGCCTTCAGCGCCATTAAACTTGTTCTTGTCAGGATGTAGCAAAAGAGCTAACTTCTTGTATTGTTTCTTCACTGTTTCATCATCGGCTACATAATCTAATCCGAGAATTTCATACCAACAAGTTTCTTTTTTTCTTCCTCCGGTTGATGCAGAGATATGAACATCGATTATCATCAAGACTTGTTGTAGACCATCAAGCTCTGGATACAGATTCTGTGCTTGGTTAACGAATTTTTTGGCTCCGAAGTAATCATTCTCTGAAATTTTCTTGTCAGCGATTTCCATTGCTCTTCTAGCTTCTTCCTCATTACACTCCATGTTCATTGAGAGAGTTTATACGGAAGCAAATCGTCGCGACGATAAAGGTACAGAAAACTGTTTACAGATTACAGAACCAAAACAAATTCTACGAGCCAAGTGAAAAGTCTCTGATTTTAATGGAGACCTACTGGAACCCGAAGAGACGACGCGAGAAACGAAAGAAGATAGAGAAGAGATGAGAGAAAAATAAGAATACTTGTAATACAAGCAAAGACCGAGGGTTTGATCTCATATAAGTAACTTTCGTAGACGGTTAATTTTCCTTTTCCTTTTACAAAAAGGAGATTTATTTCCTTTTTTGCATCAAAAGGGACAGATAATTTGGCTTTTTCTTTTCGAATTTAGATATGGAACTTTTAATTATTTTCGTAATTAGTTTTTACTGTGATGATTGGCTAATTTAAAACAACGTTTTGAGGAAAAGGAAAGAAGCAGAGTAGAGACATTTTTCATAGGAACCGCAAAAATCTTTTGAGAAACTTACATAATCTTAACACAAAACGAAACCATCTTTTAAATAATCCAAAATCATGCGATTAATTGTAACATTTAGTGAAAACTAAATAATCAGAAACCTAAACACAAGTTTGCAGTAAGCTTGTGACCTGAAGCTCATCTTCTTGTTTTACCAAGTGACTAATCTTCTAGGACACTTGATCATACCACGACCATGATCCAGCTCGAAATGAGCATTGCTAAAATCTGTGCTCGAAAAGAACGGTCGTAGATCTGCAATGTCGTATTCGTTGGCCTGCAAATGTAAAACATAAAAAAGAATTAATAACAAGCAATACTTCTCATTTCACATCCCCAAGATGGCTTTTAAGAACAGCTTAAACCATATGAAGTTCATTACCTTTGTCTGCAGCTCCTCTATCTTAACCTCGATCGAAGGCAATCCGGAGTTCGATCCCGTTATGATTTCTTCAAACTTCAATGCATTCTTTACTAGCTCTTTGAGAAGAACGAGGAGCAACGAGTTGTAATCCTTTTTGTATGTTATGTATCGTTTGAAACTCTGCGAAAGATTAAACAAAGTTTTCGTCAATTCAAGACATTATAATCCATAGAAAGCTCACCGAAACAAAGTTGTGTATAAACTTGTTTAATTACCTCTCTTAGAGTTCTCTGGACACCAAACTTCTGAGTTGAAATGAAAGAGTCGAGCAAGACTCGAATGGCCATGTTAACATCTTCTTCTGTGACATACTGTCTAAGGTGCATCCTCGCATGTGCTTCAGACATTCGGATCATGGACTCGAGGTGCCTTGTCGCGATAGAAACTCCTTGTCCGTTCTGAACAAAATGATTGATTAGGTCAAGTGATTATGCTACGTCATATTAGAAAGACAATACTACTAAAATCAAGAGACCCTACCATCGATTCTCGTCTTAGATTGGCATAAACAGTTTCCAACTTCTTGGCGTCTATTTCACTCAGTTTTGGGAATACATACAACTTCGAGTATGTTAAGTACTTCTTCAGCAGGTTCTGAGGAAGGACCTGTAGATATTTATGAAATAACATGGTCGTCAAGATATGATAAACATGGAAACTTTTAAAGAAGTAGCTACACCTGAATTTCACGAACCTCGGGATCAGAAGAACCGCTAGATCCCTGAATGCCATCTTGAGGCTCGCTATCATCCATCTTACCACCTTTGGGTTGTGATTTGAAGTGACTATTCACAACAAATTCTGCGAGCATTTCATCTGTAACTGGGTCAACCACATCCTGCAGCCATGTTTAAGCCATGTCAATAACCAAAACAAGTTCAACGCAATCAGTGATATGATGACAAGAACAAGAAGCAGAGGTTTAGAAAAAAAGACCTTGACAACACACAGAATGTCAAAACGAGAAAGTATCGGATCTGTCAACTCAACATTTTGTGCAAATGATTTCGATGAATCGTACCTGAAAATTGCAATGGCACAAAACATATTCACAAGATCAATATCACAAACTTTAGGTCAGTGGATTGGGATTTGGGACCTTTATTACCTTCCACCAACTGGATTAGCTGCGGCAATAACAGAGCAACGAGCTTGAAGAGAAGTAACTATTCCAGCCTTTGATATACTTATACTCTGCTGTTCCATGGCTTCATGAATACTCACCCTGGTTACAAAAACATAGATCGTCAGCACCATTTTCTCCAGCAAGGTTATTACCATTTACTAATTAGTTGCATTTTGTTTACCTGTCCTGGTCATTCATCTTGTCAAACTCATCGATAAGACAGATTCCTCTGTCAGCAAGCACAAGAGCTCCTCCTTCAAGCGTCCACTCCCTTGTAACTGGATCCTTATGTACTGCTGCAGTCAGACCAACAGCAGAAGCTCCCTTTCCAGTCGTGTAAACAGCTCTCTGACCAGTTTTCTCAACGTACCTAGAAGAAACATTCTTGCAGTTAATGAAAGACTCAAGACAGGAAGTAGTCAATTGGTCAGGAATAATATACTTACTTAAGAAATTGTGATTTTGCTGTTCCTGGATCTCCTAGTAGAAGCACATTAATATCTCCACGCAATCTGTGTTTCCCTCTAATGTTCTTCTCTTGGCCTCCAAACATCGCAAGAGCAATAGCTGTTTTGATATCTTCGTGGCCATATATCGAAGGAGCAATTGACTTGATGATCTGAGAGAGAAATTGAAACAATGTTAAGAGAGTGATAAACTTTGAAGCAAATTCAAAAGGATTTCTATCTAACTTACACGTTCAACGATACGTGGATCCTTGGATAGCTCTTCGATTTGCGTCTTGTCTTCCTGGGTTAGCTTGTATGCAGAGAACAGGTCTTGCTTCTTTGTAACGTAATTTGCTTCCACCACAGTGGCAAAGACGGGAAACCCATTCTTTGTGTTCAAAGATAGGTCGAAGTTGTTGGTATATATGCCAGTAACCTCCTGCAAAACATCTCATACAAGACAAAATCAATCATCTATCATATACAGCTGTGCAAGTATTCTATAAGAGTAGAGTATGATGGAACGTACAATTTCTTCTCCAGGACGAGCGCAATCAATAAGGTCATTCAGCAAGATAACTTCTTTGTGTCTCGGCAGTCGTCCAGCAGGTACTGTTCCTGGACTCTCTTGGATTGTAAGCTTCTGATAGTTCCTGTATATCGTCTGAAATAACAGTGTGGTCAAACTTCACTTTCCAATAAATAACTCTTATTGAAGCTCATTCAGCAAAAGTAAAATTATAAGAGAGAAGACAGAATCCTACCTGTTCAACATTGACAGTGAATGGTCCTTTTGACTGGCATTCAGAACAAGAACCGACCTTGACTTCCGAATACGAGTTTTGGAAGAAAGGTCCCAATATTGCTCCACACTTGTTACAATCATACTTCACCTGCTGCAGCTGAGGAAAGACACCAGAACGCCTTGTAACAACTCCACCGATTCGGATCATCGTGTTAAGATGAATCTGCCTGAAAATTCACAAACCAACAAAAAAGAAGTTGAAAATCTTGTGAATGATTTACAAAGTCATCACTATCCATGAGTTTTCAGCTGTATTAATTACCTTATGTTCCGAATCTGATCATTAACCGGTAGGTTGGTAACACGAACATAAATCTTCTGGTGAATATTCTTGTAGTTTGGATGCAGATCAAAGATGGCTTTTTCTGAAACTTCCTCCATGACTTCAAGAACAGGTTGTGGAGCATCCGCAAGCCAGATTGCAATATTCGGGTGGACATGGATGAACTCTTTGTAATCAATCTCCAGACTGCACTTATTGGCTGTAAAATACATAACAGTTCAGAGATGTAAAATTTACAAGTAAAAAAGAAGAACTTTGTTGTAGCTATAGCAAAATGAAGAAATGAAAGTACCTGCGACCATTTCACTGATGAGACGAACATATTCTCTATCCTCACTATTTGGTTTCACATAAGTGAGCAAGAAGTCTTTAAACTTCTTAGCAATGAAACGACGAACTTCGTCTCTCATAACCCATTCCCTCAAACTTCCTTGGATCCGATACATCTCAAACTCTGCTTCATCATCGTTATCATCCTGTATTTCACGAGTTTCATAAACACAATTAGTACTACTAATAGAATCAAACCCAGCACTTTGAAGTTGAGAGATAACAGAATCATCATACCTCATCTTGATAATCATCTGTTTGATCAGTCATCGAAATATCAGGCTGTGAATTTCCTGGAGAACTTGGGTTTCCATCAGGATCACCACCGTTTCCTCTCGGTGGAACCGTAGCACGAGCCCTCTTTGAAGGCCTATAGTCCCAATCATCTGAATCTGTAAAATCCAGGTGGTCCAATTAGGGTTTTCCAATTTCGTTAAAATCGAGTGTGCCCAGTGAAATCAGTGAGCCGAGACATGAAATTAGGGTTTCTAATTGATTAAATTCGGGATCAATTTTACCATTGTCGTGAAGGAGATGAGGAAGTTTGCGATTAGCGAAGCGACTCTCTCGAGCATCGAGAACAGCGTCGGCGGCGCGACGGTCAAGCATAACCTGATCGAAATCTCTTTCATCGTCGACGGAATCATCTAATCCAGTAGGCTCATACTGATCTTCACCATCTCTTTTATCATAATCTCTGCCAATTACAAGGAGAAATGAATGAATAAACACAGTTCACTGAAGAAAACTAAATCAACACGAATAAGTTTTTCGAAGTGACTTACTGCATGAAGTTATCGTTGAAGAGATCTTCTCCATCTTCTTCTTCCTCCTCCGGCTCATCGGGCTCATCTCTGATGATCTGTGGATCTACCTCGGCTTCTTCGTCGGAGAAATTCTCCGAGTTCTGGCTCGTACTGAAAGGTAACTGGTCGGTGTTAAATCCAGTGGAAGAAGGTGAAGCTGGTGACGAGGGCTGATTGTCGGAGTCTTCTCCCGCCATTTCTCTCTCTTTCTATGTCTCTGTGTATCTCTCTCGCTCCGGTGCCGGAATTTAGGGCGCAATGACACTCGGTTATCAGATTGTATCGTCGATTTAGGCGGGAGATATTCGCGCCAAATTGGTAAAGCCAATGGGCCTTTTTGTGTTTCTCTGTATATCTAATTGGGCCTGTTGATAATGCTTCTATCGTTTGGGCCCAAATTGTTTGGTGCTTTAGCTCTCTTGAACAAGGGTGTTTTAATGTTTCAGTTTTAACTTCTTGGGTGATAACACGGTTAAAATAAAGGAAAAAACACACACACACACAGAAATCTACTTCGTTTTGAAATTTTTGTAACTAATTAAAATGTTGAAGTCAAAGGATTTGTTTATTTTGAAGGCTTGGAGCTCAAATTCACGAAGGTAATTCATTGTTTCTAGTGATTATTTGTGATTGCTTTATCATGTTGAAGTTAAAGGATTTGTTTAATTCACGAAGGTGCAAATTTTAAGAAATCAAACATTAGGATTAGCCGATATATTTTTAAAAATATTGAGTTGTTGCAACATTAACTCTTACAAAGAAGACTCTTGATCAAGAAAAACCATAATCTGAAAGATGCTAACCATCTTTTTAGATTTAGCCACAAACTGACACAAAAGAAGAACCAGGGAGGGATCTACGTGAGGAGGTAGGGGGTCAGCTGACCCCTACTACTTTCATAAATAAAAAAATTTACATGTATTTTTGTTGTGTTTATTGGCTTATTTGGTTTAAATGTTATTATTTGACCCTCTTCTCTCAAGTTCAATTCTTCTCCCTATATATTTATTTTAATATATGACCCTGCTACAATATATTTCTAGCTCCGCCCCTAAGAAGAACCACAATCCGAAACATGTTGACCATCCTGTTAGATTTAGCCACATCAATCAACGAATCTTGCTTCTTAGCACACCACAACCAGTGTCGTCCTTGTCAGTGAACTCAACTAAGAGAAGAAAATCTAACAAAGCAAAGAGAACTGTAGCTAAAGAAGATAAGTTGGTTGCTTTTTCTTCTTTAGAAAGACTCTTACTCTTTTAGACTTTCTCTCTTAGTTGGCTTCACAGTTTTAGCCTCATATGTGATCTTTCTTTTAAGCTCCTCTTTCGTGATTTGCATTCGCTTCTTCTTCTTCGTAACTGCAAAGACAGACGGTCAATTCAGAGTTAGTCTCCAAATAATTTGGAGGTTCGCTTACAAAATATCAGTTTCAATATTATCTTTCCCAAAATCAGTAGCAACATTATGACAAAAATGATTAAAAAAAAATTGTTTGCTTTTTGCCGATTTCAGTGTCTATAAAACATTACATATTATAATCAACGGTTAACGAGAACCGACACTCTCCAAGAACATCATCAGACAATAAGAACAACTGGAACTGACATTATAATCTAATCAACAACATTCACGAGGATAACTAAATTCTGTAAAACCAGAAATTAACTTTATTATAAAACTCCCATAAGTTTTGATCAGCAACCACTTCCAATACTTGTTATAAACCTCCCATAACTTTATAACAATTAAATATTGATGAAAGTGGTTGCTGATCAAAAGTTACGGGAGAATAATAATGCTCCCTGAAAAGTTTACCTGTAAAGATTACAAAATTACCAACCTTAACATCATCTATTAGCCATTACGAAAGCAAACTATGGAAGCAGACATATGAAGATGAAGTGGAAAGGGTTTAGCCGTCTAGGGTTTAAATAGATTTGGTCAAGCAACCAAAGAGAAAGTTTAAAGTAGGTCTAGGCTTAGGTCATCCGGGTTCGGTTTTGTTAATTTATTGGGTCTACTATAATGGGCTTGTTTACCGTGATGATACAGTTTGAGCAAAGAGAAATCTTTACTTGCACGACAAGTTTAAGCGTTGTTGTTTCCTTTTCCTTATTTCCTTTTTAAGTTTCCGTATAGGTTTTGACTCTTGATTTCCTGTTTGCTTCCGTTGATCAATCTCTATATAAAGTGAATCACATCCTCTGTGTTCAAACTTCAAAAATATTAACAAAGTTTTGTGTTATAAACTCTTCGTCTTCCTTAAAAGATTCAACGACCTTTGTGCCGCTGCGTAAGAGGACCACGTGACTGAGTCTACCATGGGGATACTTTATGAAATCTTCGAAGTTATGAACGTGCTCGTTGATTTTTGTTATAATTTGATTGAGACACGTAAATCGTTCGAAACAAAGAAGGAAGAACCAATAATTTCTTCTAGTAGAGAGGAAGGGTTTGGTAAGTAAGTACTTGGACTTGCATGCTATGTACAACAAATACATCAACTCTGAAAAGATGGAATATTCTGCTTACCTTGACGTCTTTTCTCATCCGCCATGTAACAAAGAGAAGTTTTCGAAGCAATACAGAAAATATATGAAAGATCTGCTAGGTTACTTGATCGTCTTTTTCAAACGAACCAAGCCGTCGCAAGATCTTGACACAATACTTTCCAATGTTGAGATTGGTTTTGAGGAGCAAGAAACCGTGATAGATCTTGATGACTACGAAACTGTGGAGGAACTGATCGATTTGGGAGATGAGAAGCTAAAAGAGGCGTTGGATGCATTAGGGTTGAAAGTTGGTGGTACTATGCAGCGGCGTGCAGAGAGACTTTTCTTGACAAAGCATACGCCTTTGGAGAAGATGGACAAGAAACATTTCGCCAAGAATCAGAAGTCCGTGAGAGAGATTGCGATAATAGAGGCCAAAGTGAAGAAACTCTGCGATTTACTCGATGAGACAATCGAAAGGACGAAACAAAACGTCGAGAAGAAACAGGCTTTGACGTAGAACAAGAAGATTTACTCTTGTCTTCAACGTGAAGGTCGCTTCTTATTATTCAGTATTGCTCTTTTATTAGTTTCTATTTTAATTGCTAAGGAACCTCCTGCAACCTAAACAAATAAAAACTCAAATCATTGAATGAAAATCCGAACTTATTAATCGTAGTTTTACGCAATTTTGGCTCAATCTATTGGTGCTATTCCAGTAGATATTGGTAGTGTTTATGAACCTTTCACTCCAAAGATTGATCCTTTCACTCCAAGAAACCTATATACATCATACAGCCAATGACAATAGCTCAAAATCTTCAGGCCAAGGAAGCTTTAAGCTCTAACGAAAAATGTAACAAAGAAAGATGCTTACTCCTTGTCCAACATGGTGTACATTACGCTTCGGCTTCTACTGAGAAGTGATACCTGAATAAGGCAAACCACGCTTCATTTTGAGTTTAGGGAAGTCAAAAAGTGTAGATTCAAATCACAATGCAGTTGCATAGAGTATATAGCAACCTAAGTTTTTACCTTGTCAAGAACCTCTCCTTGCGCTGAAGCACGGTGCGAGCCAAGACTCTGTACAAAAACATAATCAAGAAACAGAATGTGTAAAGATTACAAAATTACCAACCTTAACATCTATTAGCCATTACGAAAGCAAACTGTGGAAGCAGACATATGAAGATGAAGTGAAAGGGTTTTAGCCATCTAGGATTTAAATAGATTTGGTCAAGCAACCAAAGAGCTTGCTTAAAGTAGGTCTAGGCTTAGGTCATCCGGGTTCGGTTTTGTTCATTTATTGGGTCTATGAATGGCCCACTATACTGGGCTTGTTACACAGTTTGAGGAATGAGAAAATCTTTACTTGCTCGACAAGTTTCAGTTTCTTGTTTCCTTTTCCCTATTACCTTTTTTTAAGTTGCCGTATAGGTTTGACTCTTGATTTCCAGTTTGCTTCCGTTTGATCAATCTCTATATAAAGTGAATGAATCACATCCTCTGTGTTCAGACTTCAAGAATATTAACAAAGTTTTTGCGTTATAAACTCTTCTTCTTCCTTAAAAGATTCAACGACCTTTGTGCCGCTGCGTAAGAGGACCACGTGACTGAGTCTACCATGGAGACACTTAATAAAATCTTCGACGTTATGGTCGTGCTCGTTGACTTTTGTGATAATTTGATTGAGACACGTAAATCTTTCGTAACAAAGAAGAAGGAACCAGAAATTTCGTTTAGTAGAGAGGAAGGGTTTGGTAAGTACTTGGACTTGCATGCTATGTACAAGTACAACCAATACATCAACTCTAAATTTGGTGGTGGTGATGCAAAGATCGAATATTCTGCTTACCTCGACGTCTTTTCTCGTCCACCATGTAATAAACAAAAGTGTTCGAAGCAAAACAGAAAGTATATGGAAGATCTGCTAGGTTACTTGGTCGGCTTTTTCAAACGAACCAAGCCGTCGCAAGATCTTGACACAATACTTTCCAATGTTGAGATTGGTTTTGAGGAGCAAGAAACCGCAACAACCGAGGAACTGATGGATTTGGGAGCTGAGAAGCTAAAAGAGGCGTTGGCAGCATTAGGTTTGAAAGTTGGTGGTACTGTGCAGCAACGTGCGGAGAGACTTAAGAAACATCAGAAGTCCGCGAGAGAGATTGCGATAATAGAGGCCAAAGTGAAGAAACTCTGCGCTTTACTCGATGAGACAATCCAAAGGACGAAACAAAACGTCAACAAGAAGACATACTCTGGTCTTCAACGTCTAGGTCTCATCTTATTAATCACATTCAGTATTGCTCTTTTATTAGTTTCTATTGTAATTGTCAAGAAACCTAGCTCTTGCAACCTAAACAAATAAAAACTCAAATCATTGAATGAAAATCCGAACTTATTAATCGTAGTTTTTACGCAATTTTGTCTCCATCTATTGGTAGTGTTTATGAACCTCTTTCTGATCCTCACGACGCTTGAGGATAAGAGAGAAATCAAGATCAAACATTTGGATTTCAAGGCCGAATCCGTCGCCAACAACCACCACTAGTCGTCCTTTGCTTAAGACTCCGTTCTTGATCAGCTCCGCTGAGAATGTCTTACCGCGAAGACACGACACAAGAATCCCGGCCATGTTTTGCTTTAACTCTTCCACGGAGAGCCAGAAGATGGGAACTTGAACGCTCTTACCAAAGATTGTTCCTTTCACTCCAAGAAACCTATATATCATACAACAATGATTCCAAAGATTGAGACTTTAGTGGATTTTGTAACGAATGAAATGTGACTAAGAAAGTTGCTTACTCCTTTTCCAACATGGTGTACATTACGCTTCGACTCTTACTCAAAAGTGACACCTGAATGAGTCAAAAAGTGTTGATTCAAATCACAATGCAGTTGCATAAAGTATATAGCAAAGTAATGTTTTACCTTGTCAAGAACCTCTCCTTGCGCTGAAGCATGGTGCGAGCCAAGACTCTGTATAGAAACAGAATCAAGATATAACGGTATGTCGATTAGATACTATAAATGTTTTGGCTTTGAGTAGTTATCATAATTTACAACCCTAAAGAGAGCACATAGCTAAACTAATCAAGCTAAAAGTTTTTGCTATCTCTTTGATCTCTGGCTCAAAACATAAAGATGTGTGAAGAGACTCACATTAAAAAACTTAGCAATGTTGTTTAGCCAATCAATCATAACCGGAATCGTCACTCCACGAATCAAAAGCGATGTGACAATGATACACACCCACCTGTTAAATTAATCAGAGATAATAATCACAGCCAATATTGTTTATCTAGCAACAGAGAGGGATTTTTCACAAGGAAGAAACTTTTTCTTTATACCCAAAGCATACACAAACTTATCATGCTAATTTGTGAAAAATCTTACCATTGAGAAAATGTGAGAGAATGAAGCAAAGCAATCAAGTGTTGAAGAGAAGCAAGAGCATCAGCAACATTGTGTAAGGCATGGACATTAGAAACCGCAGATTTCAAAACCCAATCGGCGAGGATTTCAACGGTGCCACTCGTACCAGAGAAACTGAAGGTCGAAATGGTTCGATCGGACGCAATCGCTGGAGATTGAAAGGGAGAGCGATTGCGATCGAGACCCGAGCAGCCACTAGTTAAGGAGCCCCGGTGGTGAATGAAACCGTGGTAACTTCGAATTTCTGGAGATTTGTGTGTAGTTTGTTCGTCATCGTCACGACGGGAATGAAGAAGGATGTGACAAGGGTAAGAGGATCGGTAACGGCGAGCGTTAAGCACCGATCTGAGGGATAAACGACGGACGAGCGACATCGAATCGGTGAATCGGAACACGCCTGAAAACGGAAAAAAAAAAAAAAGCAACATTAGGTTACAGAGGAAACATAAGAAATTCGAGATTTAGGAGTTTGGGAAATTAACAATTAAACGGTGAATTCGTCTGGGATCAGATATTTTCCGACGAAATTCGCCGGCTGAGATAAAATTGGGTTTACCGGGAAAGACGACGAGATTTTAGAGTCAGAGAAGAGATTTAGAGTCATCCTGAGCCCAAAAAAAGAAAACTGGGCTTGTGGCCCATACGTTTACTGAACCCGATAACTCGAAAGGTTTCACATCTTTTTCATTTGAGTTAAAACATATTTCATCTCTTTAAACGCTTATCTCGCTGAACATTTAGGGCTTAGTATGTTTTGTTTTCTCGCATTTTTACGTTTTGAAAATGTGATTCCGCTATTATTTACCATTCACTGATTCACATCATTCCACTATTATTTACCATTCACTGATTCACATCATTGATCATTCATCAATTTTTCACGTTTTTTTTAAAGTGATTCCGCTCTATACAAGTATACAACTAGCATGCTGAAGTTACAAACAAAATGTGATTAATCTATTAAAACTATAATTTTTGATAAAAATAGTATTTAGTTTTTTTTTTTTTTGTATTTAGTTGAGTTTATTTTACCAACGATTTTGCAGTTGATCCGTTATTTGATCTACTACTCGAATACATAGCTTGTTTTCGTTTTTTTCCATGCAAAGCCGGCCTTGAAACAAAGAAATGTAAGCTTATGCTTCCGATCCTATATTGATATATTTCGGCCTCAAATGCACATATTCTCCTATCTACATCTAGGTATGAGTTCTTGACCATTTGGCTGCAAATATGTATATTTTTCTTTTTAATCTACTTTTAGTAAATTACTTTAAGTCATCTATCTTTTTTTTCTCTCTCTTTTGAATTGAATTGAATTGAATTGTAAAAAATATATTCAAACAAAAAAAAAGTCTTTTTTTACATCAAGTGCAACTTAAGATCAAAAGTTTTGAAAGATGTGGAGAGTGGAGATTAACTTCTTGCTTCAAACCAAATTTGCAAAGCTTCTTCTTTAACTCATCTATCTACTTTAACTCAGCCTTTGTTTTCTAGCTTGTGGAGTTGTGGTTATTGGAAATTCAGGGCTACTTCCACGACCTTGTCACACGTTTTTTCCGTCAGTTCATTTTTCTGTCACCATAAAGTGCTCCATAAATCTTTAGTTTCATGACCGATCCTCCATCATTTCTTTTGGACTCGGTTACAAGCATATTCATTTATTTTTGTATCTACTTATTGAAGCATCACAGAGTATTCATTTATTTCTTTTGTGCATCATTTGAATTTCTTATGTGAAAAACGTGAGTTCTCGAAATAAATTACTTTGGAACAAGACAACTGGCCAGACAGAGTCCGGAAAATTAGAGTAATAATTAAGATAGTGACTGCACAGAGGTTTGCTCTTTACTTTTGTTTTTATGGTAACAATAATTAAATAGTAGGCCTAAAAGGCTAAAACATGGAATAATACTCCCTCTGATTTAAATTATTTGTCGTTCTGAGAAAATATATTTGCAATTATATGGATGTACTCAAAATACATCCAAATACATCAAATATTTGCAGATACATTTTGCCAAAACAAACAATTAATTTGAAACGTAGGGAGTAAACATAAGCGTTATACTCAAGGTAATTTCACTATTATAACATTAAACTTATCCAAGTTTTATCATAGTTTTCCATTCATTTAAAAATGACCATAATTGTTATTTCATAAAATTTAACTTATCATTTCATATATCTCCTCTGGATCCTATAACTTTAGGCACGTCTCTAATATTAACTTTATGCATGAGCCTGCTTACAAGTCTTACTGAAAAGTGGATACATTATTAAAATTTGTAAGCGTTACTGCGACTGGAGGAATAAGACATGACCCTGCAGTTACAAGTTCTTTGCATTTAACGCCGGTCCAAGAGCTTGTCTTGGCAAAGAATATGGCTATGACTCATTGAAGACTGTGGTTGTTGAGATATTACAAAAGTATGTGTTGGTGTCTTAAAGGGACAGACAAATTGTATTGCTAAATGTTTGTGTGTTTTTTTAATTTTATCAAATTGAATGCATCATCTTGTGTGGCGAATACCAATAATTGAAAAGTATTTCCAAACACGTATAAGACCCCTCTCACCCCGGTGAAACTAAAATTTATCAAAGGTGACTCTTTTCTTACCAAACAAAAGAAATATTAAGCAAAGTGACTTTTTCTTACTCCCTCCTTCACCTGTACGACACTTGCAATCCGGACACAATGGACCAAAGGCTGGATCTTGAATCGGGAACAATCCATGATTTGAACAAACCTGTTCCAGGAATGTGGCGGTTTCCTAAAGATCATCCAGCTTTGTGTTGTATCTACAGAGTTCCAAACTGTATGCGTCAAGTAAATCCAGAAGCATACACTCCTCAGATTCTTCTCATTGGACCTCTTCACCATTCTTTGAAATCTCAAGCTCTCAAGTCTCGTGGAGACATGACAGACACAAAGTCAATGGACTACTTAAACATGGAGAGGCACAAGAAGATCTATCTAGCGGAGTTCAAGAAAAGGGTCGGAGGGGAAAACAGCATTGAGGGTTTCACAAGAACCATCGAAGAAGACGAAGAGATGATCAGAGAAAGCTACTCGGAATCAACGGCCTGGATTGAGTCTCCAGAGTTCGTGGAGATGATCCTGCACGACTCTGTTTTTATTCTAGAGTTCATGTTGAGGAATTACGAAATAGACCGAAGCCAGAAAACAGGAGACCCTCTCATGGACGAGCCTTGTCAAGGAGCAATGGTCAGGAGAGATCTCGGCTTGCTCGAAAACCAGCTTCCTTACTTCCTACTCGACAAACTCTTTGAGCCAATAATCCACACACTCGCCGACATAACCTTCCGCGAATTAGTCATGTACATTTTTGATTTCACAGACAAGATTGGAGACGACTCAAAGTTCAGACACTTCACTGATCTGTCAAGGTGTGTCCTCGTGGAGACACTCCCGGGGAATTATATCACGCATGAAAAGATCCCTGAGCTCAACGAAAAGTATCACGCCTATAAGCTGCATAAAGGGGGAGTGACATTCAATGCGGTAGATGAAGAACTCTCCTTGGATGTACTCTCCTTGGATGTGGAATTCAAGAATGGTTGTTTGAATATACCAAGTTTCTTCGTTGATGGCCTTTCGGAGATGAAACTTAGAAACATGATGGCCCTTGAGCAATGCCATTATGCTAACAATACCCACGTCTGTGACTACATCTTTTTCATGGATTCCCTCATCGACACCGAAGAAGATGTGGCCTTGCTTGTCGAGAAAGGTAACCCTTTGATCGTATATATATTGTGTGTGTTTGTGTGTGTGTACTGATTCATGATGGTAATAGGGATAATAAAGCATTTTCTTGGAGATATTGGTTCGGTGGCTACGATGGTGAACAGGCTCAGTTTGGGAGTCCTCAACTTTGGGTCTCACTATTCTGTTATCACAAAAGACGTCAATAGCTACTACCATAACTCATGGAACAAGTCACGAGCCGTCCTCAAGACCGTCTATTTCAACAACCCGTGGAGAGGGACAGCCACTGTAGCTGCTACGTTGCTGTTGCTGCTGACTCTTATCCAGACCATGACTTCCGTCATGCAGGTTCTGCCAAAAAAGTGAAAAAAAAACTCCGGTTCTCCTTCTGTCTTCACCCAAAATGTAAATGCACACTTTCTTTACGTGCATTTTGGTCAAGAGTTTGGACACCTAGAACGCGGTTCGGAAATGTAAACCGATGGCATTTTCTCTACTTTTGCATCTGTTTTTATATTTGGGTTTGTTGTTCAAATGATTTAGCTACTAGTAACAAGTTCAGATTTGTTGACTCCTTTCAAAATTTGGAGATACTTGTTCCTCACGCAACCTTTTCGAAAAGTAGATTACAGTTGAGCAAATCAAACCCTAAACCGGGATCTAAATGGATTAGTAACTAAAAGAGGATCAAACAGAACTAATCTTGGCACAAAAGAGAGGAAAATAAAATATTGTTCTGATTAGGTTTTGCGAAGTGGCCATCAGAACAGAACTAATAATCGAATAGGAAATTTTATAATGGTCTGAGTCAAAAACAAAACTGAAAAAAATAATATAAATAAAAAACTAATAAAATAATTACCGAGCAACTAACTAATTAATATTAAAAGGAAAAATTTATAATGAACTGATATTTTAATTTTAATAGTTTTATTTTTTTGTTATTTAAAAAAAGAAGATTTCATCAACCGAAATATCTTCAATGGAATAATAAAATTTTCACGAATTAATCAATCAGTCAAACTTACACATGCGTAAGTCTTTCAATTTTAGATAAAAGTAAAAAGATAACAAATTAATTCATTTTTTCGTATCATGAATTCAGAAAATATGTCAATTATAATAAAAATGTAAAAAAATTACCAATCTAATATTATTTAGAGGTCTGTTATCGGGGTTTTAATATTAATCTACTTGCTTAAGTGTCAAATTTGTTTAATATTTTTTTATGATTTATTTCAAAAATTGTATAATAAACCCGCGGGGCCTAATCTAATTAATATATAAAACTTATAACAACTTTTATTATTGATTTCCATTCATTTTAAAAATGACCATAACTGTTATTTCATCAAATTTAATTAAATATAAACGATTTTTTCATTTCATATATCTCTTCTGGATCATGCAACTTTAAGCACATCTTTATATGTACAATGAATCTCTATCAACGAACATTTGTTTGAAAATTTAAAACTGTAAGATGTGAAACTGTAGAGTAAATTCACAAAGTTGCATAACCTTATCAGCCTCGGATGAGTGAATAAGTCGAGATCTCTAACAAAAAAATCAAATCCATCCTAGGAAAAACTATTCGACCAGAAACATGAAAAGAATTTACCGCGCATCTTGACAACTAGGCTGCTAACAAAAAAACACCACTCGGAAGTCAGTTAAATGACTCTTTCTCTATCTAATGCATATTCCACCTAAGAAGTAACGAAGTCAAGATAAACGATTATAAAATAAAGCCCTGCGTAGAAAGCAACCCACTATTTATTTATTATCGTTAAATAGATACATTGGTATCCAGATTATCCAGACGTAGACGCACCTCCTTACTTTGAAGAGATTTCTCAAGCTGCTGTAAACCCTCCATTCGAGGTCCATCTCTACAAGGTTGAGCAATTACTTCAGCAGAACCTTGAGTATCAATTTATGAGTACAAGAGAACTGAAAGAAAGATTGATCATGTCCGCAATGATCTAGGTGAGAAACTTGAATTACTTGCTTCTCAAGTCATCAAGTACAAAAGCTCGATGTGGATCACACTCGTTCCCTTGCTACTATCAAACTCGATGCGGCTGTTTGGCAATTCCATTGCAACTGAGGAACGTTCCATGGAGAATTCGAAATATCTCAGAACACTTGACAACAAGACGATGATTTGGATTGTGATTCAAAAACAGGGCTGGCGAATAATCAAAGTCACCAACATATTTTATCATTTTTAAGGAAATCAATACTGTATCTAAGAGAAAGCTATTTTATTTTTATTACGCAACATTTATTTGTTCTTACAAGTTCTAACAAATTTTCTAATGTACACAAATTTTCTGACGCATTGGAGTTTAAGAACAAAAGAACGTTAGAACTTGTCAGAACATTTTTAGTCGCAGTAAGAAAATTTGTTCTTACAACATTTTTTAGTCGCAGTAACATGAGCCTGCTTACAAGTTCTTACTGAAAAGTGGATACATTGTTAAAATTTGTATCCGTTACGACTGGAGGAATAAGACATGAGCCTGCTTACAAGTTCGTTGCATTTAAAGCCGGTCCAAGAGCTTGTCTTGGCAAGAATATATGGCTCTGACTCAGTTGAAGACTGTGGTTGTTGTATTACGAAACTATGATGTTGGTGTCTTAAAGGGACAGAAAACTGAGCCATTTTCTGGTCTTATTCTTCACGTGAAGCATGGGCGTAGAGTCAGATTTAATAAGAGATGTTTATCAGCTTGAAATATTCAGGAGATAAATCATGGTGTTTCAAGAATGGTATATCTTAAGTTTTTTTGTTTTGCTAAATGTTTGTGTGTTTTTTTAAAAAAAATTATCAAATTGAAGGCATCATCTTGTGTGGGGAATACCAATAATTGAAAAGTATTTCCAAACACGTATAAGACCCCCCGTGAAACTAAAATTCATCAAAGGTGACTCTTTTCTGACCAAACAAAAGAAATATTTTAAAAAGTTGGCTTTTTTCTTACACCTTCGCCTTGCAATCCGGACACAATGGACCAAAGGCTGGATCTTGAATCGGGAACAATCCATGATTTGAACAAACCTGTTCCAGGAATGTGGCGGTTTCCTAAAGATCATCCAGCTTTGTGTTGTATCTACAGAGTTCCAAACTGTATGCGTCAAGTAAATCCACAAGCATACACTCCTCAGATTGTTCTCATTGGACCTCTTCACCGTTCTTTGAAATCTCAAGCTCTCAACTATCATGGAGACATCAGAAACACAAAGTTAATGGACTACTTAAACATGGAGAGGCACAAGAAGATCTACCTAGCGGAATTCGCCAAAAGGGTGGGAGGAGGTGAGAAAATCATCGACGGTTTAAGAAGAACCATCGAAGAAGACGAAGAGATGATCAGAGAAAGCTACTCGGAATCAACAGCCTGGATTGAATCTCCAGAGTTCGTGGAGATGATCCTGCACGACTCTGTTTTCATACTAGAGTTCATTTTGAGGAATTACGAAAATGAAGACGCGGACCTAAGCCAGAAAACAGGAGACCCTCTCATGGACGAGCCTTGTCAAGGAGCAATGGTCAGGAGAGATCTCGGCTTGCTCGAAAACCAGCTTCCTTACTTCCTACTCAACAAACTCTTTGAGCCAATAATCCACACACTCGCCGACATAACCTTCCGCGAATTAGTCATGTTCATTTTTTATTTTACAGACATGATTGGAGCCGACTCAACGTTCAGACACTTCACTGATCTGTCAAGGCGTTTCCGCGTGGAGACACTCCCAGGGAACTATATCACGCATGAAGAGCTCCCTGAGTTCAACGAAAAGTATCACGCCTATAAGCTGCATAGAGGGGGAGTGACATTCAATGCGGTAGATAATAGTCTCTCCTTGGACGTGGAGTTCAAGAATGGTTGTTTGAATATACCCTGTTTCTACGTTGATGGCCTTTCTGAGATGAAACTTAGAAACATAATGGCCCTTGAGCAATGCCATTATGCTTTCAAAACCCACGTCTGTGACTACATCTTTTCATGGATTCCCTCATCGACACCGAAGAAGATGTGGCCTTGCTTGTCGAGAAAGGTAACCCTTTGATCGTATATATATATTGTGTGTGTTTGTGTGTGTACTGATTCATGTTCATGATGGTACAGGGATAATAAAGCATTTTCTTGGAAACATTGGTGCGGTGGCGACGATGGTGAACACGCTCAGTTTGGGGGGACTCAACGACTTTGGCTCTCACTATTCTGTTATCACAAAAGACGTCAATAGCTATTACCATAACTCATGGAACAAGTCACGAGCCGTCCTAAAGACCGTCTATTTCAACAACCCGTGGAGAGGGACAGCCACAGTAGCTGCTACGTTGCTGTTGCTGCTGACTCTTATCCAGACCATGACTTCCGTCATGCAGGTTCTGCCAAAAAAGTGAAAAAAACACTCCGGTTCAAGTTCTGTCTTCTCCCAAAATATAAATGCACTTTCTATACGTGCATTTTTGTCAACAGCTTGGACACCGGGAACGGTTCGGAAAAGTCTAAACCGATGGCATTATCTCAGACGTCTACATCTGTTTTTATATTTTGGTTTGTTTGTTCAAATGATTTAGCTACTAGTAACTAGATTAATAAAAATAAAAAAGAAGAAACAAGTTCAGATTTGTTGATTCCTTTCAAAATTTGGAAATACTTGTTCCTCACGCAACCTTTTCGAAAAGTAGATTACAGTTGAGCAAACCAAACCCTAAACCGGGATCTAAATGGATTAGTAACTAAAAGAGGCTCAAACAGAACTAATCTTGGCACAAAAGAGAGGAAAATAAAATATTGTTCTGATTAGGTTTTGCGAAGTGGCCATCAGAACTTACATGAGCGTTTACACGGAAATGAAATACATAACCGGTTAAACAATACCGGGTTTAGCATAAAAAAATAGCAAATGCCATTATGAATCTTGTTGCAGTTTCAAGATTAGGGACTTTTTACCCGCATGAAAACCTTCCGCATACGCCGTGTTCTTGTACATTGTCTACAATTTTTCACCACAAACAAAACCAGCATTAGTACAAAAGGTTCACTCTAAACCGGTACAAACCATGTATATATGTACACTAAAGTAATGTTGTTTACTCACAGCGAGGAAGGTAAACTCTGAGGCAAAACGTTTTCTCAGTGTTTCTGTTAAAGCTTCCACACTCTCTCCCTTCGCCTGTTACGTAACAAGCTTTTAAGAATCTACAACGAAACTGGTTTTTTCATATTGAGATTGTGTTTATCATTATCATATTGAAACTGGCGAGGAGTGTCTTCTTCTTCTTCAGCACGACGGGAGTGAAGAAGAAGGATGTGACAAGGGTAAGAGGATCGGTAACGGCGAGCGTTAAGCACCGACCGTAGGGATAAACAACGGACGAGGGACATCGAACCGGTGAATCGGAATTCGGAACACGCCTGAAAACGGAAAAAAGTCACATTAGGTTTTACAGAGGAAGAAAGCAGACGCGATAGAGTGAGTCTATGAAGAGATTTAAAACACAATTACGAATCCAAAACCATGGAAACAGAGGATTATGATCATGGGGAAACAACAGAAATTAGAGGTTTAAAAGGTGAAATCGCCTGGGATCAGATATTTTTCAAATTTAGGTTTACCGGAAAAGACGATTAGGTTTTAGAGATTTAGGTTGAGACTTGAGACGCACGAAGAAGCCTTCGCATTTTGCATGTCCCTAGTGAAGAGTTTTTATTTTATTATTCTAAAACTGATATTTTATATGGAACTATAGTTTAGGTCCAACAATCCATTAAAATTACAAAAGAAAATGAAAAACAAAATCCGACTTAATAATAAGGTTACGAAAAACGACTTGACCAAGAAGATTTCTGGAGAGAAAACGATGAAGCTGCTACGAACGTTACGTGGCTGCTGAATCTATATCACGCAGCAAGGCGTCACTTTTGACTTTTCAAACCAAAAATAATAATAAGTCTTTCTTCTTCCTCCGCCACTAGTACACTTGCAGCATCAGATTCTGCAGACAAGCTTGGACACAATGGACCAAAGCATCGATCTTGAATCGGGAACAATCCCAGAGTTGAACAAACCAGCTCCAGGGACGTGGCGGTTTCCTAAAAACCCGGCTTTGTGTTGTATCTACAGAGTCCCAAACTGTATGCGTCAAGTAAATCCAGAAGCATACACGCCTCAGACTGTTCTCATTGGACCACTTCACCATTCTTTGAAATCCAAAGCTCTCAAGTCTCGTGGAGACGTCACAGACACAAAGTCAATGGACTACTTAAACATGGAGAGGCACAAGAAGATGTACCTAGCGGAATTCGCCAAAAGGATGGGAGGAGGTGAGAAAACCATCGACGGTTTCAGAAGAACCATCGAAGATAACGAAGAGATGATCAGAGAAAGCTACTCGGAATGAACGGCCTGGATTGACTCTCCAGAGTTCGTGGAGATGATCCTGCACGACTCTGTTTTCATAACAGAGTTCATTATTAGGAGCTACGAAAGAGAGAACCAACGTGAGAAAACAGGAGACCCTCTCATGGACGAGCCTTGTCGAGGAGAAGTAGTCAGGAGAGATCTCATCTTGCTCGAGAACCAGCTTCCTTACTTCCTACTCGATAAACTCTTCGAGCCAATAATCCACACACTCTTCCATCGAGGAAGCGACATGACCTTGCGCAAATTAGTCACCGACTTTTTTTACTGTAGCAACGAGATTGGAGACGACTCAAAGTTCAGACACTTCACTGATCTGTTGAGGTGTGTCCGCGTGGAGACACTCCCGGGGAAGTATATTGGTGAAGTCCCTGTCATGACCGAAATGTATCACGCCGATAAGCTGCATAGTGGGGGAGTGAATTTCAAGGCGGTATATAACATGCTCTCCTTGGATGTTGAATTCAAGAATGGTTGTTTGAACATTCCTCGTTTATGGGTTAACTACATCTTCTTCTTGGACTCCCTCATCGACTCCGAAAAAGATGTCGCCTTGCTCGTCGAGAAAGGTAACCATTTGATCGTATATATGTGTCATGTGTGTGTATGTGTGTTCTGATTCATGATGGTATAGGGATAATAGAGAATGGTCTTGGAGACCATGGTTCGGTGGCTACGATGGTGAACAGGCTCGGTTTGGGACTCACCGACTTTGGCTCTTACTATTCTTTTACCGCATATGACGTCAATTGCTACTCCAATAACTCATGGAACAAGTCACGAGCCGTCCTCAAGAGCGTCTATTTCAGCAACCCGTGGAGAGGGACAGCCACTGTAGCTGCTACGTTGCTATTGCTGCTTACTCTTGTCCAGACCGTGACTTCCGTCATGCAGGTCTTGCAGAAGGACACTCCCTAAATGCACTTTCTCTACTCATGGATCTCATTTTATCGTTGTTCAGTTTCAGAGAGTATATAGCAAAGTACTCCTTGCGCTGAAGCATTGTGCGAGGCAAGGCTCTAGTATAAAGGAGGATTAAGAAACAAAATGTGAGTAGATTAGATACTATAAACGTTTTTGGCTTTGAGTAATTATCATCATTACAACCCTAAAGAGAGCACATAACTCAGCTAATCAAGCTAAAACCTTTTGCTATCTCTTTGATCTTGCTCAAAACGTAAAGTATTTGGGAGGAAGAGGCTTACATTAAAAAACTTGGCAATGTTGTTTAGCCAATCAATCATAACCGGAATCGTCACTCCACGAATTAAAAGCGATGAGACAATGATACACAACCACCTGTAAATCAATCAGAGATAATAATAATCACAGCTTTTATTGTTTATCTAGCAACAAAGAGATATTTTGCACCAGGAGGAACGAAAGGAACACTAAGAAGCAAACTTTTGTGACAAACTTTACCATTGCGAAAATGTGAGAGAATGAAGCGAAGCAATCAAGTGTTGAAGAGAAGCAAGAGCATCAGCAACATTGTGCAACGCATAGACATTAGAAACCGCAGATTTCAGAATCCAATCGGCGAGGATTTCAACGGTGCCACTTGAGCCAGAGAAATTGAAGGTGGAAATGGTTCGGCAGGAAGCAATCGCTGGAGATTGGAAGGGACAGCGACTGCGATCGAAACCCGAGCAGCCACCAATTAACGAGCTCCGGTGGAGAATGAAGCTGTGGTAACTTCGAATTTCTGGAAATTGGCGAGGAGCGTCTTCTTCTTTTTCAGCACGACGAGACTGAACAAGGATGTGACAAGGGTAAGAGGATCGGTAACGGCGAGCGTTAAGCACCGACCTGAGGGATAAACAACGGACGAGGGACATCGAACCGGTTAATCGGAACACGAAAGAAAACGGAAAAGCAACATTAGGTTACAGAGGAAACATAAGAAAGTCGAGAATTATGAGTTTGGGAGGTTTACAATTAAAAGGTGAAATCGTGTGGGATCAGATATTTTCCGACGAAATTCGCCGGCGGAGATTAAAATTGGGTTTACCGGGAAAGTCGATGATCAGGTTTTAGAGTTTTGACTTTTTGAGTTAGAGTCATCCTGAGCCCAAACAAATCAAGCTGGGCCTGTGGCCCATATCTCCTTCATTTGAGTTAAACATATTTCATCTGCTCATCTCGTTGAACATTTAGGGGCTTGAATAGTATGTACAGCTTTTTCGCATTTTTATGTTTTGAAAAATGTGATTCCACTATTTTATTACCATTCACATAATTCATCAATTTTTCAAGTTTTTTTAAAAGTAGTATGTTAAAATGATAACTAAAAAAAAAACGTGATTAATAATCTACTAAAACTAAGTTTTCGGCGTTTTATAGATTTTGATAAAAATAGTATTTAGTTGAGTTTATTCTACCAACAATTTTTCAGTTGATCCGTTATTTGATCTACTACTCGAACAAATATTTTTCGTTTTTTCCACTCAAAGTCGTTAATAAGACAAAGAACAGTAAGCTTATATTTGCGGCCCTATATTTATATATTTCTGCCTCGAATGCACATATTCTCCTATCCACATCTAGGTATGAGTTCTTGACCATTTGGCTGCAAATATGTAAATTTTTCTTTTTAATCTACTTTTAGTAAATTACTTTAAGTCATCTATCTACTTTAAGTCAGCCTTATTTTTCTAGCTTGTGGTCATTGGAAACTCAGGGCCTACTCTGCTTCCACGACCTTGTCACACATTGAAAAAGCCTGAGTTCTCAAAAGAAATAATTTTGTACAAGACAATTGGCCAGACAGAGTCCGGAAATCTCGGTAATAATTAAGATAGTGACTCCTCACAGACACAGGTCGTACTATTTGTTGTATTGCTAAATGTTTGTGTGTTTTTTTTAATTTTATCAAATTGAAGGCATCATCTTGTGTGGCGAATACCAATAATTGAAAAGTATTTCCAAACACGTATAAGACCCCTCTCACCCCGGTGAAACTAAAATTTATCAAAGGTGACCAAACAAAAGAAATATTAAGCAAAGTGACTTTTTCTTACTCCCTCCTTCGCCTGTATTACACTTGCAATCCGGACACAATGGACCAAAGGCTGGATCTTGAATCGGGAACAATCCACGATTTGAACAAACCAGCTCCAGGAATGTGGCGGTTTCCTAAAAACCCGGCTTTGTGTTGTATCTACAGAGTTCCAAACAGTATGCGTCAAGTAAATCCAGAAGCATACACTCCTCAGATTGTTCTCATTGGACCTCTTCACCATTCTTTGAAATCTCAAGCTCTCAACTACCATGGAGACATCACAAACACAAAGTTAATGAACTACTTAAACATGGAGAGGCACAAGAAGATCTACCTAGCGAAATTCGCCAAAAGGGTGGGAGGAGGTGAGAAAATCATCGACGGTTTAAGAAGAACCATCGAAGAAGACGAAGAGATGATCAGAGAAAGCTACTCGGAATCAACGGCCTGGATTGAGTCTCCAGAGTTCGTGGAGATGATCCTGCACGACTCTGTTTTCATTCTAGAGTTCATGTTGAGGAATTACGAAATTGACCCAAGCCAGAAAACAGGAGACCCTCTCATGGACGAGCCTTGTCAAGGAAAAATGGTCAGGAGAGATCTCGGCTTGCTCGAAAACCAGCTTCCTTACTTCCTACTCGACAAACTCTTTGAGCCAATAATCCACACACTCTTCCATCGAGACGACATAACCTTCCGCAGATTAGTCATCCACTTTTTTTATTACATAAACAAGATTGGAGACGACTCAACGTTCAAACACTTCACTGATCTGTCAAGGTGTGTCCTTGTGGAGACACTCCCGGGGAAATATATCACGCATAAAAAGATCCTTGAGCTCAACGAAAAGTATCACGCCTATAAGCTGTATAAAGGGGGAGTGACATTCAATGCGGTAGATGATGAAAAATTCTCCTTGGCTGTACTCTCCATGGATGTGGAATTCAAGAATGGTTGTTTGAATATACCCTGTTTCTACGTTGATGGCCACTCGGAGATGAAACTTAGAAACATAATGGCCCTTGAGCAATGCCATTATCCTTACAAAACCCACGTCTGCGACTACATCTTTTTCATGGATTCTCTCATCGACACCGAAGAAGATGTGGCCTTGCTCGTCGAGAAAGGTAACCCTTTGGTTGTATATAAACATATATTATGTGTTTGTGTGTGTGTACTGATTCATGATGGTATAGGGATAATAAAGCATTTTCTTGGAGATATTGGTTCGGTGGCTACGATGGTGAACAAGCTCAGTTGGGGAGTCGTCAACTTTGGCTCTTACTATTCTGTTATCGCAAAAGACGTCAATAGCTACTACAAGAGCTCATGGACCAAGTCACGAGCCGTCCTCAAGAGCGTCTATTTCAGCAACCCGTGGAGAGGGACAGCCACAGTAACCGCTGCGTTGCTATTGCTGCTGACTCTTATCCAGACCGTGACTTCCGTCATGCAGGTTCTGCAGAAGAATATGAAACCGTAAGCCCAATAGAAGCCCAAGATTATTCTTATGGGACAATCGTTTGTAACCTTTGAGACTTCTTATCTCATTTTATGATATCAATCTAAAATAATTTGAGTTCTTGAAGACATCTTAAAATCTCTTTCCTTTTTCTATTTGGTTTTCTGTATGTAAATAAAGCTCAAGAAGCTTATCTCTTTTATCAATCTTATCTTCATCTCAATAAGCCCTTAATGAGCATAAATCCACTAAATGCACTTACAAAGAACACTCCGGTTCAAGTTCTGTCTTCTCCCTAAATGCACTTTCTCTAATCATGTATCGTTGTTCAAATGATTTCTCTACTAGCAACATATCCAAGTAGTAGATTTCGTTTCCGAGAGCACAAGATCTATTGGTAGATTGATTATTCGGGTTAATAATAACAAAAAAACAAGATGAAAGAGCAATTCAAGTGAAAAAGAAGAATTTTCTATTTTAATGAGTATTTCACCAATACCGAATTCTACCAACGCAATACGGAAATGAAATAGATAACCGGTTAAACAATACCGGGTCTAACATAGAAAATAGCAAGTTCCCAGTATTAATCTTGTTGCAATTTCAAGATTAGTGACTTTTTACCCGCATGAAAACCTTCCGCATACGCTGTGTTCTTGTACATTGTCTGCAAAACCAACATTAGTACAAACGGTTCACTCTAAACCGACACAAACCATGTATATATGTACACTAAAGTAATGTTGTTTACTCACTGCGAGAAAGGTAAACTCTGAGACAAGACGTTTTCTCAGTGTTTCTGTTAAAGCCTCCACACTCTCTCCCTTCGCCTGTTAGGTAACAAGCTTTTAAGAATCTACACCAAAACTATTTTGATTATGAGATTGCGTTTATCATTAATATTATTACCTCGGACAACAATAGAGCCGATGTTTTGTCGAAAATCTCCTCCACGAATTTCTCAGGGTTCTTGTATACTAATGACACTGGTGGATTTACAGCGACACTCTTCACTTTATCCGCCGCCTTGCTAGGTTTCGCTGCAAACGGCGGAGAAAAACCAGAGTATTATACATAAAGCAATCCCTTCTCAAGATTATGAAGTTGGAGGAAATGGTTTAAAACCATACCTGAAGCAACAGGCTTAGTCTCTGCTGACTTGTTCTTCGGAGGAGGAGCTTGCTCTGAAGGTGTTTTGTTAGGAAGCTCGTTGGGAACGGTGTATGAACCAGACGGAACATAAGCAGCTAGATCTGGAGGCTGGTCTTTACCAACTGTCGGAGTAGCCTGTAACAACAGCAAAACCGTCAATCTTCATGAAAAAGGAACTGTGAAGCAAAGAGGTCTCAAAGTTAAAGGTTTAAGAGCATTTGCCTCGAGGTCGACGTATACAGGATCTCTCCCAATCGACTTGAGAAACTTGTCTAGACCCGATGTGTTAAGAGCTGGAGATCAAAAGGGACCAAAACGAATCATCAGTGTATGAAGCTCAAATCTGTGAATGGAAAAAAAAACTGACAGAAACAATAGAAGAACTTACAGATTGAGACGTCGTTGGACAATGGGTGGAAGATGCAGCGAGTTTGGTTCTTGAAGTTCTTGTCTAACAAGAGAGACACGTCTCTTTAACAATGAAAGATTTTAAGAAAGAATGTTAATCAACAGAGAGAATTCAAAAACTGGAATGGCAAATATATTTAAATCAATGTTAAGCAGACGATACCTTGCTGATTCATTAACAACTGCGAATGGTGTAACACATCCAAGAGACACCTTGTGAAGACATAGAAAGTATCAGGAGTGTCAAAAACTATAATCATGAAACTGAGTTTGATAAATTCATAAACTAGGCTAAGCAAAACAAACTTATCATCACGGAAAAATGGATCATGTTAAGCATCCTCGTCAATTGTCAAGTAACAGAATGATTAAGGAAAAATGAGTAGAAGTGGAAGAGACAAGGCAATGAATGTTAATACCTGCAATAGCTCACCAAGTGCTTCTTCAGGAGCCATTCTTACTCCTCCTTTTCCAAGACCAAGTCTCTGAGATAAAACTGTTGGGATTAGAAGTCACAAGAAACACCCATTAACATCGAAACACAAGAAAACATTTCGATTTCATAATCCTGACTTCATCCAAAAAACGGAAAAGAAAAGAGGAAATATGTTGTGTTACCTTTCATGTCAACTTTTGTATCTACCATAGCTGAAATTATGTAATATCGGTTCTTCTTGTCCTGCAAAAGAACAAAGCATATGAGCTTATTTCAAATGGATTTCATTATGTGGTTTAATGGTGTTTGACTTTGATGATTACCTTCAAGAAGAGATTCTTGCTTAGTGCCCCCTCGTTACTGCTTACATACTTGGCCTGAAGAAGATTTTATAAAGAGAAACAAAGCCCTTGTAAATCCTATCTATTCATATTATATACTTGTGCATTATATGATGATAAATCTACAACTTTTTGTTGGTTATTTTCACCTGTGCTTCGACTGTTAGAACAGGAGGATGCTCATACTTGGAATAATCAATCTCAAGTTCCTGAAAGATCGAAACTTTCAATGATCAATTACACACACAACACCGAGATTCTTCACCAAGGAACTAGAACGCAATTTTTATCTAAAACAAGTCATCAGAAAATGGAATCGAGTGAAGCATATATCAACGGAACCAAACAATAAAAACAAAATATAATCCTCATTATCAATTACTTTTGCCACATTACAAAAGAAAGGACAAACTATGGCAGAAACAGTATGATTATTCACCAAAGAACAATAATGCGATTTAATCTAAAAAAAGCAGTCACTGAGTTGCACATAAACTTCGAATCTATGTACACAATCTAAATCCATTAATGCACAGAACTTCGTCTGAACTCTGAAGATATCATCTTTTCGATTGACGCAAATATAAATGAAATCAAGCATAAAAATACGTAATATCGTCCCTTCTCGTCTATTAATTTATATAATTCCATTGAGAAGTAGAGAAAAAAGAAGATGAAATTGAGTTTGAGATGAAGATGAAGATGAAAAACCTGAAGTCGACCAAGTAACTGATCTTTGGAGAAACCCATTGGATCGTAATCAAATCACAAATCAAAGAATTTGGGACTGAGACAGAGCAAAGGAGCTGAAGATAATAAACTGTTGAAAAGAGGGAAGTAGGTTTTCCAGATTTTGTCGTATCTCTTTCTTCTTATTGGATTGGCAAAACGTTTAAAACCTTCTGAGTGAATTAGGGGGTTTCAATATTGGGCTCTTAAATCCTTCACTTGCAAACCCTGAAAAGCCTCGGACCTAAAAGTCAGGAGGGGTCCATATGCATAATATAAAGAGGAGTATCGTTAATTCTAAATTAGTAATCATATTTTCAATTTTAATTCGATAATTATGTAAGAAGTTCATTAAAAATCATGGTGTAACTTTTGTTTTAACAATTTTTTTTTTTTAATTATTTTATGGTCCTAAAGTTTTTGCCATATGTAATGTATAAATACTTACACCACAATTTGTGAAAAACTTTTTGAGTGTAAATTTTTTATTTATTCGTTTTGCCTTATTGATTGTTTTTAAGTTTTGTTAATTGAGTGTCTTTTAATTGTCTTTAGTTGTTGAGGATTGTCTTTGTTCGGGCTCTGCTAACACTTCATAACAAAGAAGAAAATAAATCACATAATAAAAATGGGCACCAAAAATAAAAAGAATCAAACAATTTTGCTTTAAAATTTAAAACATTATTTATTGTGAGGTACAGAGAGAGTATCATCTAAAATCTTTTAATTAATAAGAAAAATGATCAAGCTATTAATCAAAAATACAGCAGCAATGTTTTCCGTGACCAGAAGGCTTAGCTTCGCATATACCAATAGTGAATGATGAGAACTCAGGCGGTCCACATGGTTTCTTACAATCACCATGGTTCTTGCACGAACCTCTGTACTTGCACGAACCAACTTCCATATCTTCTGTCTTCAATACTATTCGTTACCAAAATAAATAAAAAGATTGATCATTAAATTATTATATTTTTCCCTACTAAATTACGTAATACAACAATATCTACAAACTACTACATAAGTGGTTTCAGTTTTTTCGAAAGAACAGAAGTGGAGTTTACTGATAACTAAAACATTAGAAAGAAGGAAAATAAAGAAAACGTAAGTGTTTACTCTTTGATTGGGAAGTGAGCAGCAGAGAACATGTGATGAGAAGGACAACGAGTTGAAATTTTGACAAAGCCATTCCCTCTGAGTGATTTTGATAATCAAGTCTCTTTTTCTTGAGTGGATGTATTTTTACAAAAGATGCAGAACATGCCTAACATATATATGCGGGATGTCCATAATCTCGATCGATATGGAAACTTTTCATTTATTTGGATCAAACTTTAAATCTTTCCTCAAATATACGATCAAATCTGTATTTTTTTCTTATTATGGTGAAGCATTTACAAATCAGATTTCACATTGTTACGAAAAAAAATATTCCCATGAAGAAAATCTATATTGTTAAGGAAACTTAACAAAATCAAAAGGCAAATGAAAAGGGAAAAATGGAAAACTATGGGCATTATCAAGAGATCTTGAAGAAAAAAGGAAATTAATTAAGTAAGAAAATAATATTTTATCCCGAAAATCGGCAAACCGAGCAAAAAGCAATAAAACACGTCTACTAATAAGTTTGGAAATCTCCTCCACATGTAAACTAAGCGATCAAGTATTCATCAGACAATACCATTTATTCGGAATAACTTGATGTATTTATTAGACAGATTCAGCTTAAACATGTTCTGAACTTCTAATATTTTGTAATGGAATTTTCTCCTAGGGTAGATTGAGCTGAAACATGATTTGCTCTTCCTTTCTTATTAGACTCCAAAGTGCTCTCTTCTGCAATGGCTTTTTTTTTATATACAGTATATATAATTCTTAGCCACATTGAGCTAAAAGATGCTGTGCTCTCTTCTCTCTATTATTTTGAGGCTCCATTTTGTTGTAGCTGCATGTGTAGCTTTCAAGATGACGATGTGGGAAGAGAGCCATGAATGACCCGTGTGAGATTCTCCAAGACATAGTTGTCGAAATCGTTTTCTTGAGATGATTATTAAAAAGAAAAGAAACTCATAAATCATTTATTTTACAAAACATTTCTTCCAATAAATTGGGAAACTAAAGAAAAGAAAACCCACAAAAAAAAAAAAAAAACTAAAAAGACTAAAAACGAAAACAAAGAGAAGAAATTAAACTGGATTAGCCCGTACCATCATCTCCCCAAGTAAACGGTGTAGGTACCAAAAATGTGTAAAAGCGGCTAAAAGCGGCTATGGAAGATAATATAGGACCAAAAATTTCTACTATTAGATAAACTGACCAATTCTTAATATAATGATAAAGAGATAATAAAAATACAAGACATAATACCAATTAAAGGTAAATGAAGAACGGGAAGAACGGGTTTGTGCGGAGGCGAGACACTCTTTCCTTAATTCTTTAATTGCCCGTAGTGTGACGATGTTTATGCAATCAGAATCCCAAGATACAACCGCACTCGACTATTCCGCAACACTCGGAATAGAAGCTAACGAACCTAACTCTGTGTTATACTCTCAGACACAAAATAAAAGAAAAGAAAAATAAGAGAGAAACTAAACTTGTGAGGAATGTTTTCTGTGTTGAATGAATGATTTCCTATGAAGCACAAGAGGCTTTATATAGGAAAAGAATGAGATCAAGTGACATAATTGCATGGTCTTCGTATTGACCAAAAACATATCACAACATAATGGAGCAAATCACGTAGCAATCAATATTATTAAGTCACAATATGACTTTGACCATATGACTTTGACCACGTAATAATAGACTAAGATATTTTGCTTTGATCAAATTTAAAGCAATAATATTTTAGTATATGGATTTCTTTTTTGTGTAAATTAAGTCTTAACACAAAAGATTAACTTTAATTTGGTTCATATAATAAGTTAATGGACTTGATATCCAATTAACAATTATAACCCAAACTCAAATCCAAATATCTAATATGGGCTATTTGCTAATTTTAACACTTAGCCAAATATAAAAAACTTTATAAGCTTTTATAAACACCCATTTATAAACTCCATTTCTCATTCAAATCAACTCTGATTTTGACATATGAATACATTATTTCATAGTGTTTATGGCGACGATTCTTTCGTGCCTAACATATGGTTTTTCCGACAAACGTCTTCACCGGAAAACCAACCGGAAAATGGACTTAAACCATTTTGTCAAAAACGAGTTCCAACAATCCCCCACATGAATAGAAATGAATCTAAACAAAAGAAGAAAAGACTCAAAAGAAAGAAAAAAAAATAAAAAGGACTTTTGAGAGTATAAACGAAAAATCCACTGCATATGAGTTGGTAGCATTTTTCAGCCTTGAACCAAATCACTGTTAATAGCTATCGGGTTTACTCGACCAAGAGGTGAACATGATGTCTTGAACCTCTCGGGCTTTGATGTAAACCAAGACAACAACTATAACACAGTTTCATTCTCTCACAGAACTAGGTTCTCTATTGTGTTCATTTTGGCCATGAACATACTTGGATAATCATGAGTGAAGTTGGAGAATATAGCCTTTTATTTATTCTCCTAGAAACGGCCCCATTTCACACTCACAAGGTGATTCGCCATTAACTTTGTTTAAAGGAGTATCATGTACTACTCCATGTATATTTCAAAGTTATGGACCCAAATCATTAAAAGCTAATGCTTATCCTCTATACCATACATGTAACACTGTTTATCATCCTAGGAACTGGGAATAGATATAAATCTCACAGTGTTTTTGGGCAGATTCAGTTTAACTTAGTTTTCCCCTTGAACCTATTTCTTGGGATCTCCAGTCATTTAGGTAGGGTTACCATTAAACATCCTCTTAAGTCATAGGCTTTTAACCCATTCCTCTTGATGATTTTACAACTTGATCTCATGACACACCTTTAATATTTGGATCCTAGGTTGTCATTTACTTGAATATAATCTATAAAGATTATTTCATTTTGAGATTAATTGTTTTTAAATATTTAGGAGGTAGCATTTCGAATTTTTCCATGTACCCCACATTTTCAAGGTATTGTACAAATGTACTTGGCCCCTTTTTCTCAAATTCATAAACATTTTGTGTAAATGACTTTATGTGGTAAGCAATGCTTTTCCCCCACATTTCTCTTTACTTGATTTGCATTTTGGAAATAAGTATGAATTAAACAATCTCTTATAGATATATAATTTCATGCCTTAACCATTCATAACAAATATAGAAAAGACTTAATCAAAAAAGAAACAACATTATTCTTATTGATTGAAAAACAGAAACAACATTATTCTTATTGATTGAAAAAAAAACAGAAACAACATTATTCTTAGGAGTTACAACTCAGTTTCGGATGACTGGCATGACACACATTTTGACAAGTCCATCCTTAACATACCCCTTTCCCAAATAAATCCATGTTTCTTGAGCACAAGCTTGTCAGACTCGAAATTGGTAGCAAATCCGGCCTTACTCATAAGAGTACCAGAAATCAGATTCTTTCTCATGTCTGTCACATGCTTCACATTTTGGAGAGTGATCTCCTTTCCTGAGGTCATCTTCAGCACCACTTTGCCATGACCCTCAATCTTGGAAGAACCAGTGTTTCCCATCAATAGGCGTTCTCCATTGTTGCATTTCTGATAGGTACTAAACATGTCCATATCATTGCAGATGTGGATAGTGGCACCTGTGTCATACCACCACTCCCTTGGGTTGTCCTCAACATTGTTGACTTCAGTGACCACAGCACACAAGTCATCTTCTGTGAGGTGAGCCTGAGACTTCCCTTTGTCTTCACTTGGACCAGCTTTGCTACGGCAAACATTAGCTTTGTGGCCCATCTTGCCACACTTGTGGCACTTCCATTTGAACTTCTTTGGTTCAGCTTGCTTCTTGAAGCTTGTGGAGGAGTGTGGAGGAATTTGTCCTTTCCCATTTCTCTTTTGCTCAGCCAAGTTCACATCATTCGCACGAATGAAAACAGCATCGGCTTCGCGGTTTCGGGATTCAACCCGCAGCTTGACAATTAAGTCCTCGAGGGTAATTGCCTTACGCTTGTGAGTGAGATAGTTTTTGAAGTCCATCCACCCTGGAGGAAGCTTCTCAATGAAGGAATTGACAGTGAAAATTTCACAAATCGACATACCCTCAGCGCTATCTCATGCGTAATCAATTGCAAGGCTTCAACTTGTTCCATGATGGGTTTTGAATCCACCATTTTGAAGTTGAGAAATTTCGCCGTAGCGTATTTCTGACAGCCAGCATCCTCGGACTTATACTTCTTCTCCAAGGCCAACCAAAGTTGCTTGGAGGTTTTCGCCTCACAGTACACATTGTACAATGGGTCTATCAAGCGGCTTGGAAATCGACACCTAATAAATAGAAGAAAACTAAGTATAAATCATTGGAATCGAGTTTCATTACGTACCATACAGATTCTTCGACGAGCGCAGGTTTAATAAGAGCGATGTTCATGTCTCCAGAATTTTATGGGTAATGATTTCACAATATCTCAGGACTTGAAGCCTAATGTGTTTATATACAAACGCAACATAGAGAGGAATATTCTAAGCCGAATTGGGATAAAAAATATTTCTCCCCCGACTTTTCTTCTTCTTGTTGTCACGAAATTGTGATTTTATTTCTTTCTTTTGAAAATTGTATTTTGTATTAATTCCTATTCCAAAATCTAAACCTAATGAAGTGGGATTTTTTCATCATTTAAAAGAACACAACTCTTCAAAATATCTTAGATTTTAGAGCGTAACGGGTCGTCATATCTCGGATCCCAAATATTTGGCCTACTCTCATGGTATAATTGACAAATCAAATAACATTATGGGATTCAATACTTCTTATAAAGAGACAACATAATCGTATAATTGAGAGATCATCGTGATTTCACGACCAATGTTGGATCTATTTCAAATATTGCCATGTAATATAGCAACACAAAGTTTTTCATGTCTTTTGTACATATCTACATAAGAACAAAAAGGGTTGGGTCTTCTGTTTCCGAATCAACATTAACTATTAACTATAAGAAGTTTCTCTTGCGTTTATGAATATTATATTGTGGCCTTAAACAAATGCGAAAGCAACCAAAACTTTATATAAACCTTAACCTTACATAAAGTGATAAAACATTCAGAAAATAATGCCACGTGATGTGTTTTGTGCTATCATCATAAACAGAGAAAGATTAAGCTCGTCTCGATCCGGAGAATCTCTCATGCCATGTGTATGCGGTGAATGTAAGGCACCTTTCGTGGGACCCGCGATAACCAAAAGCCCATGTCAGACTGGTTTCGGCCCAAAATTTCAATTCTTACAGTATTTTCGGTCAATTTATTCAGTGAAATTTATTTGCTAGTAGACAACACCAATGGCGGCAAGAAAAAAAAACATATAGAAATGGGTCAATATACCTTGTTTCTGTTTTTGTATATAGGACATAGTTTGTAGTGAAAACTGTTTATGGTGGTGATAGTGCCGATGAAAACTATCCGTTATAGAGGTATTGTGGAACAGTTCATTACTTTTCCAAATGTTGCAACTTTTCTAGTAATGTAACAAAAGCTACATACAACATCATTTTTCATGACTGTATACTGAAAAAAAAATTCATAGTAGATTTCCTTTATTTTCTTGGATCAGACATATTTAATTATAAGTTTTTTCTTTCATGAATACAAGAAAAAGTTTACACCATACAATGCTATGTTAATATTTATTTGAAGGAAGAAACTGTTCAAGAAATTAGTATTAAAAAAAATCTTATGGGAAGAAAGTAGAGATACAGTGTTTGTGAGAGATTGAGAGTAAATAGGGAAAATGATGAAATGGGACCCCATCTCACTAGATGGATCAAGAAGACAAACACACATAACAAGAAACTAAAAACAACTCATGTGGCTTTCTGCTCAAATCTACTGTTAGATTTTTATTCAGACCAATGTTGGCGTAAATTGAATGTCACTTTTTTTTTTGCGAAAATCTAAGCAAATAACTCAGTTTTTCACGTTAGCTCTTTCTCTTTGGACTTTGGTTTTACCAACTCTCACAAGTCACAACCCTTTCTGCATCTCTTGTCTCTTCTCAAAAAGTAGTTAGTATTTATAATTATTCTACTCAACAGTAGGGTTACCCACATCGACTTCTACGAGAAGCCTCATGAAACTCGTTACTAACTCTTTGACTTTGAAAAAAATTCACATACATGTTAGTCATGGAAAAATACTTTGCATAATTTCAGTTTGACTCATTAGCTATATACTCATTGTCAGCTCTTTAAACCGGGGAAGAACAAAAGAACAAGAAATTCTATTTGATACGTTTTACTACCATTCCTTTTACTTATCATATACAAATTAATAGTGTTACTAGATCGATCTTGGTCTAATGGTGTTTCGACGATTTGTCGCTCTAAAAAAGCTTGGCCATGATCCCCTTATTCAATTCTCGTTTGTGTAGGGCCTTACAAAAACCTGAGGAAGATGTTTGTGCTGCGACTAAAACTCCTCAAAGTTATTCTCGTTCTACCATAACCAAAAAAGTGTTGAAAGCCATCGATGCCATATATATATTTCACGTTTTCTTTTGGAGAAATGTTAACCAAAAACAAAAATGCCATTAACGCCAAATTTTTTTACCATTCATACTTTTAGTTATTGCTAAGCAATCTCAAATAAGTGATTGTTTCGACATTAACTTTTTACTTATAGGTTTCAGAATTATGATCAACGCCATTACTTGTTTTTTTTTCTTAGTTTTACCGTTTAACATGTTATAATTCTAAGCTCGTAGTTCGAAACTCATTATATGAACAATATCTTAGATATCGGTACAACGATCACCAAAAGTTTCATACGTTAAGTGTTGAGACTAGTATTTTCTTTAGTAATTGAGAAGCCGAACGTCTTATTATATATTCAGAATGTGAGAACCGGTAAGAAAAAAAAATTGTATATATATAACCATTGTATGAGTTACATAACTGAAGTCTATATATATTGAAACAAATAAAAATTTGTTTTTGATGGCTGTAAAAAATAAGGTATATAATGAAATTAAGCTGAAAATTAACAGAAATTCCATAATCTGATATCTCCTTCCTCAAGGAAATCATCAGCAAGTGACGTGGTCAAGAACGGCGTGGAAACTCCATTCATGAACATGAACTGATCATCACCATCAAAACAATCGTACCATGATGATTCAGAGAAAGAGACTACTTGTTGGTCGTACTGAGACATAGAGACAACATCGTAGAGATCTTCAGATGGAGATGAAGAAAGTAATGGTGATGAAGTAGAGACTGAGGAAGAAGAAGGATCTGTGTTTGCTGCTGCAGCAGCTACTCTTTGAATGGACTTAGGAGACATGTTAACATTGCTGCTATCACCATTGATGGTATTGTAGAGAGAATATGAGATCTCTGGGAAGTTGAGATTACTAGCTGATGATCCTTTGAGACAGAGAAGCGCTGCATCGTAGGCTCGAGCTGCAGCTTCAGCAGTTGAGTAAGAACCGAGCCAGATCCTTGTCTTTTGATTAGGAGCTCTGATCTCTGAAACCCATGAACCCCAACTTCTCATTCTCACTCCTTTGTACTTCTTGATCATGTTACTCTTGCTTTTGGATGATGTTGATGATGAGGAAGAAGAAGATGATGATGATGATGGAGATGACATTCGCTTTGTGGCTTTTTGAAGTGTTTTCACCATTGATACTAGTTCAAAGGTATTGTAAAGTGAAGAGGAAGTTGAAAGAGAAGAATAGTTGGTTTCTATTTATAGATGAGATATGGAGAACAAAAGTGGTAAGAGAATATTAAGAAAAATATATACTATGAACATAGTCAAAGAAAGTAGCATGGGGCACACACAAAGAAATGAGTACTTTTTCTATAAATAATTGTGAGAGACAGGTATTTTATAATTTATTTTATAAAAGGATTAAACCTTAATAAATCACAATCCCATATGCAACACCCAATCACACAGATCACTATTAATAATAAGAGAATCATCCTTATCTTTTTTTTTTTTTTTTTTTTTTTTTAATAGTGCATGTTTAATTATTGATTGACCTCAAATATTCTTTAGTTACACTATTGTTTACAACTAAGTTACTAATTCTGAGCTCTCAAATAGGTCAAAATCTTGAACACTGGCTAGTAAAGAACATTACAAAAATTAACACAATACAAAAATCAAAATCTGTTTGAAGAAACGACAGAGATATTGCAAAACAGTATAGGAGCTAGACTAGATACATTGGATTCTATATTTGAGAGGCAACTTCGAGCTAAGAGCATGTGATTTTCTAACTACAAACAAAAGACAAAGTTAATCATATGAGTAGTTAACTTCGATAAATGAGATGCTATAAAGTCACATGATTATAAGTTATAGGAGTAAACTATAAACATAAACAATTAAGAATCTTAAACGTTAAAGTAGCTGAAGTCATGTTTTTATTACCAAGAGGAGAAAACAGCTGGTGCATCTCTGTCTTTTTAATGGGGCTTTTAAAACCGCGTTAACTACTTCTTCGTGTCCCCTTCTTCCACACGTAAATTCTCTCTGTGAATAATCGCTTTCAGTAGATTAATTAAGTTCAGGTTCATTTGTCAAACTGGACCGTAATGCTTTAAATTATTCAATAGGGTACTGAACACAACATGGTTTTTGTACACTCTTTTAAACAAAACTAATCTGCAGTTAAAATACTTACTTATTCGGCACTATAATTTAAGACGCGTATCGAGTAATTAAAAGTTTTAAACTATTCGTGTTCACGTTCTGGCCAGACACATTTTTTCGTATAATATAACTAGGCAGGTGGTTTTTTCCAGACACCAAGAAACGAATCAACCGATTTGTTCGTTGGAAAATGCAAGAGGAAAATGCAGGCAAAGTAAACATAGAAAATAGACTTGAATTATTTGTTTATATTTGCGTTTATACTTCCATTTCGTATGTATTTTATAAAGAACGTAAACCTATGGTCTTAAGTATTTTAGAGAAAATTAGTTTGTTAATTGTCATGTAAACGCCACAGTTTGCGTTTACATTGGAAAGTTATTAAATGAAAACCTAAAAAATGTCCAATTATATTTTAGAAAATGCCATTTTTTCTATAACTCTTTTTAGTAAACACATAAATTGCATTTGAAACAATACAAACGTTAATGTTCTGAATGGTAAAAACTAATAGAACTACATTTTCAAAACGTTGAAACATGGAAATGGATATAATATTTCATCACTTTAGTGTCTTGAAGGTCAAAGCTTAATTTTAAGTGCAAGAATAAGAGCAAGATGACCTGTGTATGCTGTTTTTTTTATCCGGCTTACAGTGAATCAATCATGTAAAATCGGACAGAAGATGAAGAAGCAATAAAGAATGGCCATTACGTAAGAGAAACTAGCTACCTAACGAAGAAGAGTGAGTGATCCCCACCTGAGGAAATAGACAAATGGAATCATAAATGAAGATTCATGCTTCTTTCTCTTATAATGCATGTACTTTCAAAATAAATATCCTATTCGTATTTGGACAATCTTAACTGGCACCGTACTCAATATATGACCTTCCGTACCTCTCTCTTCAATCAATCAATTTTTAAAAATAATTTTGAGTTGAAATTGAAAATAAAGAAAAGAATCAACATTTAATGGATACAGGTTAAGACAGAGAGAAAGTAGGGTCGTTGTTATTACTTGAGACTATTGTTTTGGGTTAGAAATTATAAATGTGGAAGAACATCAAGTGGTGGAGATTTAGAGGAACGTACGGAGAAGTTAACTTCAAGGATTGAAATGTGTGTTGGATGGTGTAGAGGCAAATGCACATGTGTGGATTGTGACATTACAGAATCAAATCCTCTATTCTTGATATCTTAAAGATCGAGAAATTTCCTACAAGGGCAAAACAAGATTATGACAATAGAGTTTCAAGATTGATCCGTGTGTGGTTGGTGAGTGATATCAATACGACACACATGCACGCTCCAATTCTTTTTGAACTTTGTCATTGATGCAGTAAATAATTTTAATCAATAAATGGTCAAAATCGTTGAGCACAAATTGAGTGGTAGAAGACTGTCGTGGTTGGTCCATGATGATAAACTTTGTGTGTTTAAGATAAATTTCAAGTCACAAATCAATCTAATCCCTAATAATATCACATAAGTCAAACAAATACATACAAAATAATCAAGCTTTTTCAGTCTCTTGGGCCATGGAGATGTACTACAGAGAGAAATATCATTTGTGCCACTTCTTCGAGAAGCCTAGGAATAACAAGTGTCTTTCTTCTTTTGTAAAATTTTACTCTACAAGTTTGGAACGAAGTCATCTGATTCTTATGTAACAACAACTCTTGATAACTAGAACATTAAGAGTTGAAAGATCAACACTTTGTGAAATCATGTTCCAAACACCATATGACATTTCTCTTCAGAGTTTGAGAATTATGCAGACAAAAATGTCTGATAATTACAAAAGATTATTACAAACCACCAAGTGTCACAAGGCACAAGGCTAGAGTGAATGCCAATATAAATAGATTTACAAGAAAATGAGTGAAACAGCTACTTCACGTCTTGGTCACAGCAATGTGAGCCTTAAACCATCTTCAAGCTTCTTGGTCACAGTTTCTCGCATCGATACATAACTTTCAAATCACTTGATCAGTTTCTGCCTCAAAGGAACTTAAAGCGCTGATAACCGATTCATACACTTCAATCCCTTTCAAGAACACTGTATCTTTAAGGAACTGAGGCCAAGAGAGCAAGAGTTTATAAATCAGTATTGTGATTCCAAAAACTTTCTATATAACAACTCAAATCTCATCATTGCCAAATACCTCGTTATGGTCATGCAATAAAATAGGAGTATTGATCATCGGAGAGAAACCAAGTAGCGGAATCCCCAAACCGCGAATATATCGTGCGTCTGTAGTCGAAGCCAAAATCTCCGGCTTTGCGAGTTTTCCTCCGGTTGCTTCAACTGCTTGCTTGAAGATAGACCACCATGGATTTGAATCATTCGTTGGTGTCATTATCGGTCTTCCTAAATAGTCCCTTAACTTCCCTTTCTCTTTTATCTAAGTGCAAGAAGAATAAAAAAAGTAATTAGCTTTCTTCACTTAGTTTCCTCTGTAAATGAAATTACTTTCTCTGACTAAAACCAAAAACAGAGCACATATGATTATTCAAGGTAACGATACTATTGTATAACCCTAATAAAGTTTGTACCTTTAGCTACAATTAACAGTTTGAGATTCCACAAAATGCGTGAACACTTAAGTAGAGAAGGTTAAGGGCAATGTTCATTTACCCTGAAGGTCATGTTCCTAACAGAAGGAGCCCATTCTTCAGCAATCCTCTTCTTCATAAGATCTGGATCCGCCATTGGAGGCAACCTTAGATCATACCCAGCTTCTGCTTCTGAAGGCTGCATATTCATCTGCACAAATCCCTGAAAACCCAAACAAACAAACAACAAAACTTTCATATACAGCAAAAAAAATCCAAACTTTGAAGACGATGAAGCTTACATCTTTGGAAAAGGTTCCTGCTTTGAGATAAACTGGATTCACAGAGATAACCTCCGAATTCGCAGCTTTCCCAGCTTTAACGAAATCGAACTGCGTCTCTCTGAATTTGGAAATCAGCTCAACGCTCTTCATCAGATTCTCCATAGCTCCATTGTCGTAAAGCTTAGCTCCATGTCCAGGTAAGCCTTCAGCTCGGATAACGAGCTCCCATGGAGTCCGATCAGCGAAGAAAACCCTAAATTCATCTCCGGGACTCGCCTGGCCTTCATCCATCGCGAATCCGACATTCAATTCGGCGAAATCCGACGACGCCGCGAATTTCTCCATCCCGTCGAATCCTCCGATCTCTTCCTCGGGGACGTAAGAGATGTGGACAGTGCGGAGAGGAGAGAAGCCTCTCGATTTCAGATTCCTGATCGATTCGAGATACTGGACGCCGATGCACTTATCGTCCTGCGCGCCGCGAGCGTATATGTGTCCGTCGTCGGTCCGGTGAGCTGAGAACGGCGGGTGGATCCATTTCTCGGCTTCGGCGGGGACGGAGTCGAGATGGGAGCTGAAGAGGATCGATGGGAGTTTGGGGTTTGAGCCGAGCCATGTGAGGAGGAGGACTGGCTTCCCGGAGACGAACTCGATGGTTCGAGTGGTGAGATTGATCGATCGAGCTTGGTCAACGAGGAAAGTGACCGGTGCGGTGTAGTTTGGGTTTGGATGAGCGGTTTTGAATCTCAGGTATTGCTGGAATCGAGTGATTGGAGTGTCTTCTTGTTCGGCGTGTGATTGGAGAGAGAAGATTATGGTGAAGAGGAAGAGAGTACAGAGAAGAGGAGACGCCATGATGGTCTCAGAGTCAACAAAGAGAGTGTTGAAATGTGGTCACAACGAAAGTTTTGTCTTCCAAACGAAAGAAAATGCGCACAAGCAGCTAAAATCATTCAACAAAAGGATGTTGCACATTTTTTATTTTGTATGTAAGACAAAAATTTTGAATTGGCCACACTTGAAACTTACCACTAACTATAGCATGGAAGTGGAGTTGATGCAGCATCTACAAATAAGAAACAGAACAAATGACTAAATTTTATTAGATCTCCACAAACAAGAATATTTTTCTCACCATTACAAGCTTTAGACAAACGCAAGAGCTTGTGTTTTGGGTAACGTTGATCCCAACTCCCAAGAAGATGACCGATTTCTAGAGTTTATGCACTCGTATATATATTTATACGAAATCATATCGTAATCTGTTACTGATGTGTTAACGAGATGGAGAGATAAGGGGAGAAAATTAAGATCACATGGATCTTGTAATGTCTAACTAATCCATACAACACAAGATACACATGATCAAACCAAATATTAATTATGGTTTGAAGCAACCATATTAAGAAATTTCAATTAAAATTGTAATAATTATGTGTATCTTGTGTTGTATGGAAAATTATGTTGTATGTAAGACACAAATTTTGATGTGGCCACACTTCAAACTTACCAATAACCATAGCATGGAAGTGGAGTTGATGCAACATCTACAAAACAGAAACAGAAAAAAAATGTTTAAGGTTTATTAGATCCCACAAACATGAAGAGTTTGGACAGTTAAACATTACTTTAGACAAAAGCAAGAGCTTGTGTTTTATTAACGTTGGTCCCAAGAAGATGACCAATTTTTAGAGTTTATGTACAGTATATTTATACTAAAGCATATCGTAATCTGTTACTAATGTGTTAGCGAGATAGCGAGATAGCGAGATAAGGGGAGAAATTTAAGATCACATGGATCTTGTAATGTCTAACTAATCCATACAACACAAGATACACATGATCAAACCAAATATTAATTATGGTTTGAAGCAACCATATTAAGAAATTTCAATTAAAATTGTAATAATTATGTGTATCTTGTGTTGTATGGAAAATTATGTTGTATGTAAGACACAAATTTTGATGTGGTCACACTTCAAACTTACCAATAACCATAGCATGGAAGTGGAGTTGATGCAACATCTACAAAACAGAAACAGAAAAAAAATGTTTAAGGTTTATTAGATCCCACAAACATGAAGAGTTTGGACAGTTAAACATTACTTTAGACAAAAGCAAGAGCTTGTGTTTTATTAACGTTGGTCCCAAGAAGATGATCAATTTTTAGAGTTTATGTACAGTATATTTATACTAAAGCATATCGTAATCTGTTACTAATGTGTTAGCGAGATAGCGAGATAGCGAGATAAGGGGAGAAATTTAAGATCACATGGATCTTGTAATGTCTAACTAATCCATACAACACAAGATACACATGATCAAACCATATACCATAAAGCAACCATATTAAGAAATTTCAACTAAAAGAGTAATAATTAACATTTTCGTTTCCACTTAATAGAGTTTTCAGATGACCAAAAGAAAAGAAGGTAATAAGTAATAATGATAGATTTCTATTAAAAGAAAATCGATTTAAACTTTTCGAATTAGTACATTAACTTCCTGATTAATCAAGAACATATTCTTCTAAGTTTAATCGATAACAACGCTAGCAAGTGTTTGGTGCAAGTTTTTTTTTTTTTTTTTTTTTTTTGTTAAAGTTGGTGCAAGTTCCCTGAAGTGTTTGATGATCTTGCAGGCCAATTAACCAAAGAACCACATGCAAGTAATGAACTCCTAATGTGTGAGAGACAAATAATGGTTCCCAGACTTACTTACTTTTCGAAAGGACGTCTACCACTAATTTTGATATAAAAAGCTCATTGAAATAAAAAAGGATGAAGTAAAGATACATCAGTAGAAGACTAAACAGATGATAAGTGTCGACAAGCAACATATAGATGTTGAACCTTAAAAATGAAAATGTAAAATTATTTTTAAACTACAAAAACTTTGTTAAAATGAATTATATTTTTAATCTTTTGTTCAGAGTACATTGGTTAGGATTGAGATTGATTATAGCTTTTGATAATGGTGCTTTGAGCTTGTTAAGAACGGCTTGTGGCAAACAACATTTCAAGGCTGCCAATTGTAAGTGTAACACCAAATGCATGCCCACGTCATCACCTCACTTTGCGCCATGTGTACAGATGAAAATTCTGAGTTTAGACTTCTCCAACTCTTCTTCATGCCGATTCACTTCACCTTCTCCCCTATATTTAATAACAAGCATTGGAAGAAACTTTATTAAATGTAAATGTAGAAGATGTAATGAAATGATAATATTTGATCACCAAGAGTCACTATGATAAAAATATCATTCATAAGATCTTAAACATTTGTGGTATATTTTCCACTTGAAATCATTTCTTTATTTAAACCTTCCCTCCTCTCCTCTCCTACTTGTCTTAAAATAGCAAAGACTTTGACCCGAAGATGCTCTTCATCATCTCCTTCACTCACACACCTGCAACTAAATAAATCCATGGCGTCTCCTCTTCTCTGGACTCTCTTCCTCATCTCCATCATCTTCTTCCTCAAATCACACGCGGAACAAGAAGACACTCCGATCACTCGCTTCCAGCAATACTTGAGATTCAGAACCGATCATCCAAACCCTAACTACACCGCAGCAGTCTCTTTCCTCATCAACCAAGCTCAATCAATCAATCTCTCCACTCGAACAATCGAATTCGTCCCGGGGAAACCAGTCCTTCTCCTCACATGGCTCGGCTCAAACCCTAAACTCCCTTCGCTCCTCTTCAACTCTCATCTCGACTCTGTCCCCGCCGAAGCAGACAAATGGATCCACCCGCCGTTCTCCGCTCACCGAACCGACGACGGCCGCATATACGCTCGCGGCGCGCAGGACGACAAGTGCATCGGCGTTCAGTATCTTGAATCAATCAAAAACTTGAAATCGAGAGGCTTCTCTCCTCTCCGTACTGTACACATCTCTTACGTCCCCGAAGAAGAGATCGGAGGATTCGATGGGATGGAGAAGTTCGCGGTTTCATCGGAGTTTGCAGAGTTGAATGTTGGATTCGTTGTGGACGAAGGTCAGGCGAGTCCTGGAGATGAGTACAGAGTTTTCTACGGTGATCGGACTCCATGGGAGCTTGTTATCCGAGCTGAAGGCATACCAGGGCATGGTGCTAAGCTTTATGACGATGGAGCTATGGAGAATCTGATGAAGAGTGTTGAGTTGATCTCTAGGTTTAGAGAGACGCAGTTCGATTTCGTTAAAGCAGGGAAAGCTGCGAATTCAGAAGTTATCTCTGTGAATCCAGTTTATCTCAAAGCAGGAACTGCTTCCAACACTGTAAGCTAATGATTTGATTTCATCATGCATCTGCAATTATTTTATTTTTTTGATGTATACAACATTTGTGTAAGAGTTTTGTTGTTTGTTTGAATTTTAGGGGTTAACAGTTTTTGTTTGTTTGATTTTTTAGGGGTTTAGAGTTTTTGTATGTTTGTTTGTTTGATTTTAGGGGTTTAAGAGTTTTTGTATTTTGTTTTCAGGGATTTTGATGTATACAACATTTGCTGTATTATGACATTGTTGAAGAGTTTTTATATGTTTGTCTTCAGGGATTTGTGATGAATATGCAACCATCAGAAGCAGAAGCTGGATATGATCTAAGGCTGCCTCCAATGGCAGATCCATATGCTCTGAAGAAAAGGATTGCTGAAGAATGGGCTCCTTCTATCAGGAACATGACTTATACAGTAAATGAATCTTGTTCTTAATCCTCTCTACTAAGTGCAATTTCAACTGTAAATAGTAGTTTAAGGTTAATACTAATTACCTTTTTTTCTTGCATTAGATAAAAGAGAAAGGAAAGTTAAGGGATCATTTAGGGAGAGTTATAATGACATCAACGGATGATTCAAATCCATGGTGGTCTATCTTCAAGAAAGCTGTTGAAGCAACTGGAGGAAAACTGGCAAAGCCCGAGATTCTACTTTCGTCTACTGATGCAAGATATATTCGCAGTTTGGGCATTCAGGTTTTGGGTTTCTCACCGATGATCAATACTCCTGTTCTTGTGCATGATCATAACGAGGTATTGTGTGCATGATGATTTTTTTATCTATGGAACATCTTTTTTTGAGTTATATGTTTTGGATCATAATACTGATTATAACCATTTACTTGTGGCTTCAGTTTCTTAAAGATACTGTGTTTATGAAAGGAATTGAAGTATATGAATCGGTTATTAGCGCTCTATGTTCCTTTGATGGAGTATATGATCAAGTGATTTGAAACCAAGAAGCTTGAAGATGGTCAAGGACTCAAGGCTCACGTTGCTATGAACAAGAAGTTTTGTTGTTTATTTTTTTCGTTTAAAGATTAAACAAGTGTTGTCTTTGATCTGAAAGTTGTGTTGATTGACACTCACTTTGTCCTTGTGTCCTTTATTGTATGCTTGTCTGGTAATAATCCGTTGTATATATCAGTCATGTGAACCCAACCAGTTTTGGGCCAAATCCTTGAGTTAGGTTTTTTTTTGTTTTAGTTGATTACTCAAAAGTTTTCGTAGGCTTTGGGTCCAACTTTTTTTCATGATATTTGTTGAGGATTATATTGATCTTTGTCTACAAATTTCTATTAGAAGCACATTACTTTATCATTTTAGACAAACCATGACATTTTGCCATATCTACCACTCAATTAATTGTGATAAGACGATTGACTAGTATTTATTGTGTTTTCATCATAAAACAAAAAAAATATAGTTTATAATTTGTCTGAGCCCGGGTTTGAACCGGGGACCTCTAGTGTGTGAGACTAGCGTGATAACCGACTACACCACCCAGACATTTGTTGTTATTAACATGCTACTATTAATATTCAACATTGATTATTACGTTTGCAGTTTCTATGTACAGTACTCGCTTGTTATCATCAGGCTCGTACGTACAAATTAAAATCACAAGTACATGACACAACTGTATGTCATATAAAGTCATAAATCTATATGTGTAAAATAGTTTTCAATTGTATATATTTTAGACAAAAGATGCTAATTCGTACACACAAATTAAATGATCATCAATCAAGTTTGCTAAACACTTTTCGACAAACAGAAGCTACCATAATCAAGAGGAAATGAGTAATTCGTGAAGAAGATATAGGTTTTCATATGTCACGCTGTCTCCCCACTTCCAAAAGTAGAAGATGGTTATTGCTTTGAGTTGATCAATTCCGTCTACGACAACTAAAACAAAAAGCAAATAATTGTAGTCTTTTGCCGTACGTCTCATCAAATTGTTGAAAATAAGAATTTTCGTTTCATTTTTGTTTTGTTTGGAGAACCATGTCGGTATTACTTGCGAGATAATAGTAAAATAAAAAAGCGGTATAACAAAAAAATGATAAGAAATAACGTTACGATAAAACTATGGTAGTGGTACACTTCTTCCGTAATTTCATCTTCTACATTGTTACAAATCAAAGTCGCTATATAGGACGGACCGGTAGTGACGGAACTGGACGCTTCACTATATTTTTCTTTGCACAACACTACAAGAACACAAGGACATTTGATGGTTTTGAATTCATCAGAAGAAATTATAATATGGTCACTTTTGACTCTTTTCTTGTAGTGAATATGCCAATAGCTTGACCTAAGAAGTACTAGAGAGATTATACATCTTCGATATATCTCAGAGACACCTCTTTGAATATCCAAAACACCTCAAAGAGTTTGGCAACCAATGATCAGAAATTTAGCGAAATGCAGATAGCTTTGCAGCCTTCTTTCCTGAACTTTTACTTTCTAATCATACCCCAAAAAAAATAAAACTTTTTCTTAATAATTTATATTGTTGTTGATACGATGTATTCTAAGTATTCACCCAATTTTTATGAATTCTGGTCAAATGTCTCAATTATGAACCTTTTAAACGATATTTTTATATTTGTTCTTTCCTTTTTTTGTGAAACTAAAAATATTTATTTTGTTTTCTAGGTAAAAACAACGAAAAGAAATAAAGCATTGTGGAATCTTTTGTTTTGTTTTTTTTTCTTTGATAAAGGTGTGGAATCTTGTGTTGGTTTCTTCTATTATATAACTATAAGAAAAGCTCTGATGGGCTTCTTTAAGAAAGTGAAAGTTATTGTAGTTAAGCTTGTTTTGAAGATGATTTTCTCTTTAAGAAGTTTTGAGCAACTAAGAATGGAGCTGTAAGTGTTAACCCAAAAAGAGAAAAAGAAAGACTGGAGAGCAAATATTAAGCCACTTTAAAACATCACTGATATGCAATTGAAATAGTTCTTATCACACTCACGTGTAAATTAAAGCAATGATGAAGATTACTTTGACCAAGATTATAATTAATCTCTGAGATATGGAAACAGTATTATTCTCTACCAATGGCCTCATGACAAAGCAAAGTTGATCAAAGTGTTCTTCGATCTTTCTAGTGTAAAGCAATCTGACGATTACTTTGACCAAAAAGTTAAAAGCATTTCATTCCCTCCAACTGAACAGGAGAAATAAAATTATCTCCTTTCATTTATCGGATTATTGTTGTTTCCTACATTTTCATGCTAATATCGTTAGACCGTCTCTTGACTTGAGTAACAAGGAAAGATTTAGGATAATTGTGAATGTGAAGGCATAACATCTGATTTTATTCAGTCCATTTTAGTGCTTATTTTAAAGGGACACCTCTCACTCTCGGCTTCTAAGATGTCAGTCTCAGTCACATACGAGTATATTCTTGGGAGAGTTGTTTCTCTCATTCTTGTCTTTTGTTAAGCCATCGGTTTCTTCTGTGACCTTAAAATTGATTTGTTTTTTACATCCAAAACTTATACTATTACGTAATAGTAATAGAATTCTTTGCGCAGACCATATGTATCCTGATGATCCAATCTCAAGTAACTCCAAACTTTTTTAAAAGCCTACAACGTAAGGTTCAAGTTGTCCCTTATCCATTTTATTTAAGGACCGTTTGAGAGGAGAAAGGACAGCGAGTTTTTGATGGTGAAGCTCTACCGGTTTTCGTCCAGCCGTCGTCATTAACAACAATTGCGACCATCCACTTTGCAAGCTAGGCTTTTATTAGTGTTGTGGGAAACTTAGAACATTCCCATTTAGTGAGAGATTTGAGAGACTATCTCACCAATATAATATTAATATTTTAATATAGTGATTATACTCCTATATTAATTTGAAGTTACAAATAAAAATAAGTTAATAATAATGTGATGACAAGTACATAGTTTGAAAAGTAACCCTTTGTTTTTCAACAACCTATCTTCTTAGAATATATGAAGTTTTAGAGATTTTTTTTTCAGATTATTTGATGTTTTCAAGTTTTAGTGAAAAATTAATTGTATTTTTGTTGTTTTTAGACTGTTTTGAAATTATGATAATGCTTGTTTTATTTTATTTTTTTAAAGTGCAAACTTCCAAAACTTCATATATGTACACAACATTGTGAAGTATTTATTTACAAATGAGAAGATAATCTAGAATTGGTAAAAACAAAATCTAAACTAATCAAACAGAAAATATAAACATATTTACTTTTAAATTATTCATTTCATTATCTTCTATAATGATTGTTTTAAGATTTCATGATAACAAAACAAGGAAATATTAGTGAGTATGAAGCCTCAAGAGTCAAGAGTAACAAAGAAAGAGAAGAAGATGGGATCAAACACATGGAAATCCACTCTTTCAAATATTTGTGTTGAGCCCTGAAAGATTACACTCATGCAAGTAGGCAACCCACTCTCTCCCATAATTGAACCTGGCGTCACCATTCACTTTCTTATTTTGCATATATTTTTATAGACCAAATCATATCCTTGTCTCGCATTTGTTTATTGAACTCATCATTTATAATTATCTTACTTTACTATATCATTCATATTCTTCTTGTTTGTGTATGTTCACCAAACAAAGCAAATGACACTATAACAAATTTAATACCATAACCTCGTATAAGAAATTAAAGATTATGTATTTAAATATAATTGAGGCGCGCGGATAATTGTAGAATTATTGGAAACACATGAAGAATCATATTCTTATATGACTGGATTGGCCTATTAGCAAGAGAAAGTTAGATAAAAAAATTGTAAATTTGGTTAATCGTAGCTTAACTGTCTCACAACTGCAAAAACTACATTAATGGAGTAATTTTTAAAACAAAAAGAAGGACTTTTCGCCTGGAGTAATGCATGCATCACAAACAAAGTTTTTTTTTTACTGCAAAATTACAAACAAATTTTGTTGTAAATCAGTATAATAGATTCTGTAAATATTGTCAAAATTTCGTGTGCATAGTAATTAGGTGACGGCATTGCAATTAATGACCATTATTCATTGGTTTTTCTAAACTATGTATGTCGTTAATTCGTTACTAATAAGAGACCAACTAGGAGCTATGTAGGTGGCTTCAAGCATTGGATTGTTGCTAGCTAGGTGACATGAGTTTTGATTACTAGGTTTTTAAATATTTAAATAAATTATATACTCTGCAAGTGCAAGGTAATTGATATCTTATTTTAGTAACAAAGAACAAAAGGTAGTTAATATCTTTCTAGTACATTATATAGGGTGTCGATCAGCTGGAAAACAGAGATAATTCACATTTGCATTTTTAAAATCTATAGGTTTGATTATCTTTCAAAGAAATGTTTATTTCTTTTGGTGTTTTTTCACTGACGTAGTTAAAAAAAGATAAACCGGGAATATTTTTATGAAAAGTATAAAATAAAAGAAGAAAACAAGATGGTTCCCAGATTTGGGCATCCCACTTAGCTACGTTGGAATCCTACTTCGAGAGCACCACCTTCTCTAAGTCTCTAACTTCTACAGAATTCTCCCTTGCCCCTCTCATTTTCCTTTTTTACATATCATTCCCCAAAAAAAGTAAAAGAAATATTTATAGCCAACATAATTGTTTAAATTTTATTGTATGTAATCAAATAAGGTTGTCTAATCACGTTCGCACCTAAAAGTAATTACATTGTTACTACTGTACTAGCTTTTTGTGTCGTATAATGAGATATTAAGGAACAAACAACAAGATTTCCACTCTAATGGCATTTTGTTAATCCGTATATTTTTGAATGTTGTTTCTTTATTCAGAAGGAATTTTAGTTGACATTAAGGGAATAAAGACGACAGCCAAAATCAATCACATCTTACACATAGCCAAAAAAAAAATAAGAATAAGAATAATTGCTGACAAAATTATAGATGAGATATCACATCTTACATATAGGAGCCATCGTATCGTATCCTCATATCATATGTATTAGCAATTAGACGGTGAATATCTTTGTCTAGGGATCGTGTTCCCTTAGTGTATGTATATGTCACATTTATAAAAATGCTAAGTTCTTAGACATATCCTTAATCTTTATTGTTGAGTTTTTGCCTCATGTTCTTTTGTTATTTTTAATCACTTGTCAAATATTCCAACTAATCTAGATGCAGAGGAGAAAATAAAGATGAATACACACTCGATTTATGAGTTACTTTTTTGAAGTTATATACTTAAACCGGTATTCACGGTTTAAACGATTAAAAACAAAAGACAAAAATCCCAAAGTTTTATCAAATTCCACTAAATTTCAAAGATATAACTATATAAGGAATTTCAATGGTTCTAATATATATCATGCGAGTTTGAAAGGTGATGGAATGACTATTATATTATTACTTTTTTTTCAGGCTAACTCATTTGACGAACTTCAATTATTTATTACCTAACCAAAATGATCAAACCGTAATTATGCAAAAGACTAAAAACTCGCTTGTTTTGTTGCTGCAATATGGTTCCAACGACCAAGATAGCTCGTAGTGACGCTTATTCCACTGACCCTTTTAAACGACATCGTTAGAGTCCCATGTCTTTTCCTCTCTAGATATCACCTCAAGCGAAGCGTCTAGTACCGACAGTGTCACATAGAGTTCACGTAATCTAAGAATCAATCATGGTGCTTTCACTTTCGATAATTAACTTTTATATAGACACTCGCATACATAATTACTCATTACTCATACAGTATATAAATAATTAAATATATATTAGTATATGAGCATACGTAATAAATATCTAAAAAGTTTTACGATGGTAAAAAATCTAATAATATGTATTATTATTGTCACTCTGTCATCATCCAAGTTCAAACTTGCATAATACATTTTGGCAGAAAAAACGACCGAGCGTTTATATAGTCACTGATTCTTGATATAAACGTTCATCACTCATATATAGAAATATATGTACACTAGGGTATGAGTAAATACATATATATATACACTCGCATATATAATAAACAACATTAAGCTTATGTAACTTAAGTAAAAATTTCCACACAAAACCAAAAGATTTCCGGATTCGGAAATATATTATTATATGAGCATAATTACATATAACTAAATTATAAATTAATTTGAAAATTTTGATCTATTTTGGGTCGTTACTGGATTTTTTTTTAATGAAATTAGATAGGAGCATATCTGCAAATCTAGTGAGCTTTGATTGTCGTATTCGTATCTAATATCTATCAATAATTAAGCGACTAAAACGGTAAAAAAAATATATATATAAATAAATTAAAAAATCGTCCAACGAAACAATGATTAAACCCTTTATCATAGACAGTATGGAATCCACTCCTCGCACTACAAAACGATCTCTTCTACTTCTCTTTTGCTTAACCTAAAAGAAACAAATTATAGTGTACATAATCGATAGTATCTTATGAAATATCTAAATTAAATTATTTTTGTAGTTAGAGCCTGGAGACGTTGGTATCGGCGTATCGCATATACACGTTTTCTCCAAATATAAAAAGTAAAATTTTATACTATTGTTTGTTTTTGAAATCAGATCCTTTCTTAAAATGGTTTGAAAGGGAAAATAAAAATTGGAAAAATAAACCAAATTATTCTGAGAACGAAAAGGAAATTAATTGCGTCACGTAGGAGCACTAAAACGAGAAAGCATTTGGTGGTCAATGTGTCAAAAGCCCACTTCTTATTAAACAAAATAAAGAGGAAAATAACAACAAAACACACACTCTTATAAATTAGAGATATAAATATATATATATTAAAAGGGTATTGCATTATTGTTTAGAGAGATCCACTTGGTCACTTGAACTTAACACTTCTCTTCGCAGTCTTCTTTCTCCCTTTTTATAACATTTTCTTCTTTGTAACCATATAATTATAGAATAAGAGTGTTGCTAATTTCTGAAATTGGGCATACATGTTATTTGTTACTCTATCCATATATGATAAATCTTGGTTACGATTTGGAGACATAAATCAATGTTTACTCTTAAACTGATTTATATTATGCATGTATGTATAATTAACTTTAGTCCTTTATCTTTTAATTCTAACATTGATATTTTCTTTTTTTAGGATTCTAGTTCACAAGAGCTAATATATGGTCGCATACTTGTACTTATTACTACTTAACCAACAAATCAGACGTGCGTATGGCTGGTATTTTGTCCTTAATGGATAAGGGAATCTCCTTTTGTCTAATTTATTTTGGAAAATATTAAATGTACAAACTGGGCATGCAGGTAGACAAACATTAACAACACATTTGTTCGTGTAGAGATTTGAGATCAATCAATTAGGATTAGACAACTAATTATAGTACATATCACAATCCTAATTGCTTTAGGGTTTGACTTACGCATCTTACCTTTGTGTATCGGTAAATTATAATTGTTGTAGCTATTACCCTTCAAGGAAGTGTATACATACTAGAACGAGAGTCGTTAACATTATGAGTGATAGAAGTAATACTAGGGCCATGTTGGTTTTCTTCTTCTAAATTAAGGCCTATATACTTTTTAATTTGACAGTTGGCCCCTGTTTTGCAATATCTTATTTTAGGACCCTAAAATAGTAAGAAACAAATACCATTATAATGTCATTTGTAAGGTCCTTTTTTAAAACCCATGAAAAATCCGTTGTTTTTCATTCTTCCGCCAGAACCATACATTATATATATATTGACCTTTGTTTGATATCACAAGTGAGCTCGAGTGGCTAAAAATATTACTTCAATCCCCGATATTCCACCATGGTAAGCCAATGACAACGATGGGCATGTGACACTAATTAGTTTAAAAAAATTAGCGTACCAAAAATATCAAAGTCTAGTGTCATTTTGTTTGTGATAAATTTATGATAGTACAAGTGAAACATATAATGGTCTCAACTGAAAAACAACTTGCGGAGATTCTCACTAAAACTTCAGGTTGCAGAGAATTCAAGATTTACTTATGCAAGTTGGATATTGAACACTTGTACTCCTCAACATAACATACCTATTATGATTGAGACAAGTAATCAAAGTGACGATAATATAACTTCACGTGTTATACATGGGTACATAGACTTATACAAAGTGTTGTACCTATCATTCTAAAACAAACTTTGAGAGATTACCGACCTAAAACGCTAGAAACTTTCAAAATTTTCCGCCTATTACCATTTTTTTGCTAGAAATTTTTGCCTATTATTAGAAACCAATTTTTTTATTTAAACTCTAAAAAATATCCGATATTATTCAATTTTTGATTATTAATTTTTATTTTATTGATATTATTTAAGTTACACTCTAGTTTTAGAAAGTATCCTGACTCCTTAAAGAAATGAAAGAATGAGAAGCAAACTTGTTTTTGAAAGAGTGAGAAGCAAACTTGAATTGTTTCCTTTCTTTTTAAAAGAATCAGAAAATTACGAATAACTTTGTGTACTATATTGTAAAAAGTAATATATGTGTATGCACACACAATCATCCTACCACCTACTACTTGATATTATACATGGAGAAAACTATGTGATATATCAACTTTAATATAATGCAAACACGTGTTACGCATTGAAAAATAAACGAAATCACTACCTGTATTATACAATGTATTTTTGTTTTAAAAGGTCTATATTTCTTAACTCCGAAATCGTTAAAAGAAAAAGTTAGAAAGAAATTCTAAAATGAATTCTTATAAACGATATGCTGACATATAAAAGTAAAACATGTAAGACACATATGTTTCTGTAACTTATTCATATCTCTAAACAATAGTGCCTTAAAATATTCCAAAAGATACGTAGACGACGTATTATTGAGTGAACAAAATAATGAGTGTCTTTTTAATCTAACTTTTGCTCGACTATAAAAAGGAGTCATTCTCCATTAGGTTTTGCCTGCCTCAAACAAATAGAGCTTATCTCATCACTCACCAAACATCTCTCATCAGTATAAAGAGAGAGGAAGAGAGATCCTCTATATATAAAAGTAGACATATAGGAGTGTTTTATAGCTAAAGATATATTCTCTCTATTTTAGTAGTTAAGGAATATAACTAAGTAATAAAAATGAAAGGCGGAGGAGGCAAATGTGGAAACATGGAGAAAATCAAGCCGATATTAGCGATAATATCGTTGCAATTTGGGTATGCAGGCATGTACATCATCACCATGGTCTCATTCAAGCATGGCATGGACCATTGGGTCCTTGCCACATACCGTCACATCGTCGCCACGGTTGTCATGGCTCCTTTTGCTCTAGTTCTCGAGAGGTATATACCACTACACACACTTATAGCATGGATCGAATATATGCATATATGAATAATTCTTTGAATGATGTGTGTTTTGCAGGAAAATTAGGCCAAAGATGACTTTAAAGATATTCTATAGGCTTCTTGCTCTTGGAATACTAGAGTAAGTCTCTTTCATCAAGAACCCATCTTTTTTTCTTTACGATTAGAAAGATTGGTTCAAACAACTTTAGTTTTTTTCAGGGATTGTGATATTTTAACTTAGACATATAAAAACCTAATTATTGAAGAGATACATACATATACGGAAGCATTCAGTGGACCATTTAAGGATTTATTAGTTGTGATGCATATTCACGAGTTTGAGTACGTTACTTTTTTCTTTTTTGGCCGTGAGTTCGGGTACGTTACTTAGAGAAATGAAATACTCACATAGATCTTTTATTATTTGAAAACTTTACAAGCTTTAGTAATTATTATTTTGATGAATTTACAAATAAATAAAAGCGTTTCAGATTGTATTAATTAAGGAAACTCTAATCTAAAACTTTTACCTTGATATCATAGAAAAAGACAAAATATGAATTGTTATTTATATCTTGAAGTATTGGAAATGAGATCAGCACCCACAACAAACACCTTTAATGTGAAAACTGATGTTGTGCTATGCTACGTACACGTTTTTCTTTTGAACTTTGGAAAAAGCATCTACTTAATCACGCAATTGCAAACAAAAGATGATGTGAATAAAATAATTATTTTCAATAACAAAATCAGAAAGTAAAATGTTTGTTATGTGATTCAGGCCCCTCATGGACCAGAACTTCTACTACATAGGATTGAAATCCACGACAGCATCGTACACTTCTGCCTTTACCAATGCACTTCCCGCCGTCACCTTCATTCTCGCCCTCATTTTCAGGTGCTTTCACATTTCAAGATATTTTCTTCTAACTAGTTAATTTTTGCTTGACATGAGATCATTTATATTTATAGAGTTAATTTGCCAGTTAATCTCAATTATTATGTTCAACTATTTTTATATTTAACAGGTTAAAAAAATATATAAAAATCTGCCACATATTATTAATTTGCCAAAATCATTATTGTTTTTGTTCCTCTAAACCATTTAATAATTATTCTAACACCAATTTTAACATTAATCACTAATCAGGCTTGAGAGAGTGAACTTTAGAGAGAAGCACAGTATTGCAAAAGTGGTAGGAACGGTAATAACTTTGGGAGGAGCAATGGTAATGACTTTGTACAAAGGTCCAGCCATCGAGATAGTGAAAGCTGCTCATTCTTCTATCCACGGCAGCTCCACCACCGCCACCGGCCAACACTACATCACCGGAACCCTGGCCATCATGGGCAGTATTTCCACATGGGCTGCTTTCTTCATTTTACAAGTAATTAACTAAATAAATTAACATTAAAATTTCTCCAAAATAGAAAACAATTTTTTGTCAACATACATTAACATCAACTTTTTTTTTTTTTTTTTTTTTTTGCAGTCATTCACGCTGAAAGTTTATCCAGCTGAGTTGTCACTTGTGACGTTGATATGTGGAATTGGATCTATCCTAAACTTCATAGTTTCGATGATATTTGTCCGTGACTTGAGCGCCTGGAAAATCGGCATGGATACCGGAACACTCGCGGCCGTTTACTCCGTAAGTTCATCATCTATAAGAATCAATTAAACACTAGTTAGTTTAGTTTTTTTTTTATCAACTAAAAATTTATTATTATGTGGGATATTTTCAGGGAGTGGTTTGTTCAGGCATAGCATATTACATACAAAGCATTGTGATTAGGCAACGTGGCCCGGTCTTTACAACGTCGTTTAGTCCTATGTGTATGGTCATTACTTCTTTCTTTGGTGCTCTCGTTTTGGCTGAGAAAATTCATCTTGGAAGGTATAATAATTTACTTTACACTGTTTCTTTATGTTCTAAAAGGTGATTAAACAAGTGATTAACGTTTTTGAGGGGTATTATTGTTATTTGCAGCATTATCGGGGCGATTTTCATCGTGATTGGACTATACAGTGTAGTATGGGGGAAGAGTAAGGACGATGTGAATCCGTTGGATGAGAAAATCGGAGGAGTCCAAGAGCTTCCGGTAACTAACGTAGTCAAACCAACAAACGGTGACGATGTCTCGGGAGCACCAACGAACGGTGGAGATGTCACTGGGGTACCAATGAACGGTCGTGATGTCACGGGAGCACCAATGAACGGTCGTGATGTCGTGGGAGCATCGATCACCGGTGTGGCTACTAGTAACTGAAAAAAACCCATCTCCGGGAAGAAAAGAAAGATGCAAAGAGACCAAAGATCTTCATCTCAAGTTTCATTGGGGTGGAAATTTTGATATCTTTCTTGATGTTTTTGTGTTTCTTCTTTTTTTTTTTCGTTTTTACATTTCCCTAATCGTTCTACTCTTAACTTTAGTATCTTTATATATCTACAAATATCTATGTTTTCTTCTTCTACTTTCATGTATTTTGTAATTTCCAAGGCAAAAATGATGAATGAATCATTTGGTAACATATGTGCCTAAAACAAAACAAATAGATAAATCCTATAAAATCCAACAATCTATGGTCGAAATTTGGATGTTAGAAACTTGTTAAATTAAAAAGCATAATGTAACCGGTTTAATAAAATGAAATAATTAAGTGTACGATCAATGTTAACCGATTTGTAAACAGTCTAGTACTCAAGTTAATTAAAAAAAAAAAAAAAAAAAACTTTTTCCAAAATTTCATTTTCGACATTGAGTTTTTTTTTTTTTTGGTGGGTTCGACATTGAGTTTGTTTATATCAATAACATGAATATGCGCCTAAAACGAAAAGAAAAAATAGTTATTTTCAAAATTATCAAAAAATCTATAAAATCCAAGAGTTTAGGGTCGACATTTGGATATTGTACAATCTAGAGGGGTTTGTTTTGTAACTTGTTAAAATAATTACATGTGAGAAACACAAGTCATTGGTTGGGTCACTTGTCTTCTCCAATCGGATCTCACTTTCTCTCTTCTCTCTCTGTCACTCTGTCTCACCTGAAAAAAATGGCGATGTGGGTATTCGGGTACGGATCTCTAATTTGGAAAACGGGCTTTCCTTTCGACGATCGTCTTCCTGGTTTCATAAAAGGCTATCGCCGTGTTTTCCACCAAGGTCTCTCTCTCTCTACTCTGTGATCATCATTTGATCTTTGTAGACAATCTCAATTGATGATTAATGTAATTTGGAATCATAGGTAGTACTGATCATAGAGGAACTCCAGAATTTCCGGGAAGAACAGTCACATTAGAGCCTGCAAATGGAGAAATCTGTGTAAGTCTTTATCACACATCAAATCCAATTCTCCTTTACTATCTGTTCATAATTCCACTGTTTTCGTCTTTGTTACAAACGGAAAAAAAAAACAACACAGTGGGGAGTTGCTTACAAGATAACAAATGAACAAGACAAAAGAGATGCTTTAACAGTAAGTGGCAATTATGTTTTTCTTCCATATTACAAAATTTGTAATCTTTTAAGGATTCTTGTCTGTTTTGTTTTTTTATCAGCATTTGGAAGTGAGAGAGAAGCAATATGATCAGAAAGAGTATCTTGATTTCTTCACAGTAAGTCAATTTTTGTTCTATCCTTCTTCATCTAACTTCAAAATTCAAAAATGTTATTTTTTTACCCTTTTTCTTATGAGTGACACAATGCTTTGCTTGTTGCAGGACTCGAATGATTCAGAACCGGCTGTAACAGGAGTAATGGTGTAAGAAAAATCGTATAAATGGCGCTAATACATAAACTAGTAACAATGTTTATAAGGTCTCTTCTTTGTTTACTCTCAGATACATAGCTTCTCCTGATAAGAAGAGCAACAACAATTACTTAGGACCAGCTCCTCTTGAAGACATAGCTAAGTAAGTGGTTTGTTTTCTAGGTTCTTGCTATTATCATATGACAAAACAAGATTGCGTTTGATGATCTTTGTTTCTTGATTTTTGCGCAGACAGATAGTAAAAGCAGAAGGACCTTCAGGGCCAAACAGAGACTATCTGTTCCACCTTGAAGAAGCTCTCGTTGAACTAGGTGAGAAGGACACTTTTCAGATTACTCAAGACCTTTGGTTTTTCAGATTCTAAATGTACTAATCCTGGTTTTTGTGTTCTTGATATCAATCTCAGGGTTTAAAGATAAACATGTCACAGATCTTGCAGCTCAAGTTAGGCTCATTCTTTCAGAGACCCAGGAGTTGTCGAATGATGTGGCAGCCAACCATGTCTAGATCCCCGGTTTATTTTGGATGAAGTTCTTATCCGAAAAGAACAAAAACCCAATTGATAAGATTATTCAGTGATTCAGAATATGATTCCTCTAGATGTAGTAGAATCGAGGAATCTCTCTAATCACTGTAATTAATTAAAAACTTGACATGATATTAGCTGGTTGATATGCTTAGAATATGCATCATAATCTTTAGTTTATCCTTTTCTACATCCAACTTGGGTTTCAAATACCATTCCCAAGAATCATAATGATAGTTAAAGAGTCAAGAAAAAGGAACAAAATGTCACTACTCAAGTACAGCTAATACAAAACCAAGCTAAAATGGATGATAGAATTCTTACGATATGACACTGTTACACACATATCATTCGCTTTCCTCTCCACCACCACCATCATCATCTGCAAACAAAGCCAACGATCATTAGTTTTATTAAAAATGGGTCATTTAGAGAAGAGATACATAGATTCATTTCTCACTATTGTTTGATTCTTCTTCGCTTTGGCTTCCTTCCTCAGCTTCTAGAGGAGGTACATATCTAGAGGTCGATCTTCTCCTTGAACTCGATACAATGTTGCTTGTATCAATACCCTCAAGCTCTTTCAATATATCTTTCTTTTTCTTTACTTCTTTGATCTCTGTCATAGTAAAGCCAGATAGTTTTGTTCATAATATGTTTTACACATAAAACTACTTCATCTAAGCTTTCCACAGACCACAAACATCAGCATGCTTATCCACAACTAAAAATCAATAAATAAAGTGGAGTAATCACCTTTCTCTGAAGGATATGAAGAGAGCCCTTCTTTGGCAAGTATCTGCTCAAGTTCTTCTATTAAAGCAGCCTCGCGTTTCTCTTCAGGAGCCTTCTTGACTTTCCTGTAAAGTGCAGGTGGAACACTGCCAAAAACAACAATAATAAAGAGCCTGGACTATGAACCAAACATAGAGATTATTCAAAGATCTATCAATTTAAGTTTTGATTAAGAAACCTCATCCCACAAGATTTGATGACTGATTTAAGATGCTCAACACGCTTTCCATGCACAGGAGTTGCAGCCTCCTTTATCTGCTACAGAAAAATATGTAAATTGTTCAAGGTTTTAAATCGCATTCGAGATACAAAATCATAACATACCTTCAATGGCTTTCGAAAACGGCCATTAGCTGCCTTCATTTCAGTATCATCTCCTCCATCACTGTCACTCTGTGAATCTGTTTCTATACGTTTTGCTTTCCTTTTCCCAGATACCGCTTCGCCATTTTCGTTTTTCCTTTTCCGGGTCTCAGTCTTCTCCACAGCCACTTCCTCGTCATCCAAATCATCCTCAGCATCTGATTCAGAATTTTCGTCACTTCCTAGCTCCTTAGATGATGTGCTCTCGACCCTTTTCTCAGCAGGCTTAGTCGAACGGTTTGGAGCATCAGGAATTTGTAAAACCTATTTAGCAAATAAAAAAACTATCAAAAGATTGTCTTCCCACTTAAACTCAAAAGGTAAACATAATTTAGCATAAAGTACTTCACCTCATCTAATTCTTTGCTAATGAACTTTTTGAATGGATCAAGAGACTCCTCCTCTAAATCAAGATCTTGCTCCAAAATACGACGAAGTGATAACATTGTTAGTGTCCTGAAAAAAACAATCGATCTAAAACTTCAAAGGAAGCTTTTCACTGAATTTCCCTAAACTGCAATATCACTCATCAACTTACTCTGCAGAGTCCTTAATATAAGAAGCTCTTTTTCGGAGAGCTCTCTTAATATCACTCATCAGGGCTTCTCTATTCCCTTCGTTGTTCGTATCTTCAGCTACCGTTTTGGATATGTTCTCAGGTGAACCTTTCGTTTTCTCATCATCGTCGTCACCACCAGTTTCTTCTTCCCTTACATCGTTCTTTGCCACGTGCTCTTCAGAATTTTCCGAAGCCGCATCGTTAGCATAATCTTTTAAGCACTGACATCAAGAAGGGAAACAACATAAGTGCTCTCAGGTAGCAGCATCAGAAGTCAAATGGTTTCAACAAAGAACATATGTGACATAACGGAGAATGTAAGTTCATTTATCTTCTTGTTTCATGCAAAACAAATTGGTATATACACCTTGATCAAATGCTCTTCAACAAAGCTTTTATGCACATCCAAAGCATATTTCTCCAACTCCATACGTTCCTCCAACAGCCTCCGCACACTCTCGAAGGTGAAAGAGCTGCAAAATGTTTCTCAGTAATCAAAAAACTATTCTAAAGAAAAGGTCTTTTTAAATATCATGGATGAAAAAAAAAAAAACATTTTTTGACATTCGAAAATGGAAATTCTAAATATTTTAGCCATTTCATTAAGAAAATGGGATACCAAATTAGTCTGCTTACACATGAAGATCATCCAAATCCAATTGACAAGAAGTGAGTAAAGATTCTCTATGTTCACATTTCATATACCTAAAATGCATTCACGCAGTTTCATTATTCCTCTAACCACAAAAGTTTGAGTCTTTTTGATGAATTACACAAAATCGAAGCTTTTTCAATAAAAAAATAAAATAAAAAATCACACTTGAGTATGAAAATCGATACAAGACCACAAATACACACATTTCGTATGAAACGTCTCTGACACTTTTGACGGACCAACCCAACACTGAAATGAAAGAGAAAACCAGAAGAACCCTAATTGCGAAATGCATTGAGAACAATGGAAGCTAAGTCAATCGCTAGAAACTTCGTACACAGAAAAAAATTAGAGGAAGGGGTTGAGAAGACGGAGATTTCTTACTCTGCATTTTCTCTGAGGTAGGTTATGCAGGATGGCAAAGCCGCCAGAATCTGGAACTCTGTAACTGTTGAATCGGAATCCTTCCGATAATTCTTATCGACATTCTGATTTATCTCCGCCGTCTCCGTGGCCGTGACTGCCGACTCGCCGGACATTTCTCCTCGGTGGTGTTAAAAAAGAGCTTAAAACCTTTGGCGAGTAAAAAACAACCGCGAGAAGTTTTATAGAATGGTAAAAAAACTGATAATGGTAGTTTTTTTTTTTGGGTCGTGTGATAATGGGTTATTGGTAGTTACGGTTTTGGGCCTTTTGTCAATAAAACTAATGGCTAGTTAATTATTCGATTATCAAAACATATTGGTAACAAAATTATATGATTGCAAAATGCCAAAATCGTAGATAAATTATATATTTTTCACGTAGAATTTAAATAATAATTGTGAAGCTGTGTAAACATTTTTGTCCATTCGTTGCAAGAAAAACTCAAATTGTTTGTTTACATAAGAAAATATAAACAAATGATATTAGTTAAAAAAAAATGCGCATATAATCTATATAATTAACAATATTTATTTTTGGGGGTCGACCACACTTTTTAACTAAACTAAATCAAAAAAATGTTAACATCAAACTAAATCAATGTAAAAGGGAAAAACCTAAAAGCTTGGCAAGTAAATAAAACGGCAGCTATCTAAAATACGTAATAACCATGGGTCGTATTTGGCAATAAAACTAAAATTATTATTTATGTTGCTTGTCGTTTCTTAAACACGTAAACGACAAGTAGTTTTCCTTAGAAATACCAAATTCGGCAAAATTATCATATCCAAATTTCGATAAGGAGAAGAAGAAGCCAGAAGGGAATCATCATCAAACATGACGGGTCACAACGCGATCGAGGTGACGAAGACGGTGCTTGAAGTGGCTGACGTCGCGTGGACCGCCGTCGAAACCTACCACCACCATCACCACCACAACCACAGCGAAGATGGCGAGAATCACGAGTCAACGGATTCCAATTCGATTCCGGATCCTCGAGATCGAGAATTAGAAGCTCTTCGAGGAGAGAATCGCCGTCTCAGGACTTTGCTCGAAGCGAATCTCAAACTATTCGAGACTCTCGCTGAATCAGCTGCGTTATCAAACGATTGCCCTAGCGACGTAAGCTTTACGAAATTTTGATTTCTTACTCTTTTTCCAAAAAAACAAAATTGGGGATTTCCGATTTCTTAACAAATTTGCTGTAAATTGCAAACCCAGCTCTATGCAAGGCTAGTTTCGATGGTTACTTCGAAGGATTTCTTGGCTCGATTAGAGAGTTTAAGGCAAGCTTTATCCAATGGAACTCAGAATCAATTTCCCTTCAAAGAGCCAACAGGTATATTCTGGTTTCTTATGAAAGTTTGCTTTTTAGATTGAGATTCAGGGTTTATCGATTAGTTGACTTTAGAATGCAAGCAAAATTGTGTGTTATTTGTTATGAAGTTATGATTTGACTTCAATTTTGGTTGCTTTGTTTGTCCAGAAGATGATGTAAAGACTGTTGAAGTTCTTATAGAAATTGATCATCAAGAGCCAAGCTGGTGGGTTTTGGTCAATGATGATATGATCCCTAGCAATGTCGAGGAAAAAAGCGCAATCGATAATGAGCATTACATTGTTGTGAATGAAGAACATGTGGTTGATGCTGTTGCTCACTTTTTGGCTAAATGCATTATGTCAAATCCCAAATCAAAGGTATATTTGTGTTATATCCTAGTTTCTTTCTTTAAACATGTGTTTTCGGATTTCACTACATCTCATATCCACTTTGGTTACTAATAACTTTCAACTTGCAGATTCTTAATCCTGAAGAGCTTCAGAAGAGTAAGTTTACACGATTCAGCCTGATCTCTCTTTGAGTGTTGTATATAGTTTACCAAATTCATTCTTTTTACGCTTCTTGGGTCTTCTTGATTTTTGCAGTTCTGGTTCAAGAAGTTAGTGCTCTGAGCAGAGTAGGGAAGATAGTGGATATATGGCATGCTGGGAAGATGTTCTATACGTTTTCCACATGGGGACTTGCTTTTGGAGGGTACGTTTGATTTCTGCTAATGATCTGAGATGTTTGAAAATGCGAATATTTCGATTGATTTTGGTGTTTCTTCGTTTTTTGTAGGTTATACCAAGCTCGTGGTGCGCTGAAGATGGCTGCTAAGGGTGTTCATATGACCAGCAAGGTTGTTCTTAGAGCTCTCTGAAATTGGTAATGAGAGATCTAAATGCGATGAACAAAAGAGATAATCTCCACTATATCATACCATTTGTGTTTGTGTGAGACTCTTAGACTTTTTATTTATTTTTTTATTAATACTGATTTTGTAAATATTGTAAAAAGTACTTTTTTATCGAAATTGTATTATAAATTTATAATTGGTTTTCCGTTTATGCATTGCTTATTTGGTTTCTCGTAAATAGACGTATAGACAATATGTGAAGATCGAACAAAGTTTCTTGGATACTTAAAACAGTCACTTGAATATGAAGATCACATTAGGAGTTGGTGCAAGAATAGAAGTTCACATGTCATGCTTCAATAAGGTGAATCTGGTTCTCTCCGACTTTCATAGCCATGATTTATCCTTTTTGGAGCTTATTCTCCTCCCATATACTTCACTTGGTTTGAGTGTTATAGTTAGAGGGAGCATTTTGTTGAAGGTTGTTCTGTTTCGAACAAAAGCAAAGATGCTTTTATTTTGTCTCGTTTAGCAGTTGATGTTGTTCACGGTGTGGCATTAACGACCTTGGAGGCTTTGATACCTCCTCTTAGTTTCACTCAAGATGGTAACACAAAATAAGTATTCTTTTTCGGCTGCCTTTGAATAGTAGCTGCTACGGTTGAGCTTGTTAGCTCCCGCCTATCCCTCTCACCCTCTGTTTGAGTTTGATATGTTTTAGCTTTGGCTTGTGCTCGACCAATCTGTAAACGCCTAGACGAAAAGCTTACACAAACTGTATTTAGAAAAGGCATACAAAATATTATAACTAAAAGTAAAATAGATAAAACGAAGGCATGAGTCAGAGTGACAATGATGAGTTAGATTCCGAGCATCACGGGTTGCAGAAAAAGGCTGACACACACATAAGAGTAACAACACCATTACATGACCCTTAATTCGTAACTATTTTCACACTTTCCGCCAAACCAAAATATATTATAGGTATCGTGTTTTTGTACATCAATATAATCCGTGACCTTTTCTCTTTTTGTTTTTTTTTTTCTTTTTCTTATTGAATCTTTTAAGATAAATATCTTATCGCCTAGGTGTTTTTTTAAGAATTCGATTCAGTTCTATAAATTCGGCCACACTCTCGCCAATTATTTAGAACTTGACTTCAAAGCATTTGCACCATGACCAAATAGTTTCTGTTAGAATAAAAGAAACTGTAATCCGTAATAAAACCAAACAAAAGCAAAAACTGACAAAAAAAACAAAATAATGACAACACACTACTATTTCTTGTGCAAAATAATGATCATATACTACACTTCACCTATTTTCATGATGGACATGAAAGCAAACGAACTTTAATCTCTTCTACTAATTACCCGAACTAACATATCTGAGCATGCAACAAACTTTTTGCTGTAGTTTCTGGCAGTTTTTTTCGATGTTGTTGGGTTTTGGCTCCAAAAGGTTTAAAACCGAATTCTAATCATTTGTATGGCCAAGCTGGGCCGAGTTAATTTTTAGTAAGCATGAGGATCGACAAATTTTCCAATGATGGGATGGTTTTATCTTATGACAAAAAAAATATTTATAGAAGTTCACCATATAAAGTAGGAAAGAGTGTACATGCAGCCCAATTCACGAGGACCTCACAAGTTACATCACCGATAATTATATACTATAATTAATACCAAGAAACGTACATCAGCAAATAATAATTATAGACGTTGACGAAAACCAAATGTATGGCCTCTGTACGTTACTTGAGTACTTCCATTTTATTTTTCGTCTTAGAGCATCTCTAGCCCAGTTCTATATTTCATTTTTATTGTCATTTTCGAGTTAATTTTACTCTAACTCAACTCTATTTTTAATTTCAAAATGCCAAAATGCCATTTTTTTTTCCCAAACCGAGGTTGATCCCATTTTTATTTCTATTTTGGAGTTGAAGTTTTTAAATTATATAACAGTCCTTAAAATTTTAAACTATTTCAGTTTATATATAAGTAATTATTTTGATGTTTATTTTTACCTTAAAATACAAATAAGACATATTTAATAAGAAATTAAATTATTTAAAGCTAATAATAAATTAAAAAAGAAAAGAAAGTATTCATAATTAATTTAAATAATTATAATAAATTGTGAAAGTTTTTGAAGAAAAAAAATTTATGGGATAATTTGTAATATATATAAATATACAATGTAAATTTAGTAATTAATAAAAGGTTTTAAAGTAAAAAATGAGACAATACATTAGAGTAAAACCCAACTCCATTTTGAAATTTCTTCATTTTGGAGTTAAATATATGGCAATACATTGAAAATGCCCTTAGTCAAGTATTTTATTTATGTCTACTTAATTGATCTACAATAGACGTTCTTCACATACTCTAAAACATTTTATTAAGCTATAGTTTTCAATGTAATTATCTAGCACACCTAAAATGAGACAACAGTACTAGTGATTTCCTTCTCGTTGTACATTAGCATGATAACTACTTGATTTCTAGAAATTTACTTATTCTTTTAACATTCTATGATCTTAATTACATATTACTATGATTCTTTTAGTAAGAAAAAACACCTAGAATTTAAGTTCTCAACTTTCATCTATGTGCTGTCTTACATACATAAAGGACTTAATCTGATTAGCATGTTGCATTGGCCATATCAAAATAATTGTCTTCAAACAAAATGTGGTTTTTAAATTTTTACATAAAGTTCATAGAGAATTAGAGATCATTTAATGAATTATGCTACTCTTATACTGTATGTTTCTTAATTTTATATGTCGGGATAATATCATAACAAAAGCATTTCAACTTCAGAAATAAATGTCGTATTAACATTTTTTATCCTGACATTCATTAAAATCGGTATTTTTAATTCTGATAACGATATTTACTAGTCTCCTTTATTTAAATCTGACAAAAAAAAATGTTACGCTGAAGATATCTATAAAATTTATGAAATATGCATATTTGAACAAATCTGACATTTTTAACAACTAAAAAAATATCATTTCGTTATCACAGGCTTCGCAGCTAAATTAAGGAGCCTTGGTTTCGTATTAGTATAAAAATACATGCAAATTGTGATGCTAATTTTACATCTAAACTATGCAATTATATACGTACAGCACGTGTTTTCTTAAATTTCTTCAATATTTTTAAAATGTTATAAAATCAAAGAGGAAATTTTGAGTGGTAAGAAGTTGTGTCAGGATAAATGATTCTTTACTGGTTTTGAGTCTGACAATTGAATGAAGGAAGATGCACAAGCAAACAACTCTCTAATTTATGCACACAAAATCCATTTTACCCTCCCTCTGTGTTCCGAATCTATTTTTTTTTCCTCTTTTTTCACTCTTCCTGTTTCCGTTTTTTACCCTTAAACATCTTTCAGAGGTCATATTACTATTGCTATATTAGTCTTGTTTAATGTTATATGAAGACACTGAACATACGTTTTCTTGATTAACGTTATGAAGTCATTTAGAAGAAAACACTTGGGTTAAGAGAGTATTATAGAAGTCTGCGTGTTTCCATTGGATTTATTATTTGACCATCTCATTGGTCAACATGTTCCAAATATTACATTTTTTTTTTCAAATTTCCAAATATTACATTATTCGAGTATTTTTAACGCTGTCCTATTTTACAAATGAAGGCAATCTCTTAAATTCTTATTACTTTATTAGTGGTTACAACAAAATATACAATTCTGTATTTTCATGGCTTGTAAAATACTAAAATCATAGGAAAATAGAAATTGTTTGAAACATAATGTGATGTTTTTTTTCCTTGTTTCTTAAACCTTAAAACAAAGTGTTTTTCAAACGACGTTACTATCCCAATTAATGATCATATAATACATATATGAAGCCCCACGTTTGTTGAATGAGGTTATCAAATGTAATCTTGGAGCCCCTCAAGGTTATTGAATGTAATTTTGGAATCTTTTCATCTTTCTTGAGGTTATAGAATGTGTTCATTCCAATTTAAGGTAATGAAATGTAATCTTGGAGCCCTTCGATCTTGTTTGTCTGTGCGATATAGAGAGAGATTAGCTTGTCTAAACACTAGAAATGTGAGGATAAAACAAAAAGCAAAAGTCCAAAGGAAAAAGACAAGTGTGTGAAGGTTATAGGCAAGAAGAGGACAAAGCAAGATATGAAAGCAAAATATGAATGAGGTCATCTGACACATATGAAACCCATAAATTTACGTACATATAAAGAAAAGCGAGTTACGTCTGGTTGGGGAAGTAGAGATAAGATCCATTTTTCTTATTTTATGGACCACCCTATAGTATTACACTTATGAATTAGGTGTATTGGTGGTATTCATTTATGATTTGATTGATTAAACCTCCATATCTTTTTTTTTTTGGACGAACTAAGATTTTATAACTTGAAAAGGTTAGTCTCCTACAATGGGAGCGACACATCCAGATAGACTGGACTTAGCCAGGAGGTCAGCCTCAGAGTTTTGTGCTCGAGGCACATACAAGAAGTTAACCCAAGCAAAAGAAGAAACAAGGAACCTAATGTCCAGGAGGAGGCCCTGGATTTCGTTCGAGAGACCATTCGTCTTGAGGAGGAGGATCAGCTCCTGACAATCCGAGAAACAAGTCAAGTTTTCATAATCAGCAGCCTTCGCAGCGAGGAGGGCAAGCTTGATAGCAGAGGCTTCAGCAGCTAAGGCTGAAGGGAGGAAGGCACTAGACGCCGAGCCTTGGGCTAGAATGGCACCAGAAGGGTCTTTAAAAACCCATCCCATTCCTCCTAAGGAGGATCCCAACGTCCAGGCACCGTCCGAGAAGCAGACCACGGCGTCTGGGTCCAGCAGGACGGGGAAGGCCCACGGTGGTACCGGTGGCTGGACGGGAGAAGACGCACGGGATCCTTGCCAGAATTAAGAATTAAGATCTGCATGAATAACCTCTCGTGTTGGTTCACTTTCTGAGTGGAAATATGCCAGTATTACAATCCACGGATCGGCAACATATGTAGAGGGGAGGAGTCGGATTAAGAGTTGATACTAATTTGGTTTGTATTTAAAGTATTTTTCAGCCCCAAATCAATAAACGCAAATACACTGAGACATAGTATAAGAAAATTAATCACGCATACTAGTGTATCAAACTATCAATTCAAAAAATAAATCAAAGACGAGAAGGGACGAAGAAAGCAAACGAGTAGAGCAAACGAGCAACGTTCTTGCATGACGCAAATTCAATCATGTGATGGATCTTATAAATCTGTACCGTCAAAAGTTATAATGCAATACATGACAACAGTAGAAAAGATTGCAGACGTCATAAATGTTGTTGAAAATCATTAATCATTATGGTCTTCTCAGAAACATTATATTTATTACAAATTGAACAAGTGTGAAGTCCCATTATTTGTATCGTTTCTTATTCACAATAGTCATGCTCCATTATTTAATGGTTTGGCAACAACCAAAGAGTGAAAATTTGTTGAAACACTGAATTAAAAATGTCAAATCTTAAAACAAGTTTTAAAACAGGCATATTCGTTAGTTTCTATTTTCTAACCAAGTACCTGCATTAGACCAAATTAACCAACGAATCCAAAAAAACTTCTTAACAATTTTTAATTCGGTTTTATGACGTTATCTAGATTTACGTTTTGTTACAATTTCATTACCCCAAAATAAACAGAATCAAACCCAAACTAAATTTTATTCAAAAATTGCTGGTTGCTTAAAGTTTAGAAAATTAAATAACTCACTTTATTATGGGCATGTGATTCAGCCTTGATGCCCTGTCGCTTACTCTTTATTAACCAATTACTTTCTCACTCTCTCTCTCCATTTCACTGTTACGAGTTAAAACCAAAAACTCTTCACTTTCTCACTCTACTACAATAGTCTCCTACTAGCTACTCTTTCTCTCTCTTGATTCACACTACAAAAGGCACCTAGTTTCCATCACCATAACCTCAGAAAATGCAATTCTCGAGAAACTCGATCCTTAGGCAACTAAGCAGAAAAGAAGGTTGGAGGTCGGCTTCCAGAAGGTGGACTTCCGGTGATAGCTCAACGGCCTTCGCCGACGATACAAACGGTGGTTGTGGCGGGGGAGGTTACTCTTCAATGGAGGGTCTTTACGGGGTTTACTCCGGCGGTGAAACGGCAGAAAGAAGTAAAAGAGTGATGGTTGTGGTGGATGAGACTTCAAGCTCGAAGCATGCTATGATGTGGGCTTTGACTCATTTGACTAATAAAGGAGATTTGATGACTCTTCTTCATGTTGTGTCTCCTCATGATGAAGCTTCTCCTTCTTTGGTTCAGTCATTTGGTTCCCTCTGCAAAGCTTGTAAACCCGAGGTAATTAATTAATTTTACTCTAAAATATTATTTTTAATTCGAATTTTGAACTTTGAATGGAGATTGAGTTTTATAGAGTTTTTGGTTTTTAGATTTGATCTTTTTTTTTTCTGAAACTCCAAAGTTAAGTAGCCTATATGAAATTTTAATTCTTAATATATTTGATAGGATGATTATTTCTAAAAATGGAAAAACCAAAAATTCACTTAAAAACTACTAGTCCTATTTTACCACAAAAAAAAAACTATTAGTCCTAGTACAATTCAAGGACTTATTAGTTAGACAAGTAATAATGAGCATTTTGGTTTTAATTTTGTCTTAAGTTAATGCTAAGATCCGTTGAGGTACTTGAGTAAATGAGTAGTGCATGTGTGAGAGTGTTGGAGATGGGAAAAAAGCTGCGATGGTCATAGTGACTAATTGATTCCACTCCTCGAATGTTTTCTTTTTTATTAAAATAAATAAAAATGGGATGGAAAAGTATTTTCATCATTCTGATTGTAAGCTTTTTCAGTTATAGATCTAACTTTTTTTCCTAGTTTAGATCTAATGTTTTAAAACTGGTTATTAAATCTTAGTTAAGTATATAGTTGGTGGTATTGGTAACATGAATATGTTTGTTACTTGAAAAGTGTCCTTACCCATTTACGAATATTTTATACTACAGCAATTAAAAAAAAAACAGTTGTTTATAAACTAGTATTAACCTGTAATCATAGTTTTTCGTAATTTTAAGATTTCTAAAGAAACTGTCGACATATTTTTCTAATATTTTATTTTGGAGAAGTCATAGAAACAGTATGTAGTAATCTCCATGTTTTGGCATCAAGAATCGTATATTAGATTACAAAAGGATTCAAGATTTCGGATAAATTGTGAGAACATAATTCTATTATGTACTTTCTTTCCAAACAGGTTGATGTGGAGGCGTTGGTGATTCAAGGACCAAAGTTAGCAACAATACTAAGCCAAGTAAAGAAACTTGAAGTCTCAGTTCTTGTCTTGGGTCAGAAAAACTCTGCACCATTCATCTCCTGGTGCGTAAATCTCAACCCTCAGATCTCCTTTCCCTCATCATGATTCTCACGTTTCAAATAATTTCATTTCTTGCTTTTGTCGTCTTGTACGTAGCTTATGTGGACCTAGCAGATCAGAGGAGCTCGTGAATCGGTGTATCAACGGTGCAGATTGCTTGACGATTGGTGTGAGGAAACAATGCAAAGGTGTTAGTGGCTACTTGATCAACACAAGGTGGCAGAAAAACTTCTGGCTCTTGGCTTAAACCTCAATCACAAATTCCTAATCTTAGCAGCCGTAGACCGGTTCCTTAAATTCTGTTAATTTGTAGTCTAATAAATTGTCCATCTCTCTTTCTTCTCTTATTTTTAACATAACTTTGTCTTGTAACAAACTTTAAGTTAAATATTTGTATCCCACTTGATCAATTCCACAGTATTGTATACATTGAAGTTTGTATGCTAAACAAAAACAAAAGTTAACATTGGAAATGCATTTTATACATTTCCAATATGACTAATCCAATAGTGACACTTATTACTTGCTTAATCTTAAACAAGAAAGCATAGTATATAATCTAATTTAAACCAATAGCTCCCTAAGAATCACAACAGATTCAACAGGGCGGATTCAAACCCGCCCCGCTTGAGCCTATTGCCGGGCTCGTCTAACCTTCAAATCATCAAGATAATTCTGGTAGACATAAGAAGCGAAACCCCAAAGCGCAATAAGCATCGACATAATCTTAACGCCGCTCATCTTATCCCTGAACACAGCCAAAGCCGCGAGCGGAGTCACGGCCAAAGACAGAGTACTTATCACATTCGAGAAGAGTGACGACACCAGAAATATCAAACCAACAACTCCAACGGAACACACTTGCCAAGTAACTGCAGTACCAACTAAAGTCAATACATACGAGGCTCGACCTTTGTGATACCCAACCATTTCACCGTGCAGCGTTCTCCATTCCCCGCTAGCGAAAAGCCCGATCACCGCAACACAAGTCGCCACCAAAGAAGTGTAGATCTGCATTTCAAGAACCACTGAGAACGTCTCTCTCTTCAAGATCTTCTCGAACGAGAACTGCATGAGAGAGAGTAACAGAGAGTAGAGCGCGGATGCAGCGAGCGTACAGACGAACCCGACGATGTATTTGGAGCTAGAGACGCCGGAAGGAGCGTCCGCGTCGTCGTTGAGAGCAATCAGAGCAGCAGAGAAAGAGAGGAAAACAACGGAGTTGAGAATCAGAGCAGTGAACTTCTGAGCATTGATGAAGTAAGAGAAGACGGCGTTGAAGGCTAGCTGAGTCGCGCAGATGAGCGAGTAAGTCGACGCGGAGAGGTAGAGAAGTCCAACGGAGTACAACATGTTGTCTCCAGCGATGATGACGCCGAGGAGGACGTAGATCAAGACGATGGTTTTGAGCGAGCAAGAAGAAGAAGAAGAAGGCTCTGCTGCGTTAGCAGAGGAAGAAGAAGGAAGGAGCAGAAGAGGGATGTAGAGGATAGGAAACGCACCGGTTTGAACAAGAGTGGCCATCCATTTGCTGTTTCCACCTTCGTCGTAGTAGAACCTACCGAGGAGGACTGAAGCAGCTTGACCACCGATGAGGAAGAAGATGTTGATGGAGACAAGAAGCCACCATTGCCAGCTTTTGAGCTTCAAGAGTGGTGATGGAATGCCTGTTACATTCTCCTCCTTCGCCAAGATTGGTTCTTGATTATCTGGGAATCACACATTAATCAAACAAGAACTTCAGCTTAAGAACTCAATCTAAAACCTTCAAACATAAGAACTTAAAAATGCCAACTTGTTCATGAAACAAGAACCTAAAAGCATAAATCCTACACAGAAGCACAGATAATCATCAAATAAGAAAGAGAGTGAAACTTTCAACTTCAAAATTCCAACTTTTGCATGGAACAGCAATCATAAACCATAATCCGACAAGGAACACAAATAATCACCATCTGGGTATGTCGAAAAACCCAAAAAATGATCAAAGAATCAAAAGACAAAGAGAAATGGACTGACCTGACATAGATCAATAGAATTTGATCTGCAAAGCAACGACGATGCAGAGAGATTGAAGAAAATCTGAGATTCTTTCTATATGCGTCTGCTCCGCGGGTATTGATCGTCGCTTACCCGAAGAAGATCCGTCATGTGAACTCAAAAACGAGCTTTTGTGATTCGGGCGGTTGTGTATGGTGAGAAGAAGCAGCAGCTATTATTGGGTGATTCGATTCGACTCAGACTTTTTAACTAACCTTTTTGACTTTTGACTTTGTTATTAGCCCATCATTTTTAAACCGGAGGGGGACCGGAGGAGACTGACCATAAAAATCAAACATATCTCTAGTATTAAAAATTAAAAATTAAACAAACACTAATTAACACAATATATAATCAAATTCAATAAACTTTTCTAAGTAACTTTTGATGAACATTTTTTACAGGATGACCAGCTTATAACAATAATGGATTCATCACCGCAAATACTATAACACAAGGTGGTTGTCCCGCACCTTGTGCGGGTACAATATTTTTAAAATACATTAATTAATTAAAAGTTTTAATAAGATAAATAGTATAACTTTTTATAATAAATGATTTTCTATAATGAAATTCTTCTATAATAATTTAAGTTTTTAAAATGCACCAAAAACTAAACCCTACACCCATCAATATAAATCCTACATCCTAAACCCAAACCCTACAGTGTAACACCACCCCCTAAACAACCCAAACACCATAGTGTAACACCCTCCGCCCCCCGCCAATCTGTACACCCGAACCCACATTTTAGAAATTGGTTCTATATTTACTTTTATTTTATTTTTAACATAAGTTTTTTTATATCGGTAATTTAGTGTATTCAAATTTTTTTAAATGCATCAACAACTAAATTTTACGCCCATCAGTATAAACCGTACATCATAAACCTCAACCCTATTTTATCTTTTTATTTTAATTTGTCTTTTACTTCATATTTTTTCTTCATTTTCTACTATTTTTTTTCTTATTCTTATCAAACTTTCTATTCTCTTTTAATTTTCTCTTCATCATCATCTTATTATTTCCTGCTTTTTATCAGTTTTCTTCCTTTTATTTACAATTTGTTTTTCAACTGTCTTTGTGTTCTTATTCTTCGTTTTTTTTTATCTTTTGATTTTTTTTCAACTTCTTTATTGTTCACATATTCTTCAAATATTTTCTTCTTTTGTTCTGTTTCTTTTGTTTTTTCCGTCTTTGTCTTCCAACTTTCATCTTTTCCTTGTTTTTATTCAGTCTTTTCTTCTTATTTCATTTTGTACTCTTTATCATTTTGTGTTATCAATCCTTTTCATTTTTGCAACATCTTATTTTATTAGTTTCATCTTTCTTCTTGTATTTCTTCTTACATGAAGAAAGATGAAACTGATAAAATAAAAGAAGAGAGTCGAGGAGACTGTGAATAAATATTGTATTTCTTCTTTGTCATCTTCTTCATCCTCAATTTCATCGTAATTTGGCCACATGTTAGCATCAGGAAATATCTTCTCATTGAATCATTACCTCTTCGTAGTGTTTCTCTTTTCTTTAATTGACTCGACTCTCCAAAAGTAAGAAGAATTCAGAATAAGGTTCTCTCTCCTTTAGTAGACGAAACAGGAACTAAAAATCGTCTTGTCCTACTAAAGAAAGCTTACTGCGCAAGTAAGAAAAAAAAAACAAAAGGTTACATCATATGTTACAGAGATTGATGAAGGATTTTTGATGAGTTTTAGAATATTAACCGATCGGCCATCAATGATTTGTTTCTTCATGATCATTCTCTCTACAACAACATAAGGATCTGCAAAGACAATCAATCCAAAGCCACATGCACATCATGTGGTACGGCCTCTCATGATCTCAAGATTCAACCAAATCTTTGTACCTGCTAATATGCTCCCGAAATCATTCTTCTTTCCAGGCTCCGCCAATTCCATTCCTCCAGCTTCATTGAAGAAACTAAAAAAAAAAAAAAAAAACAGAAAACGTTATACTCTCATCATTAGAATTAGGGTTTCATGAATATTAAGTTGATATATAAAAGAAAAGATGTTCATACCCTCTATTTTTGGGGAAGAATACTTCTGGCTTGGGACCATATATGAACTTCTATTCCATCAGCTTACAAATAATGAATTTTCTGTTACAAAAGTGAGAGAGGAAGTAGTTAGAAGCGGATCAATAGATGATATTGACAGAAAATAACAAATAATCAGTTCATAAATAGTTTTATTAGAACTAAGATCGAACTAAAACAATTAAGGTACATGTGAAGAAGAATATGAGATCTAAGAACTAAAATTACGTATTGAAAGACAAATTGCAAATCGTAATGAAAATTGTGTTGTTTTTCCAAGATCGTATCTATTTATATAATACAGGTCAGTTAAGAATCTTAGGGTTTACTTATTATTTATCTTCCTAAAATTTATAATATCTTCCAAAAATAAGGCGGGGATATGGTAGTTAACATATTTATCTAAAAATATTAAAAGTCAATAATCAAATTCGTTTTTAATAAAAAAGGAAAAATTCGAAGATTTAATTGAAAGATTTTCATTAAGGGCATCTCGGTAATTCCGCGGCTGAGAGTTAACGTGGTGGCTCCATTCACGAAAATTGATTTGCAAATACTAATATGATATTCATATACTAAAACTGGAGTTCGCTAAATGAGAAATGGACAATGTGGATTTGTCTAATATTGAAACTCTAAACAAAATCTTGGGCCTTTGGGTTTGGGTGTATTTGGTTTTCTTACATTTGTTGAGCTGGTTCGAGCTTTGTCAAAGTTCAAATTTTCCAAGTCTTTGATAATGTTTGCTTCCCTTTTCACACTATGTCGTAGCTTCACATATTTAACAAGATTGACCTATAACGGCGCATATCAATGATATAGGTTACGATAAACCCATACATAAAGCGTAAATATATATATGATGTAATATTATAAGAATCAGTTATCGTCAGTTATAGTCAGTGTTAGTCATGGAGAGACCAGAGATCAATGATAGATTTGAGCAAATAATCATGTAATTCTTACGGAGTGAAAGGCTGGAATAGTCCAAGCCAGGTGGTGAGGAACTGAGGAATGATTCAAGACTGAGAGAGTTACGCGGCAGCCGGCATGGTATAGCAATGAAGAAGTGGTGATGAAACAAACAATACATATTTTATTAGTGTATACTTTAGGCACTGATTTAAATAAATCTTGTACTGAATATCATACTAATTAATCATCTTGTCCAAGAGATTACAAAAATCAAGTAATTAGTTGGTTAACGTGAAATAGTCTTAAGATTAAAAAAGAAGATACACTTTGGTGTTGGTCAAAAGTCAAAACTAACAAAAGAGAATATAGATATCCAAGCCTTCATTACAAGACATATAACACAGCACATTCTTCCCAAAACTCAAATGCACTTTTGCAACTTTATAAACATAAAATATATGTAAGAATTAACAATGGTTGTCGATAGCCAAAAGTATGGACCCTACTAAATTTTGATAATTGCATTGCTTTTAGTTTTCATGCATAAAAGCATTCCACCCACCACTATTCACATGTTTCTCCAATGCTCACATGAATCGCATTATCCGTTTACATACCATTTATACATGTTCTTATACCAAATACTAGAGTTTATAAGTGTAGAGTATATATAGATAGAAGATTGTGTCTATATCTTTAACTTATTTGCAATCTCCTAAGTATAATATATCGTGTAAATTTATTCTAATAATATTCAGTAATTAAACATACTGTGTATATGGTATCCAATCCTAAGATACACCTAAACCTTTTTTTGGTTAAAAGAGAGACCTAAACCATCCAATTTTTTGTGGCCTTCAGTCACTAAACCTATAGTAAGGATGTTTTTTTTTGTTCTCCACTCTTTTATTAACTCTGCCTATTTTTGAACATGCTATAAAGCCGTCTGTTCAATTATCTTCATAATTCGTAGGATATCTTGTAAGATTTCTCTTTTAAATCGACCAATATATGGAATTAGTTATTTGTCAAAACCTGCCAAAATCCACCGTTAGCATATACACTTTTTTTGTTCATACTTTTCAATTATTTCAATCCATATGAGTCATGGTTTTGTCATACATGAAATCTAAAGAATATTAGACGATCACGTTCCAACCATTGACAGATTTTTCATAAGTGTCTTTCCTAATAACTATATTAATCATTGCCAATCATGATAATATTTCGAATCAATTACATTAAAATCCGATCATTATTCTAATATCTTAATCGTTTTCATTTATGTACAATGACAGCTCATAAAACTATATATATCCACACACAAACTGTGCTTCTTACCATCTTTAAGTAGATATGCCGCATCAAGTTTCTAAACTAAAACACTCGTCGACTTCTTCACCACTCTCTCTGTCTCTTTCATAGAAAAGCCATGAAAGAACAAAACCAAAGCGTAACATCTTCTTGTGGCATCCATCCAATTGAGTTTATCGAAGGTGTGTGTCCTCTCTGTCTTAACGAGAGGCTTCTGGTCTTGGCTTCTATACAGAAGTTACAACATTCATCTCCTCCACCTTCATATCACACTATCCGAAAACCGAAATTCAGTTTTCAGAAATCTTCTAAAAAGAAAAACAGTAGTCTCTTCTCCTTCCTTGGCTCCTTCGATCTGCGACACCACAAGTTTGATCAACAAACCAACTCCACCAGCAGTCCAGAAGGTACTATTCCACATTAACTCATATACACGGCCGGTTTAATCGTCTCCAATGCCTTAGAACAATTTTTTTGTGCATGACTTTCTGAGTTTTATGAACTATTTTTTGTGTGCATGTTTACTTGTTCAAAAAAAGAAAAACGAATGTCGCAAATATTTGAAAGGACTAAAAATGTAAAAATTATATGTTACATTATGAGATGGTTTACCTGATTAAAATGCTTAATTTAACGTAGTTTCAGGATTGTTTTCCTGAAAAAAACAAAAACTTATATTTAATTTAAAATTACCATTTTGGGTAAAACATTATTGACATTTTTGCTCATAATCTCCAATCACTGTCGATCATACCATATTACCCCTTTCCTTTCCCTTCCAAGTAAATAAAAAAAATAACTTAAAATACTCTCATAGCTCATATAATATAATTTCAAAGTTCAAAATGTTTATATTATTATATATAATGTAAATATTGATGGATCAAATGGTAAAAGGTGGCTCCACTAATGTTTATAAATATCTACAGATTCATTCATTTCGATCGAGTTCGAAGACAATGATGGAGCAAAAGAAAGTTCTCAGCTTGAGAACTGCAAGGCTTCAAGGGATCATCAATATCATCAACATATGACGAAGAAGAAGGAGAGTGTTCCTCAGCCCTCGCCAAGTCCTCGGTTGACGTGGAGGAAACGTATTGGCCGACTCTTACGTGTCACCAGTTTTAGGAGGCGGTCTAGTGCCAAGGTTAAAGGTGATGATAGCTTGATGAATAGAAATTGGTTGAGGCCATCGTTCTCCACCAACAGGAAAACCCAAAATTAGTTACTTCTCAAAGTTTACAGCAATCTTTTGTATAAACATTTTGTTACGACTATTGTCCTCCTTCTGCTCTCTTACAATATTTTTCGTTTGCCTTTTTTTTCTTCCTGTTTTCCTGTTTGGGAATCTAAAGATGAAATCAATCATTTCATTATGATTATGTTTACATTAATTATAATGATATGGTCGAATTTGAGATATTTATCAATATATAAAAAAATTGACATAGTAAACAAAGGTCACATGTGTACTGCCAGACAGTAATTTGTCGTGTAGGCGTCTTTACACAGATACGTCTTTTTTTAGTAACCATACCATATAGGCCTTGAATGGAAGGTGGAGAAACGACGGATGGAATGTTAAGTAGGACAAACCATTTTGCTTTCTCCATTCAACAAAATTTGTGTAATACAACAAAATATGGATAAAAACAATAAACAATAATATTATTTACATGCATTTCTTATTTACTCACAAAATAACAGATCCGTTTGTAACAATAATGCCAATAGAGCGTGCCATCCATTTTTTTTACTTTAAGTTTTTATTTTTTATTATAAACCTTTTATGTTTGATATAGATATTTAACCTAGATCAGTTTTTCTAAGAAATGAAACTAGATCCATTACTTATATTTTTAAAGTTTAATTATTATTTACAATTACAATTATATTTTTAACCTTTTGTGATATCTGCAATAAAAACAGGATTTTTCATCAGAAAATGCGATTTTGCGGTTTTGGCAGAAAAAATATGAATTTGTGGTTTAAGTGGAAAACTGCGATTTTGCGGTTTTGAACGCAAAACGTAATTTCACTGTTTCGGTGGAAGTTTTGTAACTTTGCATTTCAAGGAGAAACCCACGATTTTGTGATTTCAATAGAAAAACATGATTTTTCAGTTTAAACGGGAAAACTCGATTTCGCGGTTTCGGCAAAAATATATGATCTTACGGTTTAAGCGGAAAACTGCAATCTTACAGTTTTGGCAGGAAAACGTATTTTGGTGAAAATTTCGCGGTTTTGCGGTTTCGCCAGACAAACGCAATTTCTAGGTTTTGGAGGAAAATATGATTTTTTTGCGGTTTTTGCGAAAACATAATTTTATGGTTTTGGCGGGAAAATTTTATTTTACTTTTCGGCGGGAAATGATATTTCACGGTTTTGGCGGAAAATACGATATTTCACTGTTTTGGCGAGAAAAATGATTTTTGCTATTTCGGCGGAAAAAAATTATTTTGCGAATTCGAAGGAAAACATTATTTCGCGGTATTGGCAGGAAAACATTATTTTGCGATTTCGGCGGAAAAACTTTATTTCACGGTTTTGGCGGGAAAACGTGTTTTTTGGGATTTCGGCGGGAAAATGTGATTTTATGATTTCGGCGGAAAAACATTGTTTTCCGGTTTTGGCGGGAAAATACAATTTTGTGATTTGGGCGGAAAAATGTTATTTGGCGGTTTTGGTGATAAATTGCAATTTTGTGATTTCGGCTGAAAAAAACGTTTTTTGAGGTTGTGGCAGAAAAACGTTATTTTTTGTTTTTGTGGAAAAAATGTAATTTTGCGGTTTATCTTGAAAATATAATTTTGTGGATAATTTTGATTTTCAGTTTTGATAAAAAAAAATTGGAGATTGGATAATTTTTTTTTGTTTTAGAAATAGTAAATAAATCTATAATTTTATTCTTGTGTAAATATATTTTGAAAGATATAATTGTTATTTGTAATTTTGGAATGGAGATGGCTCAGCCAAATGCTTTATTTCAGATAGCCTGATGGATCAGCTGACTATTAAAAATTTAGCCTAAATTTTTAGATTTGAAATGGCTGAATGATACTCATTTTTTGTATTAAACGAACATCATCCAACTACCTCATCCAGATGGATCAGCTGGATGAGCAAACGAACAGGGCCTATCTCGTTCCGAAACGACGATAGCATAGACGGTTTGCCGACTTTCTTTGATGCGATGAACCGATCACTTCCCAGTTGAATCTCTGGAGGCGGTGTGAGGGAAGCGTAATTTTCTTGTTATCTGGGTAAGGGAATCAATTCATGAAGGAGGTTTGAAGTTTCTTGAAATTTCTCGCTTCCCAAAAGTGTAGAAGCCGGACCACCACATCCTCGTTGCAGAACACACCTTCGATTTGGTGGAGCACCTTGAAAGTGAGCGGCTTGGCAGACGATAAAATCTCTTTGGAAGACATAGGTTGAGTAGTAAAAGAGGAATCGAGATTGAGGGAAAAAGAGCTTTCCAGATGAGGATGAATATGAATATGGCGGACTGGAATGTTGGGAGATTTATAGCCTTGAAGAGAGAGAGGTGGAGCCGAATCAGCCATAAATTCCCTAAATTAAGTGGCCACTGCAGATGAGAAACCGCAGGAATAAGAAGAATAATCGTTTGGTGTTCTGTATCGAATGTAAGAAGAAGATGAGAGAGGAGGAAGAAGAAGCGTTTCGGTTCTGTAACAATGCGACGACATAACGTGGATGGCTAAATATAATTATTGTTTGGGCTTAGGACAAATGGGCCAGTCAGCAGAAAAAGAAACGAAAATAGCTTTTACGAAATGCCACGTGGCAGGGCGAGAATAGCTCTCAGTAGATGGCATGAAAGGCCTCAAATAGCTACTTTCATTTAGTAAAGATTTCAAAACTAGTTTATTGTAAAATTAATTAGATTAGTGAACTTAAGATTTTTTTTATCACCTTTGATCTGTGATCGATGTATCATTCCCAACAATTTTTCCATTTTACTACCAACTTACATGTAAGATATAACTTGATCAGGATGACATGGATAGAGGATATGTTGCTACTGGGGTAAACTGTTATATGAAGCAGTATGGTGTCACCGAAAAGGAAGCCATTAGAGAGCTAACAAAAATTGTTACAGAGGCTGATAAGATACTAAACGAGGAGTTCCTCAGCAATATCAGTGTACCACGCAAGGTATGGAAAGCAGCCATGGATATAGCCCGCACGGTCAATATCAGTTACAATGGACATGATGAATATACCAACCCTGATGGAAAAATAAAGGAGTATATAACTTCTTTGTTCGTCAATCAGATCAGTCTTTGAAGATTCTGGAACAGTATAATGTGCTCATTTAAGTTGTTGCAACGAGTGTGACCTTTGTTGTATGTTATGTCTACATAGACCAGCTCTTGTTTAAATGAATAAAAATCTTCGTGTTTGTAGTTCTGACGTTATTGGTTTTCGTTTGTGATGAACAGAGGATGGTCATTTGGATACATGTATGTCCTGATTTTCCAAAAACTTATTGTTTCTAAACCCTTTTCTCAAAAAGAAATAAATAGTAATTTTTCCTTTGTAAATCAGAACTGTAGTTTCTTGTAAGAAGAAGAAAAAAATCCTCAAAACTGTTTAATTTTCATCTGTAATTTCCTAAACCTAAAATTTTCCGTACTCATTTTTTATTTATTTTCTTTTCTCTAGATCCTTTGGACGGTACAAAAACAGAGAGAGAATCTAAACGATTCTTTTGATCCGTTCTTGAAATTCATACTTTTGTCACAAGTTTCTATTTTTGGACCATCCTTTTCCTTTCTCTGGATTTTTCTTAAACCGAATCTTTTCTCTCTCTAAGTCCTTTCTCAGATATTTCATAGGTATCTCTTCCTAATCGATAATTGTCAATCTTGTTTCACTTTCTGCAAATCTTTAATTTTTTGATCAGTCGTCTTCTCATTGTTAAATAGATGTATGGATTTTTGAAATCTCCGGGGAACAGCAAACCTCCCAAAGAAACACCAAACAACAAAGGAGGAACAATCAATGCAGGAAGAAGAACTTCTTCAGAACCAATCTTGATAACACCAGATTTCGACGATGAAGACAAATACAAGAACGGTTTCCGAGATGCCGGTGGACTTCAGAGCCAAACGACAGAGGAACTAGAGAACTATGCGGTTTATAAAGCCGAAGAAACAACCAAAGGTGTGAACAATTGTCTTAAGATCGCTGAAGATATAAGATCGGATGCTACAAGAACGCTTGAAATGTTGCACACGCAAGGTGAACAGATACACAGGACTCATGAAATGGCTGTTGACATGGATAAAGATCTTAGTCGGGTAAAGCCGTTTTTAATTTTGTTTTACTTTTTGCTATCCAGAACGTTGAAAAAACTGTTTGTGTTGTTCTTAACGTTGTTGATGAAAATGTTTCTGAGATCAGGGAGAGAAGCTTTTGAACAACTTAGGAGGAATGTTTTCTAAGCCCTGGAAACCAAAGAAGACTAAAGAGATCTCGGGACCTATGATCACACCAGGTTTTTAACCCCTTTCATTGAAATATTCTACAAACTTTTGTGTGTGTAGTTTTGTAGATTAGAGAATATTGGAGATATCTTGGAGATCAAGTTATCTAGTCTCCTTTGATTTCTTGAATCTTAATTCTTGATTCTTGATTGGATAAGATTATATTTATGGTGATTCTTACAAATAAATTTGTAGATTAGAGAATAGTGGAGATATCTTGTAGATCAAGTTATCTAATCTCCTTTGATTTCTTGAATCTTAATTCTTGATTCTTGATTGGATAAGATTATATTTATGGTGATTCTTACAAATAAATTTGTAGATTAGAGAATAGTGGAGATATCTTGGAGATCAAGTTATCTAATGATCTCCTTTGATTTCTTGAATCTTAATTCATGCATGACACTTGATTGGATAAGATTATGTTTGTGGTGATTCTTATAAATAAATTTGTTAAATGTTTAGATAAACCGTCGAAGAAGAGCGGGAATCAGAAGGAAGAGAGAGATAAACTCGGTTTGGGTGGGAAAGGACGATCGAGCAGCCAACCGTCAGCATTAGACCAACCAACAAACGCGTTGCAGAAAGTCGAGGTTTGTGTTCTTCTTCAAATTCTAAAATTTGTATACACTGTGAATCTTAAAGAATGCTTAATTAAGGAGATATATTAAAGAAGAATTGGTATATATATGTATTACTAATTGCAGCAAGAGAAGGCAAAGCAAGACGATGGACTTTCAGATTTAAGTGACATTTTGGGTGATCTTAAGAGCATGGCCGTTGATATGGGATCTGAGCTCAACAAGTCAGATAACAGACTATTTTCATACATTAATATTATACGTATGTTTGTAGAGTACTTATTATTATTATTATTATTGTGGGAAAATTTGCAGGCAAAACAAGGCTCTTGATCATCTCGGGGACGATGTTGATGAGCTTAACTCTCGTGTTCAAGGAGCTAATCAACGAGCACGTCACTTGCTTTCCAAATAAACAAAAAATTACTTTTTGTATACGTATCTTCTCTCTTTATATTTGTACAGCTGAAAAACCACACAATCGATGTATAGAACAATGTACGTTATCATATTTTAAACTACACATATTTGAACGTCATAGTTTTGTCTATTAAAGTTGCTAAAATGATATAAATGTACGTAAGGGTAATGAAACTAGGGAGAAACTATATATATAATCAGAAAATTTCCAAGTTAAGAACAAAAGGACTTTAAGTATTACAACAGTTTAAGCTGTTCATTTCCTTCTGTCTCAACATGAAGATGGTCTCACTAAATTTATTAATTTAAGTACATAAAGAGTTTAGCTTTCTTCACCATCATCAGTGATGAACTTTCCATTACCAGGGTTAATGGCAGCAGCAAAGAAGAAAGCAACGTTTAAGAGGACGAGTGGTTCGATATCTTGAATCGGTATACCGGTCTCAATGTTGAGTTGAGCCAATGCTCCTTTCCCGGTTATAATCTCTCCTATCAATGAAAATGCTATTCCCAACTGTGCCAATCTTCCTACGAACAACTCGTTCGACTTCGTGAACCCAAACAATGGACCTTCACACAAACCAAAACAACAAACGTTAGACTACATAAAACTCTCAATAACATCATATTTGGTAGCTTCGAATAAAAAATAAACCAACATAGAGTATATTGGACACTATACTTGATTCAAAAAACTAACTTTAATTCTACATTTTCGTTATCCTTCTTGATTAGACCAATGCCAAGAAAGAGGAATCTTGAGAGAGTACCTTGTTCTTTAAGACCAAGAGCAGAACGGACACCTTTTCCGGGAGGAATGACGGCTTTTTCAAGTCCGGTGGGAGGATCGTCGACGAATTTTCCTCTGTCTCCAAGAGCTCCAATTGCACCCAATAGAGTGAACAGAATGAAGAAGAGAAGCAATGGTTCTGCTTCGTAAATCGGTATCCCTGTCTCTAGGTTTAGCTGTGCTAATATACCTTTCCCTGTCAACGCCTCACCCAACAACGAAGCCTATGCAGAAACGCAACATTCATATCACAATCTTCGTTCATGGAAGAAAAGTTTGTGTTTCCGAGGGAGAGAGAAGGGACTTACAGCGAAACCGATCATAGCAACACGACCAACGAAGAGCTCGTTCTGTTTCGTGAAACCTATCCCACCTGACGTTCCGAAGATACCATCTTCAACCTTTGGCTTCACCTTCTCAACCTAAAATGTATAAAATAATCTTCACATTATCATCAAAACACAAGAGATGTTGCTTGCAGGACAAGTAAAAGGCTCTGTGGAAACCTTTTTGGGAGCAGCTTTGGTTTTCGGTTTGAAGAGAGCGAGAGGAACAAATGATGGTCTTCGAGATGGTAGAGCAACCGGAGAGTTTCCGGAGAGGAAGAGATGGTGAACTTTAGGCTGAGCCAAAGGGTTCTTGTTCCTCAAGAATTGGTTCGCAGAGACGCCGGAAGTAAGCAGCATGGTCTGGGCCATTTTTGTGTGTTTTGTGTTTGTGCTGCTTGATGCGCCTGAGGATGAGAAGAAAGGATCAGTGAAGTGTTGTGGTGTGTGGAGAAGTGAAGGGATTAAGAGATATCAAGAAAATCTGTTGACGGGCTTTAAGTGCGTCCACGTCTCCCAATTGTCCTTTCCTTATTCACTATGTGGAGATAATGTTTTTGTGGAGAAATGCCAATAGTTACATCTTTTTATTATTTTATTTGGGTTTATTTTTGTGAATAGAAAGAAAAACAAATAAAAAGTGAAAAAAAAAACAAAAGACAAAAAAACCATAAAAAGTGATGTAGCATTCAGAGAGCCATTTATGACGAACTAAAAAATGACAATGGTTATATGATCTTTTTATTATTATTATTATATTGCGAAAAGATCCATTATTTTCTCAATAAAGTTGTGTTTTCAACTTAAAACTGATCAGGTATAGAATTATTCGGGTAAGCTCTACAATTATTTTCTCAATGATTCTGTTTCTATTACTAGTCTGACTGAATCTTCAAAGAAGAAGAAAAAATTATTCTTTTATTAACAGATTGTGAAGGTTCTAATCATTATGAGCAAAGTTGGGCGTAAATCACTAAGGCCCAAAGATAAAGTTACAAGAATCTAAAGTGGGCGTCGAGATTTAGAAACTAGCCCATTTTAACTTACATATGTGTTCGAGTTACCAAGTTCAAGTGCGTTGTCAAACCGTATATACACACATACATGTTTCTATGTTCCAGTGAACCACCGGTTCATGAATATGCTCCTAGATATACGTAAATTTCTGTAGCTAAAACCCTAAAATCCAAATATCTTACATAAATTATATCACTAGAAGTAGACATAACTAAAACACTAAAATCCAAATAAAATTAGATTAAGTTTATTTTTCAACCGAAAACGTTGATCTTGGTCAAATTGTTTACACACATAATTTTTTTGTAGAACTTATTGTCCAAAATAGTATATTTATTATGCGCTAGTGTGCATCATATATATCATATATGACCGAAAAGTCATAGCAGATATATATTGAGATTCATTATCATACGTCTCTCTTCCTTTTCTTTGCGCAAGTGTAAATTTTCATTGACTTTTATACCACACTTTCTTTGTTTCTTTCCGCAAGTGTAAATGCTCGTCGTCCATTTTCAACGACTTTTGTAACACTATGATAATTATTCCGTAGAAAAAAGGGGGTACGGGTCTTTGCTGTGGATAAATACAAACCTATCTACCATCTCCATATATTAGAGCATTGTATAACGAAGTTTGTTAACAGAAGAGTTGTAGAGTGTAATTAAGAAGATGGGTACCCAGCGGGAGCAAGATGACGACACGAAGGGCATCTGGAACGGAGGTAAGATTCTTTTTATTTATATCAAGATTGCATAGTATGATCTAAAAATATTTTATTTTAGGTCGGTCACCGGTGCGTCGCCGGCCGGGAGTTGAGGAACTTCAGGTTCATATTAGTGTGATAACTGAAGAGATGGAGAATTTGCGTTCTGAAAATCGGTTTCTTCGAGAGAAGGCGCTTGAATATCGGCTTCGTGCTGAAAAAGCTGAAGTTAGACTTGTTCGTGAGGGAATCACACCTGGTGAAAAAAATGAACAAGTGTTTCAACGCCGTAGCTTCGCTGAATTGAACAAAAGTGTTAACCTTGAATAATATAGCATCGTAGCTCTCTGTGGTGTTTGCCAAAATCGTCTAAAATAACAGTTTTTAATTCTACGATCGCTTCTCCTTTTCACTTTAAGATGTGAAGAAGTAAACCATTTCAATGCTTCTTGGATCCATTTAGTTAATGATCAAAAATATTTGGTTGTTGATTTCTAGTGGAAACATCTGAGGGCCTGAGGCTTTCAATAATTCAATCTATACAATTACTACTGTGGAAATCTTTATAAAACTGCTATTTACGTGTGTTGCTAATTACTTGCTTGGAGCCAGACAGGTAAGCTTGTTGGTTGTTTATGGTAATAACACTTTTCCTGCATTTAATCTGAAAGACTTTTGACCAAAAAAATAAAAAATAAAAATAAATTTCCTTTCTTTTATTAGACATCCAGTTTGTTTGTTTCCTCCATTTCTCAATCAACATAAATATTGCACAAAACTAATTTTTGGGGTGATTGGTTGTTGCTCTAACTTTATTTTTTTGCTATAGAATTTTTGCTCTATGTTTTATAGATGTGGCTTTGAATTTGTTGTCGTAGGATATTGGTTGTAAGTTTTTAATAAAAAAGAAAATAGATAAGTATGGAAAATAATAATAAGGAAAAAAAGTAATGAGAAAAAATAACATTTTAAAAGAATGAAAGAGAGAGAGAAAAAAGAAATTCAGAGCCTTTAAAATTATTCTCTAGAAATTTTGCTTTGTAAAACTAAAAATGGTAAGGAAAAACGAAAGAATGATGTTGATTTTCTTTAAAAGTATACATTATGATTGGTGATCTATTTAGCTTTATAATTTTTTGGGCTCTCTACAGCTTCTACAACAACAAACCTCTTTTTTCCCCTTTTTTTTAGAATACTGTGGGAGTTTTTGGGTATTAGACCCATGATCACCTTAGGTTTGGAGTCAGCCTTTAGAAATTATGATTTGAAGATTAATACTAACTTATCAAAGGAGGTTTGAACCCGGGTTCATATTATTGTGTCTTGGGCCTCTTGGCTAGTCTAATATTAACGTACATATGGCCCCTTATGAAAATTTGATTATTTCTAGTGAACATATATCAGTTGGAGATCAACCTGATCGAAATGGCCACATTCGATGTTAAAAACATTCATTTGTGATTTAAATACTGGCACATAGTATGGGGCCGGGAGATTTATTATACCACCTCCCACAACATTCCAAAAGAAAAAGAAATGGTGTATATGGGTTTTTATTACTTTATATTCGAGTACCGATCTTCAACTGCATTGTCAAACCGTGAAACTTAATCGATAAATCAATATACACCTTTTGTATCAAATAGTTAAGTTTTCAGGTTAAGTTCTATGCGGCATAGCGTGCACCCATCTTCGTAATCTTGTGCTTATCGGATCTCCCGGAATTAGTGCACTGGAACCCTAACTTAGCCGCCAAGATTCTCTGAACATGGTTGGCCACGTCATACGGGCTTCTCCCAGAGGAACACGTGGCCTCCAAGGGGAGCTGGTTCAGGAATGTAACCTCGTAAACGATTGTGGGGTTCATAAATAAGAAGATCAAGTCCAGACCAACCCAGCTTCTTGCGGAGGTTTGGAAGAATCCAACTCGACAGTTAATTGCCACGGGCACGATCTTGTGAGTTAACTCCGCGAACAGTGCACTAAACCTGCATTTGATAAACCATTCTGTTATGGTTGACTTTTATGCAAAATTATGTTCCCAACAGTTGAGAAGAAACGAAAAAAATAAAGAATCTTGATTTTTTTTAGATGCTCTACTCTTCTTTCTTTCGTATATAATGTGGAAACCTGAGCACGAAGGGCTGATAACAAGTGGTTCCTTCAGGACATAGCAGTAGGTCTCCTTTGGATAGAACTTGCTTCATCTTTGCAGCATCAAGATCACGGATTCTTGTAATTCGGACAATGGGGACTGGACTCAGGGTATCGAATATCCGAGGGAGATTTGATGTAATGACCGCCATGCTGCGTCCCAGCGCATAAGATATCACAACAGGGTCAATCATAGTTCTATGATTACATACTAAGAGTAGGCCACCAGAGTCTCCAGCTGTAGGAGGCTTGCCCTTGACGATAACTCGCCCGCCCGATATACCAATGACGTAAGGTATGGCCATCATTGGGAGAATGAACACAACAAGGATCCGGATGGCCGAGAGAACAATTCCAAATGGGAACCACAGGAAGATGAGGAGAGCTGTAGCTGGTGTTGGCCGCTTGTGGAAGCGTGCCGCGTGGAAGATCACTGGCTTGGGAGGCTGCAGCTCAAGTTGGTTGTCAGGGTGGTTCCAGTGCACCGGTTCATGAATGTGGTCCTAGGTGTATATACATGCATGTTTTAGCTATCAAATTTCTTATCAACTTTATTCGCTAGATTTAGAAGATTCGAGATTCCTGTTCGAATTTACATTTTTTGCAATAGATTAATTAACAAAAAGTTTTGGACCTAGACCTCCTTGAAGCTAGGACTAAGATACAATATAATACTATAGTTTTCTTTCGTTGTTGGAGCTCGAAATTAGAAGTGGCTAATTCGGTCAATCCAACCTAATCCAACACAAAAAAATATAAACAAATTTGGATATGGGGTCTCTATATATATTTGTTAATTGTTGAAGTAAAATACGGTATTTGTTTACTTGAGTTTGAGTTATTTAGAATTGTCTTTAGAAATTTTAGAAAACCCAAATGAAACCCAAACAAATCTTACACAAAATTTTACCAAACCCCAAAAAAACCCAAATAAAATTAGATTAAGTTTATATTTTTACGACTAAAAAATAGTTGATCTTGGTCAAATTATTTATGATTCACATAACTTAAATCAAATCTAAAATCTAAAAAATCCATGTATTTTATAAATTCATGTATTATGTATATAAGTCAAGAGTCTGACTCAAAACTTAGGTCTTGATCGGCAAGCATTTAGAAAATCATTAAATTTAAGGAGTATAAGCAGCTCTTAAAGTTGTATGCTCTTGATTTATATACATTTTATATGATTGGTAGAATTGTGAGCGTTTTTAGTATAGTATTTTGTGAAAATATTTAATATATATGTTAGATATTTATTTTCATGCATTATATATATTTATTTGGCCACCACCCAACTTTAAAAATTATATTTTTAGGTTCCAGCTAGTATACGAAAGACAAGTTTGTTGCTATAGAATCACCTCACATAACGATAAGAATGTTGTGGACGCCTCTGAAGCCGGCCTTCCAAGACCAAGCTGATATCTTTGATCAACAAACAAGTTAGCGACATGATTCATAACGGACTGATCGATGTTGGTTTCACGTATCAAACCAGTGAAAAAACAGAACCCGTTCACGATCAGCTCAGAACCGATGACTTCATCGGCTCTGAGATGCTCCTTGGCGAAACTCTCCACCATAACTCGAGGCATTCTCGTCGCTACGACCCTCTTCTTGCATGAACTGAAAACCCTCCATGTGTCCATGCTTATGTCATCCATGTAGAACTTTGGCAGGACGGATCTAGCCACCAGCTCCATCTCCGATTCACGGACTCCAGTAGTTGCTACAAAGATCATGAGCTTGAGAGCAGCATTTTTGTAGCTGAAAACGTCAAGGAGTGCGATGATGGGCCAGAGAAACAACAGGATGGTGAAACGGATGAAACCAGAAGCTTCGAAGGCAACGAGCATGAAGTAAGAGAACGGATCTGCGTTCTTCAGCATTGTCCCTTCAAACTCTGACACGACCGAATACGATCCCACCGCCATATTTTTATTTCTCTTGGCCATTTTTTATTTGGAAATTATAAATGTGTTAAGAATAAGTGTTTGGATGGGGGTGTCAATAATGCAATGAACCGCCTTAAGTATACTATTGTATATATATTCTGCCATGGTTACAACACGTATTTCTTTTGAGCTAAGAACATTCCTTAAACGCGTATGTACTCCAGCAAATACTCTTTAATTATATACAAGTCACTGTATTCTTATGAGTACACGCAAGTTGCAATGTTAATTATCAACAGGTCAGTTTTGATATGGATTACTTTCATCAACTTTTAGATGTCACGAAACTGATAATTTGGTATTTAATAGTAATAGAAACAGAATGAATCAATTATACATCAATAAACAATTGGATTGAGTAAATACTATTCCCTTCTTCTACAAAACGTGTGTTTCTTGTGTAATTTTTTTTTAAGTCAATGTATTGCTTCGATTCCAAAAGTTCAAATATTTAGTATTAAGTTTTCCACCAAATGCCTAAATTAGTTTTTTTTCGTCAATACCGTAAAATAGTGTTTTCCAGCAAATATATTAAATTTTTATATTTTGCAAAAATAGTAAAATATAGTATTTTCCCACAAAACCATAAAATAGTATTTTTTTTCGTCGTGTACTTGTGTTTTTTCTACCAAAAACATCGAATTATTATAAATAAATTGAAGCTGTATCACTATTTATTATATATAGTGGATGTTTGTATTTAATAAAAGAAGAAGCAGTAGAGAGAGAAGATTACAAAGAGAGAGGGAGATGAGGTAGAGAGTCTTCGTGGAGAGATGGAGAGAGGGTTTCTGTGTGAGGGGGATAGGAGAGAGAGTTTTGTATGTGAGAGAAGAGAGTAGTGAATTTTTTGTATTGAACTTATGTCTTAAACAATACATGACTCTATTTATAGAGAGAGTAAAAATTAGATATTACTAAGTCGGTAATTAAGACGGTGAAGAAAACTTACTATAAGTAAATTAATAATATTGATAGAGGATAATTATCCTTTCTAACACTCCCCCTTAATTATCCGTATATTATGTACGGTCTCGTTAAAAAACCTATGTCATAGAAAAACCCAATGGGATAAAAACTATGACTTAGGAAAAAGAGTACCGCAGCATAATCTCCCCCTGGAAAAGATAGAATCTTTTCTTTTCACAATTTTGTAGACGACGCATTCCATACTGTGAACATGCTTCTTGAACACTGTAGTAGGAAGCGCCTTTGTAAAAAGATCGGCTGCATTGTCACTTGAACGAATATACTCGATGTCCACTTCTTGATTTTTCTGGAGTTCTTGAGTGTATGAGAAAAATCTTGGAGGAATATGCTTCGTTCTGTCACTCTTGATATAACCTTCTTTGAGTTGTGTGACACATGCAGAATTGTCTTCAAATATTTTTGTTGGCTCTTTCTCTGTAACTATTCCACTTGATTCTTGTATGTGATGAGTCATAGACCGGAGCCACACACACTCTCTACATGCTTCATGGAGAGCAATAGTTTCTGCATAATTTGAAGACGTTGCAACCAAAGTTTGCTTTTGCGAACGCCAGGAGACCGCAGTTCCACCAATTGTGAAAACATAACCTGTTTGTGATCTAGCTTTGTGTGGATCTGATAGATATCCTGCATCAGCAAAACCAACTAAAACACATTTTGAGTTCTTAGGATAAAATAATCCTAAATCAATTGATCCTTGAAGATAACGAAAAATATGTTTTATTCCATTCCAATGTCTGCGCGTAGGGGACGAACTATATCTTGCAAGCAGATTAGTAGCGAATGCTATATCTGGTCTAGTGCAATTTGCAAGATACATTAGTCCACCAATAGCGCTCATGTAAGGTACTTCAGGACCTAACACTTCCTCGTTATCCTCACAAGGACGGAATGGATCCTTTTCAACATCAAGAGATCTATTAACCATTGGAGTACTCAAAGGAGTTGCTTTGTCCATATAAAAGCGTTTTAACACTCTTTTAGTGTAATTTGACTGATGCACAAATATACCATCTTGGAAATGCTCTATCTGGAGCCCAAGACAAAACTTTGTCTTTCCAAGATCTTTCATTTCAAACTCTTCTTTCATATGAGTTCTTGCATCATCAATTTCCTTTTGAGTTCCAATCATGTTCAGGTCATCTACATATACAGCAATAATCACAAATCCTGAAGAGGATTTCTTAATGAATACGCAAGGGCATATCGCATTGTTGACGTAATCTTTACTCAACAAATATTCACTTAAGCGATTATACCACATGCGTCCGGACTGTTTTAGTCCATAAAGTGATCGCTGTAATCTGACCGAACAGATCTCCTTAGCCTTTGATTTCAAATCCTCAGGCATTTTTAATCCTTCTGGGATTTTCATATATATCTCATTTTCAAGAGATCCATATAGATATGCTGTCACAACATCCATGAGATACATTTCAAGATTTTGAGACGCTGCTAAGCTCATCAAAAATCTGAATGTTATGGCATCCATTACCGGGGAATATGTTTCTTCATAATCAATTCCCGGTCTTTGAGAAAAACCTTGAGCCACAAGTCGGGCTTTATATCTTGTGACCTCATTTTTCTCATTTCTTTTTCTTCATTTGTGCCCGACGGGTTTTGTATTCTCAGGAGTTGTGACAATAGGTCCAAAAACACTTCTTTTATTGAGGGAGAGTAATTCAGCTTGGATGGCCATTTTCCATTTCTCCCAATCAGGTCTTTTCAGACACTCTGATATTGTTTCTGGATCTGGATCATCACTTTCATGATCGATCTCTTTGTATACAGAAAAAGAGAATATTCCATCATCATCTTCTATTTCATTTCTTGTCCATACTTTTCCATTTTGGGCGAAGTTGATGGAAATCTCAAATTTTTCTGTATCATGTTCGTCTTCTGGACGAATCTCTTTCTCTGGTTCTTCAAAAACCAGTTTGTTTATGTCTTCTGGACATATTTCTTTACAAGGTTCTTCTTGAACCTTTTCTCCCAAATTCTTTTTCTTTCGGGGATTTTTATCTTTAGAGCCCATCGGCCTCCCCCTCTTTAATTGGACTTTGGGTGCATTTGCTATGCTTCCATCATTTTGTTCCTTAGGAACATCTATCTTTGATGGAACGTTTGCAGCGGGTATATATGATTTCGTCACTCTTTTTGTATCTGTGAACGAATCTGGTAATTGATTTGCCATATTTTGTAAATGTATAATTTTCTGAACTTCCAATTCGCGTTGTTTTGTCGGGGGATCAAAGTGTACAAATTCGGTGTACACCATGTGAGGTCTTTTGGAACCTCTTTAATTCCTCCCCCTAACGCTGGAAATTCATCTTCATTAAAATGGCAATCGGCAAAACGTGCCGTAAACATATCACCAGTTTGAGGTTCAAGATACCGAATAATACTCGGTGACGTATACCCAACGTATATTCCCAATCTCCTTTGTGGCCCCATTTTTGTTCTTTGTGGCGGTGCTATCGGAACATAAACCGCACAACCAAAAACACGGAGATGGGATACGTTTGGCTCCTGACCAGATGCTAATTGCAATGGGGAATATATATTATAAGCACTTGGTCGTATTTGGAGCAACGCTGCAGCATGCAAAATAGCATGACCCCATATAGAAATTGGGAGTTTTGTTCTCATTATTAACGGTCTTGCAATCAGTTGCAACCGTTTAATCAAAGACTCAGCCATGCCATTTTGTGTATGGACATGTGGAACCGGATGCTCAACATCGATTCCCAATGACATGCAATAGTCATTAAAGGCTGTGAAGTGAATTCACCAGCGTTATCTAATCTCACTTTCTTAATAGTATAATCAGGGAACTGTGCTCTCAACCTGATTATTTGGGCAATGAATCTTGCGAAAGCCGTATTTCGTGTTGTCAAAAGACACACATGTGACCATCTACTTGATGCGTCAATTAATACCATAAAGTATTGAAACGGTCCGCATGGTGGGTGAATAGGCCCACATATATCACCGTGTATTCTCTCTAAGAACACAGGGGATTCATTCCAACTTTCGCTGGTGATGGCCGAGTTATGAGTTTTCCTTGAGAACATGCATTACATATGAACTCGCCCGTTTCTAAAATTTTCCCGTATTTCAACGGATGGCCATTTGAGTTTTGCACAATTTTTCTCATCATGACTGAACCTGGATGCCCTAGCCTTTCATGCCAGATTTTGAATGTACTAGTAAACTTCGGGTTTACTGTAACATATGATTCAGTCAGAGTAATATTTGTGCAATATAATCCGGAGGACATCATTTTCAACTCTTCCAATATTTGTCCCTCCGATTTGATGCAAAGGATTTCAATGCCATTCTTATTTATAGTCTCTATGTGATATCCATTTTTACGGATATCTTTGAAACTCAATAAGTTTCTATAAGACTTCGGGGAATATAATGCATCATTTATTTCAAACTTTGTTCCCCTTGGCATTGAAAAATTGGCTCTTCCAGAGCCCAATATTATTTTTGCACCACCAGAAATGGTATTCACGCTTTCAACGGAATCTTTAATTTTGAGACCGGAGAAATATCTTTTATCTTTGAGTATTGTGTGCGTTGTAGCACTGTCTGCAAGACACATATCTCCATCACGAGTCTCAAATTTCGTCATTTCTGGATTTAACAAAGATGCATTAATAAGTATTAAACAATACAAAGCTTATATCACAAGATACAAAATACCACATTAAAAACTATTTTACAACAAAAAGATCAAACTTTTAGGTTATCTTATTCAGGAAGATAACTATGTATATCATGTCCTTTTAGTCGTCTGTTTTTCCGTTGATCTCTTCGGAGTCAACCAGAAAATCTGAAACATCAAGATGAGTATCATCGTTTAGGCCGTGAAAGGAAGGACCGGGTTCATTGGAGATGAAGTTAGTCTCACTTTCTTTCTCCTTTGCTTTTTGTGATTCCCGGTACAGATCGGCTAAGTGTCTGGGTGTACGACAAGTACGCTCCCAGTGATTTTTCATGCCGCATCTGTAGCAAACACTTTCTTTTTGCTTTTTAGAATCTCGGCCGTAATCATTTGCTCGAGATCTTTTATAATTCCTTTCATTGTTGGACTCGTCGGGACGGTACTCTTTTCCTTGTCCCCGACCACGTCCACGGCCACGGCCACGACCTCGGTTTCGACCATATCCACGTCCACGTCCTCGTCCATTATTTTGGCTGGACGATGCTACATTCGCTTCTGGGAATGGAGCAGCTCCAGTGGGACGAGTCTGATGGTTCATCATCACAAGCTCGTTATTCTGTTCTGCAACAAGGAGAACTTCCATCAATTTTGAATAACGAGTATAGCCATTTGCCCGATATTGTTGTTGCAGGACTATATTTCCAGGGTGAAATGTGGAGAGCGTTTTTTCAATCATATCATAATCGCTCACATTTTCTCCACATAGCACCATCTTGGAAATTATTCTGAACATAGCAGAATTATATTCAACAACACTTTTATAGTCCTGAAACCGGAGATATAGCCACTGGTATTTGGCTTTGGGCAAATCTATATATTTTTGATGGTCAAATCTTTCTTTCAAAGATTGCCAAAGATCCGCAGGATCTTCTTTAGTGATGTATTCATCTTTTAAACCATCGTGGATGTGATGAAGTAGAAAGATCATGGCTTTCGCCTTTTTCTCATCGGATGTCTTCTTTCGACTTGTCAATGGCATCAAGAAGCCCATTTCCTTTTAGATGCATTTTTGCACCTATTGCCCATGTCATATAATTGTTTCCAGAAATATCAAGGGCGGAAATTTCGAGCTTAGCCAAATTTGACATGATATCTGCATAGATCATAGATCAGTTCATTAAATATAAATTCAAATTCAAATTTGCACAGTAAAAAAATTTAGCATTATAACAGTATAAATTTAGCAGAAATTTAGATGGCAGAAAAGTAAATAGCGAAAAAGTAAATTACAGAAAAGTAAATATTCAGGGAGAGGCAAAGCCTCTACTCCAAGAGGAGGTTTCACCATCAACTCTTATATGATCTAAGGTGACATAGTCTACCATATGATCATTTGCTCGGAGTAGGTACAACCTAGCATCCCGGCTTAAGAAATGATTTTTCGATTGTGGAGACAAAGCTACCATAACAATCGGCTCGGAGAAGGCATAGCCTACCATCCCGGCATAGCATATAAACAATAAAACATAATATAAAGCAGTTCGTGCTGATAACGTATTATAAATAAACTGAATGTACCACTATATATTATGTATAGTGGATGATTGTATTAATAAAAGAAGAAGTGAGAGAGAGAGAGGATTACGAAGAGAGAGGGAGATGAGGTAGAAAGGTTTTCTTGTGGAGAGAGAGAGAGGTTTCTGTGTGAGGATAGGAAGAGAAGTTTTGTATGTGAGAGAAGAGAGTAGTGAATATTTTTGTATTGAACTTATGTCTTAAACAATACATCGATCTCTATTTATAGAGAGTAAAATATTAGATATTACATAAGTCGGTAACTTTCAAGAAGGTAAGAAAACTTAATCTATAAGTAAATGTTATAATATTGATAGAGGATAATTATCCTTTTCAACACGAATAACGTTTTTGCACAAAAATCGTTATGCTTCGTGAAACCTATCCCACCTGACGTTCCATAACACGTTAGGCATGGTCCTGTCTAAATTCATTTGAGATTTTTTGGATGTGTTTTCCCAATATTTTTAAAATATATGAAATAATTTTTTTTTAATAGAGGTGTTGTCAGTAATTGGAGACAACCTGGTTTATTGCATTGGCCACAACGGAGTCGAGTTAAAGAACACTTGGTAAATTTATGATGCCACCTCCCGCAACACTCCAAAGGAAGAAGTGGTGTAAGAAGTAGAACACCTCGAACATCACGCTTCAGGACATCAGAGGTCCTCACAATTTAAGCGGGCTTATGGTATCTCTAAAAGCAACTTCAAAGTTTTATTGGACTTTATAAGCAATTTCAAGAGATTTTATGATTTAAATTCCTCTCTCATTTCTAATTTCCTATACGCTTATGCTAAAATGCCTTTAGTTTCATCTGCTTATCTCTCTAATCCAAAATTCCAAAGGAAGATGGAAGCCATTCTCTATTAGTGTGGTCTTATAGTTAGTAGTTTTAAAGGAATGTTATAATTAAATTATTTGGTAACTAATGAAGTAGTTTTAAATTATAGTTAAATTATAGTTAGTAGTTTTAAATTAATGAAGGATATTGTGTCACACATACATCATACATGAATCAAGAACTATTAAGGTTTATGTGTCACTCAATGACACCAATAAGAAATTAGGTGTCATTATATTCATGCAATGTGTTATGGATTAATCAACAAAACTTATCACTTATTTCTTTAATCTCAATTTTGATGGAAAATTAAAATTAAAAACTGAAAAAAATCCTAATAAGCATGTTGGTCCTCTCCTCTCCTATAAATACATGTCTTTGCTCTATCACAATGATATAACAAGAAAACACAACACTTAAGTAAAAAGTTTGTAGAGAAGAGGAAAGAAACCAAATCTCATACTTAAAACAAGACTTTTCATTTTCAAGGCTAGAAATCTTTCAAAATACTTCTCTACCATAATGAACGGATGTATTCTCTTAATTAACCTTCTTTATTCTACCATATGATTATCTAGATGTTTAAAGATTTTGGGGTTCATGTTAAATAAAGTTTACATGCATGTTTAAATAATATTTTACATTGATTTTCTAACAGCCATAACCAAATATGGGTCGTATTTTCAAGCTCTTGTTCATTGTCGGCCACAAAGCTCGGGCTCTGTCATCTCAAATGGCTATTTGAGTTATTCTAAGAAACAACCATTGCCCAAAAAGCTGGTCGTAACTAGAGCTAGACCGAGTATTAGTGATCATGAAGCAGCAAATCGTCCGCTGATTCAGTTTCCGGCATTCCTATTGGATTTGGATCATCGCTTCCTTTCTGTTTCCGTTAATCACTCGGTAAGTACAAGATAAGATATGGACATTTTAAAATCTTTATACTGTATAGATTGTTCTAGGCATTACGGATTAGGGACATATCTACTATAAAAGAAAAATTTATGTATATATTTACCTTTATCGCTATAAAAGAAAAATTTGTAGAGATGTTGTTAGGTTTAGAACCTGGCAATCTTTTATATAAGTTTCAAAAATCTGATGATTTTCTTTTTTTTTCCTAAATTGAACTACGGGGGTTTCGCCTAGAAACATTCAGGAAATCCACTATAATCAAGGTCTTGAAGCTTTATAGATCTGGATTTATCTCTCCTTAACTCCTCTTACTTCTTTTTTGCTCGCACAACGAATTAGTGTATTGTAAGAACATAAAAACGAGAGTTATGGACATACTAAGTACACTCAATAATTCAATATGTCACATGAATTTTGTTTTCCAAGGAAATGAATGGCCTTGGGAGAGATATCGAGGAACTTAAACCTAGAGTGAGTGACAAGCTGGTTTGTTCAGACACGAAGGAGAGGATTATTTTGATTCAGACGCTAGTCAATCTTGGAGTCGCTTACCATTTCGAGAAAGAGATCGAAGAGTTCTTGAAAGACGCTTTTGAGAAGGTGGAAGAAATGACCGTCGGAGAAGAGGATATGTACACCGTTTCTACCATCTTCCGGGTCTTCAGGCGATACGGTCACAATGTGTCTTCCGGTGAGATCCTTATGATGCTACATTATGCTAACATGTGTTTCCTTTGAAATATGACATCGGATAGTTGATTTTGTTTTTTTTTTGTAATACTTTGTCTCTATATAGATATGTTCAACAAGTATAAGACAGAGGACGGGTATTTTGAGAAATCTCTGACTGATGATACAAGAGGTATGCTAAGCTTGTACGAAGCATCACATCTTGGGACGAATACAGAAGTAATCTTGGAGGAAGCATTGCTTTTCACGCAGAACCACTTGGAGCTTTATGTTGGAGGTACTAATGAGCCACATCTATCTGAGCTCATAAAAAACGTGTTGTATCTTTCTCAGCAAGAAAACATAGAGGTACTTGTGGCAAGGGAATACATTCGGTTCTACGAACAAGAGACCGATGTAGATGAGATGCTGCTCAAGTTGGCCAAGCTCAACTTCAAGTTCATGCAGTTGCATTATATTCAAGAGCTTCAAACCCTCGTGAAGTAAGACACTATTTATTATAGAATCAAAAATGTGTTCATGCCATTATCATTCTCTATTAATTTGGGCATGCATGCACGAACAGATGGTGGGAAGAGCTAGATTTGGAATCAAAATTGCCCAATTACTTCAGAGAGAGAGTGGTGGAGTCCCTTTTCTGGACAACGGGCGTCTATATGGAGCCACAGTTTTCAACTGGTAGAATCATCCTGAGCAAGTGCCTTGTGCTTTTTGCCGTTTTGGATGACACAGCTGATGCCTACTGTACTCTCACTGAAGTTATAGATTTCTTTCAATGCTTGGAAAGGTACGTTTTATGTATTTTATTTTTGTTGATAATTTTCGCTTTTATATTTGTTCAAGGTTTATTACTAAAGTATGTTGCACGGAAACTCTCTCCTGAGGTCCGTTTTCCATTTCAGAAACATTTTAGAAACATAAAACTCTTTAAAACGTAATGGAAATACATTCGTTTGCTTTTGGAGAACTTGAATCTTTTTTTTTTTAAACATAGTAAGTAAATATTTAAGAAACTTGGTAAAATGAGATTTGAGTGATCAATTTAATTTATAAGAGTAACTTAATGATTAATTTGATTAGTTAAAAGAGATAAATCGGGTGATTGTTAAGTTTGTATATTTTTCTATACATGAACTACACAGTAATTGGTTGTCGGAGCTGACAGCATAAGACTTAGTCTCGTCAAAAAACGAAACTCGAGAATCTAACTTAGCAGATCAACACTATCACATAGTGCAGATTATGAACATTGTAATAACATGCGAATCATTTGACATGATGTTTTCAAATGTCGCACAGGTGGGAGGTTGATGCCGTAGACACAGTACCAGATCATCTGAAGGTCGTCTTGAGGTCGTTGATAGACCTTTTTGAAGAGTTAACAGGAGAAGTTAAATCAGAGGGGAGACTGTACAGCGTGCAATATGCGATAGACGAGGTATACTTAGATCGAATACACGGTCCAAAATATAGGGCCTTTAGACCTTGTAATTTACTCGAGTGACATTAGTCAATATATCATGCATAATAATGTGGTGCATTTTTACGGATGAATTGATTTGGATGTTTAAACAGTTAAAGAGGCTATGTAGAGCGAACCTATCAATAGCGAAGTGGGCACGGACAGGATGTGTACCCAACTTCCACGAGTACATGGAGGTTGGATTAGTGACTGGGGGAGTAGAGTGTTGTCTTGCAGCCGCCTTCATTGGTGTAGGGGAGGTTGCAGGAAAAGAAGCTTACGAATGGGTAATATCAAGACCCAAACTCATTCAAGCTCTAGATTTAAAATCACGTCTTAGAGATGATGTTGCCACCTTCAAGGTACAAGATCCATACAATAATACAAGAATATTAACATATATATTATCTCTTTACAACCGGAAGATTTTGGATCAAAGCTCAAACTAATTTCATATGATTTTTGGTTTTAACTTATACATATCTTTGGTATGATAAGGATGAAATGGCTAGAGGAGAGATTGCGACAGGTATCAACTGCTACATGAAGCAATATGGAGTTACCGAAGAAGAAGCATGTCTAGAGTTTGACAAAAGAATTAAGCATGCCTCCAAGGTAGTAAATGAAGAGTTTTTAAAGACGACTGGTGTTGTGCCTTTGAAACTTATGCGTGTTGTTTTGAACTTTGGACCGGTTATCGATGTCAACTACAAATATGGCGATGGATTTACCTATCCAGAGATGGTGAGAGGTCCCATTACCTCTTTGTTCCTTGATCTAATAAGGCTTTAATTAAAGGGTTTTAATTTAAAGTTTGTAATTGCTTCTTCAAATTAGTCGAATAAGTAAAAACGTTTGTGCTTTGCCCATCCAGGTTTGAAAGTTGGTAATTAAATGAACAAAATTTATAGTGTGAAAACCACTAAGCACTATCGAGAACATATTATATATGTAACAGTATAATGTATTCATTGACTTAATTAAATCTACTTTATTCATGATGGTCGAGAATCGAGATGTTACACATTCTCATTTATCTGTATATATTTCTTTTGGATTGCTCTCTCAACTTTATTTTTTTCTTGAAGTTTGAAGCAAGTTTTTTTGTCTTGTAAAAGACTAAATACGCTTCTGTGCCAATTGGGGAATAAAAAAAGTCACTGGAAGAAACACTCTCAAATTCCTCTTCTGTTCAAACATTTTTGTAAAGACAAATGTATGTATATTTTGGACCAAAAGAAAAACTAGTGATGGGAAACCAAAGTTGGATAATGCCAAAAATAAAATAAACTTGCAAGAAAGAATTCACAATGCAATGTAGCCAAAAGATATCTTGGAGAATCCGAGCTGGCAAATCCCGGTTAAGCATCATGTGGATGATAGTACTGCCAGGTGTACATCCTCATTGCAAATATTTGTACACGTGTCATCTTATCGGAGGCTTGCTCAGATTTGCGAAGAACTCTCTTCTCTTATCAACAAAAAAATCCTCAAAAACTTTCCGATTAATAAAAGAAAATCCCTTTCTCTGATTTGTTTTCTATTGTCTTTCTTCGTTTCTCTTCTTCTTTCTCTCCGACTTCTTTCCGGTGACGCTATGAACGCCGCCGTGTTTGCTTCATCTGCTTTATCTCTTCCCATCTCCTTCTGTAAAACTAGATCATCTAAACTCACCAGAAAGAAGGTAACTTTGCTTAAACCAGTGTCTAATTGCGTTTTTGGGATATGGGTTTTGTTTGTGAGCTCCAAAGTTTTGATTTTTGAGTGATTGTTGTTGTTTTTCAGGGAGTGAAAGGAGAATTCAGGGTATTTGCTGTGTTTGGAGAAGAAAGTGGATTAATTGAGAAGAAGAGCCAATGGGGTCCTTTGTTTGATGTTGAGGATCCTAGAACGAAAGCTCCTCCTTATAAAGGCAAGTTCTTGGATGTTCATCAAGCTCTTGAAGTTGCTAGATTTGATATTCAATACTTGGATTGGCGTGCTCGTCAAGATCTCCTTACCATCATGATTCTTCATGATAAGGTTTGTTCCTCACTTGAGTATCATCTACATTGACCTCTTTTGAGCTTGCTTAAATCTATATGGTTCGTCAAGTTACGTTCTTTAGCTTATGATAAGGATAGAGCTGTGAAACCAGAGAGACTATCTGCTACATTCTGTCTTAGGCTAGGTAGAGTAGACTTATAGCTACGTATTGGAGCTATTGAACTTCTTCAAATGTTATCAGTTCAGTGATTGTATTGGACTGATCAGTTTTCAGTACAAACATGTCTTCAAATGTTTGTTTTTCTAGCGCAATTTTCAACATTTGGTTTATGTTTAGTGTTGGCTTCGTTTTGATGCTAAGTTTGTAATGAATGTATGTCAGTCCACTAATTGTATTGAAATGATCAGTTTTCACTATTTTCAGTATTTGCCGTTATTCGATAAATCAGTAATGGTTTTGTGCTTACTATTGGCTGTGTTTTGATGATAAGATTGGAATGAATGTTATGTCAGGTCGTTGATGTACTTAATCCTCTAGCTCGTGAGTACAAATCAATCGGTACTGTGAAGAAAGAACTAGCAGGATTGCAGGAAGAGCTAGCTAAAGCACACCAACAGGTTCATAAGAATGCAAATATCCTTAAAAATGATTAGCTTTCAACCTTCAAACTTCTTCTAAATTTTGAGTTGAAACGAAACAGGTTCATATATCTGAAGCAAGGGTTTCAACTGCTTTAGACAAGTTAGCTCACATGGAAGAATTGGTTAACGATAGGTTGTTACCCGGTAGAGTCACAACAGAATCAGATAAACCGTCGTCTTCAACCTCAGTCCAGGACTTAGACAGGGAAAAGACAAACATCGGTGCCAAAACCTTGAATGTTTCTGGTCCGGTTCAGCCTTATAGTCCACGGTTAAAGAACTTTTGGTATCCTGTAGCTTTCACCGCAGATCTCAAGCATGATACAATGGTATGTATAAAGGTTCTTGCTTGATTGATTTTGCCATCTTTCTTTATTTACAAGCTTCTGAAGAATGCTGTTGCTTATGTGTTTTAAGGTACCAATTGATTGCTTTGAGCAACCATGGGTTATCTTTAGAGGAGAAGACGGTAAACCAGGATGTGTACGAAACACGTGCGCGCATAGAGCTTGTCCTCTTGATCTTGGCACAGTGAACAATGGACGTATCCAATGTCCTTACCATGGTAAGTAAATACATTATCTGTACTTTTGTTGATACATTTTGAAAAAAGACATTCTTGTCTCTAATGAAAATGTGGTCTTGTAGGATGGGAATACTCAACCGATGGGAAATGTACAAAAATGCCATCAACGAAGCTATTGAATGTGAAGATAAAGTCGATACCTTGCCTTGAACAAGACGGTATGATCTGGGTCTGGCCTGGAGATGAGCCTCCTTCATCTACACTCCCTTCTCTACAACCTCCTTCAGGGTTTGTAATCCATGCTGAGGTATATACATTCTTGCATTTCAAGAAGTAGCTAGCTCCATTCCAATCTCCTCATAGCATTTTCTTACATGATTTCAGCTAGTAATGGACCTTCCTGTGGAACACGGTTTACTTCTTGACAATCTCTTGGATCTTGCTCATGCTCCATTCACTCACACGTCAACTTTTGCTAAAGGCTGGAGTGTTCCAAGGTTTGTTTGACTCTCATTACTCTGTTTGTTCCAAGATGAATCTGTTTATCATCTCAAGCTTTATTTTTTTTGTCTCTGTTCTTGCAGCTTGGTGAAGTTCTTAACGCCGTCTTCAGGTTTGCAAGGATACTGGGATCCATACCCGATCGATATGGAGTTTAAACCGCCTTGTATCGTGCTATCGACAATCGGGATCTCAAAACCAGGGAAATTAGAAGGAAAGAGCACTAAACAGTGTGCAACACATCTTCATCAACTCCATGTTTGTTTACCTTCTTCAAGAAACAAGACAAGACTCTTATACCGAATGTCACTAGACTTTGCTCCTATATTGAAGAATGTTCCCTTCATGGAACATCTCTGGAGACATTTCGCTGAACAGGTAAAGTAAAGAACAAACAAATATCTTGATACGGATCACAAGGATGATCATAATCATCGTTTGTTTCTCTGTTTTTTCAGGTTTTAAACGAAGATCTAAGGCTTGTTTTGGGACAGCAAGAACGGATGTTGAATGGTGCAAACATATGGAACTTACCGGTTGCTTACGACAAGCTCGGAGTTCGGTATAGATTATGGAGGAACGCGGTAGATCGCGGCGATGCTAAATTACCATTCTCAAGCTAACTGTTTTATTGAAGAAGAAAAATCTAATGTTTTTGAGCAGCTCTCTCAATTCATTCACCAAGAGACCTTTTCAAGAAAAGTGTTACTCGATCGCAGAGAAGCTTTGGGCAGAGTAACGATTTCTGGAGTTTGGTGGATTCATCTTTTTGAAGACGATGAAACAAAAGACTTTTGCGTAGATAATGTAAAAAACAATCATCCACTGTAAATCATAATGGAGATATTGTTGTTCCATTTTTCCTGTGTACAGTGAATGGATAAATTGAAGCTTCAGACATCAGAACAAGAACATGAACAGAGTCAATAAGCAAACAACACAATCAGTAAGACCACATAGCTTATAGTGATTGTGACTTTGAAGGAAAGAACACAACACAAAAGACTGCAATTGTAAATGAAACAAAAAGTACAACTTTTTGGAAAACAGAGGAAAATTTACAGAGAAGAGCCACAAAAGGGGCAAAAACGGAACTCAGGCTTGACGAGACGATCGCAGAAGCGGCAAGTAGCTAGAGAAAGCGGCGGTGGTTGTAGAGATTGAGGGAAAAAGAGATCGCAGTCTCTACAGTGGAGGAGAGGATCTTTCCCTGGCCATCTCCAGACAGGAACGAAGAAAAGTTTCAAGACTTTGTCGTACTCGACCAAATCGGCTTCAGAGCCGCATCTTATGCAGTTTCCGGCGCCGGATTTCAGGACTTGTCTCACTTGTTGCCCTAATCCACCAACGAAGAAGAAGAACATTTTCTTATCCACTCGTAATCTTGTTAAGAGGTTACCCAAAATCTCGTTTTTAAGTTCCTTATTAAGTTAGTTTTGCTAAGGACACGATCAGTAGAGTTTTAATGTAAATTTGATGTTCTTGTTCTAGTGGTTTCTAGCAGAGGTAAGAACAAAAGTTTTCATTTTGCCTTGTTCCAGTGGTTTCTAGGAGAGCTAAGGTAAAATTTTTGATTAGTTCGGTTAATCGGTTTGGAAACGGGTCAGGTCTTTCAGATATTGGATCCGGGTCGGTTAACTTTCGGGTTGGTTTCAGTTTCGTCCGATTTTGGGTCGGGTTCGGATACTCAAATTATGCAAATTTATTTATATAAACAATCTTACAAATACTAAAATACATATTAAATTCAAAATTCTTCTGATAATATTAAGATGAAGAAAAAGTTTTTTTATGTTAACCAAAAAGAACGAAATTGCTAAGCCAACAAAGTGATAGAGCTCAAACGAAACCTGTGAATGAGAAATCACACTCACATCCAAAACACTTCTACTTGAATTTTGCATTTTTTTGGTAGAAGATGAACTTTGCTACGTTTCCAAGATCATATATTCATATTAGCCAACAACAAATCAACATTTGTTCTCACTGTGAGGCTTGCTAATAATTCATACGTGTCATACAAGGAATCCTCGCAGAGAATACCACAACCAATATGTCTGAATAAATCTCATCATTATTTCATAATGTTAGAATTGGAAATTATTATTGTGGCTTAGTTTTTGTTTCTCTTCTACAATGTAATCAATCCTTCACGAATCATATAATTTCGGTGAAAAAAAACAAAAAAACAAAAAAATAAATCTCACCGACCTAAAAACATTGAAATTTCAAGGCAACCGATTTTGTAACTTACCTCAAAATTGATATCACCGCCCAAAAAAAGAGAGGATGAAAACGAGACCGAACAAAAGCGTGTCAGAGAAAATGAGATAAACTCTGACGACTTCTCTCCGTCGAAACTAGTGGGCCCCACCATCAGCCGTTACGATACGACACCTAATTCCCCACGTGACTCAAATCTCTCCTTTTATCCCCACATGCTCAAATCTCGCTCTCTTTACCCATTTTATCACCACATGCCCAAATCTCTCTCTCTTCACTCGCTTCCTTTTTCCCCTCTCTCTCTCTCAAAACAGAGCAACAAAAGTTCCTTTTTACCTCTCTCTCTCTCTCTGTCTCTCAGAACAGAGTTATGGAGAATCTCAAGAAACTCAACCTTCTCTCAATCTCTATAACCATAATCAACCTCTCTCTCACCATCGCCACAGAATTACCTTTCATAGATCTAAAATATGCAGACGACAACAGTCCTTTAGGGATGTTACTACGTCCGACACCGACCAAGAACCTGTCCTCGGGCACACCGAGTCGGGTCGGGTCAGATGAGTGCCTTGTTTGGACCCAAGCCTGTTCCAGTGAGATTCTTAGGCTGTCTTACGTGCCTGAGAACGTTGCGTGGCTCAAGCGCGTGAGGAGGGCGATCCATGAGAATCCGGAGCTTGCGTTTGAAGAGTATGAGACGAGTAGGCTTGTCCGGACCGAGCTGGATCGTATGGGGATCCGGTATAGGTATCCGTTGGCGAAAACGGGTATCCGGGCTTGGATCGGATCCGGTGGCCCACCTTATGTTGCTGTGCGGGCTGATATGGACGCACTCCCTATTCAGGTAAATAAAAAACCTTCTCTTGATTTCTAACGAAGTATATGTTTTTTTGTTTGGTTTTATATTAACATGATTTATGAAAAATATGTGCATGTGTACTTGCTATCAAAACAAAATGTACTTCTAAGTACTGTACATATATTGTATCACACCTACTATTTGCATGATAGGTTTGATTTGTTATATAATTTAGAGATTTTAATTGGGGATAATTTGCAAATGTAAGTAAATTAGGGGTCACTTGCTTGTGAGCTAAAAACGAAGCAACTTGCATGATAGATATATTGGCATTTTGCTAAATAAATAGAACGTTTGTGGCACGTGGTTTATCAAAATAGTGGGTCATCTTGCAATAGTATAAAATATTTTAAAATTACAATGTATATCCATATAATATTTCGAAAATTCACGTAGGAAAAATAAGTTACAACTTTTACAAAAATATAAATCAGAGCCGGTGTTTTTGTTCCCCTAGCTTGCATAACTTAGGAGTCTGGACCAGCTCCGTTAGAAAGGAAAGTGAAAGTTTGCGAAAGAATAGAGATGGTTTGAGTTAAATGTACAATTTATATGTAATGATGATTTAATACGGGCATAATACCCATATGTTTTGAGCTTAAGTCCTTATATTCTTTGTTCCATTTGACCATGTGAAATTATCCATTATAGGAAATTTTGTGTACATTCATATTGTTACTTGCTGACACAGAAACCGTGCAACATGAGATATGACATGATAATGATATATATTGATATATTGTGTGGTTGAGGTGAAGTGATTATAGATAACGCATACGCATATATAGAGCTCTACTTGCAAGTTTTGTTTTTTATACTAAATAAACATAATATTAATCGTGGTTGTATAAAATAGGAAGCAGTGGAATGGAAACACAAAAGCAAAGTTGCTGGTAAAATGCATGCTTGTGGTCATGATGCACATGTGACTATGCTTCTTGGTGCTGCCCATATTCTGAAGTCTCGTGAACATCTTCTCAAGGTACTTCATGAAACTCCATTTTTTTCGTAACATTGCTAGATAGTTAGAAAATTTTATAATGCTCTGGTTTAATTTCTTATTTAAAATTGGATTTTATGTATTTTCAGTTTCTTGGTAAGATTATTTTAAAAACGTGTTTTTTGGTGGGTCACTGCCTGTTTTGTTATCATGACAACTTGACAAGTAACGCCAATTAAATACTTGTATTCAAGCATATATAAGGGGGACACCATCAAAATTCAACCAATTGAGCCTATTAATTCAATTCCAAAATGAAAAATGGGATAATATATACGTTCAACGCTCTAAAATTGATCACAAATGCATTTTAGTTAGTGATTATACGAATAACATTTTATGCATCATGTAACTAAAACGGAACATTTTTTATAGGGAACTGTGGTTCTGTTATTCCAACCGGCAGAAGAAGCCGGAAACGGCGCCAAGAAAATGATTGAAGACGGTGCATTGGAAGACGTGGAGGCTATCTTCGCCGTCCATGTGTCCCACGTCCATCCAACGGGTGTGATTGGATCTAGGAGTGGTCCTCTGCTCGCCGGATGTGGAATTTTCCGAGCAGTGATCACCGCGGAGGAGAGCGGCAGCTCTGCTGATCTTATTCTTGCGGCTTCTTCCGCCGTCATTAGCCTTCAAGGGATTGTATCACGTGAAGCAAGTCCTCTTGACGCTCAGGTGATTCTCAAAATCCACCGCAAGAAAATTTGAAAACTACACATATTTAGATTCTGATTCTCATTTTCCTATAGGTTGTGTCGGTGACTTCATTTGATGGCGGTCACAGTCTCGATGTGTTACCGGACACGGTGGTCCTCGGTGGCACTTACAGAGCATTCTCTAACTCAAGCTTTTACTACCTTAAGAAGCGTATTCGAGAGGTGCGTAATTGTATAACCACCTAAATTTTGAATTTTGTCAAAGAAACAAAAAGTTTCTTGGAAAAAGTGTTAATATATTTAATACATTTGATATTTTGTAACGGCAGGTACTCGTAGATCAGGTCGGGGTTTTCGGTTGCACAGCGACAGTAAACTTCTTTGAAGACGAAAATGCGATCTACCCTCCAACCACAAACAACGACGCAATATACAATCACTTGAAGAAAGTCACGGTCGATTTGCTCGGAGATAGCCACTTCACGCTAGCTCCACAAATGATGGGAGCCGAAGATTTTGCATTCTACTCTGAGATCATCCCGGCCGCATTCTACTTTATTGGCATTAGAAATGAAGAACTCGGATCAGTCCACATTGGTCATTCACCGCATTTCATGATCGATGAAGATATGTTACCGGTTGGAGCAGCCGTTCATGCCGCCGTAGCTGAGAGATACTTAAATGATAAACGTTTATAGGTATAGAGACAATCTTCCCAAGTTTAGTTTCTGGGTGGTTTATGATTTAGGTGTTACATAAATTATATTAATGTATCTTTGCTTCTATTTTTTCTGTGAAAAGTAGGTTTTTTCCTTTTTAACGAGTAAACCGCTGCATTAGAAATCTTGTCCAAAATGTAGTAGTGATATTTTAAAGAGGATCTTTAGTAGTGTAGCTTATCTGTGTAATTTCGGGATTTTATTATGGGATATTGGACGTTGAGTATTTGTTACGAAATACGTAACTTCAATATTTTTTTTGATAAAGAATACGTAACTTCAAATCTTCAATATACGGTGATTAATTAAGGTTTATGATATTCACAACAGAGCATTCATATTTGATTCTTAGCTTGCAAATGAAACAAATAGTACAATAAGGTCAACTTAAGATAATTGGAGGGTTGACATTGTCAATACTCTAAATCCAAGAATAAAAATACGAAATTCGAGAGCATACAAACGAGAAGATCTTACAGATTTTGGGTCATAATTTTCTTTGTTCGCGTGGGACATTAATCTATGGGTACTTGTTAAGGAGGAAGGAATAAACTAGAGTATACAATTTCTGCCGACAAAAAAAAAGAGAGTACAATTTCTACGTTTTCCACCTCCGAGTTTGTAGCAGTTTAAGGATCGATCTAAGATTTATTTTGACAAATTCAACTTCCACATTTGATTCTTAGCTTGCAAGTGAGATAAAGTAGCGTCAAATTAATGAAGTTAGTTGGTTATGAAAAAAAACAAATTTACTAAAGATAATTTCTAGATTGAAATAGTTGATTAGTTAAAGTTTTAGTGAGGAAAATAAGTTTACAAGAATTGAAAATACAAAAATAAATAATAGAATTCGCAAGCATACATATATAGGCTGTAGGCATGTAGCAAGCTATACAAAAAGATGAGGAAGATTTTGTTTTTTAGAATTGGGATATAAAGAAGTCTAGATTGTTTCATGAATCAATTTATGCATTTGTATATATGTGTAACAATATTAAATTTTGTAAATTATATTGCTAATTGTGTACAATTATGGTTGTGATTTATTTAAAATAAATTAGTGCATACTAAACATAAAACAAACAAACCATTAATGACGACTAGTTAGAATACAAATTTTCTATTCTCGCCGCACAATATTGTAGAAGCTTGAAGAGCAAAGTAAGTGAGAATGAGATCTGCACCAGCTCGGCGTATGCACATCAGTGACTCCATCATTACTTTTTCCTCATCGATCATCTTGAGAAGTCCTGCGGCTTTGATCATGGAGTACTCACCGGAAACCTGGCAACCTCCAATGGGCAATAGAGTCTGGTCCTTCAATAAGCGTATGATATCGAGAGAAGGAAGTGCTGGTTTCACCATTAGAATATCAGCTCCTTCAGCTTCGTCTTCTCGTGCTTCGATCAATGCTTCTCTTAGATTTGCTGGGTTTATCTGATAACTTCACGCATTTAACAACCAGAAATGAATTAGACTGGGCAAGCTAAAAAACCTATATACGATATTATATACACATAAAGCTTCATTTAGGTTGTACAGTAGTTTCAGGTTATTGTACAAAAAAAAAAAGGTTGTAGTAGTTTCAAACACTAATTTCTTATTTATATATGCATTTGCGTTCACGCTTGCATGTAAAAAACAAATTCATAATAGTTCATTGTTTTTGAAGTAATCTTGTTTTGAATGAACTATATCTGCAAAAATTTAAACGAAGACAATAGTTGTTTTTTTACGTTTTCTTGTCCAATTCCACTTGGCGGAAACGGCCGTATAATGAACTTGTATACCTGTTGGTACGTAGAATGATTATGATAATTAGGTTAGACTGAAAAGAAAATAAAATGAATATACGTTAGGTATGTAGTATTTTTACTTGACAGAGTAAGACATGATGGAAACATGGTGAAATCCCCCAGCATCTAGAGCTGCACGAACCGCGCCTACACGACCATCCAACATCTCACTGGTGCAAACAACATCTGCTCCTGCTCGGGCCTGAATCAGTTCTTATTAAAATTTTGAACCTCTTGCATGTTTATTTGGATCAATAAGGCTTTGTTTTTACCTGAGAAACTGCTTGTTTGCGCAATTGGTAAATTGTTTCATCATTCAATATCACGCCTATATAACATAGATAGATGATTCAGAAATCACTCAAAAGAGTCTTGTTTTCTATATAATAATAAAAAAAAAAAACTGTACAAAATACATTTCTTACCATCTTCTCTTACTATCCCACCATGCCCACTTGTTGAGTACTCATCAAAATTGACATCAGTGTGGATAACCTTGTGAAATTAAAAATGAGATAGGCATTAGATCATGTTATGGGCCACTTCCTCTAGCTAGTGAGCAAATCATATGTAACTTACGAGATCAGGGAATTTGTCTTTGAGGAGACGAACTGTTCTTTGCACTAGACCGTTGTCGTTGAAAGCCTCTTCCCCTGTTGGAGACTAAGTAAAAAACGAAAAGTTGATTATTGATGCATGGTAACTTCATATGGGTTCATAAAAATAAACAAGAAAATTATGAAACCTTTAACGCCTCAGGAACTTTTGGGTATAACATTATGCTATTAAGACCAACATCTCGTGCCCTTGCAACCTATATTCCTCCCAAATTACATACAAGAGTGGTTTGTTAGAAGTTAGAACAATCGTGAGCAAAATGATTTACATACGTGAACAATCGTTAGTCTCTTAATTAACGTTTTGAAAAGACACAATACTCACTTCTTCGATGAGCCCGTGTCTCCAGCCAAGAATGTAACGTCCGGGCATCGTACTTATCGGAATGTCTACCTCACCTGTGAGACTCCAATGTAAATATATAGTCACGTAAGCAAATCTGAATGCACAAAAGCTATACGATTCGTTTTTTATATCTAAAACACAAAGAAATTAAACCTTGATGAATGAAGAGTGGGTATATGAAGTTTTCAGGAGAGATGTTAGTCTCTTGAAATGCAGCTCTCTGCGTAGGGGACTTCCGGTTACGACGTGGACGCCGACTTAGCTGCTGAAAACACTTAACTCACATTAGATCGTGAAGAACAAAGAAGTTTAAAGCCAAAAATAAAAGGTAGTTTTGTTTATGGCTTTTTTTTCTAGGTTAAATAACCAGCACTTTTAACACATGATTAATCTCCCATGTTGAGTGTGAACGTTGAATAGTCCATCGACTAATGAGTTTAAAGCATGACAGCATTTCTACTGGTCAAAGTGTAATGGTTTTTGGCTATCTAAGAAGTAATGGGTAAGAAAAAACAATGTTTACTTACAAGATGGTGATCAGTCAGAGGCTCGACTGGTTTACTTGGCACTGGAGGCGCAGCTAGTTTACTCGGCACTAGAAGCGCCTCGTGAGTATTTACTGGCCATGTCATGGTGGAGTCGAACCTTTGCAGTTGACAAGCAACTTTTGTGCTTCGGAAATGATTGATCTTCACGTTATACGACGGTGGTTTAAGGCCCACGTAGCTCTTCTGCTCAAACGTTTTCATCGCCGGAATCTTGCAAGGAGATCTAAACATGGATGACGTCATGTATATATGCTGAAACTTGGTAAATAAGAAGGAAACTCGTCAATGATGGAAAACTATCATAGAGTGGGACTTTTAATTTATAGTCATTTTAACTTTGAGAGAGAAATCTTTTAAACGTTAAACTATTCTTTTATGTTTGGTTCGCAAATTTCGATAACATTAACGTGCAGCTAATGTACAGGTAGTCATGTAACGTGACAAAGTATAGTTATCATATTCAAATTTCATTGGGAATTATCTTATAAGCATATCTTCTTTATTATGTCAACTTAGAAGCATATCTTATCTTAGGTGATCTACGTCATCTTGGTGTCGACAAATCTTGTAGTTGACAAAATGTGATATGATGATTTTTTAACAAAAATAAAATGCATACCGATCGTACGTTAGTCCTTTTCCCTTTTGGTGTTAGTTTAGACGATTTTGACGAAGGAAAATCCGATTTTATATTTGTTTCAAGATTAGTCGTTTTGATCTAGGAAACAAGACTTAAGAAAGAAAAACAAAACAAATTGAGCGTATGATTCAGTTGAAAATGAGCTCTATGATTCGGACTATCGAAGATGGAGACGTTAAACTAGTAAATAATCATCTTTCTGTTTTTTTATTTTATTTTTATTTTTTAAATTGGGCAATTTGGTTTATTATTTCTGCTTCAAGCAAAAAAGTAGATTTTTGGAGTTTATGGATTTACCATGTTATATACCCATAAAAGTTTTAGAATATTAAACCAACTCTCCCTTATAATTAACCCATAAGAATTTACCATTTCACATAAGATTTTTTTTATGAGGGGATACAATTTACACATTGATTTATAATTTTGAACCAGTTTAATAAGTATAATCTTGTTAAAATAATAGCATGGTATAGTTAGTTACATAGCAATATATGAAACACTAGCTATTACAAATGTTGTAAAAATTAACAAAATAAATCTAGATATATATATCTTGTAAACGCATGCATGATACATGCATGACAAAAATAACGCATATCTAGAAGGCTCTAATAGATTAATTATATGTATATCTTAACATATTTTTTTTTACTTGTTGGCATCTATCACATGATCTCTGTGAAAGCTGATATTTAGTAAAATGTAAACGACGTGATTAGAAAAAACTATAACTTATTCTCTAATGAGATAATATTTGCGAAATTAAGAAAATGGTTATTCTCGTATAGTATATATCTTTATCATTTTTAAAAGATTATTGTAAAACAAAAGAAGAAATATAATAGGTGAGAACCTCTATATAAAGGGCTTCTACTCCAGACTCCAGTCTCACTAAATTGTATCCGTGAACAGATCAGTTCATTTTCATTCCACTAATCTTTCGTTGATGCAGTAGTCATGAAGAGCTTCATTTTAACCACATTACTCCTTGTAGCTTTGCTTTGCCTTATCTCTCTTCCAATTTCAACATTTGGATTACCAAAGATACCATGGCCTAAGCCGTCAGAATTAGCGGTAGGCCACCCCAATCACGAAGGCTCTGGTCGCCTTGGAGTCTCCAAGGTTGGTTGGGCTTGCACTTCTGTCACAGACCCTAACGCACCTCCCTCGCCCCCAGGGTTGCTTCCGGAGCTTCCCAACATCCCTGGACTTCCCAGCCTCCCGGAACTACCAAACATCCCAGGACCTAACATTCCTGGACTCCCTAGCCTCCCTGGCCTCCCTGGCCTCCCTGGCCTCCCTAGCCTCCCTGACCTCCCTTACATCCCATACCTCCCTCGCCTCCCTCCTCTCCCCGGCCTGCCACCCTTCCCGGACCTCCCTCGCCTCCCTCCTCTCCCTCCTCTCCCAGGTCTTCCTGCTCTCCCTGGCCTACCAGGCTTGCCTCCTCTGCCGCCATTCCAGCCAGTAGTTTTGTCGCAATCGGTTGAAATGCAGAAGTGCTTGACGAAAGATGATGGATCAAAAACCACGGATAAATGCTTTTCGCAGATATTCTCAAGTTGGGCAGAGAAGGATTTTGCATTGGACAAGGAGTGCTGTGAGATCATTGTAAAGATGGACAAGAAGTGCAATAGCCACGTTCACACGTTGTTCAAGAGCCGCTTCTTCGTTCCTCTTCTTCAATACTCATGTCACATCAAGCACACCAAACACTAAGCGAGTCCCTCCAGTTGGGTATTTTAGTCTAATATATATGCTAGTCGTTTATTTTTTATTTGCAATAATCATCTCTCAGCAAGGACACTTCATGTGTTATTCTTCGTTGAGTAATAAATATTATTTTTTCTTACAATCCTTACTTAATTAATCCTCTCCTTACGTACGAGTTATGTTTAGTGTGGACTATGGTGTGTCCCGTCGGGATATTATAGGACGTTGTAAATTAGAAAATAATAATTAGTCTACTTACTTTGTTATCGTGAAAAAGATCAATTTAAATTGTGTGCTTTCAAAGGAGGCTCTATTTAAACAAGTAGGTTTACCTTATCGTGATGACTGAATACATTATCACTATGTTGCTTTTACTGTTTCTGAAGTAATTTTTCTGAGGCCAAGAGTTACTGTATCAGTACCGTGATTTAGAAGAGATCAGCCGCCACTAGATCATTACATTAACAAAATTAAGAACTAAAATTAATTTTTTGAAAAGCCCTGTACTGTTCTAGTAATGGAATGCTTGTAAATAGCAAATTAATGATGATACAGTTTTTCTTTATAAATGCCTCTCAATAAATATATAATATATAGAGAATTAAATTAAACTACAAAAAATTAAGTTTCTTATCGCACTTGTTAACGAAATACTACTTTGGCAAAACCCCCATTATAGTTAAGGATTTTTTTGTTTTTGTTTTTTTGCTAAGGTATACTAAATATTTATATCTTGCACCATCGTCGTTCTTGTAAACGTATACACGTACGTGAGAAAGATCTACTTACATTACATATGGGCATCTTGACATATCACATGATTCCTGTGACCAGATATTTGGTAGAATGTAAACGACGTGATTAGGGAAAGAAATTATAACTTATCTTCCAATGAGATAATAGTTGCTAAATTTTATTTTAAATAGATAATGGCCATGCTCGTATAGACCATCCGTATACTTTTTCTCTTTAACATTTCGAAAATGTTAGTCTAAATTAAAAGAAATATGTACGTGAAAACACCACTATATAAACTTAGTTCACTCACACAACTGTATCCGCGCACAAATTAATTCATTTACACACCATTCCTCTTTGGCCTAATCATGACGAGCTTGATTTTAACCACAACACTCCTTGTATCTCTGGTATGCCTCCTTTCTCTCCCAATTTCAACAGTAGCATTACCAAAGAAAGCATGGCCTCAGTCGTCAAAACTAGCGGCAGCACACCACCATCAAAAAGGCTCTAGCCACCTCAAAAGCTCCAAGGTCAGTTGGGCTTCCTCTTCTATCTCAGACTCTAATGGACCTTTTCCCAACATCCCGGAGATTCCCAAGATCCCAGACATCCCCAACATCCCAGGGATTCCCAGAATACCCGGAATTCCAAACATCCCGGGAATTCCAAGCATCCCGGGGATTCCCAGCATCCCAGGGATTCCTAACATTCCCGAGATCCCCAACATACCGCAGATTCCTAATATTCCAGGGATCTCTATTATCCCAGGACTTCCAAGCATCATACAAAGGCTTCCTATTCCGGGCCTCCCTAGCCTTCCAGGGATCTTTGACATTCCAAGACTTCCTAATACCCCGGGTCTAGAGGGCGTCCATAGTTTACCCATGTTCAAGTCTGAAGTTTTATTGCAAACAGCTGAAATGGAGAAGTGCTTGAAGAAAGATGAAATAAAGACCGCAAAGAAATGCTTTTCCCAAATATTTTTGAGGTGGGCAGAGAAGGATTTTGTATTGGACAAGGAGTGTTGTGAGATCGTTCTGAAGGTCGACAAGAAGTGTAGCCACGCTCGCATGTTGTTAAAGAGCCGCTTCTTCGTTCCTCTTCTTCAATATTCGTGTAACATCAAGCATACCAAACACTAAGCGAGTCCTCCAAGGGATATATTGTTTTTTTTTATTATCTGGTAGTCGTTTATTTGTAATTTTCAATAATCATCTCACGTGGGATATTTCATGACCTGTTCTTCGCTGAGTAATAAATAATACTCCATACTATTAACTTCTTCTTCCGAATTTAGCTTCATTTTTATCGAACTTATTAGATGGAGATAATAATTAGTCCAACTACTCCGCTAACGTTAAAAAAATCAGTTTAGAATTTGTGTCCTTATTATGACAAAGGCTTCGTATGAAATTAGAAAAAAAAAAGAACACTTTGAAGCATATTCCCCCAAAATAACATACTATTAACTTCTGGAAGTATCTTATTTTCCAAATTGTTTTTTGTCTTTTTTTTTGGCTAATAAAATCTGCAACATATTTTTGAAAACCCACGCGACTGACATTTTCAAAACACACCCGAGAAAACATAAGATAATGAGGATTCAGTTTCAGTATCTGATAAGATCCGGTACAATGTAACTTAAAATTCTATATGTACGTATCAAAATCCATAAATAAAGGTTATACATGTTTTAATATTTCCTCATATATAGGTTAAACGAAAGCCCCTCTATATAATTCATTCCACCTCCATAAAATTCCTTTCCTACACTCATTCATTTCTCACACACTCAACAATGAAAACCCTCATCATAGTCCTCGTAGCTCTTCTTTGTCTCATCGTTTCACCGACTAAAACGATCGGAGGTTGGCCAAAACCTTCAGAAGTTGCCAATGAGGAGACACTAATGAACACCGGCCACCACGGTAATAAATTTGATTTCGGAGATTCCAAGATCTGGAAATGTACTTATAACAATGGATCTGGAGCGGCCGTCTCTATTTCCTACCCTGCACCTCCACCATCTCCGTCCCGAAAGCCACCAACTCCACGGTCTCCTCCTCCGACTCCAAAGATGTCTCCACCACCACCTAAACCATCACCCCCTCCATCAACTCCTAAAATGTCTCCCCCACCTCCTATACCATCACCTCCGCGTCCAGCTCCAATGAAGTCACCTCCGCCTCCTAAACCATCACCACCGCGTCCTAGTCCAAGGAAGTCTCCTCCGCTTCCTATACCATCACCACCACGTCCTAGTCCAAGGAAGTCTCCTCCACCTCCTAAACCATCATCACCTCCGCCTCCTAGTCCAAATAAGTCTCCTCCGCCTCCTAGACCATCATCACCTCCACCTCTTAAACCATCATCACCTCCACGTCCTAGTCCAAAAAAGTCCCCTCCTCCTCCTCCTAGACCATCATCACCTCCGCCTCCTAAACCATCAAATCCTCCGTCTCCTAGACTATCACCTCCCCGTCCTAGTCCAAATAAGTCTCCTCCGCCTCCTAAACCATCATCACCTCCGCCTCTTAAACCATCATCACCTCCACGTCCAAGTCCAAAAAATTCTCCTCCGCCTCCTAGACCATCATCATCTCCGCCTCCTAAACCATCAACACCTCCGTCCCCTAGACCATTACCTCCACGTCCTAGTCCAAAGAAGCCTCCTCCGTCTCCTAGACCATCGCCTCCGCGTCCTAGTCCAGAGAAATCTCCTCCGCCTCCTAAACCATCAATGCCTCCACCATCTCCAAATCCGTGGGGGCATTTCATTAGCTGCATCAGTAACTTTGGGCCGTCGGCAATATGTAAGCAACAGATGGAGGTAAGTTACGACACAGGGGACTTTCGTGTGAGTGACTATTGCTGCAACCTTATTGTCAACATGAGAAATGAATGTACCGACGTTATTATGGGCTTTTATACCGATCCTTTCTTCGTTCCTCTGGTTCGTTATACTTGCCACGTCAAGTACTAGCTAGCTAACTCTTATTTGGGGTTTTCTTAATTAATTAGGGCTTTCCTTTTCATCTTGAGGTCTTTATTCATGCAATTTTTGTTGTAGTCCATATCTTATGGATCACTCTTTTGTTGCATGTAATCTAATGAATAATAACTCTTCTTTTTCTTTCTTTTTCTCTTTTAGTCTTTATATTGTTTTGGCTGATGTAGAGGAGACAAAAAAAAGAGGAAGAAAGTATTTGTACTCTATAACAATGAAGAAAATTGTTGGATAATAATTAATCCACTTTTAGTACTTTAATATTATTCTTTTCACCAGTAAGTTTTTACCGATTTGGGGTAATATTTTTTGTGTTCTGTTTACTATAAATATTAAACCTAGTTCATTTATGTACATGAGTCGTAAAGGTGAAAGTGGTTTACTTTGTGTTTATCACTCTTCCTCTCTTTGCCTTTGCATCTCTCTCTTTCCTCTTACTGTCTTACACAACAAGAGATGACTTTTCATTTAAGGGAAATAACATGAGAAAAAAAAATAAAAATAAAAAAAAGAAGAAATAACATGAGAAAAGAGTCTGTAGTACATAACTGAAAACTTAAAGCTAGTAAAATTGATAAGTTTCAAAAAGGATTGTTTTTTTGCCCTGTGGAACGAATGACATAAGCGGAATGATTTTCATTTTCTTTATTGTAAACAATTCTATGGATTTTCATGGAATGCTTAATCCCACATGATTTTTTTTTTTTCATAAATAACTGCAACCTATTTGCCAAAATCCTTGAGCTAAGATATCATATATGTATGTTTTTTAATATCATATACATATTTGTACTGTAGCAAACAAAGTAGCCAAAAATTAAAGCACAAACGAATCGCAAGGGTTTTATATGCAGAAATATAAGCCCAACGGAACGAAACATAATTTCAATTAATTAGAAGACCAGAAAAGAGTGAACGAACGAACTTGTTACGAAAACTTTTTTTTTTTTTTTTTTTTATTAAAATTACCATTAGTTGACGGTGCCAAATTGACGGTGCCAAATTAAGATAAAGTTTAGTTGACGGTGCCAAATTAAGATCAAACCTAGTAGCAGCTTTTCGTTGCTTCTTCTCCAAGCATCCTAAAGAAATAACCCTAATCAAAATCCATGGCGTCCAGAAGATTGTTCAAGTCTTTTTCGGCAGCCATCAAGGCGCACAATGCTTTTTCCAGACCCTCTCCCCAATCTCGCGCTTTCTCTGCTGCTGCTTACTTCAGCTCGACTGCCTTTCCCAATTCCTTTCTTTTCCGGCCAAATTCCTACATCGGAGTTTCCGGAAACGGCATAACTTCAGTCACTCAGGCCGCTGCTCTTGGCCAACTGTTACCTCATTCTTTCCACTTCCCTTCTCCGCGCCGCTTCTCTGCTAAGGTTCGTGGTCGGTTACATGTGGATTCCCAGTTTATCCCTCTTTTGACAAGGATGGAGATTATCATAGTTTGCCTTTTACAATCTTCCCTCTACGATGTGCATTGGTACCGTATTTCCTAAGAAAAAAGTGTTAATTCGTTGTGTTTTCTTATCTTCTTGTAGGCTAATAAAATTGGGTTTACGGAGATGGCTTGTCAAGGACTTCTCAAAGCCGTTGATGTAGCTCGTGTTCATGGGTCCAATAGGGGTTGGTAAAACCGAGCTTGCCAAGGCTCTTGCTGGATACCTTTTCGACACGGAAAACGCAATAGTGAGGATAGATATGAGTGAGTACATGGAAAGATCATCAGTCTTACGGCTCGTTGGCGCACCTCCTAGCTATATCGGTTATGAAGAAGGTGGGCATTTAACTGAAGCTGTTCGCAGGAGACCTTATTCGGTGGTTCTCTTTGATGAGATCGAGAAAGCCCACCCTGATGTATTCAATGTCTTGCTCCAGCTACTAGACGATGGAAGAATAACTGATTCTCATGGGAGGAGAGTAAATTTCACAAACTGCTTTATAATAATGACCTCTAATATAGGATCTCAACACATACTTGAGACTATAAGCAACAATGAAGATAGCAAAAGCAAAGAAGCGGTTTATGAAATGTTGAAGCAACAAGTTTTGGAGTTGGCAAGAAAAACTTTCAGGCCAGAGTTCATGAATAGAATTGACGAATACATTGTTTTCCAGCCTTTGGATCCAACAGAAATATCGAAAATCGTGGAGTTTCAGGTAATTTACACACACTTTTTTTTTTTTCGTATTTAATTTTCAAAATCTTTATTCTTTGGTTTTTAAATCCTTTGTTACCACTTGGTGCAGATGAGCCGAGTGAAGAATAGGTTGGAACAGAAGAAAATAAAACTTGAATACACAAAAGAAGCCGTGAATCTCATTGCTGAGCTAGGGTTTGACCCCAAAAATGGTGCAAGACCGGTGAAGCGAATGATTGAGAATATTGTGAAGAAAGATATCACCTCAAAAGTTTTGAAGGGAGACTTTGGAGAGGAAGACAGAATTCTTGTCGATGTTGACCAGCCAAACAACAAATTGATCATAAAGAAGGTCGAGAATAATATTGCTGATCCTGTTGAAGAAATGGCCGCCGCTTGATCATACAAAACAAAATAGAACTTACTCTCGTAGCTTAATTTGGTAAATCTTTGTTTTATGTTTTGTAGATTCATAACTTAATTTCTTTTTGTCTTCTCACACATACGGATACTGATCATTTAAAGATTCTATTTTGCCTACAAGAGCAAATTGAAAGTTGGGTTGCTAGCTACTTGGCAAGGGTATGTGTCAAAACTGAGTATCAGCAATGAATTGTTGCATCGCTTTTTTTTTCTTTGATTTGAGTAGTAACTGATATGGTATCGCAATAAGTCTACATATTATACGTCAAAGTTAATAATAACGTGATAGAAAAGTTATAATATCATGAAATGATGAAATTATATACCATGACATAACACTAATATAAATATATAATAACAAGTTATCAATATACTCCGGTAGAGAGGGACGTGATCGAGACTGGAGAGGACGACTTTTGAACGATAATTGTACGTCGGAATGAACAAACTCTGACGAATAATAATGGAAGTCAACAGTGTGGAGAGAGACTCTTCCCAAGATTTTCCATATCAAAGCAATTTAGATTTTGGTACTAAGATAAGCAGTATAAATGGATAACCGGTGCTCATTTTTTGGTAAATCTTTGTTTTATCTTAGTAAGCAGTATAAATGGATAACCGGTGCTCATTTTTTTTTAATTGATTTATCCGCAAAGTTATGACTCGGTTTAAGTTGGTTTAATCCAATTAGAGTGTGCCAAGAAAAACATCTTTCTAGAAACAAAACTTCTTAAACGTTCAAAATAATACTTTAACATTACCCAAACCATCTTATAAATTCAGACCAGATCTGGTTCAGACTAGGGTTCTTAGCTTCCTGTCACGGCAGCAAAGATCAAACAACTTTCACGGTCATAAAAAAAAAAAAAAAAAAAGTATTAGCTACAATCTTATTTGCTTCTTCTCCAAGCATCCTAAAGGAAAAACCCTAAACCAAATCCATGGCGTCCAGAAGACTGTCGAAGTCTTTTTCGGCAGCCGTCAAGTCCCACAATGCTTTTTCGAGACCCTCTCTCCGTTCTCGCTCTTTCTCTGACGTGCGTGCCTTTCCCAACTCCTTTCTTTTCGGGCCAAATTCCAACGTCGGAGTTTCCCGAAACGGCATAACTTCAGTCACTCAAACCGGTGCTTGTGGCAAACTGTTACCTCTTTCCTTCCAATTCCTTTCTCCGCGCTGCTTCTCCTATGAGGTTCGTCGTCGCTTACATGTTACTGTATCGGTTTTGGTTTCATTACATCAATAATCTCTTCTGATTACTATTTCCAAATAAAAAAAGAGCGAGTGTCTCGTTTTATATTCTTCTTTCTCTAGGCTGATAGTGATAGACATGGGTATCATACGACGGATGCTTTGGAAACACTTAGAGTATATGGAAAGGATTTAACTGACATGGCTAGACAAGGAAAACTCGATCCTGTCATAAGACGGAATGATGAAATCCGACGCTGCATTGGGATATTATGCAGGAGAACTAAATGCAATCCTGTTATCGTTGGTGAACCTGGTGTAGGTAAAACTGCTATTGCAGAAGGGTAAGGCTTGTAATTTTGATTTTTTTATTTTTTTTTTGGACTATCAGCATGTAATATTAGTTTTGTCTCAAACATTACTCAACCACGTAGTAATTATGAATTTTTACTCTCCTGAGACAAATTGACTGAGAGACTTTGATTAATCCTGTCAGGTTGGCGCGGCGAATTATACGTGGGGATGTCCCTAGACATCTCTTGAATCGGAAGGTTCTAACTAATATTAGCTTAATATTTCCGTTCAAACTGCCAGAGGAAGATTTTAACATATGGTTGCTTGATATAATTTAGTTGATATCTCTCGACGTGGGTTCGTTGCTTGCTGGTGCCATCTATCCGGGACAACTTGAGGAAAGAATAGAAGCAGTAATGAAGGAAGTAGCTGCTTCTAATGGGAAAATAATCTTGTTCATAGATGAAATTCATTCTCTTACTCGAGCAGGTGCTTACTAAAAAATATTCCATCGCCAAATTGAGGGCTAATGTTTTTTCGATGCTGCTAATATTATATATCCCTTGTGTAGCGACTAATCGTGGAGACATGTTGAAAACAATGCTTGGACGAGGTGATCTGCGATGCATCGGTGCAACTACGCTGACCGAATACCGCAAGTACATAGAGAAGGATACAGCTCTGGAACGTAGGTTTCAGAAAGTGTTATGTGATCAACCATCTGTTCAAAATACCATCTCGATTCTTCGTGGGCTAAGAGAGCGGTATGAGTTACACCATGGTGTAAAGATATCAGATGGTTCCCTTGTTTCAGCAGCGGTTCTGTCAGACCGCTACATCACTGAACGTTTTCTACCAGACAAAGGTATAAACTTGCACATTCCCAAGTGATTCTTTTCTGGCCAAACTTAATGTTGAGAAATACACTAAAATAGAACCCAAAAAAGTTTTAATTCCAAATCTAGGAAACTAAAATTAAATATTTCAAAAGTAGCACAGATTATTTTGTGAATACACTTGTTTACCCTAAATAAATTCCACAGAAAATAAATAAATTACGTTTGAGTTCTCTTTTTACAAATTAAGAATTATATTTCTTCCATTAGAGTTTTTTTTTTTGGTCAAACACCTGATTCCCTTCTATTAGAGTTTTGAATCATTTTATGTTATATTTTTGTTATTATTATTGGGAAAAACAGTCATTTTTTTTAATAAAAGCTTAAAAATTGATCATTAATATACTTTGAGAGTAGCTTTGTTTTTTTCAAACAAATGTTCTTTGTTTCAGCTATTGATCTTGTTGACGAAGCTGCTGCAAATATGAAGATGAAGAACACTTCTAAACCCACAGAACTAGATGAAACTGAAACAGACGTGATCACACTTGAGATGGAAAAACGTTCTTTGATAAAGGAAACTGACGAAGCTGCTAAAGAACGGCTACAAAAGATTGAGAATGATTTGACCACGCTCAAGGATAAACAGAGAGAGTTCACTGAGAAGTGGGAGAAAGAAAAATTCCTCGTAAACAAAATACGTTCATTTAAAGAAGAGGTACGAAATATATCAGCTTAAGATAATATTATACTTGTTGTGGTGGCTGGAGCAGTGAAATAAACCAGGCGTATATTTTTTTGTTTCTTTTAAATTAAATGTAAAATTTATTGAAACCAAAAAATAGTTTTTACATCAACTTTTTTGAAATGCGTATGTTTTATGTTTTACAGATCGATAGATGGAATCAATCTAAAACACTTGTGTCCGGTAAACATGCTTTTTGTATCTCCCTCCGTCGGCAGCTAGAAGAAGCGAAGAAAGATCTCACGAATTTCCGAGCGTCTGGAGAGTCACTATTCCGAGAAGAGTTAACCCATCTTGACATAGCAGAGGTAGTAAGCAAGTGGACAGGTATTCCACTATCGAACCTTCAGAAATCAGAGAGAGAAAAGCTGGTCATGTTGGATCAAGTGCTCCATGAGAGAGTTGTTGGTCAAGACATGGCTGTAGAGTCAGTAGCCGATGCTATCCGTTACTCAAAGGCCGGTCTTTCTGATCCCAACCGCCCAATAGCCAGTTTTATGTTCATGGGTCCAACAGGGGTTGGTAAAACCGAGCTTGCCAAGGCTCTTGCTGGATACCTTTTCGACACGGAAAACGCAATAGTGAGGATAGATATGAGTGAGTACATGGAAAGATCATCAGTCTTACGGCTCGTTGGCGCACCTCCTAGCTATATCGGTTATGAAGAAGGTGGGCAATTAACTGAAGCTGTTCGCAGGAGACCTTATTCGGTGGTTCTCTTTGATGAGATCGAGAAAGCCCACCCTGATGTATTCAATGTCTTGCTCCAGCTACTAGACGATGGAAGAATAACTGATTCTCATGGGAGGACAGTAAATTTCAAAAACTGCTTTATAATAATGACCTCTAATATAGGATCTCAACACATACTTGAGACTATAAGCAACAATGAAGATAGCAAAAGCAAGGAAGCGGTTTATGAAATGTTGAAGCAACAAGTTTTGGAGTTGGCAAGAAAAACTTTCAGGCCAGAGTTCATGAATAGAATTGACGAATACATTGTTTTCCAGCCTTTGGATCCAACAGAAATATCGAAAATCGTGGAGTTTCAGGTAATTTACACCCACTTTTGCTTTTTGCTTCGTATTTTATTTTCAAAATATTTATTCTTTTGTTTTTCAATCCTTTGTTGCAGATGAGACGAGTGAAGAATAGGTTGGAACAGAAGAAAATAAAACTTGAGTACACCAAAGAAGCGGTGAATCTCATTGCTCAGCTAGGGTTTGACCCCAAAAATGGTGCAAGACCGGTGAAGCGAATGATTGAGAATATTGTGAAGAAAGATATCACTTTAAAAGTTCTGAAAGGGGACTTTGGAGAGGAAGACACTATTCTTCTCGATGTTGACCAGCCAAACAACAAATTGATCATCAAGAAGCTCGAGAATAATGCTCTCATTGAAGAAGAAAGGGCAGCTTGATCATACAAAACAAAGTTGAACTAAACTCTGGTAGCCTTTATAAATCTTTGTTCTATGTTTTGTGGATCCATAACTTTAGGGCTTTCTCTTTAAAAATTTTAATTTTCGTTTCACGCTAAATGTTCTTGCTCTAAATAGATACTTCGAAAGGATTTGAATTCACCAAAACCCATCGCGTTACATTGAAAAACTCTGGATGAATAAACAAAAACCCAACACAAATCGAGAGCAAACCCTACAACATCTCATAATAAATGAATATTGAATCCGATCACATATAAGGAATAATGGATTCCAAAAAAAAAAAAAAAAAACCGAAAAAATGGCTAAGATCTCCATTGTTGGGGCTCAACTTCGTTATCAGCTCAATGATTTGTAACGTCAAATAAAAAGTGTAGTAACTTTATAAACAAGCCACAAAAAAAAAAAAAAAAAAAAAAAAAAAAAAAAAAAAAGCTGCATGTAAATTACTTGCTTAGTTTGATTGGATATGAACCAAACTTGGAACATAGTTGAAAATAAATGGCAACCATATATCACTTAATGTCAAACATGGTTCTTCCCTACAAGGGATTTCTGTGAAATATTTATCGTCCTCTCCAATAGTGTATAAGGCGTCCAGGCCTATCCGAGAACATGTATTGTAACACAAGGCCACTTTCTTCTCCTCGTCGATTAAAAGACACATGAAAGGACGAATACGGTTTACGCCCACTGAAAAGTATTTGCTCCATGACAACTCTGCTTTAGTATTGAATTTATTGGTCACCCATATGTCCATCTTTGAAGTATCAGAGCTGTTCCTTAACACTAAGAGTTTTTCCTCTCCAACAACTGATAGAGCCTTATAACCACGATTGGGAGATGTGGGAAGACACAGACGTCCAAATGTCTCTTTTGTAAAATCAAAACTGAGGAAGTAGTTGTCTTTTTCATCATGACAAATCCAATAAATATTTCCCTTCAAAGCCACGCCACGATGATAAATTGTTCTGACCCACTTAGGAGCATTAACAACTCTCCATGTACTAGAGCTAAACTCATAGACTTCAAATCCACTAACTAGGCCTAGGCCTTTTGTTTTGAAACCTTTCGAATGCATCAAGACTTTGTAGTTGCGGCCAGATTTCTTATTTTCATACCCTAGATTAAAGCTAGAGTAGTTCTTGTAACCATTTTCTTGTTGGATCCACCTTGCTTCTCCTAAATATGGATTCCAAACCACGAGTCTGTCGTCTCTAGTGATGCATAACAACAAACCGTCGAGGTGAGAAACTGTAGCTATATCGACTTGTTCTGAATTAGAATGGGAATCCTTTGGGTTCAGTGCACCATTAAACTCTATAGATGGAGGAACAACATTAAGATCGACGATCACTGGACAAAGTCTAAAATCCTTCAACATGAGAAGACGAGATTGCTTTGGAGCATTACGAAAGTGCTTCTCGGAGAATTCTGGCTCTTTGATTAAAGCTTTCCATCGTTTGCAAGTTAATCGTATTCGTTTCAAAGATGTGCCCGGAACCCTAGACAGTATTTCCTCTACCAAATCTTCCGGGAGATGGGACACCATCATTGTGACCAAGAGGGTTTTGTATCTCTCTTTGTGATATGATCTAACTAAAATTAGGGTTTAGGGTTTTTCACGTTCTCCACCGAATAAATCATGTCTTATAGTACAAAGAAACGATCTACCTTTCACGTACCCTTTCCTTTTCCTCCGTGGATTCTGCTTACTAGGTTTTTGACCCGCGCATGCGGGGTCTGTTCTAATGAAATTTTAAACTGTTATATTTATATATTTTTTTTTACAAACGCTTCACATTTTTTTTTGCTGTTTTTTTTTATAAACTTTTCTTTGTAATATACTTTTTAATTATTTTTTTACTTAACCAATTTAATTATTTTATAATTAGTCATAATAAGTAGGTACTTTTTAAAAATATATTTTCTGTAAAAAAACATACAACAGCCTTATCTTCTCATTTCTTAATTTAATCCCTTAATTTTACTATTCATTTTTTTAATTTTTTATATCCATTAAAGGTCATTCGGCAAGTTTTTCTACAATCCAATGTTAATTTCTTTTTAATTTTATTTATTAGTTTAGCTTTTTCCAGCTCTGAGTTTATGATTTATACTTAATTTATTTATATATTTTTTGTTTAATTATTTTGCATTCAATTCCATTTAATAAATTCATCTCTTTATTTTTAAATCACTGTTTTGATAGTTAAAAAGTCTCATATATTCCAAACTTTTCTTTTTCGTATCCTGTTTAATTAATAACCGTGTTTCCAATTCGGTTCCATTGTTTTGGTTTTTACGGTTCGGTTTTGCTATCACATTGAAATTAGAAATGATTTGTCTTTTCTTCATTTGCCGACAACAAAATCGAACAATGTTTCTACCTTATTCCCACCGGAACATTGTTAATCTCATCATCGAGATCCCTCTTCTTTGTTTCTCATCTTGGTTATTTGCCTTAATTCCCTCTGAGCGATTGAGACCTGTCAAAACTAATTTGATCAATTGATTGAGGGAACAGTTTCTGCTTTAATCCCTCTTCCGAGACTTTATTTCTCTGTTTCTTCTACTGATTCTCTCAAGCTAATCACTTCGTGAAAGGTTTGAATTTTCCTTATTTTGAAGCCAGTTTTGTTGATGTTGAGATTATGTGTTTAGCGTTTAATCTATTTCTTCCGATCCAAATTTGTGATAAATCTATAACTCTAGGTGATGCCAACTGCTCCGCCAAGTTCCAGAGACTCAGAGATATCTAATTTTTCAAAATTGTCGCCTTTCGATGGACGTTACTGGGGTAAAGCTAATGACTTTGCCTCTTCCATGAGCGAGTTTTCTTTTATCAATTTCCGAGTACTTGTCGGGTACTTGTTTCTCACCCAAGTGAATGTTTATTATCTAATTTATGATTTTGTTCTTTTCATTTTTGTGTTGACTAAGTATTTGCGAGTTCTTTAGTTGTCTAATGCTCTTTTTTTTTTTATATATATTTGGTAGATTAAATTGCCTCTGTATCTTTCAAAAGTCCCTCAAGTCACCAAAGTTCCATGCTTTTCAAAAGATGGTGATGTCTACTTGCAATTCATAATTCGCTGTGTTTAGCATTGATGATACGTTGGAAGTTAATAAGGTCGAGAGAGTAGCATATGATGATGTGAAAGCTGTGGAGTATTTCTTGAAACAAAAGTTTGAATCACAGCCAGAGATTGTCAAGGTTGGTAAACTTTCTCTCTGTTCCACCAAGTACTTAGCAACATTAGATAATGTCTTTAGATAAAAAGTAAAAGGATAAGCATTAGATAATAGTCTTTTAATCGAACATTAGATCTAGTCTATCTATTATAGCACGGCATGTCTTTGAACTCAGCTATTGATCGTCTTGGTTCATAAGTTTCTCTATCTCCATCAAAGTGTATTGCTTTAGCTGATTTTCATTTATATGTAGGCTTGGGAAGTTGAAAGTCTTGCGTTTTCTGTGAAGCATGTCTTCACCTAGTGATTTCCAATAGCGATTCCACAAATTTAGAGGACTCCCAACTTGACAATATATCAGCAAGCAAACAAATAGTCTTCGTAGTTGATAAGGTGTAGACCATTGAGTTGCTTCGTCCATCACGTCATGCCACTCGGAGTCTGAATCTAGGAGACCTCTATCATAGGATACTGATTTGTAATCATCATATTTCGTGTCCCCAGCACTTTGAATCTCTTCAAAACTTTCCACTTTTGACCATAGACTTCTATCGTTGTTCCATGTAAATTTTTTTCAGAAATTCCGAATAAGTTATCTGATGAGCCTCTTCTGATTCTTCGTTTCTCTCCATCCATCGTCTAAACATACTTTTCTCAATGTCTTCCTTTGATTGAACTCTACTCATAATGAAAGAGTTATTACCATAAAGGTCCTCGTTCTTGTCAACAGATTCATTAAACTCGGCGTTGGAACGAATCCCAAAGTTTTGACCCTCAATAGTGTAGTCATCATGGTCGCTTGCACCATTGTTGTTTCCGGAATGAATTGGATGAGAAATCTGTGTGAGGAGAACTTGTAGCTCGTTTTGTTGATGATGACAAAAAAACTACCAATGTTGTAGACTTCTCCCGCCTTTTTGTTGTTGATGACCAGAAAGCTATTAAACTTGTAAACTTCACCAGCCTTTAATTTTTCTTCATAGTCTCCTAGTCTCTCATAGTCTCCTAGTCGATAAGCTGGTATGAATGCTTGGATTGTAGTTCCCTGTATTAAATTATGGTAGAAAAGAGTATTATAAGCTGATGATGATTTAACTTTCTATTGGTAATTGGTAAATAATGTTGGTGTCGTTACCTTTTGATCGATTAGAAGCAGTTCATATCCTATAAGCAGACCTCATTTTTTAGGGTTCCTTGCCTTCCCAAAAGTGGATGTCTCTAGCAAACAGCTCTTTCTTATAAAATCCTTTAGTGAGTTCATCCAAAACAAAAGGACGCCGTAACAGATCAGAAACATAAGAGCTGGAAGAAGACATAACTATTTTAATAAACGCTCTCTCTTGAAGATGTTGTCTTTAGAACTCTTGTATGGGTATTCTAAAGTTTGGGAGGACTATTTATAGCCAATGTCAAACATTGAAATAGCTAAATTGTTAATTTCCTTTTTATTTTAATTAGTTAGTTTAGCTTTTTTAATAATATGTTCTTTTTGTTAGTTTAACTCTTTTTATGTTGAATTTCCATTAAACTATTTAAAATAATGGATTAAGCTAATTGGTGTCGTAATGTAAGTATTAAAATTCAAAATAGTACAATTTCCAGTCTTTAATACAATAATGTAATTTTTCTCAAACAATTATTTAATTTTCAATTTTAAAATTAAAATGCTGATTTGGCGAAATTTAATTGGTTTCTTAAAAGCTGATGTGGACACTCTCAAAAACTTATAGCCTCAACTTTTATATAGTACTCCCTCCGTTTCAAATTAGTTGTCGTTTTGGCAAAATGTATCTGCAAATATTTGGACGTATTTAGACGTGTTTTGCATAGGAGATACGTCCAAATAATTGCAGATACATTTTGTCAAAATGACAACTAATTTGAAACGGAGGGAGTATAGATTAATTTTACTTTTAATTTCTTTTTCTTTTTCTTTCCAGTTTACCTTTTTAGAAAAAGAAAAGAAGCCATCTAAATTTGTCTCCTCTTGATTATGAAATTATTTAGCCTTCATATATTTCAAATTAACCACATGGTAGATTTAGTAATTGTTGAAGACTTGAATCCTTTCAATTCCTATCTTGATCGAATTTGACGAGCTCACGAATCAAGTTATTCACTGAATCAACTCAAATGCTTATAAAGCTACAACTTCCCCATCACATATATACACATGTGACATGTACACTGGATGTGTTAGACGTCAAGCATTTGTATCGCTATCATTGTGAAAATGCGGATCCACGTTTGGGGACAAATCTTTTATTATCCAACAAGGAGAGCTTGGTATCATCAAGGAGATACAATCATATCAATGAATGCTGAGATTATTAAGCATACAAAATGATGTCAATGATTGCTGAAAGTAATTAAGGATATAATTATGTATAGCATATCTTGTAATTAATTACTAGGGTTGGACCCGCGCCCTGCACGGAGTGATATCTTTTTACATAAATATCATTCTAGAAAAATAGGGTGTTAGACAATAAAAAATATGTCAGTTTACATTAGACAAAATTTTGAGTGATGTATATTTTTTTAGCCTGGATTGGAACATGACGAAATATTAAGTGACACAGTTGAATCACATATATATCTTTTAATAAGTTTGAAATAGTTTTATATGGCATATATATTTAATATTTTTGATCAATTTTAAATAACTAAAATAGTTTAACTTATATATTAAGTTATTAGATTTTATTATGATTTATTTATTTAGTTCAATTAAAGAACAAAATTAAATCAAATTAAAAAAAAAATAAAGTTTGGAAACCTAATAAATCAGTTTTTTTTACTATGGTTGATCATTATTTGGATTTTTTTATAATAGGTTTTTGAACTATCATCCCAAAATATAATCGATATGAGACTTTTAACAATTTTAGAGATTTGCTTCATTTTAAAATTTTCAAATCATAGCATATGCAGAAAAAACTAATTTTGTTTTATGAAATATTTTGATGTAATGATATAATTTATTTTTGAAAAAGTAAAGTTAAAAAAATGATAAGATAATAAATTAATTTTTAAACAATTAATATAATACAATTGAATAAAACTTTCTATATTTTACTGATTGATTGACTAATAAATACTTTTAAATTTATTTATAATTTTACTATTGATAAGGAAATAGAAAAAATAATTTTAATTAATAATTATTTTCTGATTAAATTAATAATAAATATTTCAGCACTTGCCTAATAAAGAGAGGTTATTTTTAGAATATTCTGAGAGTGTGGCAAATTGCGACACCTCAGCATGACATACTTGAAATTAAGTTGAAAACAAAAGGATTTTTATAAATGTCTTCTCTTATTGTATAATACCCTACCTAATGTCGACGTACAAACATTAATCTCTTTACTCAATAAAACATCACTTATATATGGTATCAACCAGTTACCGGTGGCTAGGTGTTTGAGGATTTAAAACGCATATAAATTATGTGATATTATTAGCTTTACAAAATTGATACCGCATTTTAAACCCGAGAAGTCAGTTATTTACTTTTGCAACTTAGTGCTTTAGTTTATTATCATGTACATGTTGTTCTTCTAACGTTTGAATTGATTAGAAATCTCCTCGAAATTAGACAAACTCCAACTTTTAAATTTATATATTGAATCCAAAACATTTATTTTTGCTTAAAAACAAAAAAAAAAACATTTTGGGTATTACACGTACTTCAACCACACATCATCATTCAAAATAGAGCGATTCAAGTGTGGTTCACATTTATTTTTCCTGTTTAAACTTTTTCAAAAGGTTAATTTTATCAACTAATATAATTATAATATATCCCAAAAAAACTATTTCCAACATGAAATGGAGCAATAATGTCTTTAAACAAAAAAGAATTCCAACTTTTTCGGCCAAACATTCCAATTAAACCCTCAATTTGGTATTTGACTTAGCCCAATGAGTTCCAACGTTATTCAAAACAATCAAATCCTCAACTTTACTTGTTCTAACAAAGTAGTATTTTCTTCTACATCAACCACAATTTAATCCCATTTATTCAAACAACCCAATCTACAACCCAAAAATAAAATACAATATAAACTTTTGAATCCTTGACCCAGTAAGCTGCTGGTAGCCCAACCCCAACTACTAAATGTGATTGTCTCTCTCGCCTAATGACAACCCAAAGATAACTACAAAATCCCAACTTCTCCTACCAAAACAGTGTCACACACATCCACACGCGCTCCTTCTCTCACGTTTAACAGACGCGCGACCACACGTGAGTTGCGAGTTCGCTTATGCTCCGCGAGTAAGACCCACACGCCTTTCTCTTCTCCCAAACATCACTCATACGTACACGCACATACGTTATGTTTTTTCACAAAACAATTATAATTTTCCTTTTTTTCTTTTTATACTTCCTTTCACGTCTCTCCATTTTTTTATAAATTATAAGATAAAGATAACGCATGCTTTTAGAAAAAAATAAAGAGAGATTTGTCGTCAAGGTTGTGTTGTGTACTGTATAAATCTTACAAACCAAAATATTTTTATTTTTATTTTTTCATCGATTCAACAAAATCGAATCCACAGCTTTTCTCGGGATCCGAAGCTAAATATTCGTTCTCTCTTCTCTCTCTCCCCCCGTGATAACTGGTGTTTGCTTACGTAAGCGTTTACGGCAGATTCTGCAATGGCGAGAGTGTTCGAAGCCGCGGATGCGAGCAATTTGGTGACTGAGCTTCGACGGAGCTTTGATTCCGGAGTGACTCGCGGTTACGAGTGGAGAGTGAATCAGCTTAAGAAGCTTCTCATAATATGCGATAATCACGAGCCTGAGATCGTCGCTGCTCTCCACGACGATCTCGGTAAACCTGAGCTCGAATCTTCTGTCTACGAGGTCAGAAACTTTTTCTTTCCCTTTTTACTTTCATCTTGCAATTTCGAAATCTCATGTTCTTGTTTTTGAAATCTGTTCTTGTGTTTTTGGTGAAATAATTTGAATCTTAAGTTTAGAGTTTAGACTGTGAAAATGTGGAAAGTGTGGGACGAATACGGAATAATATCAAAATTCATCGAAAAATGATATTATTCCTTTCGTCGCACTCATCAGTTACATTCCCCAATGTCTTTATCATGATTCTTGTTTATATGATGCCTTTAAATTTTGAATCTTAAGTCTCTATATAGAGACAATAGATGCAGACGGGCTGAATTAGTATCTAATTTTTAAAAATTTGAATTTAATTTCAAGTCTTAAGAATCTGAATTTGATTTGAAACATGGATGCGGACGGACCAAATAATATCAAAATTTATTCGTCCGTCCTGCATCTATCCCGTTTCATCTCCTTAGGAGTCGATTTGAATGCATGTATGGTATAAGTCGTGATCAAAGTGTTGTGTGGTTATTTTTGTTTTGTTGGAAAATTAATGGTAGACCAAACAGAAACCTCTGTAAATTTGATTAGCCTATTCTCCTACTTTAGGTCGGTGTAATTTAATGTACATCACCTAGTTTTGTGACCATGATGTTCTGTCTCGACACTTGTTACAAACAGTGCCTAGGTAACACAATTCAATGCAAACTTTAAATTTTTCTTTCTCATATGGTATAGGAACAACTTAGACTGCAGGTAAACTTTTATGTTTTGTGACTTTGTGGGAACCAATACTATAAAACTATTGGGGTCCTCCGTGAAAGCAAATACGCATTTAATTTGTTGCACACATTAAATTTGTATCACCAACCTGTATTATTTTTATTGGGATTTTTTTTCATGTTCCCATGTTTTTCTTACAACGTTTTTGTTCCTTAAATTATCAACACAGAGCTTTTGCAAAATTGACCTTTCCTTATTAATGTTTAACCAACAGATCCTGTCAGTGTGTTGTTAGCTTTCTTTTTCAGACATGTTAAGTTGCCTATGCCGTTTCCTCTGTTTTTGAGACATTATACAAGAAGTAAATTTGACTAGACCAATATTTTTTATTACAATTTTTTATTTCAGTGTAATAATACTACGACTAAGAACGGATTTGATTATGATTGTTAATTTAATTATGCGGCTGGTGCAGGTAGCTTTACTGAGAAACTCAATCAAATTAGCTCTCAAGCAGCTAAAAGACTGGATGGCGCCAGATAAGGTATGATTTTCAGATATGCAAGAGTTTCTTGTCAAGAAGATGCTAATCATTGTTCTTGTTTCAGGCAAAGACATCTCTAACAACGTTTCCTTCATCAGCTGAAATCATTTCAGAGCCACTTGGTGTTGTTCTTGTAATCTCTGCTTGGAACTATCCCTTCCGTATGTTTTAAAAACATCCCTGATTGATTCAAACTTTTTTTCGGTTTCTTGTGACGTGATTTTAACTATTGAACTTCTTGTTTTAGTGTTGTCTATTGATCCTGTTATTGGTGCAATCTCTGCTGGGAATGCTGTTGTTTTAAAGCCATCAGAGCTGTCTCCAGCTTCGTCTTCTCTGCTCTTGAAGTTAATCGAACAGTATCTAGACCCTTCCGCTGTGAGAGTTGTGGAAGGCTCGGTTGCTGAAACAACTCTGCTTCTTGATCAGAAATGGGACAAAATATTCTACACAGGTTCATCATATTATTAACTTCGGCTTTAATGTTTTGAAGAACTTTTCATGCGAATTTGGACTAAAAGTGCTCTGTTCTTGGCTTTGTTAGGTAGTTCGAAAATCGCTCGTATCATTATGACTGCAGCTGCGAAGCATCTCACACCGGTTGTCTTGGAGCTTGGTGGAAAATCTCCTGTTGTTATCGACTCTGATACCAATTTGAAAGTACTGAAAAATGAGTCGGTTTTTGTTGCCAATGTAACGTTCTTGAAAATGATGTGTAATCTTTGTCTATGAAGGTTACTATCAAGAGGATAATCCAAGGGAAATGGGGTTGTAACAATGGACAAGCGTGTGTTTCTCCAGATTACATCTTGACGACGAAAGAGTTTGCTCCTAAAGTGGTAAGGTTAAGAAACTTAAAAGATAGATTCTTGATGAAATTTTGTATTTTGAACATTCTCTCTTTTTTTCTTGTTCCAAGATTGATGAACTGAAGCAAGAACTGGTGGCGTTTTATGGGAAGAACCCTATGGAGTCCAAAGATCTGTCTCATATTGTGAACACGAATCACTTTGATCGTTTGTCTAAGATGTTAGAAGAGAAGGAAGTCTCTGAGAAAATCATCCACGGTGGTGAAAAAGACAGAGAAAAACTGTAAGTTGTTGTTCTCTTTTGAGCATTTTTTTCCATTTGATTGCTAAATCTTTTTTTTGTCTCTAATCCTTCAGGAAAATCGCTCCAACAATCTTGCTCGATGTACCGTTAGATTCTCTGATCATGAATGAAGAAATCTTTGGCCCTCTCCTCCCAATCTTCACGGTAAAGGAACCAATCCCCATTCTATACATTTCTCTGTTTTCATCTCACATGCAAGTTCTTAAACCATCTCTTTTTTGTTCTACATAGCTCAACAACTTGGAAGAGAGTTTCGACGTGATTCGTTCTCGACCTAAACCGCTTGCTGCATATCTGTTTACTCAAAACCAGAAGCTGAAAGAGAGATTCGCCATGACAGTTTCCGCTGGAGGCATTGTTGTCAACGACATTGCTGTTCATGTAACAAACACTAAGCTTCTCTCTGATCTATACAAGCTTAAAATACATGCAACACTTACTGCGAGTTCTTGTTTTTTTTCTTGCAGCTTGCAGTTCACTCTTTACCATTTGGAGGAGTTGGTGAAAGTGGAATGGGATCTTACCATGGTAAATTCTCATTTGATGCCTTCAGTCACAAGAAAGCTGTTCTCTACAAAAGCTTCTTCGGCGATTCTGCGATTAGGTATGCGCCCTACTCTAGAGGAAAGCTTAGATTGTTAAAGGCTCTTGTCAACAGCAACCTAGTTGAAGTATTCAAAGTCCTTTTAGGTTTTAAGTAAATGGTAAAAACAGAGGAGACGAACACACCTCTCTTGTATTATTTACTTTCTTGGATTTTTATTGAACATTGGTTGTTTCATTCAAGATTTATATGTTTTTGGTGTTGATGATGAATATTGAAGTTGATAAATAAGAGAAACCGGTTTCTTCGTTTCAACTTGGTTGTTTTACAAAACAAAGATGACAAAACAATAGTTAAAGAAGTCTCTTTGATTTTTTTTGTTATCTAAACCAATGTTGTGAAAAAAGCTCCCCTATAAAAGGGAAAAGAAAGATCAAGAATCTTCAAGAATGCTGTGAATCTCTGCTCTTTGATCATCTGTAAGCTGTTCCGGGAACTTAGTCCGAAACCGAACTCTCAAGTCACCTCTCCTCTTCCCTTTCTCCTTTGGATTCGGCATACCTTTGCCTTGAATCACTGTGACGTAACCAGGGTGAATGATATCTTCTATCCTCAAACTTATGTTGTCACCATCAGGCAAAGCAACAGAGAACTCGAAACCAGTCAATGCTTCGAGTAGAGAGACCTCCACCTCCATTTCTAGGTCATCTCCTTCTCTTGTAAACACTGAATGCTCTTTCTCCACTATCACGAATGTCAAATCAGCCGGTACACTCGCCATCGCTTCGTTTCCTTTCCCTTCGAACGTCACTTTCGTTCCTCCTTTCCATCCCGGTTTTACCTTTATCTCCACCGTCTCTTCCTCCTCGCTCATTTGCCTACAACAAGGAACAAGAAACCCTAGTTTAGTCTTTGTATATCCAAGTCGTTTCTTGATCTTTGTATAAAAAAAGAAGAAAAGAAAACAAACCCTGAAGTTGTAATAACATCTCTCTTGATCTTGATCTTCTTGGTGCAACCGTTGCAAAGCTCCTCGAGCGTGCAGCTTAGTTTCTTCTCCGTTGGTTGAGGTTTAGCTACTTTCTCGGATGAGCTAGAGTACAAGATCGGGTTAGCAAAGCTTCTTGGGACCGTGGTCGTCGACGATCTCATAAGTGTCGGCATAAATCCAGCTGCTGAATCCGTCCTGTTGCTGATGCTTTTGCTTCTCCCTATAAATGATAAACTCCTCATTGCCGGATTCAGATTGGCCGTGGTTGTGGCGGCGGATGTGGCCGTGTTCCTGCTACAACTTCTTGAAAGAGATGATAATGGCTTCTTGCTCCCAACGAAACTCGCGTTGTCGAATCTATAGCTACGAACCTTGCAAAGACTCACACCTTCCACCTTATTACCCGTTGCCGCATTCGCTTCCTGATAAAATAAAAAAAAAAAAAATATTAACCACATGAATCTAACATTCTGTTTTTTTTTTCCGGTCTCTTAACAAAATCTAAAAAACATATATTTTTGCATTTCTCTATGGAAACCTCGAAACAATTGTGTATATTTATAGAATTGTAATATGATTGTACCTGGAAACTGAAGACGGGAGGGTCAATAGGGGCGTTGAATTTGTGTTCTTCATGACGTTTGGATTCGACGTGAAGCTTTCGCTCGTGTTTATTATGCTTATGTGTATGATGATGATGAGGCTTGTCACGAGGCAAAACCCTTGAGATAGATCGGCAAAGTTTGAAGATGTCACGGAGGAGGAAGCTACGTTTCTTCGCCGATGGCTGAGCCACCCCTTGAGTTGCCGCCATCCACGGCGGAGAGAGAAAGAAGGAGAGAGAGAGAAGGGAAGAGAGAGAGAGAAGAGAGAGAGAGAGAGACGTAACGTTTTTGTGATGGTGAGAGAGATGGATGGACGATCAGAAAAAAAAAATGTTAACAATTGTAACGTTTTTTTAAACTTCCTATTTTAGCATAAAATCTTCTTGCTTTGACGGAAACAGATAAGAAATACCTCGAGATAACGCGCATCTGATCTAATCGTATTTGTAAAAAAAGAATTTTAACTTTTTTCTATTGATCCATTTGCCATCTTTTTTTCTTCTTTTTATATTAATCCATCTTAATTATCCAACTAAATGTACGAAAATAAAGAAGACACATCACAATAAGCACAACTAAAAGTCAAAAACTATACTGACCGTAACTGCTAACGCCCAGCAATTTAATTAAGTATCACGACCACCATTAATACATTTACAAAATTATTGATTACTAAAATACATTATCAAAAACCTAAAATTCAATACATTATTAAGTTGACTGAAAACAAAAAATCATGCCATTAATATAATCATATGGAATACTTGTAGAAATGTTTCATTTTCTTATTGGTCGGTCCCTTTGACAATCCCACTTAAAAAAATAAAATTATAATACTCCACCATCTGTGAATATTGTCTCAAACTACTTAAGGTTTTTAAATACAAAAAAATTACTGTGGTATTTTCAGTGATCAATTAAAAGTTAAAACTACTTTAAAATGTAATATCGTATTAAATTTCATTCTATATTTATTGTACTTTTCGGTTACATCTTTACAACATTCAACGTAACATCCAGCAAGAAATTGATCCAGTGATCTCCTGATATAAATTCTCTACGAAAATTAAAGTGATTATTTGTAACTCCCCTGACTTTTTATACTATAAAAAATAGGCATTTTCTTATCTTCCACCACCATATCTCAAATCTTTGAAATGTACTCTGCTTGTTCTGATTTTCATGCATGCATTAAAAATCAAATGAAACACACTGGTTAACAAAAAAGAAAAGAAAAATATTCTTCCATACATACAAAATTTATTTCAATTCTTAGAAAGTTAGAAACTTGGCGTAAAAGTCTTAAAGGGAAAAGGGAAATGCAAAAGAGAAGTGTATTTCATATTATACATCTACACAATCTTATTATAAAAGGCAACTTCTCGCATCACACCTCAGATAGTTGTAAGATAATGTGTTGTTGGCTTCTGTAGTAATCTTTTCAAAGATTTACAATATCTCCTTCCACTCCCGTTTCATTCATTCTATCTTCAGAATTCAGAGACTAAAATACCAAAATTTGTGTAGTTTTATGAGAGTTTGATCAATATCGATAATTTTATATCCAATTCAACTGATTTGATTTGGTCATTCTTTAATTTATAAGTGTCAAAATTATCAAAGCGTCAGTCCAGACGTTAACACGTCGAATCCGCGTTTCTCAAGAGTCATTGAGTCAAGTCAATATTTTGTACGAAGCTTCCTCGGTTCTTACTCATTTTATTACTTTCTGTGGAAAAAGCAAATCATCTTAATTTTGGTGCAAACTATAATCAGAATACACCATAATATCTGCATGTGATCTTCCAAACAAGCAAAATAATATACAAATCCGGAATACAGATAGAACTCACATGTATATTTTACAGCTAATTCTTTAATACATTAATTTCCCTCTTTTTTTTGTTTAACACAAATGTATGCATGTATCATGTATGCTAGCTATTTTTTTGTTTCTTTACTATATTGGAATTTGACAGAGACCATGAGTCCATGACCATTTAAAGTCCTCCAATATTTTCTACGAAGCTTCCTCGGTTCTTCATTTATTTACTCATTGTGTAGAAAAAGGAAAATGATTCAAATTTTGGTGCAAACTTTTGGCAGAATACACCAATTATTCGTATTTTCTTTGTCCAAACTAGCAAAAATTTGATAAATCATATTAATTGTGTACACCTAACTCTTTTATCTCTTTTCTTTCTTTTAACACAAAGGGTTAAAAACTTAAAATCATCAACGTATGCTATATTTTTTTAGTAGTATATAAGAAACAGAGAGATCTTGATCGTTACACGCATAATATTTACTTTTTCTCTAACATCCGATCCTCTGCAACTATATTATTTGTTTTGTGAAGATTGATTGTTTCTTGTGCAAGAAAGAGTTGAGACAAATATGAATTCGAGATTATCTTTTCTTCTGATCTTGCTCTTGATTATAGTTCCTCAATCATTTCAAGGTTCCATCTTCAAAACCTTCTCAAGTACTCTCACTCCCAAATCTCCTCCTTCATCACTCGTCTTCCCTCTCTCCGGCAATGTCTTCCCCCTCGGGTAAAACAGATCGTTATTCTCTTCTCATCTCTTTCTTGTTCCTAATACAAGATTTAGGTTAATTTAATTTTGAAAATAAGTCATTTTTTTTTAAAATAGTCTTAAACTAATCAAAAAAATCTTAAAATCTGTGTTCATTTCTTGGTAAAGAAGAGCTATTGTCGGATTTTGATTGATTTTGGTTTGTGGTTGCTCTGTTTTTGGTGTTTTCCTCTGTTCAGAGCTTTGGTGTTTGACATTTCTCTTTTACTTGTTAAAGACGAAAAAAACATTCTACAATCTGAAATCAAATCTCGTAAAAAGTCAACCCAAAAATCCTAAAGCTTAAGCCCCACAACATTTTTTCTTTACAAAAATAATAATTTAATCTTTAGAACCTAAAACTAAATCCTTAACCCGAGAATGGTGTACATTTCCTTAATTTTGAAATAATGAACCTATTTTGACTATTTGTATCTTATTGTTATTTCATATTTTAATGATTACACTATTTCAACAACAATTTTTGTTTTGGTGGATTTGCAGATATTACTCGGTCTCTGTTCAAATAGGAAGTCCTCCAAAGACCTTTACTTTTGACATTGATACTGGTAGTGATCTCACTTGGGTTCAATGCGATGCTCCTTGCACTGGCTGCACTTTGGTATATATATAAATCATTTCATTCTTCTCTTTCAAAAATCTAACACTTTCTTATTCTTCTTCTTATCTCTATATGTTTGTTTTGTAGCATCCTTCACTTCAGTACAAGCCTAAGTCAAACACTGTCCCGTGCTCAGACCCGCTCTGCTCAGCTCTTCACTGGCCTAAAAAGCCTCACTGTCCAGACCCAAAAGAACAATGCGACTACGATGTTCACTATGCTGATCAAGGTTCATCAATGGGTGTACTTGTCACTGATCAATTTCCTTTAAAACTCATGAATGGATCGGCTTTGCAACCCCACTTAGCATTCGGGTGAGAGAGACAAGAACTGTATCTTCATTACTCATTAACGTAAATCTTGATATGAAAATGTTAATTCTTGGATATCTTGTGTTTATCAGGTGCGGTTATGACCAAAGCTTCCCTAGTGCACATCCTCCGCCGATGACCGCCGGGGTTCTAGGGCTTGGGAGAGGAAAAATCAGCTTCTTGACGCAGCTTGTCTCCGCGGGACTAACGAGAAACGTTATTGGACATTGCTTGAGCTCTAAAGGTGGAGGCTATTTGTTTTTTGGAGACAGTCACATTCCTTCCACTGGTGTATCATGGACACCATTAATGTCACAAGAGTATAATACTTTCTAACAATTCCTCTTTTCTCCGTATTTGCATCGGCTTTATGAAAGATCATTGTCGCTTACTCTGACTTATTCGTCTTGTGATCAGAAACCACTACACGACTGGACCAGCCGAGCTTCTTTACAACGAGAAGCCAACAGGTTTAAAAGGCCTTAAACTCATCTTTGACACTGGAAGCTCTTACACTTACTTCAACAGCAAGACATACCAAACAATACTAAATCTGGTAAAAATTCAAGAAACACAGAAAAATTCAAGAACAATGTATGTATTTATGGACACCTCATGCAATCTCTTTTTTTTCTTTGTTTTCAGATTGGAAATGATCTGAAAGGCAAACCGCTGAAGGATGCAAAAGAGGATAAGACTTTACCAATCTGCTGGAAAGGAGCTAAGCCTTTGAAATCTGTTCTTGAAGTCAAGAACTTGTTCAAGACTTTAGCAATCAAGTTTATGAATGGAAGAAGAAACACTCAGCTCCAGATTCCACCTGAATCTTATCTCATTATCTCTGTAAGAAATGATAAGACCTTGAAAACTCATTCATTCATTCATCACATTCTAAAAATAGTGATTAATTTTTTTTTTTTCTATTGTCATGTTCAGAAAACTGGGAACGTTTGCATGGGAATTCTAAATGGAACTGAAGTAGGATTACATGACTCCAACTTAATCGGAGGTAAGAAGCAACGGGCAAAGCTCTATTTCTTCTATACCAAGTTATCCGAATCCAACTTGAACATAACCATAAAGAAAACCAATTTGTTTCTTTGTCATTTTGTGAAGATATCTCTATGCAAGGGATTATGATGATTTACGACAACGAGAAGCAACAACTCGGATGGGTTTCCGCAGATTGCGATAAGCTTCCCAAATCATGATCTACATTGAAGAATTAACAACCGTATAATTTTATTATAGAAATAAACGATTAACATAAATTATGGGCTTTACTAATTTGATTAGATGCATGTCCTATAATTTTGGTAAATAAAACGATTAACAATAGATGACATCTGAGGATCCAAGTTTCCAAATATTGTGGGCTTTACTAATTTGATTGGATGTATGTCTTTATTCTTAAAATTGTTCTGATTAGTTCAATTTGATGATGTTTTTTCTTACAACTTTCTTTCCTATCAAGACATTAGTTTTTTTTTTCTTTTCAAGTACTAAACATCGGATGCAACTTTATACAGTTTGAGCTTTACATATACGCATTTGAGTAACCATGAAATTCAAGAAATAAACGTAAAACATAGTTAGGTTAAGTAAGAGTATTTAGAACACGTTTTCTGGATAATCAAAATGTTTGATTTGACCATACAATCTCGACTTCTAGACTTCTATCAGACTCATCTCTCTTGTTTTCGTCACTTAGTTTGAAACTTCCACTATAACTCCCTTCTGTTAACACTTTGTCAATTGGGATCCTCACTTTTCCAAGATTTTTCTGCAACAAAATCAAGAACAGTTAGTGAAAGATTCTAATCAAAAGATAACAAACATGAGAAACTTAAAACATACGTTTCGGAAAATGTTGTTTGATTTGCAAACGATTTCAAGAAACTGTCCTCTTGGAGGAAGTTGAAAGTCCCATGTGAATGATTCTTTCCAAACCGGTGAGCTCGTGCGTTTCACAACCTGAACCAAAACATGTGGAAGTTTTTCCGGTTAATATATTTAAAATTTGAATCAAATTAAACCGATTCAAACCGCAACCAATCAAATTAAACGTGCTGGACTAAATTAAACCAAATTAAACCGAACGTACCTTGGTTTTCTTGGTGGGGCAATTATCGATGATTAAGCTACAAAACGCGTTTGTGTTACCCATTGAGCGTTTCAGATTATCACCGCGTTTGATCGCCACCGTCAAACTTCCCGGCAAGCAATTCAAGAGGCTGTTTCCTCTCTCGTGGAAGCTTCCCTCCGGAGGAGAATTCGATTTCATCATCAACTGAAGCACCGGAATCGCCTCTGCCGCCAAAACCGCCTGAGACCTCGCCGTCTCCGTCGGCATTGTTATCCACGACTGTCTTAGCGTGTAAATCGTATCCAACGCCGAATCTCTCGCTTCTTTCTCGCCTGATTTCAAAGCTCCGATTAGGTGAGGGATACATTCGGTTGCCGCCTCCGATCCTCGGAGTTTAGGAAACGTCGTGAGAATCGCGTTTAGCGTTCTCACTATTTCCACGTTTATCATCGCCGTCGACCAAAACTCTCTCTCCATCGCACCTGCAAATCGGAAGGTGAGTTTAAGAATCGGATTCATAAACGGAAATCGGAGATTTCGAAATTCGGAAACTTACCTGTTAGAGATTTGATGATTTCACAAGAGACATACTCTTGAAGTGTATGATTAGAGAAGAGAGACTTGATCATTAGAGCTGCTAGAGTAGAGACTTCAGGATTGCAAGTTTTAAGCATCTCCTGAACCAAACGCACACCACCAGCTTCCGCCATAGCTTTTCTGCTTGTTCTACTATGCATCGCAAAGTTTCCCAAAGCGCAGATCACAACCATCTGCATCTCATCGCTCACTCCTTCCCCGATCAAGCTGATCAGCGCACGACACGCCAACGCCGAATCAGTTGCTTTAGAGAGTCCTTCGTGCTGAGAAATGGCGCCGAGAGCCATCGCCACGAGAAGCTTCGCAGAATCCGATCTCGTCTCCGAGTCTAGTAAGTACTCTGATAACGGAGTGATGACAAATTTGCAGGTTTTCGTCTCTCTAACCTTTGGATTGCGGATTATGATTTCGAGTAGCCTTGAAGAAAGTTCTTCGCAGTGGTGAGATCTTAGCAGATCGAGGAGCGCATCGAGCGCGCCGGAATCAGCCATTTCTAGAACGCTTGACGAATCTCGCTTCTCGCGGATGATCAACGCGTCGATGGCTAAGATCACCGTGCTTTCGGCTGTTGAGAATAGCATTTTCGCAAGAACCGGTACGGTTACGATAAAGTAGTAATGTTCTTGATTGAATCTGAGAATGTTGCAGAGTATGAAAGATGCTGATTCCCATAGAGATACAAGAAGATGAGGATCCTCGTCGATGATAACTTTAGAGAGCTCTTGGATTCCTTCTGCATCTGCTACCTCTCTCGGCCATGTAACCGAGGATTTCTCTAAACCAGTCAACGCTATCTTTTGCAAGTTTCTTACTTTTATCCCAGCGAGTTTCACAAGAGGAGGGATGAGATCTTTGGTCATGATCTCTTCTTGGAAACGTTGCGTTTGGAATAGAGAAGTGAGTAGCTCTGCGGTTGCGTGTTGGACGGCTATAGATTCGGATTCGAGTAACGGTATCAAAGGCGTAATGATTGCTGAAGTTGCGATTTTTAGTGATTCAAGAACCGTTGGCTTCTCCAAGATGTTTGCTATGGCTTGTAAACCGCCGAGCTGGCCTTGAAAATCCAAGTCTTGTCTCAGCAGAATCAAGAGGAGAGGCTGTACCATTTTTATCGCCTCTTGGCTTCTAGCTACAGAGCCGACGTTGGTCAAGACTCTGAAAAGCTCTGCGATTACTGAACACAGAGAACTTGGAGGGTATGTGGTAAGTTGACCAAGGCATTGCTCGATTATCCCCATTTTAATAAAGTCGATTTTACGCGGGGTCTTGTCTTTAGCCATTTTCACAAGGCAAGAAATCGCAGCCTCGCTGATCATATAGTTTCCGGAAGTGACAAAGCCGAAGAACAGATTCACACAGTCATGTCCCTCTGCAACTTCTGAGTATTTTTTGCTGTCCAAGAGTTTGTCAAGTGCAACCATCCCAGCTTCCACAACAGTGCTTGTTCCTGACCGGATAAGTGATAACAGAGGTATTATGCAATCTGCAGCAGACGAGCTTTCTCTTAAACTTTCGTTGGTGAATATAAACGCGCATATCCTCGCAGCACTTGTCTTTGATTCAAGCGATGAACTATCTGAAGATAAGATTTTGTAGATAGTCTCCAATGGGTTTCCTTCAAGACGGTTAAGAGTATTTGGCCTCGAGCTTTTCCCCATAGTTAGCTTCACTAAAGCTGTTAAAGCAGCTTCTCTTTCACTGTCCAACGTAGTGTTCAACATTTCAAAAAGTGGAGAAAGCGCTTTCCATGCTGATTCAGAGTCTCTGATGTGCTCAAAGCTAAAAAGTTCGCGGAGCGATCTCGCAGCGCTGTAGCGGGTACTTCTACTTGCAAGGTGAAGAACTCCTATGAGCTGTTTCATGGAGCTTATAGCTGTTCTATGTTGTGTGACTTCTAGGCAGCGGAAGAGTGATCCTAACAACTCAGAGACGGTGAACTCAGTCGAATCTTGAGGGCTTGAAGAGAGGTGCTTCGCTAGAGCATCCAGAGCTCCAGCTTCGGCGATAAGTAGTTTATTTGAATCATCACCACACTCTGCGATACGACTCAGAAGCCGAACAGCTACCGGAAAGGCTCCTTGTTTACTTGCATTTGGCTTGAAGAGATTCACAAGCAAAGGAATACATTTCTCGGTAAGTGAACTGTGTCTTACTCTTTCATCGTCAAAGAGTGCCTCTAAAGTTGCCTCACAAGGGTTTTGTAACAGAGATAGCTCTTCAGCTAATGCACCAAAGCTTCCTCTGTCTGATTCTGCATTTCCAACCGAGTTTATCGAAGCTTCTACGATATCTGAATTCATGATTTCCGCAATGATTTTATCGTTCTTGTGACGAGCTAACGCTGCCAACACTTGTGCAGTAAAATATCCATCAATTGTCTGATCAGATTGCATGAAAAGTGGAAGGGTTGGCACAAGATTTGCTGTTACTGGAGATGAGACAACGTTTAGTTCTTGTGACAAAACAGCTAGGAGTGATATAGCAATCCATTTCTCCTCTGAATCCGACGTACTATCCTGCAAAAGTTCAAGATCATAACTCAGCAACAACAATACTTCAGAAAAAGAAAAAAAAAAACTGGTGAGTATACTTATCTACCTGTATGTTGGACTTATATCTTTGAAGTTTCTCTGCAATAATTTCAAGTCCATTTGCTTCTATTATAGCATGTCTGTTCTTGGAGTGAGACGAGCAAAATATGGAGAGTAACCACATGGAGACAGTGCTTCCCAGGACAGAAACAGGATCAACTGTTTCAGAATCATCAATCTTTAAGCATAAATTGCTTGTGATGTAAGATCTTGGTCTTTGAATCTCAACTCTATAGGAAAAACAATTAGAGCTCTGCTTTGACATATCAAGAAGAGTGGTCACTAAGCTTTTCGTATATCCTGATCGGTCAATTGCTTCTGTGCATAATTTCTTATCCTTCTTTGCTGCACACACGAGCAACATAGCTCCTCCTACTTTGATTTCAGGGCTTGATGAGTTGATTGTTCTGTTAGCCAACGAACAGATTGATTTTGACCGTGTGACCAGAACTTCACCTAACAAGACAAACTGTGTTCTGCAGAAGCGAGACAAAATCTCAATTGCTTTATCTTGCACCATAGGATCACCTTCAGCTAAACAACGGACAAGAGAGTCTAAACTCGAAGGAGCTTCAGTGAATGCAGAGACAGGGTTATGTGACAAGTTAGCACCATATTTAGCTTTGGCAAGCAGAGAGAGTACTTCTAAAACGTCGATAAAAGCGTTGTTGTTCAGGTCAGTTGCGTTTAAGAGATCGATGAGCTCAGGAACAGCGAATCGACATTGATCGTTTCCTTTGAACACATCATTAACCTGGAAATGCTTCAGTAGCTGATGAAGAGCTTGTGAAGCATTTCTCTTGCCTTGTATTGTTCCTTCTCTTAATACTCTTGTCAAAGCAGAAACAACATCATCATCTAGTGCTTCGGCTGCGATATTCGGGTCTGAAAGAAGGTTGGCAAGAGTGGATATAGGATCCTCTGACGACTCTATCGGGTTTGTTTTCGCTGACTTTATCAATGGCTTGATCACTTCGGCTTCTGGACCTGATAACTTCTTCTTCTTCTTTGTTGGATTTGATAGAGAGCCTAAGGCGTGAGCTAACTGCGTCGCAACAGCGTGAGTGTTTCCACTTAAAAGCTTTGTGCATGGATTATCATCCTCATCGAATCCAAGACCACCACAAAGGTCTTTTCTTGAAGTGAATAGATCAGCCAAGACAGAAGCTGCGTTATCTTTCATCTTCTCGTTCGACGAAGCAAGTCTTTGAACAAGTGACCTTAGTCCATTATTCGCTGCAGAGCCTTTGGTTACAAACTCTTCCAACGAAGCCGATGCAAGAACGTGGCCTAAAACTCTTATCAAATGAGTCTTTGATTTAGGAGCATCTCCGAGAAACAGAGCATGTACTTGCTCTATAACACTTGGATCAGATGTTTTAATCAGCTTCACAAGCGTGTTCGCTGAGATCTCTTGAGATTTTGGTCCACCGTTCTTTAGTAGCCCCAAGAGTTTAGGAATAGCTCCTGCTTTCTCAACGCAGACGCGGATTTCTTCGCTGTGATTACATAGATTCCAGAGGACACGAACCGCATCCTCCTTCGCCTTGTGAGACACGCCGGTCTCTAGTATCTGTAATAACGGAGGAATCCCGCCTGCAGAAGTTACAGCCCATCTGCTTTCTTCGACTTTATCAGTCAAGATCGCTAAGAACTCGACGGACAGTTCTTGATGTTGTTCGCTGGACAAACCAAGAAACGGTATGAGAATCTGTATCCCTTCTCTCTTCCCAATAGCTTCCCAAACATTCTCATATTTGCATAAATTCGACAAACAGATTATCATCTTCTCACGTGGACTGGCTGTGGCCAAGATCGTTAGCCCGACTAAAACCCTCTTAGCTTCCACATTGTTGAGTGATTCTGATACAGCGACGTTTCCATATAGACTTGCCATAGCCTCCAAGATACGTTCTTGGACCAATTGAGTATCTCGAGGCTTAAGTAGTTTCACAAGTACTGCTTCTGTTAGTTTTGGATCAAACGTTTCTCTATCATTATCACAAGTTAGCTGAAACTTCCTCAGAGCATAAGCAAGAGCTCCAAGAATATCAGCGACGGGCTCGGTGAGGCGTGGAGATAAAGATAAGCCTCCAAGAAACACTATCAAAGCAGAGATTCCTCCACATAAGTTAGCTAAAGCTTGTGTGCCATAACTCTGTAAAACGCGTTCGGTTTCTTCATTGACTGACTCTTTAGACGAAGCAACCACTGCGCTGATCAAAAGGTGTACCCCGTTCCAATCTTTAACCACGTTCTTAGCTTCTTCCGACTTTGATGTGATGGCTTCTATAGCATTGACTACACTTGCTCGCACGAAAACATCGTTCTCTTCACTTAGAAGCTGAACAAGAACTTGCACAGCACCTGACTCTACAATCTTTGAGATGCTGCAAGTGACAATCCTAATGAGACGAGCTAAGAGAGAAGCTGCATTTGATTGAGATACCGGGTTGCTAGACTGTAGAAGCTTTAAGATGATATCAATCCCACCATCTTCAATCGTTACTGTCAAAAATCCATCTCTATCGCCACAAAGATTTCTCAAAGCTCCAACCAAATACCCTTCAACTGTCTTGTCTTGCTTCTTCTTCATCTTTAACTGATCCCATAAACTCGGTACCACGCCTTCCGTGATAAATATCTTAGTACCAACATTATCATCATCCATTCCACACAAGGAGACTTCGTATATAGCTTCAGCTGCAGCTTTTCTTGCATCGACAGAGTCAGATTTCAATAGTGAAAGCAGCGGAGGGATGCACCCGCCTATAAGTATTTTAGAACGAATGTTTTCGTCTTTGCAAAGAACGGTTAGGATTGAAGCGGAATTGAGTTTTGCTGGAAGGGTTCCGTTCCTGAGAAGTGATATGAAGGAAGGCATGGCGTTTACGTTGCGTCCAATGATCTTTCTACACACTTTTTTAGCTTTGGCTAGGCCTAGAAGCCGAGCGGTGCTGAGTTCTTTCTCTTGCGATGATGATTTCTTGCCATGAAGTTGCTCGATGAGACGTGCGATCGTCTGTGCTGCTTTCTCTGGATCATTCATCTCTTGTTGATTCGTTGAGGAGGGAGGCTTCGATATCTTCTGTTTGTTGTATACAAGAAAACATCAAGAAATAAGATAGTGAAGAATTAAACCCAAAAAAAAAAAAAAGATAGTGAAGAATAAGATGAATATATTCACTTTTGTAAAAGTCAATTTTCGTTTGTTATTTTGAACTTATTTTGTCTGTGACGCTTAATAGTGTATTCATATCATATTCAAAATTTATCTTGGTTTTCTATTGTCTTATGATTATTTAAGAATTTTCTTGTATCACAATTGTCTCCTGAGCAAATAAAAGTCATCTAGTGTTGATTGGCTGTGATAGTAGCCCTAGATGATGTTGACGTAGAACTCAAGAAACCATGATAATTAGACAACCTAGAATAGTGTTTTTCCTTAAAAACTGAACAAACAAAATGCAGAGTTACTGAAAGTGTGTATTATAGTTATATGAATCCAATGTAGAGATTGTACAAAAATTATGTAGTTCTTTCGTTTGTTTTCAGGTATCTTTAGGGTTGAAATTTTTTGCCAAGAAAGGTTAATATAGTTTTTCCCAATCACACGTCTACGAATAGGTGATGTAAAAAGTAGAACACTGTAACACATTTTGAAGACATTGTAACAGATTTGAACGTAAGAATTCCAAGATTTGTTTGTTGTTAAGGTTAATAAAGCTATTCCTAATCACACGTCTATGAATCGAATAGGTGATGTAAAACTGGGACACTGTAACGCATTTTCTTATCACAAAAGAAGAAGACGTCATAACCTATTTTAATCATTCTTAGAAACACATCCGAAACGTAAGAATTCAAAGGTTTAACTCTTTGTAGAGAATCTCCAAATAAATAAAAAATGCACAATTAATTTATACGTTACCTTTTTTCCAAGCCGTTGCACAACTCCCTCCTCCTAGGCGTAGCAAACGCCGCTCCTAATATTCAGATGTCGAGAGTAGTAATGATGATTTGATTCAAATGAAATTGAATCTTCAATCAAGTCGACATTGTCACGGTTTGTATAGAGAAACCGTAACCTCTTCGTTTGCAATTATCAAATATTACCTTTCTCTTTTGTTCTTGCTCAGACAAGAATTACCGGACAGCTTGTCCGACGAACAAACAAACAAAACAATAATTTTTTTTTAAGAAATTAAGGTTTGACAGAGAGGAAGGAGAAATCCTAAAATCCCAAAACCATAACTATAACGCCAATTCCTGACTTTTCTCTTCCTTTCACAAATTTCGTTTTCCTATTTATTTTTGTTTTGCCTATGTCGGATAATCTTATTTTCGCACACCTAATTTAGTAAGATTTAATAGATTTGGACTATATGTCTTTCCGATCGAATTTTTGATATATTCGTATGATGCTATATTTGGATGATAGATGTGGACATATTACACTCGAATCTGAAAGTTAATCATTTAATTTAATTGATCCGGTGACAAAGAAGTGGTATTAACCAATTTTTACAGAAGCTTATGGCCCTGAAAGATGATCATTAGTTTAACTATCAACAAAAGGCCTAAACCTAAACCTAAACCTAAACCTAAACCTGATACTTTAATATTGCATTATACAAAATTTGCTAAGTACAACGTTAAGTAAGGTTACTGGCTAGCTCAAACTATGAAGTAAGAAAAACAATATGCTAAGTGAGAATTAGGGACCGAATTTCAACAGATTAAAAGCACATTCGTGGAAAATTAAAGGTCCTCCAAAACTAAAAATTTCATATGGCAGATTATAACGGGTATGATGATTCAATTGTCATTTAAATGTCCTCCATCATTACAAGTACGAGTTCAATCACAAAAATCAGTTTCCACCAGGATTCGGTTTACAAAAGAATATAAGTTTGTTTTTGTGAGTGTGGAAAATACAAAGTCAAAATGGTCGATACAGATTTTTGTCATGGAATGAAGCTCAAATATCTCTTGGGTTATAAGTTTTATCAGTCTCAGAGGTAAGGGATGAAAAATCCCTATAAATATCAGATAGATGGTTCATGGCAGGCCTTATAAGTTGATGGTTATACTTATAACTAAGTTGTGCTTGCGGGTGCAAACGTCATTGGACGAGTTTATCACCTTTTCATTAGGAGATGGAAGCTCTTCTATGGGTTTTGAAATTTATCAGGTGTTCAAGACATATTTGTGCAGAGTTGGTTTCATTCGTACGATTTACTGATGAGTAGTTTGGTGGATTCATAAACAAAACATTTCGAGTCTCGTACGCAAGCAAGGTTTGTGAACAAGTGGCCATAAACAAGGAGTTCTGTTCACAACAAAATTCCAATCTGATTACTCACTAAAGACATATCTGTATAGTGCTACTGATAATATTGATCATGCAATAAGAAAGCCATGGCAACTTTCCTGTTTACATGCCAAGTCAAGAAATGCGAAGCTAAGTAATTAGTTTGCATTTGTATGTTATTATTAAAATAATAAAAAGGCTCCGACCAACGAGATCCTAAACAGAAGATTCAACCATTTTGATATGATATTCTTTGAGTCAAGAGAAGTTAGTGTATATATATCTTGAACAAGTGCGATGTTATGTGATATCATTTGAGTTCACTCCACCGTTTTTGCGAAGAGGCAAAAAGAAAAGGCTAAAACTTGGAACTGATAATAAAGAGAGACTCAAAGTTATATGTTTTTACGTTCGACGGGTATTGGTCGTGACATGGTAACAAGCGGCAACATTTTTACAGAGAGACTCAAGAGTTATATGCATGAAATTGATTATATATTTACAATTGAGACTGTAGATTTTTGGGGGCTGCAAGTATATAGCTAACATAAACAGACATTACATGACAAGAGACAAGTTAGAATTTTTTTTTTTTTTTTTTTTTTGTAAAAGCAAGTTAGATGTTTTTCTTACGTAGATCTCTGTAACATTTATTAAGTGGAATCGTGTATTTTTGCCAAAGAAAATGTTCGAGATTGATAACATTTGTGGAAATATATCAAGTTTATACAATCGACCTTATCTTGAAACAATGCAACAAAGATTCCAATTTTTACAATAGTTGTGCTTGATAAATGAAAAGGGAATAATAGATAACATAAAGTTGAAGACCGTAACGGAGCAACAACCAAGAGATCGTGAAGGTTGTTGTCATGAGAAAGAAGCCGAAGATGATGGAGTTGATCTTCATTATTGCTGTTGACTGTTGTGGCCATGATCAAAAAGAAGAAAAACTAATGAACAAATTGAAACGGAACAAATAAACTTTGGAGATATCGAAGAGTGAAATCACAGAGTGAATCCAAATTTCTGTTCTTTGGTTGACTCAGGACATGGAGTCATTTTTGAGTTTCTACTTCGTTCCCTTTTCTTCCCTTGGGTTTCATCTTCTTCATGGGCCTTTGTTCTGAAGCAAGTAAAAAATCTGGATACGGGTGGGACATTTGTATCATTTCCATATACTTTTTCTGCTTGAATGCCTGATTCAGAACAGAAAAAGTTATGAAAGTATACAAAGTTTCCAACAAGTATTCAGAAATTTGTCTTACCCAGAACAGAGGATGTGAAGATGAAGAAGAAACCTGAGGAAAGAAAAGGGAAGAGAAGAAGAAACTCAAGAATTATTCCCCCTCCTGAGACAGAGATTATTTGGAGTGGGTGTTGTAAGGAACAAGAGTGCATACCCTATCTATTTATATAGCCCATGGTGACATGTAATCCTTATCGTTTAAGGATTCTGATGGTTAATTTCCTTTTCTTTAGATTGACCCAAGATGTTGGCAAAAAAAAAGATTGACCCAAGATTTAATTCCTTATGAAATATATGTGTTTCCTTTTTTTTGTCATTTTGGACCTAAAAAAACTTCTTTTGGTTTTGTTAATTAAATCAGAAACATTTTTTGGTGATCTATAATCGTTCTTTTTGAAAATATTTAAGATATATTTCCTTTTTTCTAGATTGACCCAAGATTTAATTACTTTTGAAGTATAGGTGTTTCGTTTTTTTTGTTTTTTGGACCTAAAAATCAACCTTTTGTTTTATTAATTTAGTCACAAAATCAGATTTCCAATTTCTCGAACAAAATATACTTCATATATAATAATTATCATGAAAAAGGTTTAAAATCTCTAGTTCTTTTCTGACTAGATTTATCTTCTTTTCGTTGTTTTAATTCAATCAACAAAATTATTTTATTGTTTTGCCATAATTGGATTTTCCAATTTCTGAACGAAAGACATCTAATATCTAATCTGGTAATAATATTTTGTTTTTTCCAAGTTTTTTCCCTTACCTAAAACTACACAGAAAAGTAAAATAAGTGTTGCCTTTTACATAATTATTTTTCTTAATATCTACGAGACTATTCAAATATTTTGACTAATCGAACGTTTTAAAAAATATATATATTATTATTTTTAGATTTTTTCAATTAATGTTTCATGTTTTATATATGGCCAATATATCTCTATTTTTATTGTAACTAGGATTTTCACCCGCGCACGCGCGGGTCTGTATCTTAAATCAGTTTAAAATATATTTTTTTTTTTTTAAACTGCAAAAATCAACAATTAAAATTTATCAATATTTCAATACCAAAACTCTCTGGAAAACAAAAGTTTTTAGATATATCAATATCGTATTGAGATCAAATCTTGACATACAAAAATATTGTTTAGATCATATCCCGGTAACAAAAATGTTTGTGTATATGTCTAATGACCAAAACTTACTTGAAGATATTCAAATCATTATAATAGGACAAACTTACTTTATCACTAAACTTACTTGTAAAATGTAATGTTAATTTATGAACTATTGTGACGTGTTAGTCATTTTCTAAACAGAAATATATTTTTAAATATGTTTAGTGAAATTCTTAAAATTAGATGTCAACAATATTTGTATGTAACATGATGTTTATTTAAAATAACTTCAGTTGGTTATGTTAGAACTTAAAATGCTATAAATAACAATATTTGTATGTAATAAATTTAAGCTAGATGATAAACTAATA